CCCCCCTAAAGGAGTATGGGAGCTATGGGAGAGAGTAGCAGTGGAATGGGGAAGGATTGCAACAGAATATTGCCAGAAATTGATTGAGAGTATGCCTAGAAGGATAGAGGCAGTAATTAAAGCCAAGGGAGGTCACACAAAGTACTAGAATACCTGATTATCACTGTAAAATACTTGAGTCAAAAAACTGTCCACATGAGTCATCATTTTGGAAGCCTCATATCTCAACCATATCTCGACCAATTCCCACGCCATAGTGCTCAATTGAAAGCCCTGACGTGGTGCTACAATATGGTACCAGCATGTCCTTGAGGTGTTTGTATATTCTCACACAATATCATAGATAGTGAAAAATGTGGAAACATGCGGATAGTTTTTTGAGCCACTGTACGAGCGGCTGCGACGAAGAGGGAGCTGGAAAGACAAATATATATCTCAGACTCTAGGAAAGATCTCTGTATGAGTATAGTACCTGGAAAGACAAATATATCTAATGGTATGTTAGCTCTATAGGTTAGCATAGAAATGAATAAAAACATACATCTCAGACTCTAGGAAAGATCTGAGATGTTTGGTCGACGCGACTCGTTCTTTATAGTATGGTTAGCATAGATAAGTAAATTAGTGTAACATAGGAATAGACATCTCAATATTGACAAGCCTCAGCCAACGTCAACGTGTCACCTCGTCATACCTGGACGTTGCGCTCATATGGTTTCACTTTCATCTCTCCAGTCCATTCTCCTCTGACTCTCTTGTTTCGACTGACTCCAACATCCTCTACTCCTCTTCCTTGGTGCATTCTTGTTCAGCTGTGTCCTCTTAGTTTTCTTTATAGATCCATGCTACTATGGCCTTGTCACCGAGAGTCAGTAATACCACAAAGGGAGAGAGAGGTGTGAGTCCCTCGTTTTGCAGATGACCTGACCTTCCGGTTTTGCAGACAACTCTCTTCCCCATTTCAAAAAGACAACTCCTCCCAAGACAACCTCCTCTGTTCCCGTTCCAAAGCCTCACTGTGGCATTCTCGAACTGAAATTTGTCAGCATTTTCATCTTATTGTCTGTGGGTGCAATTCTTCTCTTGGCTTCCATGCAAGCGTCTCGACCAGAACTGTAATTTTTTTCTGTTGGCAGTTTTCTGTTCACAGAGTGCTGATGTTACGTCTCCAGTGTGCCTGCCAGTGCTCGTCAAGGTCACAGACTGTGAGAAATCCATTCAACCCAGCAACATACTCATCCCAAACTTGTGTGATCCGGGTGACAGGTTGGAAGGTGTACAGGGGAAGATAATCCCCTGATACCCACTCCCAGCTATGCTTCAGCAGCCGCTCAGCACCAAATCAGTCCACCAGAGAGGTCCATTGCTGCTGACGAGCATCAAGGTCTGCAGCAGTAGCAGCATCAGTGCTGGTAGCCACAGAAGTCGGTGGGGGAATGATGATGGGCATGGCGGGAGGGGCAGGATGAGCTGTGGGGGGTGGGAAGAGCGAAAGTGGAGCGATCTGCGGGCCTGAAGATACACTTGATGCTGCTGTGGTGGCTGATTTGAGGGGAGGAACTGCAGGACCAAGTGCCACTGGAGGTACTACAGTGGCGGGCGGAGCACCTTTCAAACTATCAGTTTCTTTTCCCTGTGTATGAAAAACTGCTGACTGTGACTCACCACAACAACAAAAACAACAAGGTCGACCAGACTCAGCTGCCATCTCCAGTCGTGAAACCTGTTTGTGAAGCAGTGCAAGCTCTTCTGCATTCTTTTGGTTGGCTTCTTCCTGTGCGAGGCATGATGATGTGACGAATCCTTGCATGCTTCGGGCATACTGCTCTGGGAGGTGTTGCAGTGCCAACCGGGCCTCCTTGTTGACCCTGGTGAGCATGGCTGTCAAGCTTGCTGCAAATTCATGGAACACATTACCTCAAAAGGGTGCAAACCCAAATATTGGGCATGTTGGGTCTTTGACAAACAGAACAGCAGCATCCTGTATAAGGACCTGACAGAGCCACATGAGGAGTTGCAGGATCTTCAAGGCAATATCCTGTCCCGCACAGCCGAGTTGCCTCTCGCTGCTGCAGGGCAGCATTCTCCTGCTCGACCCATGGAAAAATCTGTGAGAGGAGCTCCATGGGAGGCTCTGGTTTCGAATCACAGGTGAGGGCAAGCTGTCAGATGGCAGACACTAGCTTACTGAGATGGTCCTGAGCTAGGAAGTACTGCTCAGGCTTCCTCGCATTGAACATGGCCGCACCAAGCAGCCCTTCGAGCGGGAGGGCACAATCATAACAGTTGGCAAAGGCATCATTAACACTCCAGCAGCCAATGGCTTTCACATCATTGCCAGATGCCCCATGTGCTTGTGCAGTCTTCACCATGAAATGTCGGGTGGCGTGCGTGGCCTTTGTCAGGCTAATATCATTCTTGCTGTGTATGAGCTTGACTTGGTTATAGTGATCTGTGGGGAGGTTTGATGATCCTGATTTTTGTACCTAGAGCATGCAGAAAGAAACACCCACTGTTATAAGACATCTGCCTGTCAGGTCTCTCACCCCAGAAGACATACAGGTCATACCACGACCAGTGGCCAAATTCACCATATCCCACCTTCGAGAACTTGGGAGCAAATTCAGGGACAGGTTGTGAGACTATGTGAAAGCACGCGAAAAGAAGCATGGCAAGGGCTCCAACAGGGCAGAGCTCTACATGAAAATGTCGCAGGGTGCCATGCGTCAAGATGGCCATGTTGGTTGCTCTTCACATTGTCAGCCAGTGCCACGAGCACCTACATACATACACCACACAGCAACATCAACCCTGATCTAATACTGACTACAAACACTGCGTGATTGCTCACTGGGACAGTGTACCCCAACTGAATGTCATCTATGCAAACTTCAGAGAGGAAAAGATCAGACAGCTGCAACATTCGCCTCGCAATGCTGTCGAGGCACCAAATAGCAGCATGGCACGGTCATGGAGACCAACAAACACCTGACAAGTGCCCGAGAATTTAGTCAGGCACCATGCTGAGCACTTTGTGAGCTCTTCGGTGGTGTATGCATCTGGGCAAGGGCAGAGACGTCAATCATGACCCTCAAAACAGGCACAACAAGCAAAGGAACACTGACCTGACATGGTCCCAGAGGCTTTGAGCACCTGTGAGCTCTCCGCACACTTTGGCTTGTCATGTTTGGCAGCAGACTCAATTTGCCGGATGTGGTTGTCATCACGCAGCCGGACTTGAGCCTCAGGCACACCAAGGTAGAAGTGGTGGTGGCTCATCCGCCAGTCCTCAAGGGCACTGATGGCCTGCTGGATAATGGACTTCCCGACATTCGAGCCAGGGATGGTGTTGCTCGATCCTGGTTTCCGCTGATAAAAAAAGGAGTCAATCAGCATAGATCAACAAGCCATCAGGCTCAGGAACCCACCTTCTCTCGGGTTCGCTCGTGGTTGAGAAATATGAGCACCTTGGCTGCCAAGATCAGCAGCGCAGGGACAGAGGTCCATGCTGGGGTATCAGCAACCATCTCAGCTTGGTATCTGTCCCAGTAGGTGATATAATTGCAGACATGGTGTGCGTATGCCTTGTTGGTACCCTTGTCGGCACGCTCCTCTGCTGCGAGGTGGAGCCGAATTTCGTGGGAGGTCACATCCAGTGCATCGAGGGAGCGCTGCATGCCATTGGAGGCAGCAGCAGATGGCTAAACAAGCGCAGCTGCACAGGGAGCTGGCAATGGGTCCTTGACGGAGATCTCGCTAGGATCCATGGTGATCAGTCCATCAGGGATGGAAGGGTGAGCACCAGCAACGAGGCACGATGCGACAGGTTCAGTACCTGGTCCTATGAGCAGCAAACTGTCAGTACTGCCAGCAAACACACACACATCGAAAGAGACATGCACCTGTTGCAGTGCCAGCACTGCAGCACTTCTGCCTTGCCCTGGAGGCAAGGTGCTCACTTGAAGAGACAGGAGGGGCATGATGCAGAGCTGGGCCAACTCGCAGTTGAACCCGCGGGCGCTTAGCAGGGCATTTGTCAAAGACATCGGATGGGTTATTGTGACGCATCTTTGCAGGTGTGTGGCTTGCATCGGAACTCATAGTTAAGGGATCTGAAACAACGAAGGGAACACATCAACCTGGGAAACATCACAGACAAGAGCATGGAGACTTACCAGGAGGTTGAGCACGGGTGGTACTGCATGCCAAGCGAGTCTCATTTTTGTACTTTCCCGAGCCCCATGAATTGACATGAAAATGTGTGATATTGAGTGTGGCGGGAACCTGACAGTGTGGGCTCGAGTCTGAAACATGGGAAACGGAAATTAGAGTTGCGTAGGTATGATAAAATTATGAATTATGTCGGGGATTGAGTACAGTAGTTAGCACGAGAAAAAAGGTGTTTTGGAGGAAGGGGCACTATGCCATCACAGTCCCATGCTGTTGAGTGATTGGTGCAGTGTCTGCACTGCTCATTCGGCAGGGCTCATGGGTGCCAGTGGGTGTCCTGTTGTTGTTGTGTGAGGGACAAGAACAACGTCAACGTCGACAACAAGGCAGGGTTGAGAACGGACTTACCAAAACGAGCGACCGAGCGGCAGCCGAAAGCACATCCAAAAACGGCAGGTGAACGGTGTACTGGATGGGTGACACTTCCTTTCTTAGCCAGGTGTCACCTCCCTCAGTCGGTAATCTGTCGTACACACCAGTAGCCGTGGTATTGATATATTACTCACTGGTAGTGTAGTGTAAATGTGATACAATAGTTGCTCACTGCCATAGCACCCAGTGATACATCAATCTATTATACCTGCAGCTCCCTCTAGTTCCCTGCTATTAGCTGATACATCTGAGATCTATGGTATGTGACTTGAGATCCATCGTACATGGTTTCGTTTTTGGCATTCTGCGATATGTGATCTCCGCCCTTACCATTCTCCAGCGTTGCTTCTTTCCCCGCGTTAATATTAAGAACAATCACACGAATGATATATTTATATTTATAACTGTGGGGGAGCATCAATAGTAGGAGCATCTATCTCTCCGCTCTCCAGAATCAGGACACCACCAGAGACAAGGGTAGGCACATCACTCCACAGCCTTTGAAACTTGGCTATCAGCAGCACATGCAGTGCAGACTGGCGACACGCATATGCTGACAGTCCCTCTTGTGCAGGTGCTGAGTTGAGCATTCGGAGAGTCATGCGCTCCTTCCACCAGGACCCTTGCCATCTCAAAAATGCCAGCACTTGTCTCATCTCCTCTAGCAATAATTCCACCTCCTCTGACCACCGGTGTGCGTGGGCACGAGCCTTGCACCATTCCAAGCGGACACCTATCAAAATGTCAGATAAATGTGAGTAAAACATAACATACACTTACAATCCTGTATGCGTTCATTTTCTGTACAGCTGTTATCAGCACAGGAGTCTAACCAAATCCAGGAGATGGTTCCTCTCCCTTGCTGCTCCATGTCACCCATAGGCTTAACATCAGAGTCAAGAAGCGGGCGCATGGTGAGCTCCCAACCGCACTTCTCAAGACAGTGGCCAAGAGACAGCAGGGCGCTGCACGCACGTCTGTACTTCAATACACTGGCGTGCTTCCTCAATTCCACGGCATCAATGATTTTCTTGGTGCGAGTGGAACCCGCTTGACCACGGACATTCTTATCCTTGTACTTGTACATGTGGGATTGAAGCCAGAGGTGGGAATGAACTTCATTCAGGGCATCGAGGGCCTGCGCGTAGCATAGCTCCCACTCGTGGCCAGCAAGCGTCTGGTCTACAGGGGTGCCAGCTGGAAGTTGCGAAGGGAGCCACAGGTTGAAGTATTCGGGTTTCAGTTCCTGCGGCCTCCCGCTAGCCTCTGATGATCGATGCCGGAGTTGACAGACAACTGGCATATATAGCTCCTGGATGCGGGCCCACGCATCAAGCCGTCGTTGGAGGGAGGCGATTTGAGTTTGTGTTGTAGCCTTCTGATTATCGGTGTCATGGAGGGAGACATTGGCAAGACTGGATCTTAAGCGCGCCCTGTAGAACTGTTAGTATGGCATAGTGTAACAATGAATACAAAATGTACTGTTGATCCTTGAGATCCATGCCCGATGTAATCAATCCACTTGGAGAGACATCAGTGTGAAGCGAGACATTAATTCCAGCTTGAAGGTCTTGAGCTTCAAGCTCAGTGAGTTGTAGTCATACGGCTGCCTGTGTAACCGCTACCGTTTATTAGAACAACCACTGCAAAAATGCCAGGGTCATTTATGGTTAAACCGGCTTTCAAAGGGATTCGGAGAGGAGTTATCCTCCTCCCAGGATTCCACCTCTGCCTTCCATTGAGCAATGAGAGCCGGCTGAATAGTCTTCTCCAGTTCCGCGAGGGCTTCGGAGTGCTCCTTCGTCCACTTGACAGCTTCAACCATCTTCTTATGCAATGTCCGCCCTAAGTCTATGTCAAAATTTGAGACTAAAAGAAAGAAACCGCTCACCTAATGCTGTTATTTTTTTCCAGTTCAAATCACTGAAGTGATCATCAAAAGTGTCCCAGCGTGCTCCCGGTCCCATTTCCTTGGTACTTGATGCCACTCGGTTGATATTGGACCAGCCCCGTTCAGGGGCTTCGCTGTCTGTTCAGCCCACATATCTCGACCAGTTGAAAGAGAAGTTTGTGCGACACTTATCGACGTGGGCCTGGATGTGGAACTTCAGCACAAAAAAATGTATAAGGGAAGATTGACGAGGGGGGGAAAGCCATTCCGGCATCGTTTCCATTTGAGTCCAGAGTCTCTTGTGCCACTGGCAGGCAATGTCATAGGATATATTGATCATGGACATCGCAAGGATGAGGAGCGCGGAACACATGATATAGTCCATGTTGATGTACCTAAGTAACATCAGCCGCAAAACATTCCAAATGCAATATAATACATACCGTTCCCCCTTCTGTAGGTCTCCAACTCCGTTAGGGAGCTTCATGTCGTGTCTTGCGCAGTCAATTGTCCCAACTCCTGTTGCAGCAAGCCCACGGGAGGACTTGGTATCCACCATGTTGACCGCATTGTGGCTTACACATGTGCTTCGCTACAGAAAAAGTCAAAGTTGAGAATTATCATAAAAATCATGTTACTTACCTCTTGCTTTTCAGTAGCACGATCTGCGAGGTAAGACTTGTATGAGTCCTTGTGCACAAAATACGCCCATCCAGCATTAAGGCTAGGGTCGGCAGTATCAGAAGACACCACCTTGTGCTTCAATCTAAAGTTCGCATCTATTGCAACAAATAGCACATATTTCCATCTGCTCAGATAACGTGTGAGCTCAGCAAAATTAGGGAAAGACGACCAACATCTTACCTGGTAAATAGAGGCTCCTTCTCCCAGTCTAGCGGAAGATTCTTCCCAGGGCTGTGGGCATGCGGGGGAGAGAACAGCTAACTCTCCTTCGGCTGTAGCATTGACACCGGCAGGGTCATGTCCCCTTCCTCTGCGGCCAAGTTGTTTGAGGTTACACCATTGGCATACCATCCGCATGAAAGCGGAATACCGATCCTAGAATATATCATTATCAAACAGTTGCAGGAATAGATTAAAATAAATACTCACCCTGATCGCTACTAACCCAGAATTGTCGGTGCGCCTTGCAAGGGAGTGATAAAACTTGTAAGCAGATACCTTGCTTTCAAATGATAGAATATGAAAATGCTGCAGAACCGTAAAGGTTGCTGCAGTCTGAGGCTCTGAGACTGTGGCTGGATACCACCGCATACGTAATAGTTGTTTGTACCAAATCTGAGCTGAAGCGCAGCCACAGAAGTCCAGTGCAATTTCATGAATGCCATCGAGCCCTGATGACCACAAAATCATCACCGGCAGCGGGAGAAGGTTTGTAGCACCTTTCTCCTGGGTTATGGCCAGGTTGTACTCGAATGCCAAGCTGTTTGAGTGTGATACACTGAAAAAAAGACCCGTTCCATATCTGACAATGATCAGTCACATGTTGACGCCAAAATAAGTGTGAAACACACCTCAATCCTATGCAAAGGATGATATACCTGGTTTTGAAGTGTACATTCGCGGCAGAACATTTGAGTGCCATGACAGTCAGAGCATCGGAATTGAGGCGATACTGCACCACATGAACAAGTGACACCCTCAGACCCACATCCATTGAGGCGCATCATTTCATCCAGGAAGATTGGACATTGTGGAATCCAGGCGAGCAAAGGTCTATCCTTAAGTCCAATAAGTTAGCATGCCCAAACGAACATCAAATGAGAACACCCACCACTGCAGTCTCTTTGCGCTTCTCCGTGGAACAAATATCAACAATGTCGTCTGTAAGTGTTTCATCCTCAAATTGAGAGTCGCTGGGATGCTCAACACAGTCATCTATGAAAAATACATTGTCATTTGATGAATTTTTGGGGGGAATTCCCACAACATAGTGTGTTTGCAGTCATGTGCTCCCTTCAGCGGTAATTTCTGCAGCATGAAGTTGTAAAAGATGAGGTTCGGGTTTGATAGAGACGGGGACAAAGACCTCCTGTTCAAGTGCAGGCCTCTTGGGGGGGGGGGGGGGGCGACCACAGGGCATTGTGCACTGTGGTTAATCTGTCAGCTCAGGTCGGGCAGTCAGAGGATCCTCCATTTGTAATTGGAGGATCCCGCCAGTATATAATAAGGGACAAATTTGTCCCTCCTCACCCACCTCATGAATCATGGCAACACCATTGAATGATAATGCCCCCCCACTGGCCACTGTTGAATACTTGTTGCGCCCCCGTCGAAGTGAGCCAATTGAAAGTTATATCTTGCCATGCACCTGACATTAAAAAAACAGACCGCAATCCACCCCCAGCACATGTGTCTTGGCAAATTCATTCATACATAGTGTGATATAATCAAACCCCAAACAGTGGCCCAATTTTCACGCCTGCGCAGAAGGACTGGTTGAAAGATCATATACCACAGTATATGCAGTGGCCTCCTACCTCAGATGAGATGATCACATTAATACAGACCATGATTATCAATTTCGACCGCATGTGGCCACTTCACCAGAAATTGTGACCTGGGTCAAATATTCATATTTTGCTGAGTGACAGCATGTGTGCCAAATTGACGGCGGAGATGCTGATTCTTTGAGCAGTAAGTCAGCTGTGCACGTAATATGCACTATGACTGACCTTGATGCAGAATATCAAGAGCCACATGCTGTGGACAACCCGACGTAATCTGCGCCGTGAGAGGAATTAAACGGGAATTGAACCACGGAAATGGTTCTGGTACTGGGGCGTCAGGCAAGCTTAGAAGCTTGGTAGATAGTACTAGAGAATCCACTTACCTGCTGAGGCCATACTTGAGAGCTTGAATGTGATTGATCACTGATCAATGATTCCCAATTCCAATGTTACTGGGGAAGCTGTGATGGATTTGCCAAGATTAGTCAGCCGGTACACCTGTTTGGTGCAGATTGTTACTAATACCTGGCACCTTTGTAGTCGCCATTTCCCAAATCCCATGGAAGTCATCCTCCATTTCTTGGATGTCCAACCCCGCCGGCCTATGGAGTATATATTCGGGACGTGGTGAGTGATACATCACCATCCACTCAAGGTACTCACTGAACTCGCTATCATGACTCAGAATTTGCCTTCCTCCAGTCGGACAGATACCATGGTATCTGTCCAACTGGACGGTCTCATCAAATTTCTCCAGTGTCTTTCCCTCGACAATCAGAAGGCACTGTCTCAGGCCTTAGACATTGGCACGGACACAGGCACCGATGGTGATACATCCAATGGTGAATCCATTGATTCTTTTATATTTTCATTACTCATGTAGCTTCGGCAATGTTACAGATAACATCACCGTCAGAATGGGCCTGGGCCCTGCCACTGGCAGCACTGAAACAGCATCGGCCGCTCTTCCCACTGTCTCTGATGACCCCCCTGCTACAACCATTGACAGTCTCAGGGAAGCTGCACCAGTTGCTTCTCCTGGCGCAGCTGCTGCCTCTAGTGCTGGCACTGCTCCTACTTCTGCCCCCACTCCTACTTCTGCCCCCGCAACTGCACATGCTGCTGCTCCCACTGTGGTTCCTGCAGGAAATGTCACTGTCTATGTCGATTATGAGGAATATGACTCCTCTGATGACGAAGATGCAGCCACTGCAGCTGCTGCACTTGCGAACGATTCCACGTTGATTCATTACCGCAATACCTACTTCAATGTCCCAGTTGACGCCACCCCACCACTCTATTATGTGACTCAAGGTCGCTACATCGGCATCTTTTCAGGCTGGTGAGCTGGATTTTCCGAATTTCTCATGTCTAGTAGCTCATTTCTTCATGGTAGGGATGCAACCGGTCCAAAAGTGCTCGGTGTCTCTCGAGCCATCTACCACAAGGTGGATTCCATCGAGCAAGGCATAAACATCATGAAGGGTGCAATTGATTGTGGTGACGCTTCACAGGCATTGTAACACAGTACTAGTGATGATTATTTAGTGAATTTCATGTATGTCCATAGCTGTCGCAAAATGAATGGTCTTTCTTGAATGTTGGTGTGCTTTGTCTGATCAAAACATATTGCAAACAAGTATTACACTACTGAGATTGTAGCAGCATACAAGCGCCGTGCCCATCAAGAACATTAAACTTAAGATATAAACCTGCCCTGTAGGAGTGAGATCAATATTCGTAGAGTTCAATTTTGAAGGACGGTAAGAGAATGGTAGGATAAATTCACATAAAAATCCAACTTAATCTCCTACATGAAGCTTGCCATTCAAAACTCCTACGCATATATCGAGTGCCTCAATTGCAACTGACTTACTTTCAACCCACTTTTATGCACATGGCACGACCATGTCTACACAACACTAAAGAAGAAAAGGCAGAAGCTGCACGCGCTTATAAACGAGCTTACTATGCATGGTACTTCACTCACTTTACTATCATTTCTCTTAATGATGGTGGACCCACTGAAACAGTCATCGCGATAAGCTATGTGCGCAAAAAAAGGAGATATACAAGGGGGAGGAAGATACTAGGTGAGATACATACCAACCACTTGAATATCTGAACATCTGAGTCGCACAAGTTCTAGGCTGTGCAGTAAGCCTGCCACTGTAGGAAGGCCACACTCATATTATACGACTGAGGAGAAGATTGAAGCCGCACACCGGTCCCGGAAAGCCTATTATGCTCGGTATGTCATTGACATATGAATGTTTCAAACCATTTGAACAATTGATGCCTAGTAACCGTGAGGAGATCCATATCAAATGTCGGAACAAGTCAAAGTCAAAGGTGTACATTGCTCGCTCATCTATAATATAGTTACTTACCTGATCACCCAGCTTGGACAATACCAGTAACCTCAAACCGGCGCGCTTGGTGCGACATGCGAACAGACGCAAAAACAAATGGTATGTTGTCTTGTTCATTTCGGCAGCACCTCATAAGGCTAAATGATCTTGATCAAGGGCCAGGCTATACAATGACATCGACACCAGCCTGCAGGTCCTTATTGGGTCGTCAAGCACAGCATTGGTTGAGGGCCTTTGTGAGCTCTTCATAGCAAACCCGGATAAGCCAGATTCATTGGATGTCCTGCGGTTGGCTCACAATGGGTTGGAAGACCTCCTGCTGCGTGCACAAACTTTAGAAAACGATGTTCTTGAGGAATGTGGGACAGGGCAGGACCTCAGTCAGGCACATAGTTCTGTGTCTAATGTGCACAGGGTTCTGGCGGACTTGGGAGACGTGTTTACTCATGCCATGTTAGGTGTAGACTCCCTAGTTGAAGCACATGAGCAGCATAGACTACACCATCAACTTAAATACAACTAGGTACTATAGAACTTAATTCCCCCTTTTGAAATCAGACATCAGCGACAATCAGTGCGGAAAAGTCCGAATGGAAAATTGTATTGCTGTTACCCATTAACCTTGGCATCAAATGTGACGAAACCATATTTACAAAGGTATGTTATGACGAGGTTTTAATTAATTATCATACATTATGGAATGCTAAATGTAACGCGAATAGATGGCACCACGTACATGGCTGACACAGGAGCAACTGGCCTTCAATACAACTTTTGAGGACAAGTACCTCGAATGCCAAAAGAAGGGGAACTATACCACTTTTTGGCAGCCCTTCTTCGAACAATGGGAAGAGCGATGGCCCGCGAGGGCTTCCTTGTTTCCAGGTATTCCTATGGATCAAGCTCTCACTGCGGCTCAATTAGAGGAGGACGACAAATTCAGAGCTGCACTTCAGAAGGTCTGTTTCTTATTATTTTTCATGCGCATTATTGGGGACTTACATCACATCCAGCGCCTGATTGTCAAATTCCGCAATGATTATGGTAATTCAAAGCCTGGCCACAAGGCAGCTGCGGCGGGCAATTTGGCTGTCCACAAACTTCTCTCCAATATCATTAAAGGACCCACGACTGGTCGGAAACGTCCTCTCAAGGAAACTGAAGTCTATGCTAAAAAGTACTATGCTACTCGAGTCCAGGCCAGTGTTAAAGATGAGCTCGACGCCATCAAAGAACAACCCAACGCCCCCGATCCCAAGAAGACGAACATTCGAGTGGTTCAAAAGCACATTGACCGATGCTGGGAGAATGAGTCTGTTGAGGTGAAGGAAGAAATATCTCAACTTACAAGAGAGATGAGGGAAGAAGTGCGTGAGGCAGCGAAGGGGAGGAAATTATCCGAGGTGACCGATGACCTGTAAGTGTTATCTTCGCACCTGTTCCTTTGCTGAATGATGAACAGAATTATACCGAGACTTACAGAAATTCTCTCAACCTTCTTCGGAGAGCTTCATGAGGCCACAGGATGGACTTTCAGTGTCCTGCTTGGTGGCCCTGACCCATCAAATGAAGGTGCAATCGACGTAAGCAGCTTACATGTAGGGTCAACAAAGCTCGGTAACCGCTTTAACCACGCATTTTCAAAGTTCAACGAGAATGTTATGCTGCCCTACTATGAGTTTGTTTCTCATGTTTTCCATATGTATTCAACTATTCAATTTTTTTAAACACTGTGCTAATGATATATAGCTGAAGCTGGGACTTCAAATAAAACAGTTGCCCAGAGTCTTGAGGGTGAAGATCTCCGCATTTCTGCCGCTCCAGACGGTATTCCCACAAATGACGATTCTCCAACACCTACAACTGTAGCACCTGATACATTACATGGTTCACACCCTGCATCCTTACAGCCAGACTTGGTATCTAACTTCCCTTCCACGTGCCTAGCACAAGAAGAGGTAGTCCCTGTACCACCTGAAGAGGATTACTTGGATTTCTTTCGACACCTGCCCCCCACTCCCCAAGACAATGAGATTGACCAACAGATGAACATGCTCCTCTCCATGATGGAGGGCTATGTACCCTTCTGTCCACCACCGCTAGCACCACTCACTCTAGACCCTATGTCTGCCTCCACCACATTTCTCAATCTGGATTCAAATCTTGAGAGTTTTGACGAGGCTCTCAAATCCATGCAGTCCCAGAAAAACAACACGGGAATGGTCTGTTCTCCTCCCTGCATTCGTTATAAGTTCGACAGTCTCGTTCAATCATCTTTACCCACGGTGACTGCCTCTACCACACCCACTTTGACTCCTTCCCCACCTTTTACCACACCCACCATCACTCCTTGCACCACACCAGTCGTCACACCTTACACCACACCTACTATCACCCATTCACCTGCAACTCCTTTTACCACACCTGCCATCACTCCTTGCACCACACCGGACATCACACCTCGCATTACACCAGTCGTCATACCTCGCACCACACCCACCATCACCCATTCACCTGCAGTCAGGTCTTCCACCACACCTGCTACCACACCCACGCCAGTTGCACCCACAACTACCATACCCGCTACCACACCCTTGCTAGCTGCACCCACAACTATCATACCTGCTACCACACCCTCCTCGCTAGCTGCACCCACAACTCTTGTAACACTGGGAATGACGCCTCCAGAGCTTATGTTTGGGATGGGAGCCGATGCTCAAAACCCCAGCAATGTTGTAGATGAACATCCAGCAAAGCGTCAGAAATGGGCTCCATGCGCACGTGCAGGAGAGACAGATCCGCCACAGGCTGTCTCCTCCGGCTGAGGGAAACGACAACGATTTCAATCCACTCGAGCTGCTGCCACCAATGCAATTGGTTAAGCATTGGTTGAACTAATAATGTATATAGCATATATCTTGAAATTTAATTGTCTTGAGCGAAAAAGTACCAATGCTGACTTCAATGAGCGGTGTGATTGACTTAAGCTCTCCAAGCCACCCGCAAAGTGCCGAAGAACTGTACAGTATTACCTCTCTGTTGTGGGCTGATCACAGGCAGATTAATCGGCGAAAGCGAAGAGATTTCTAATAGAACACACATACAGCGAGCACTACACACTACGTGAACAATACAAAATATATGCTTTAACTGATGTGCCTATGAAAGCACGATTGGTGTGGCTCTTGCAACACAGGCTCAATCATCCTGCAAGGCGCACATATTGCACTCGTGAAGGATGCAACAGTTCCAGAGCTGTTGGATGTTGTGCCGGCCGCTACAGCCTGCAGCAGGGATGATGTCGGAAATTTCCCACCTGCATTACAATGACTGATGATTGAGATAAGGTTTGAATTGAACATTGTAATGCACGTGACCTGATTGCAACACAGCTCAACACTTTACAAATGCACCCATAGATATGATAAGATTGATATGAATTGCATCATCTTATTCTAATAATATATACAGTCATTGCCTGGACCGACATCGCTGCGCAATTTGTTCTGAACCACATCAAGTACATCTCTCAGTAATTACATTGTTCTTGCCGTAGACGATAATGTCCCTTTCTGATCTGATCAGTCTAAGCTCAAAAACTTGCAACACCAGCTCTGGAAAAGTCTGACAACCCACTGGCCCATCGATCGTGTCAAGAGTCCTCGCAGGAGGATCATAGGTCTTCGAACAGCTCCAACCTTTTCACACCATGCTGCATCTACGACAGGGCCGTCATAATCTACTCACCACACAAGCTTCTATTATCTGGCAAGGATTCCCGGTGACTCATTAATATCATCCAATTCAGAGTCCACGTGTCGCGCTTATCATGACACAGTCCGCACATTGCAATCGCATGTCAACTCCATTTTCTGCCGCTGATTCAGACGTCTCTTGTATTACCCCCACTGTACTCTATCTGGATAACACCTCGAAGTCTTGTCAGCACCACACAGCACCACTGCAGCATGTCTGCACATCTACAATACATACAAGATGAAAAACGGCAAGTTTGTGATACCTGTGGACTGCAGTTTCAAGCCGAAAGGCTTCAACAGTCATCAAAGAGCCTGCGAGCGACGTGCAAGAGAGTCTGAAGAAGATGCAGAGCAATGGGCTTCGATCCCACATGTACAAGGTCCGCAGGTTGATCTTATGCTTAGACTATTAGTACAATTCTACTAACATAACACCAATTTTACAGCAGCTGCTGTGCCAGCCCTGTCTGTACAAGCTGCGCATGGTGATGGTGAGTTTTATATCTTGACTCAGGCATTTTAGATCAACTGATAACCTGCAATATGACAAGCCTGGATTGAGCAGGACTACAACCATGATCATGATAACGACCATTATAACACCGATGTTGACATGTCATCAGGTAAGTTTCCATCAGTCAAGCATTATTTGGTGTCTTGACCATTATGTTTATTAGATCGCTCTGACTCAGAGCCTGACATCGATGTCCCTGGACCCGCTATCAACGATATCCGCACTGAATTTCACCCACATGCGAGGATCGCACCACGCATCGAAGTGTTCACTGATTTCACCCGACACCACAATTACGAGCCACCCCACCCGGAACACCAGCCCTGGCTTCCATTTTCATGTCAACTTGACTTTGAGGTTGCCAAATTGGCACACAAGGCCACACTCACCCATGAGCAAACAACATGCCTTATCCGGTTGGTTCAACGCAGTAAGAGCGAAGTTTTCACACTTAAAAATTATGCCGATGTCCGGAATACTTGGGAAGCGGCGTCTCATCAATTGACACTGGTAAGTCATGTCTTTATTTGCTCTCGTACATTATCTGATTCATCTAGTTTGAAAAGGATACTGTTGTGGTTCTGCTCGACGGTACAGACAAGGAATACACAGTTTACTTTCGCCCCCTTTGGGATTGGGTGATTGATATTCTGCGACATCCCATCATCGGCCCGCATTGCGTTTTTGATGCCCAACAGTTATCAAAATTTGATGGAGACACGTTCATCAGGTTCATCAATGAACCATGGACGGCGGATGCGTTCTGGGACTGCCAGGTAACTATTTCCATGTTGTACTGTGATATGGCTATTGATGTTACTATAGTCTCAGATACCTCCCGATGCGAAACCATTAGCATTTATTTTGTATGCTGACAAGTCAAAACTATCATCATTCAGTCGCAAGAAAGGATATCCCGTAATCGCTCGCCTAGCAAACCTTCCCATCGCCATCAGAAACAGAAGTGGGATGGGTGGGGGCCGGGTGGTTGGGTGGCTCCCATTGGTACGTTTCGTGATCATTTTTCATATCTAGAGCTAACTGTCACGTCATAGGTCAAAGAGGACCCGAAATACAAAGGTACACCACAATTTGCCAACTTCAAAGTAGCTGTATGGCATGCGTCCATCGAGAAGGTTCTCGCATCAATTGTACCGCCTTCGATAAGTGGCCAATGGGCAAATTGTTGGGACAATATTGCAAGGCTCTTCTATACCCTGGTGTTGATACTGTCCACAGACTACGAGGAGCAGTAGGTTTACATTTTAACTTTATTGATATGTTGTTTAACTTCTGACACTCCAGGAGTGTAATGTCACTCACTCGGGGTGTTATGAGCAACTTTCCATGCCTGATCTGTTTGATTCCCAGAGACGAATTAGCTTCCATCATGCCTCATAACTATGCTCTTTGGACAAGCCAGGCAACAAACACCCTTTTGATCGAGGCAAGGGCAGAGCACTGTAAGGGACGACAGGAGGCAATACTTAAGAGTCAGTCAATTCGTGATGTTGATGTATGATAGCATATTGTTCCACATTTCATAACCGTTTAAATTGACTACTTTTAGAACGCATTTCATGACATGAATCTGAAGACTACTCACATGCACCGTGCGCTATGCTATGACCGACTTCATGCTGTCCTTCGGGGTCTCTTCAGGGATCACATGTGGCCAGAACTACAACTACTAATTGGCCTTTTGGGACGCAACCCCACCATGAAAATTGACCAGAAGTAAGTCATGTTGAGTTAAATTCACAGCATTTTGTCTCACTTCTTGCTCTACATGTAATAGTTTTGATGCACTGCCTCATTGGCGGAATTTGAACCATTTCGATGCTGTTATGTCTATATAATTCACCGACGGAAGTAAATACGAAGATATTTTCAAGGTAAAACTAATCTATCTAAGTGATGACGATGCCGTTTACTAACAATAGAGCTACGTACTATCAAATCAGCTGATTACATTCATGGCTCATGATGTTCTTCCAAATGCTGACGAAAGTAAAGTCGCTTACCTTCTCCTTCGATGTATCCGTGCATACCTCGACATGAACCTGTATGCAGCACTTGAGGTACAGACCACAACAACGATTGCGGGAGGACGAGAAGCCCTTGAAAAATTCTCTGAGCTAATGAATGTAAGTGATATTGGACTGTCTGAATCACCTTTTAACTATTAATCTGTTAGAAATATATCGAGAAGTCTCAAGCTATACGGCCAGACAAGAACTGGTCATTTCCGAAGAACCATCTAGCTGCCCACCTATTTGATGACATCGAGGCTAAGGGAGTGACTTGCAACTACAACACAAAGCCGAACGAGAAGTTTCACGGCCCCCTGAAGGAGTCATATCAATGACAGACTAATTTTAAGAATGTCGCACCACAGGTTTGTCATTCTATTTTCAATATCATTGGTTCTAGTTTTAATCTAGTAAGTTACATACAGATTTTACGTGCAGACCATTGGTCTCTTGTTTCTGAGTTCATCAGTGGTCGAGTGGATGAACTGGATGCATACAACACTCAGATGGCCAAAGATGAGGACAATGAGAATGACCCCGATACTAATGTCCCATCCAACTTCCATATCAGATTCAGATCGAAGCAACCAAAAAAGTCTCTGGAGGCAATTGAAACACAATATATCAACAATCCCTCCTTCAGACGATTCTGCACAAAACTCAATGCATTTTTAAATTCTTTGCCCGCTATTACACAGCAGGCCCGGGTGAACATGTTACCGTTGGATGAAGTAAGTCCAATTTGAAAGTTAGTACTCACCCATAACTGATCCCGAGAAGATAACAGAGTTTCGATTCCTCAAGGTTAACTATGAGTCGCTAGTTGACTTCCATCAGACCACCGACTATCTCCGTTGCAGCCCGAGTTTCCATAATCTTCCCTGATACGACTGTGTCATTGTTAACACCACAGCTGGTGTCTTTTTTGCATGGCTCCTCTTGCTCTTTACGTGTGTCATTCATGACACATCCTATCCCATCGCCCTTGTACATCCATATGATGCACCAACTGGGAAGCGTCTCCAGAAGGACAAACACCTGAAGTTTTGGTGTGTTAGATCACAACCAAGAGAAACTGCTAGTGAGTTCATACTAGCAGAATCGATCATCCGAGGAGTTGCTCTCGCTCCCGATCCTACTACAGCTGGTGACTTTCTCGTTATGGATACAGTAGACAGTGACATATTTCTGCGCATGAAGCAAATGCACCTTGCAGCCGGGCATTAATCATTGTATTATTATTACTAATAGTCTGATCTTGCAATATCTCACTTTGATTTAAAACTTCTGCGGTTCTGATTCTTGAGCAAGGTCTGATCACTGATGTATCATTCTGTCTTTTCACACTCTCGCCCATCACAATAAGCGACTGTCATGGCAGTATACTCTCGCTGGAGGTCCTCTGATCGGATCGGATGACTGTGTGTTCGTCCTGCACTCATTCACATCTGTTTGGTGCAATCTAGGTGCGTCTTTTCATTTATATATGTATGTACATCACTGACAAGCATCTTCACTCATTTCTGTGTGCTTGTGCGTGCACGTCTATGCCTATTTCAACATGTCTGCATCTGGTGTCTTGCACGATAGGTACCGCTTTTTCACGTTTATAACTAAACTATAACTGATCGTTTGTTTATGCTTCCCGCTTGTCTGCTAATTTTTGTGCTTGCCTGCACTGGTCTGCACCCCGCCTCTGCACCCCGCCTCTGCACTTGTCTCTGTGCTTTTACTCGCATTTAGTTGTTTCTGCATGCCGCCACTCGTCTGTGCTCGCTCGCACACATCTGCACCTGCTGCTTCTCGCTGCCCCCTTCCTCCAAGGCTCGTGGTTTTGTTGCTACCTTGTCTGTTAGCAACTCACCCCTTGACTCTGCACCTCGACACCTGCCCTATAACATACTCCCTCTAGTGAGAGAATGAGATCGAGGGGACGAACAATCAATATTGTACAAATCTCGGCATGAAGTATGTCAAGTATTGATCTCAGTCTAGATTTGCACCATTGACACATTTGCTAGGATCAACACCGAACTTGGAGGCGTCAATTCGCTACCAAGGTTGGGTGCTTTGGAGAAGCTCACGAGCGCTCCATTCATTGTTATAGGTATGTATCATCTGTTTGGCCTTTGAGACTCATTGAAGGCTGGTTTATCCTGCAGGGCCAGGTGCCGATGTGGGATATCCTGCACCTGGCACGGTCGACCAGTCCTCTGCGGCTTCTCTCATCTATTTGTTTGATCGGTATTATGCTGCACACTGGCAGTCCAGGTATGAGGCAATGATATCAGTCCAGCACCACATCAAGAGAAAAATCGACAAGTTGCACTCGCTGGTTTACGTGAGTTCATTCCATCTACCACACGCACATGCGGTTTTAGCTATCATGAGCGAGCAATCAACAAATTTGACGAGTGTAACAGGGTCACACCTATGGGAATGCAGAATCATGGGAAAGAGGAAATCAAGGACATCACAGGTAAGTTAGTCCGGCAATGCTTGTTTCTTTTCTAACTGTGTCTACTAGGGGCGATTGATGACATCTGGTGCAACAAAAGTTCAAAATCAGAGTTAACATTCATAGTTGTAGGTAAACAGTGAGTCTGCAATCCATTTTATACCTTTGCTTTTGTTGCTCACCAGCTGCGTGTGCTCAGGGCACCATGTCCGATTCTTCCTGAAGAACAGGTACGTCGCTCAGCCACTACTGACCTCTGTATCCACTTGATTATTGAATGGATGTCTAGGAACAAAGCAGACAAGTCTAGGAACTGCCCTGCAGGATTCATCGCTGACCAGGGAGTGGACAATCCCACAGTTTGGATGGCCTCGCACCCTGTTCCAGGTGACAAGGGTGGCATTAACTGACTAACATCAACTCCCTCAAGGCCGATCTCTCGCAGATCAACTTCCCAGACTATTTTGCCACATTCACGCCTCATGTCTTCTCAAGCCATGTTATTATCACGTACAAACCTTACCCAAATTCCCTGTCAGAGACTCATCAAAGAAGACGCCAGCAGATGTCATTGCGGCATATCTTGTTGTGCGAGCGTCAGTACCGGAAGATACTTTGTGAACAAGACATTCTGTGGCGAATCAAGGGTGTAAGAATGGATTTTAATCTTCAGAATGCTACTGATGTTTCATCCTGAAAGCTCTTGGACAATAACACCAGCTACTTGCTGCATGCACGCTACTCTACCAGTCATACCGCCCTATCCGATGTGCCAAGACCAACACACCTTGTGGATGAAGGGTAATATTGCAGCACTCATCTAGCACGTATCAAGGTTTGCACGTGCATTATTTGGCGTGCATTAATACTCATTCAAAAGAACTTTGATTAGATGACGTGCTCTCGTTACGTCTCAGTGGGCTTTGAATCATCAAGGTTCCGAATATATTGACAATTACACAATGGAGGAGTAAGTGTTTTGACATCCAGGTGTTTATTATGCACTCCTTACCACCACCTGCAGTTTCTATCATTACACAATGATAGTCATGGATTCATAATGTGTCCTCCACACCCTGATACCAAGCACCGCATGCACTGACCGTCATCTGAACCGTTGCATATAAATTGTAACTACTTTGGCATTGGGCACCACTGATCTTATTCCTTAGAATGTCTCAAGTAACTCAATACCGCTATGCCGACAAATCTTCATCAGCTGATGAAGCTTTGTCGTCCGATGAGGGGGTCAGGTCCACGCATGGCGACGTTCAAGGGTCGATCTCTGATCCCGTTCAACGTCAAGCCGCAACTCAACCAAGATCACGCCATTCTAAACATGAAGTGGAGGCAAGTTTGAACTAAATAATCTTCGTTCATAGCACTAATGGAAGCATTGTTGATTGCAGGAGGTCAAGAATGCGCAGCTTGAAAACCAGGCGCTGAAAGAACGACTCCGCACCATGGAGGAGCAAAACAAAGTAGTATCAGCCAATAAGGGTCGTCGCAAGCAGGACACTGCCGTTTCGGAAGATATTGTAGCATTCGAAGGGGAACTCAAGGTTTGTGCGAAACGCTATGGTCTTATGGTCAACATGTTCCCACCACCAGCAGCCCTGCTCAAAACAACACTTCCCAACCCTCTACCACCATTCAATACAGCTGCGCAGTATGCTACTACGGGTTCGCAGGAGCTCGCATGTCTAGCGGAATTGTACGACACACTTCCTCAGCACCTGCACCACCTGGTGCCAATGAATCGGTTTTCGAACGTGGTAATACATTTATTTTCATAATTAAAATGCTATGACGTACTTAATGCCTATCTACAGTTTTCTAAGGCAGTATGTGCCAGTCGCGCCTCTGAGCTTAACAAGCTCAGGAGTGCTGCGGGTCAGATTTTCGAACTACCCCAGCATTACTTCACAATCTTATATGCTCGTGATGCAGAACCCGATATTTGCCGACTACTTGGCATCACGGGAAAGGCTGGTGAGTTGTATCCCCTTTTGCCACCACTACTGTTTCCTGGGAACATTGCTGACCGCACTCGTAAAACGCTGTTTGGTAATTGGCAACCTATTGCTAAGGTAAGTCACTATTCACTTTAAATTTAACATCTAATCTACATTGTATTGATTATGACAGACACTGAGCTGCTGCCTTAAGGGCAGGACATCACTATCTAACGAGAGCAGACGACAGGGCGGTGCTCCGCCCAATGCAGTCAAGTGGGGTGTTACAGCGGTGACACCTGGGGCTGTGGCTTGGGCGATTGTCGCAGTAAGTCCCGAGGTTTTAATTCATCAAGCTCTGGACTGATTTAATTTCAAATGCGTGCTTCTATTAATAACAGAACATCTTTTTATTATCCCCTGACCAGGATTTTCCCCAAGAAGGCAAAGGGAAGACCTCGCGAATCAACTACAGCACGCTCTACACATTCTTGAAAGAACTTCTGCTCTGCGACTGGGAGAAGCCTTGCCTAAAGGGGATCATCAAACACATCAATACCTTCGTTTTCAAGTGAACTTCTTGCCGCCCCACTCACAATACCAAGGATTTGGCTGACGATCTTCAAGAAGAGATGTGTCTCGCTCAACTTGGATTAGCGGCAGAAGTAGAAGAGAATCTATCTGATGACGAAGATGTCCATGATGCTAATATTGACATTCTCACTAAGAATACAGGTGCCATAACCATACACGAATCGGACGAGGTTCCTGGACCTCCTGGACCTACTCTTTCATTGACTAATGATACCGTGACATCAACACACACTGTAGCAAGTCACTGTTCTTCAATCAGCAAGCTTCAAGTCTGTGATGGACCAGTTGATTCTGAGGAAATAGAGGTAGTAATCAAAGAGAGTAACAGCCAGGCCATTGAGACGACGAAATCCAAGTCCAGTAGGGCCAAAAAGTCGAGGGTGCCAGTATCGGAAGGGGATGACGGCACCTCCCGACGGCACGGCCGTTCAAAGAATGTCAAATAGGTATCATACTACTATCGTTGAGCCATGCCAGCTCTCTTCTGATTCAATCCTTCCATTTTCTCATAATTGTTACAGTTGTTATTTACAGTTACTACATCAACAATCTACGTATTAGCTCAGTGTCTGCTTGACAATGTTCACAACCCCTATTACAGAGGACTTTGCAATTTGCGTGATGTGATTATGTCAGCATCACAACAAATATTAGTACGTGTCTTTGTTTCTCTTTTGAACTTTGACATTTAAATTTAACCGTTGAAATCATCTCCCCCGGCGCCAAGGTCCCAGTCTAAGAGCTGGTTTCGCATTGACAGGACAAGGGGCACCCTGGGTCCACTTGCAAAAAGGAATCGGTTGAACGAATTGTTCAAGGTGAGTTCACCCCTAGTAGCTCATTGTCGGGGGTATCTATCTGCATCATTTAATAACACTTAATTTAAAGGTCGTTGTGCACCGCAGAGCCGGCACTACCCGATGCCGACAAGGCGTCTCTGCACAAGCCTAAGCAGAGTAGTGGCCATTGACTAATGCTGCTGCATCCAGTTCCCTCACCGCTTCCTCACTGCTCATTTCACAACCCTCCGGTTCCCTCGCTACTTATTCCAAGGCATCTCTGCACAAGCCTAAGCAGAGTAGTGGCTGTTTATTACTGATGCTGCATCCAGTTCCCTTGCCGCTCTCTCACCTAGACTGTTCATTTCACGTCCCTCCATCGGTTCCCTCACTACTTATTCCATGTACCTTGTTCCCTTCATCTCATTCTTGTGTTGATTTTTGCTGTTGCTTGATGAATTGCCTTGTTTTGTTGGCTACCCGACATACACACCCTTACACAGAATGATTGTAATTTGACCGCTGTATTGTAAACTACCTACCGTGACCATAAAATCTAGTCTTGATTTGTGAAACAATCACAATGTAGTACTGCATCAATTGTAATCTACGACACAAATAAATTACAATGATTCTAACACGCAATGAAAATCTATTTTAATGACAGAACATGCTATGGGAATGACTGATGCAAATCCATTCAAATGTGCAAGACAGATCACAATTATGTTGAAAAATAATTGTAACTGTGACAAAAATCATCGAAAACATGCTAGAATTGGAAATGCAATGAGCATTACAGGTGCAAATATAATTGTTACATCATCATTACAATATATATTCCAAACCGTGGCTTCTATTGCAATGGCTTGTGAATCACACGTTATATTAGGACTATTATAAAGCATCCTAATCGGTCAAAATAGATTTTTGAGATTTCCGACAGAAGCCAATGCTGGATTGGGTGAAGTAGTTGTGGTTGGTGCAATATCTGGGGGAGGAGTTAGTGCGTCAATAAAAACCCTGCCTCTAAAACATGGCATCAATGTAAGGCAGCACCAAATGGTAGGAAATTGGATGGTAGATCTGCAAGGGTGTTATTAAAATGATATTCAACCAAAGGAGGGAATAAGGGGTCGCCCCGTGCATACAGGCATTTACTGGGGGCCGGCACAGAGGCATTCTTCTCATTGAAGCATGACGGTGTGTCGGGAAAACAGTGCGTGTTGATCGATCTCTATCACTATTCACAGGTGGCAAATATTAGAGTCTCCTTGTCCTGCAAAATATCACCCCAATTAGAGTTCATCTTCGAGTGAGAAAACCAAGACTACGTCATCTGACGAAACGAGTAGCTCGAAATCTGACGCGAAGACGAGACGCAAACGATCTGCGAAAAAACGCAGGAGTAAGTCTAAGAAAGCTTTGAAAAAGAAAAAGCGCTGAGGTCCAAGCCATGCATTGTCATCGACGGTGAGATACAGGTAAAAATTGGAAGACCCGGGACATTCAGCTAAGTTCCGTTCAGTTCTCGTACACCTAACCTAGCTCTCAAGCCACCCGCAAACTGCCGAAGAACTGTACATACCTCTGCGTGGGTAAATGTGCTAAATAAAACCCTGCATATAAATATATTGGCTAAATAAAGTCGGCTGACACAGAAAGAACGGAGGAACAGCCGAAAGAACGGAGGAACAATCAAAAAGAACCCAGAGAACCAGGAACAGGCTGGATGAAAGCATCATTTTCGGATTCACCAGTGATACATCAGCCTACTACTGCCTGTAAGTACAGCAATTAATGTATTACATTTCTGCTACCACTGTAAGCTAGGTAATGTATTATTATCACAGTATAGCCTGTCGTACACTGTATAAATAGGTACAATGGAGAAATCCGAAGGTATAAGTGAAACAATCCTCCTATTGCTATCTATAAGCATCGTCTCGAACCTCTCGCTCGTATCCCTCGTTTACATGATCATGTACGGAATCAAAGATGCCTCGTGTCCCCCGTCAGCGGTCCGGAACGCCCACAAATCCATTTCACGACTGAATACCGTCGCCCTCGAGGATGTTGGTCATTGGGTGATGTTGGAAGCGCAGGATCGCGTTACATCAGAAGTCTTGCGATACCTTTCGTCTCTAGGTTTATACCAGAAATCTCAACTGTAGAACAGTCTGTAAACCACTGGTTCAATTGAGAGTCGGAGTCAGCGATGAAGATCAGTAATTACAAGTGTATGAACATGTCAAGAATGGAGAAGTAACAACGTTAGACCAAAGGAAGAAACATAGGAAGTACAGCATGATCACCGACTGCGAGTCGGCGGCGAAGATAAGCGGAATGATCATATCGAGAATAGAGCAGTAACGACGTCAGCCCAAAAGAAGGAACATATGAAGAAAGGTAGCACCACCGACTACATCGACTTTTTATCCTTCGCACTACTCGCCGCTTCATCACGGCTTGCTCGCCTGGTCTGGGCCTCCCCGATCAAATCGTTCAACAACTCAATCTCGTCGATGACCTTCTTCGGCCGCTTTTCCTTGACGACGCTGAGCATCGTTTCATTCGAAACGATATAAACCCTTTGGTTGGGCATATTCGCATTCTCCAGGTTGTCTTTGACGCTCTGGCGGGTCTGCTGAATGAACTGCTGCCGCGCAGTCTGATAGAGCTTCTTCTTTTGATCCTCGTCTTCATCATCATCGCTGTCGTACCCCATATCCTTCATGACGTTACGAATGTGCTGGTCCGCCTTAGAGCGGACGATGTACGTGGGGATCTTGAAACGCCTGCAGTTGGTGAGGATGGCGATGTCCGTCATCGTGAAGCGATTGTCGAACAAGACGATGATGCAGTCAAAGACGTAGAGTCCTTGTGCGTTGAAGTACTGCCAGTCTGGGATCTTGAGCGTGCCCGCGCCAGGAATGTCGTACCAGACATAGGGGTATTCCGCATTGGAGTTACCGTATCTGGCCAGGTTCAGCGTTGTCTCGGTGACGCCAGTGGCGGCAGATCCGATATCCTTGTTACGCAAGCCACGCAAGGCGTTGATGAGAGATGATTTTCCTCCACCTGCCACGCCGGCTACTGCAAAGTGGAAGAGATCCTCGCGGTATTGAACCCTCTGCTTGGCAGCGAGAACCTCTTGATGTGTGGGCGTCACGACAGGTTGAATACCATCTTTCAACTTGCGTTCAGCCTCCTCCTTAGCAGCATTGGCCACCTTTACTTCTTCCTCCGCTGCTTTCTTCGACACGTTGGCCGCCTCCTGGGCGGCAGCCGCCTTTCTCTTCTCCTCGTTAGCGGCGTCCTCAAATTTCTTGGCCTGCTCCTGGGCAGCCTGGGCGTCTTTTTTGGCTTGTTCTTGGATAGCGATGGTTCGCTTCCGCTCCTCCTCTGCTTCCGCTGCCCTCTTCTTCGCTTCTTCATTGGCGGACTGGGCAGCAGCTTCCGCCAGAGAGCGGGCTTCTGTGGCGGCCCGTTCGGCCTGCATTATCGCCATCATTTCCTTATGAGTCTGCTCCTGCGCAGCTGCCGCGGCTTGCATGGCGGCCTGCTGAGCCTCGACAGCCTTTTGCTGCGATTCTTGATTCTCCTGGATGAGCTTGGTGATCTCAGCCCTGGCAGCCTCTGCATCCTTGCGAGCTTGCTCAGCAGCCGCCTCTGCGTGCCGGCGCGCTTCTATGTCGACGAGGGATGGATTGGGCGCTTCTGGCTTCAGAATCCGACTGAACCATTTTCCCATCTCTGAATGTGATCAAAAATAGTAATGCGTGGACCTGTTGATCATTACATCGCACGATGGCTTCGATCTCTCGAGCTGAGGGAACTTACTGGTATACGTAGGCTTTGGGGAGAGAATTCAGGTAACAGCGTTGGTTGGAATAAGTGCTGTGGATTTTCAGGATAAGAACGAAGCACTGATCTTAAACGATTGAATAGAATGCTGCCTGGAGGCGTTTTTGTGTGGTGTGGTGTGCAGATCAATGGAGCCACTGAATGCGGGCAGGCGCTGATCATAGGTTAGCCAGGGCTATGGGCTATATGGCACCCATCGGTCTGTGGAATGTGACTTAGAGGCAACGAAGCAACGATGATCAAATTGAGTTTTTCATAAATAGAGAACATTCTGTGCGCCCAAAATGCGCGTGTTCTTCAATTTCACCGCCCAAGAAGATCTCCGTGGACTTTCACAGAATCAGTATGGCAACACTGGACTGCACATCGCACGAAAGTTGGGAATGAGTTACCAGATCAAGTTCGATTGGTGACGGTCATGCACATGATGCAGATCGATGCGCTCAATCGAGTTCATCGATAAGAGAAGGTTTTGAAGGAGGTCAAATTTAATCATTAATTGGGCTAGAAGGACTCACATCTCTCGCCACCACCGCCTCCCTGACTCGAGGTTGTGCAATGAGGAAGAACGTACTGCATCCAAGGACTACACATGCACCGATATGTGGAATCTGTGGAAGGATCGGCACTGGCCGAGCTCTGTCGATGAATCAAAGGATGCACCGATGCAGTCTAAGTTAGGATCCACATAGCGCTCAGAGATGATAAGGTTCAAGAATACAGCTGTACCGCTTTCAAGATACTGATCAATGATCACAGTGGTTTGTCAAACTGGCACCAGCACTTGCCACGGCACTTCTTACGTTCACACTTCGGCTCCTAATGCGCGAACTTGCTCGCCGTTCAAAGTACGCCTCCGCCTTTGTTGTTGGATACAGGACCGCATCACATCGGGCTCGTTTTCGGTTCATTGCGCCTCTGGAGGTAAATCGAATGTAGAACACTTTGTAGATAGGAGATATGTATACACTGAGTCGAGAACTCGAAGTTGAAGATGGGCCACAAGGGGAATGGAAAAGTGTAGTAATAACGTCAGCACGAAAGAAAAAATATAGCAAGTCTATATCGATTTTTTGTCCTTCGTAATAGTTGATCACCACTTCAGCACCGCGGCAAGGTCCTTCATAATAGTCGTCACTTCAATATCACTGCCAGGTTCCTTCCCACCACTGGTTCGAGTGTGGAGGGGCGGATTGCGAGTACTGTATAATTTCGACCTTAGGTTCGTGGGAGTTTCTGCACTGCATTACCTAATGGCTTTGTGACAGGTTCGTCTCTCGAGGACAGCTGTGACAAACTTACAATAAGTTCATAAGGTTCATATATACATGTTCAGTAGGATAATATATGTACTTTCTACACACAGTATAGCCCAAAAATGACAATAAGGAGTAGAAAAAGTGGTTAGGTGAATGTTTTCATATAAAAACATATCTCAAAACAAACATATCATATGTTATGTCACAAAATTAGGTTCGTCAACCCAAAAACAGCTGTGACTGTCACAAAAAATAGGTTCGGTTCATCAAGCTAGCTACAGTGTGATGAACCTAAGGTCAAAATTATACAGTAAGGTAGATACAACTCACGTGCTACAACAAAAATTCAAACCCAGCCCAACTTTAATTCCCCTCACACTCTCACCAGCGGCTGGAAGATAACATTTGTCAACATCGTCAGCCACCCACTGCGTGTTGTCAAAATTTTCCGATGGTAAATACCTGGCTGGAAGGTGACCCCAGGGTCAAGTTTTAGCCATTTCTGGACCTATGGTATAAACCGGCTTCGAGATGGTTGATTTATCACATCGGAGCCACATCGAAGACATAGTTTTGCCATCAAGTTCTAGCCAGCTCAAAGCCAGCTGCTACCATGGGTCCAGAACGATGCTGGATATACATGATAAACCACAAGTATATATCCATTAATAATGAATATTGCAAAATTCGTTATATATATATTCCAGCGAATACAGCCGCGCGCTATCAGCTACAGACATTATAATACATGCTGCTACATAGCCCATATTGTATATATACTGAACCCCAGAAGTGCTCGACAATAAGCGAAGTGGTGATAGCAGGTGATGGACACTGGCATGGGCTTGGAAGGTGATGGTGGACTTAGATGGGGTTTCAGGCAGCGGTGCATAAATGCTCAATGTGCTGCGAAAAGATAAGTCGAGAGCTCTGAATACCACATGATCAAGCACGTACCTTCTTGTGAATGTCTCGTGAACCCTCAGTAGTCGCCTGTCTGAGTTGAGGGAGTGCCAGGTTTTAGTATGTGAAAAGTGAATATATGCACATAGACACATACATGGGTTGCTTACACGGGCCGTTGGCAGTTGCTACTAGTTCATACCTTACAGTCAGTAATGGTTTGCGAGGTCCGGTTGCAATGAACTTACCCTATGTAGTTCGAGCCTGAGGCTAAGACATGACCTTGGTAAAAGAGATCGTCAATGTCAGTAATCAACGAGTTTTAGCCAAGCACTGTTGACATACCAATTGTGAGCCTGTCATTGTCTTTATGCTGGCCAGCTGCTTGATTCAGAGTGAGTAGTGTGTGGTTGCTGCTCACCGCTGTTGAGATTGTCGTTGAAGGGTTCAGGGCAAGATGAATTAAAACTCCATGCACCTTGGTCTGAATACTTACCTTGTGGCACAGCCCAATTGCAACCACATACATCTGAGCAAAGGTACATAATCCGACTGAAACTAACGCCGGCTGATCATACATTAAATACTATAGCCATACACAAGTACTCGTTGTGCTGGACATAGGCCACCCCCGGCCACCAGCCTACGTGTGCGCTGCCAGTCAAACATACTAGCGTGTGACCAGTAGTAAGTCATATTCTTAATCAAAGTATCTGTTAGCTGATGCAACATACTATCTTCTAAGTGCGAGTATTTAACCCAGTGCCTTACGAGGAGTTGCAGTTTGTTTTCGGTGCAACAGGTACTGAATCTGCATATACCACGTCTGCAGAGGCATCATCTTCTGCTGCCGAAGGTGGCCGTAGTACACCACCAATGGAATACACCCCCGAACTTGAGACTTCGGAGCTTCCATACTTTGCTGTCGATCCTATGCTCCTTGACAATGGGCATGATCCTATGTCGAAGAAGCACAAGCTTGATTCACTTAGCTCAGAGCCGGAGGACCACAATATGAACATGCCCACATTGACAGGTACTCATGGATATGCGGGGCACCCTCCGACTCGACGTTTCCAGTCCCCATTTCTTCCAGCATCCAAGAAGATTTGTCCATCAAATCAAAAGACTTCAAAGTACGTGCAACCTTAGTTATAGTGTCAATTTTTACTAAATCTGATCGGATTTTTGAGGATTCCAATTCCCTCAAAGTTGAGGGTCCCTGCTGAAATTGCTCTGCCGCCATCAGTTTGTCCCTCTGTACTGTCGTCAATCTGTTCTACTGCACCACCATCAATTCGTTCTTCTGCACCATTGTCAATCCGTCCAACTGCACCATTGTCAATTCGTCCAACTGCACCATTGTCAATTCGTCCAACTGTACCTCCACAATCCAATCTTCCAGAATGTCCCTTGACTGCAGTACCACAATCGATACATCCTCTTCAACCTAATCCACAGCCCTCTCGCAGTGCCATCGCATCTAAGAAACAGGTCGTTCTTGAGCCCCAGGCTTCTTTGACTCCCACTCGCTCGTTTCTTGTCCATAAGCCCAATGTTAACCGGCCACGTCCAAAACCAAAACCAGTCGGCAACGCCATGCAGCCACTTGTGTCCTCAAAGAACACAATCGCGTTATCAAGTCACTCCAAGTTGCCACAAGCGAGAGACATCCCTCCCATCCCAGAAGATGATAGCGACGATGTGCAACTTGACTCTGGACTCCTAACGCGCAAGTCCATTGGAGGAAGCAGCAAAGATAAAGTATCAGCTCACTCTCGGTCCCAGTTGGAATCCGGCCGACAGCATAGCATGCTTCAGACCATGCAAGGCGAAATACTCCAGCTCCGCAAAGAACAGTCTCGAATTTCCCAAGATCATAGCGCGGTTACAAATCGAATCGATATGCAAGTTGAGGCTATCATCCGCTGTCTTGAGGCTCTCGAGGTTCAAGACCCGCAATCTGCACTGTCTCGCACTGACAATTCAATGAATGTTCGTATTTTGTTGCTGTTTGTTTGATTGAAGTCTAAATTATCATCTGTAGAGTGCTATCTGACAGGTATTGCAGAAAATGATGGGTATCAAGACCAATGAAGCCCTGCCAGCACCAGTTGATAACACGAATGAATTTTGGGCCGACATTGATGAACTCACCATTGACAACAAGATCTTGTCAACGAAAGTTTTACGACCGAAGTGGGAATTGTCATGGACAGTGAATGCGAAGTGGCACAGAGCTTATGTTGAACGCTTTCGTCGTGATGCATGCACATACGAGCCTACACTGTCTCAAGATACCGTTGACAAACTTCCTAGCAAGACTCTCAAGTCCCTGATGGGCAAGGTGTTCAAGAACATGAAGCAGAAGTATAAGGAGGCGGAAAAGCCAATCAGTGTTCAGTCGCTCAATGTCCAAAGTGCCAGACGTGAGAAACGCCAGTTAGATGTGCGTATTTTTGACAAATGTAATATTTAATATTAACCATCATACAGAAAGCAGCATTAGCATCTGCTGTCCGTCCCGACTTCCCACCACTAGCAGGCGAGGAATACAACTTTATTTTTGCAGCGAAGTGGCAATCAACCGATTACAGTGGCTCAGATGCCTCCAATGACATCAATTCGAGTGATGACGAAGCTGTCTCGCTCCTCAATCCACGCCAAAAAGCATACAAGAAGAAGAAGACGACGATCTTAATGACATGCCCACCTGTATGGCGATCGAAGGATGTGAGTTTGCCCCTTATGTGATCTTGCACCATGTCTTATTTATGTTTAAACAGTTCCGTAGGGCCATCAAAGAGATAAGAGGTGTGGTAGACGAAGATGTGGAAAAAACAGATTCCTCGAGTGCAAGGCCCACCCAGGATGGCGAAATCATTGCCGGTTCATGATTCGATGAAGACCCCACGATGGGCCGTCTCCACAAGGTGGCTTCACTCTCTTTCTCTAGAGGAGCGTAACGAGCAAGAGGCTCTAATGACTGAGGACCATGTCATTGGTGATAGCGAGAGTTCCACAGATCCCAACATCGACGACTCAGAGCAAGAAGAAATTAGTTATGATTCAGAGTAAATGGATCCCATATGTACAATAGCATAAGGCATGACATGTATACTGTAGCAGCACTTTAATGGTACAAGAGGGACTCTAAGGGTTGCTGTTATCCGGTTCTTGGGAGGTCTGAAATTCTCTCTTTAACATAATTGTATGATCAGAACATACAAAATACTAACCGTGTCTAACGAGAAAGTCACCCACAAGCGACCCATTCTTGGTGCGTGAACTGGTGCGAATGCAAATTGACCACTAAGATCATCAAGACAACATGCCTCAAGGCTCCCGAGGACATTATACTTCCAGGTTGCAATCCTGAGGTCAGTTGCCCTGATATCATGGTTGAGTCATTGTAGGTAATGAAGGATAGGCTTACCATAGAGACCACGGGTGGTTGGCATCCTGTGGGTGATGTTTAAAGCATCGGATGAGAGCAACATTGACAGATATCGGAGGGTCTTGTCGAGGGATGTTGACTGACAATATATACTCAATATGTGCAGCATGTCGTCCATTGGTATAGCCATAGCAAAATCCCTTTCCACGATGATGATGGAATGAGCCATACTTTGCAGCACCAATGGTCACATTCGCATATGACCGGACACCTTGTGAGTCAAATGGAATACCATTGGATGCTTCACCTGCATCTGACGTTAAGTTGAATTTGGGAAAATGAAGATGCAGGAATTGCAAAACAATGGCATAGACACCCAGTGGCCGCAAGCTGATTAACTTGAATTGTTTCGGAAATACAATCCTCGCTGTTGTCAGGTTGATTATTGCTAGTAATGGACAAGGTGATAAAAATGTACCCGAATCGTGTGGGTTGGACAGGAGCACAATATAATTCATAAGGGTCCCTCTTTGCTGATCAGCTTCGGCACCACCTTTGACAGCCTTGAGTAGCGCACAAATGGCTAGCTGGTCCTGCTCGGTTTGATCAGGTCTTTCCTGCAGATGTGTCAACTGGGTTTGAGTCAGCAAACAGTGAGAACAATAGCAGACAAATACTGTAACCCACGAGTTCTTGAATCAGCATGGTCTTCCACCATGCTCGCATGTAGGTGCCTTCCACTTCGCCACTGCCATGGCCATTGTGGTTGGCCTTTCCTAACATACCAATTGCATGCTTGTAGGGAAATATCCACCAGGCGTATGCAGGGCCATAAGTATGAATGTACTCAACTACATGACCGGCGAAGTGGAAATTTGGTGTGAGATGACAATTCAATTGTGCCCATGACTGAAAAGCCTCTGATATGAAGTTTTCAGCTTGAGTGGCCTCCTGAGGTGTGATCTCTCGCGAGGCAAAGATTCGGGTCGCAGCACAGTATCGCAGGATGTTTTCGTAGTGAGAATGATAGTTGTGAGATGGTTTGATGTCTTCAAGTGCTAAATAATCTTCTGCGTCGGCATCTTCATTGCGAGATACATTCTTGATCTGACGTTTGTGTAGGAGCTTCCTCGATTACACGATGGCCTGTTGGATCTTGCTGCACTTCTTTGGAGAAGGGGCCTCATCATCAGCATGGCGAGACCACAATTGCCATGCAACTGCAATTGCGACAGGGTATACTCGCATGAAATTTCGCCATTCATCTGCTTTAGGATGTTCGCCCCCACTTGCAATCTTATGTACAGATCAGTACTCCCCTTTTCAAGGTTCAAAACAATATTACCTTGATCTGAAAACGTCCTGAGTTATTCGGCCACCATATGGACTCGAGAAATGCTGTAAGTCGATCCATTGGTGTGATGTCGGAGTGTTTCCCCGTCCCGGTGAACATTGATCCTTCTATCAAAATAACTCTGTGTATTTGACCAGACGTGCCTAGTACAACGGGTGAATTATGAGATAATACCTTGAACGAACAACTCACCTGGACCCCAAAACAAATGCATGATCTCTGTCGGAATGCTTAATGACCCGTTCCACATTGGAAGGCGATCCAGAATCGACATGCGGACACCCTTGGTTTCTGCAATGCTCGCTCGTACTTTGGGATCATTGGAATGTCCGTGTATGAATTTCCACTTTAGTTGCTTTGCGGAGTCTCGATAGTGGAATTCTAGAAATTTTAAATCAGTATGCCACCATGAAACATCAGAAAATCATACGTGTATGATCGAAGCATGTAGGATCAACCAACAAGCAAAACGGAGTGTCACAGCATGGGCACATATGGTCCTCGGAGTTCTGAGATATGAAGCCAGCTGTCTTGAGACGTGCTGGAGTATCCATCGGACCAAAGGGGAGTGCGACATGCACCATTTCCATTGCGTCATGCCCAAAAACCTTGAAAAGCACCCCTTGACAAATGTATTCAGAGTCGAGTTATGTAGCAGACAAGAGTATTTATTCACCTTGTGCGAGCTGCTCGATCTCTCAAACAAAAGGTTCAAGTAGTCCGTTGAGCTGCTCTGTATTTGGTTCCATTGGCCCTGGAATTACGAAGAGTAAAAATGTGTTCTCCCACAAAAATTGTATTGATCGCGGTAGGTTGTCAATAGTCAGCCAAACCGTGCCAGTGGAATAATTAGCACATTTAAGTGAACGGAACCTGTTCCGTCAATGGCAATGTCAGGAAATGGCAATTAAGACTCGTTTAAAACATACCAATCGATATTAATATGCACAACGAGGCCACATTTCAAGGACACGAACCGTTGGTTGAGTTTTTGTATGTCAATGTCATTTACTTTGAGATTCTTCGAGTCCCACTGGCGCACTATGCCCGTACGGAGTGAACGCCACATCCACCCGTCATATATGTCTGTGAGTGGCTCGTTTACATCCTTCTCAGTGTACCACTCATCTCGTGTGATAGGTGGTGCTGGTTCATGGTCCCCATCCTTCCTGCCAATGTTGAAGTTCCTCCCATTTACCAGGACGCCACAGGCATCACTTTGTATGGGATGCGTTTTTGTGCGTTTGAACTCATTTGTTTCAGGCGAAATAGCACTGCGGAGCATCCAGGTGCTGTGCACAGTCGAGACTGCATTGTTGGTAGCTCAGAAGGATGGTACATTTGCCAGCAAGATGGGCAAAGAATGTACATAGTAAAAATTTTCTCCGTATCAATGCCGAGACATTTCTCGACAGTGCGAAGAGTTCGCGCCATGCTGTCTAAGTCACCCTGAAGCTCAGGGGAAATTCCGCCAGGATAGCAGCTTGTGATTGTTGAATGGAGTAAATTGAGGGTCTCTTCTGCATCTGCATGTGTCGCACGTCTGCATGCAGCATTGGCAAAAACGTGCACATAGCCATTTAGCAGTGCTTGATGTTCCGATAACGCGGGCGGTACAACACTATCAGGTTCATCTGAGTCGACACGAGTATTTTCCTCAAATAGTGCATCGTTGGGAAGAAACTGCGGATCATTCTCAGGAACCCAGTGATCTTCATCGTCGAGATGTTCAGTGTACAATAGCTCCTCGTCGGAGGCATTAATACGTGATTCTTCATCAGCAGTGTGATTGCGAGTAGCCGAGTTAAAGGTAAGTGATAGGACACTAGTACAATCATCGTCACTAAGAGACACGTTATGGTCATATGACGAGTGGAGATATGGCAGGGGAGAACTGCTTGGCAGAGGCGTGTACTGTTGATCAAACTCTGTGTCATCGTCATCTGAGGAAGGGAAATATAGCGGAGGGGAACTCGAACCGCCCGGGTGATCTATATCAGATACAGAAGGTGCATTGTCTGGCAAAATGCCGAGCAGTTCAAGCTCTTGGGACGGTGTCCCATAATCAGGGAGTATCGGGTCATCATCCAGCAAAAATTCGTCCTGACTTGTGATATCTCCGTCCGAAGCGGTCCCATTGATCAGCTGAGCCTGCGGAGGTTCACCACTGCCAAGATGCTGCCTGCGTGCACGACCGTGGTTCTTGAGGTGATTTTTGATAGTTTGACCGGTCTGAAAAAGACCTGATAGCTCACACACTGAGCACGGACATATACGCCGCTGCAGGTATACGAGAGTCAACTATGCATTAAGACTCAACTATAAGCTCGTACCTTGCTTTGTTGATTAGTAGACATCAAACGGCCAAGCGATAGGCTGTAACCCGTCCGTCCACTGTCTCATTGAGTTGTTGGGAAATGTATGGTATGGTAGGGTTGGTATGGTTGGTTGGTGGCAGCGCATGCCTGCGCATGCGGCGTGCAGCATGCAAGAACAGGTGTACATATGGAGAATACCGTGTAACCCTAGAAATGGGTATAGTACCTGCCATATTATATACATTTGTTATATATATATGTATATGTGTACAACGCGCAAAACATACTTCACGTAGAAGCCACTGTAAGGTAGATAAGACGTAGGTGAGGGTACCTCTAAGTTTGAGCCATCGTTGACGCCAGTGATAATTTAAAGGGTCAGATTTCTGACATCATTGAAGTCGGCTGATATTTGATGGCTCCGATGTGGCTGAAACCTTATGTACCCCCCATATTCTCAGCCAATTCCAAGCCGTCGGAATTTTTGGACAACACACAGTGACCATGGCTAATGAAGCGGAATATGAATTTTATTCACTAAGACTGAACGTAGGGTTAGGTACACTGCAATATATGTTAAGTATTTCCTCACCAGTTAGCTTCTGTGCTTTTACTATGTCAATGCAGCGTGCAGTAGAACAAAGCAGACCAACATGAGTTGTGTAGTGCTGCGATTATCAGCATTGTAAGTATAATTGTCAGCTCTTGTTGAAGTAATTGAATTAAACACAATCCGCATAACTATTCAGTGCATACTTAATTTTTCTTACCCCAATCTTGATGTTCGGATGGTCCGTTGAACGACGGATGAAGGTCATCCTGTCGGCGTGCATGTGCAAAAGTTGGATTGCATTCGAAAGCGAGTGTTTCGTGAGTGTTGCCAATGCAAGCATGATGGGAACTATTGACGGCAGAATGTATCGAAGTCATTCGAGTTCTCTGTACTCAGGATGAAAGTCTCCCCAATCGGTAAGACAGTGCGCCTCGTCAATTACAATGCTAATAAGCCGTGACACAAACAGCACGTTTTTCAGTAGTTTCTCAAATGAACTGTCTGGTTTCATTATTTGCTCGGGACTGATGGCAATTGCATGATACTTCAGCGCCGCGATGGCCTGTGTGAGTGATAGGTAAGATGATGTTGATACTTGCCGCATTATAGCACAGCACTCACCAAGAAGATCGTAGGTGTAGCGGTCTCACCATCAATGGATATTCCACGTATGCCAGCCTTGGCCAGCGATGCAACATTTTGCTTGCCTAGCATATTAAGAGGGGTAATAATAATTTGAATGCCGCCATCACGGAACAGCAAAGGCAACCAGAATCCAAGTGTTTTACCCATTCCAGTGCCTGCCGTGCAAATGACATCCTGGTCCCCTTTGAGCAAAGCCTGGGCAACTTTCAGCTGCCATAAACAAGGCTTAACACCAAATTTTTCGAGAGTGCGTGACTGAATGTCAGCCAATGATGGTATCTGCTGACTGCCAGAAGGATCTTGATTAGGAGAAGGTGCGAGTGCGGCCATTTGATTGTCGCTAGCCCATGACTCAGATCATAACCGGCAAGGTTGTACTCAATAAAAATACTCGACATATATTGCAGTGTATCTAACCCTACGTTCAGTCTTAGTGAATAAAATTCATATTCCACTTCATTAGCCACGGTGGCTGACGATGTTGACAAATCTAAGAAGAAAGGGAGACTGGTTTTGTGGCTGTGTGTGGGAGACGCGTAGCTCACTAAAGGCCACATGGTTTGCGGTTAGCTCGCTTAACCTCGATTTAGAAATTTCACGTGGTTCTGTCAATCGGAGTTTCAATTTCCAAAAACCGTCGTCCCTTACTATACTGTCTGAGCCACAAGATAGAAAAAGAACACTAAGCAAATAGATAAACAATAATGATGTATATGTACTGTAATTGTGTATACATGATGTGAAAAATGCGAAAATGTGAAAGTGTGAAAATGCCAAAATATAAAGATAGGAAAAATGGGCAATGGGTAAACATGGGAATGGGAAGGTGGAGAATGGAGAAATGGGGTGAATGGGGAGATGGGAGGAGGAGGACAGGAGGATGGGAGAACAGGAGAACGGGAGACAGGAGATAGGAAAGCAGAAAATAGGAAACAGGATAATTTTTTGGGAAGGGCAAGAGTCAACAGCAAGACACAAACAGTGACACAGGAGATGGGAGACAGGAGACAGGAGGGAGATGGGAAATGAGAAATGAGAAATGGGAAAGCAGAAAATAGGACAGAGACATGGGAGAATTTTTTGGGAAGGGCAAGAGTCAACAGCAAGACACAAACAGTGAGACTGAAGTTTACCTGGGACACTGGCTTGCATCCCACTGGCCGAGGTACGAGGCCACGGGATTGCAAGCCAGTGTCCCAGGTAAACTTCAGTCTCACTGTTTGTGTCTTGCTGTTGACTCTTGCCCTTCCCAAAAAATTCTCCCGTGTCCTCTGTCCTCAGAACTAAAATAAAAGTATATAGTATTTTGTAAATGTAAGATTTAATACAAATAAATAATATGTAGACATGTGCCGAAGGCACAACGGGTGTGGGCTAGTGTTATCTTCCAGCCGCTGGTGAGAGTGTGAGGGGAATTAAAGTTGGGCTGGGTTTGAATTTTTGTTGTAGCACGTGAGTTGTATCTACCTTACTCGCAATCCGCCCCTCCACACTCGAACCAGTGGTGGGAAGGAGCCTGTATCACTGCGTGCTCGCCTGGTCTGGGCTTCCCCGATCAAGTCATTCAATAACTCAATCTCGTCGATGACTTTCTCCGGCCGCTTATCCCTTACGACACCAAGCATGAGTCGATTCGAAACAATGTAAACCCTTTGGTCAGGCATGTTAGCATTCCCCAGGTTATCTTTCACGCTCTGGCGGGTCTGCTGAATGAACTGTTGCCGCGCAGCCTGATAGAGCTTCTTCTCTTGGTCCGCGCCCACGCCCTCATCATCTTCGTTGTCGGACCCCATATCCTCCATTATGTTACGAATGTGTTGGTCCGCCTTAGAGCGGACGATATACGTGGGGATCTTGAAACGCCTGCAGTTGGTGAGGATGGCGATGTCCGTCATCGTAAAGCGATTGTCGAACAAGACGATGATGCAGTCAAAGACGTAGAGTCCTTGTGCGTTGAAGTACTGCCAGTCTGAGATCTTGAGCGTGCCCGCGCCAGGAATGTCGTACCAAACATATGGATATTCCGCGTTGGGGTTGCCGTATCTGGCCATGGTCAGCGTTGTATCGGGGATGCCAGTGGCGGCAGATCCGATATCCTTGTTATGCAAGCCGCGGAAAGCATTGATGAGAGATGATTTTCCTCCACCTGCCACGCCGGCTACTGCAAAGTGGAAAAGATCCTCGCGGTATTGAACCCTCTGCTTGGCAGCGAGAACCTCTTGATATGTGGGCGTCACGACAGGTTGAATACCATGTTTCAACTGGCGTTCAGCCTCCTCCTTAGCAGCAATGGCCATCTTTACTTCTTCCTCCGCTGCTTTCTTCCACGCGTTGGCCGCCTCCTGAGCGGTCCAATTTCCCATCTCTGAATGTGATTGTGATCAAAAATAGTAATGCGTGAACCTGTTGATCGTTACATCGCATCATGCGGCTTCAATCTCTCGAGCTGAGGGAACTTACTGGTATGCGTAGGCTTTGGAGAGAGAATTCAGGTAACAGCGTTGGTCGGAATAAGTGCTGTGGATTTTCAGGATAAGAACGAAGCACTGATCTCGAATAGAACGTATGTTGCCGCGTGCAGATCAAGGGAATCACTGAATGCGGGCAGGCGCTGATCATAGGTTAGCTATGGCTACGGGCAGTATGACATCCATGAGTCACCGTGAAATGGCAACGAAACAATGATGATTGGCTTGAGTATTTCATGGATGCGAGAACATTCTGTGCATGTTTTTCCATTCTGTGCGCCCAAAAGGAACTCCGTTGACCGGCACGCAGCCACGCATTGCATGAAAGTTGGGAATGAGTTACCAGATCAAGTTCAACTGGTGACGAGCGCTCAATCGATTTTATCGATAAGAGAAGGTTCAACCTGAAGGAGGTGAAATTCAATGGGCGAGAAAGACTCACAGTTCTCGTCAGAGTCGCCACCTCCTCCTTGAGGTTGTGCAAGGATGACGAAGAACATACTGCCATCCAAGGGCTGCGCATGCACCGATATATGAAATCTGTGGAAGAACCGGCACTAGTCGAGCCTCTATCGATGAATCAAAGGATGCATCGATGCACATTGCAATCCAAGTTGGGACCAACATAGCGCTCGGGTGATGGTAAGGTTCAGGAATACTATTACAGCTGTGCCACTTTCAAGATACTAATACATATTAATCGTATAACAATAACAACATTATAACGAGCTCGAGTCCTACAGCCAATACATCAACAATATGTAATACATAGCTTGGATCTTAACGTCTTTGTCCGTTTCCGCGCATACGTTTCAAACTGTCAGCTCTCCTCCCCGCCCATGTACATAAACTCCTTGAACCTCAATCGAAGATCCTTCTCCTTTGTAAGCCTCGTGGCAAGATCCAACCACGATGGGATGGTCAAGTCGTCTAACTCGTAAGGCGTGTACACTGACTCCACAGTACCGGACTGGCGAAGTTCTTCTGGCAGAAGCCGTAAAGGAATAACATATTGATGGTTTGTGATATCTTGTGCTGCTTCATCGGGGTGCAACCCTGAAAGAGGGAAGGTCATGTACTCGAGTTCGAATTCTGGGTGATGGGTCTGATCGAATTCTTCCAGCCTTGGCATGTAGAACTGTGAATAACATGTGTTATCACACGGAACTGCTCATGGGGTACGAGCGTACCTGTGCGTATCCCAGGGGCGACCACAACGAGTTGCTTCTTGACGGCGACTCGCTATCTGAGTGCCAGGGTTTGTCAAACTGGCACTTCCACGTTTTGAGTTCACACATCGGCTTCTTGGATGCGCGAACTTGTTTATCGTTCAAGGCACGTCTCCGCCGAGTCGCCTTTGTTGTTTGGAGATATGGATCGGAACCGACATCCCTTGCGAAACCCGAGAGTCCAGTAGTGTTGTACGCAAAAACTCGGAAGGATGGAATGTAGGGATTTGGCACAATGGCAGCGTTAACATTCACTACTGCATAGTTGTCGTAGTGAGTCTCCTCGAGGGGTTCTGGTATCTCCAAAAAATCAGCGATGAGCGTCTCGAAGATTGTGCTGCCCGAGAAGATTTCTGCGGACATGTCCATGCCGATATCATCAGCGTCCAAGAAAGAGAACTGCATTGTGTTAATAAACCAGGGGTGGCTTTGAAACGACGGCACATACGTGGTCAACATTTAAGTGCTGAAAACTAAGGTTAAATTGAACCACACAGCATGAATATCGAATCTCACCCCGAACAAATTGCCCAGAATCGTATCTTGGAATCGCAGGTTCAACTCTACGAAACGGTAATACTGACAAGGTTGAGATGACGATTGATACCATATCTACCTAGAGTACTCACACATTCCGGGAAGTACTTCTTTTCAGAGGGAGGTACATGTCCTGCATTGACGTGATGAAGATATAAAAAGTTGTCCAGCTCAACAAAAGAATCGCAGCTGACCTGTAATCCAAACCTACCCGACGACGTCAAGAAAGTTTCTTTTGAGATTTCTGAGAACCCTTACCTGCATCTGCCGAGATCGGAACGCTTCCAGTTGCTCCTCGAGCCAATCAAGGTGAATATTTCCAGGGTCGTTTGGATCGGTAAAATCACATCCTCCTACAGCTGTTGATACACATCAGTGAGTAGTCCTACCAATAAGTTATGCTATCACCTACCCTGATTCTTCTTATAAAAGTATAAGGTATTGAGGCTAATAGCAGCCACCGCATCAGGTATGATCTCCGTTGAGAAGTATGCTCCTTGGTGAAATGATGCCGACGATGCAGAGGGTATAAATGCGCTCCATATCCTGGTGGCTTTGTAAGGTCTCCAATGTAACTAATATCTGTGGCAGACATACGAAGAGAACTCTTCGAAAATCTTATTAGGTCCTGTTTGCTATGGATTAACGCTGAGCAGAAAGAAAATAACAATCATACCAGCAGATAATGTATTCTAGTAGAAATGTGAATGAGATCAGTAAAAAAAGAGCCCCGTGATCCGATGTTCTTACATGGGCTATATAAATAGTCAACACACTCGTCGGGTGCTCGGGAAAAGTTAATCACTTACGCCATATGTCATTGTTTCCTGATAGGAAATGCACTGTTAAGGAAAGTTTCTATGAGGAGGCGCAAAGAACCTACCCAAACTTGGCACGACTGGAATGCCTTTGCTCAAAAATACATGCTCCATCTTCTTGGCCACAGCGCGATTCAAGTCGTATATTTCGTCAAGCGGTCGTGGTATGTCGTCATCATTGTCGTGTCTGCATACTCTTGGTCAAATTGCATCTCAAGCTGTCTGACCAGTCATACCTTGCATTGTCACCAGTCCCTATACATGACACATGAGTGAGAATTATGTCGAACGGAGGGACTAGGTAAGAGAATCTCACAGATTACAAAATCAATGTCAGAGGTCCAATGTTCATCCAAGAAGTCAAGCGTGAAATTTGTCAGGCTGAATGGCGAATCACATGAGCTAGAATAAACGTCAGCTAGGGCATCAGAACAGGGATATTGACACACCTGTATGCTGTTCCGTAGTAACCTGCCGGACGACTGTCCTTGAGGTCGGCTCGATGACACGCAGAGGATTGCGATGTACCAGGTTCGTAAAACGGATCGGGATGAATATCTGTGATGTGCAGAAAACGACCGTGAAGCTTCCTGGGGGAAAGTTCTTTCATTCGCGTGAGCGACTAGAGGTGTGATTGAGATTACCACAAAATACGTACGATGTTCAGCCAACGATTTATCCAATACAATCTGTGTAGGAAACGCGACGCTCGCAGTGCAGTAAAGTCCTAGGGAAAAAAACAGACTGAGTCGCGTCCTCATGAGTTCTCGGGGAAGTGGGTTGATGTTGGTTCATCGGAATGTAGTACGAAATATTAATAAGGAGCGGTGTACAGCTACAGTCGACTTGGTGGCCCCTGCCAAACCCAAGAATGGGTTCAATTCAAGCACGTTTGTCCCTCTGACCTATCATATGCCATGGAGCTGATTGGAGCGTCCTTCGTGAACGGAACAGCATATTTAGGTCCGTTGTTTCACGGACTACGGCATGCAAAATGCGATAGCTCTGCGAGGGTACTCCGTGCGAGTGTTCCTGGATGATCTATGAAACGTTTGATGCTAACAATTGTAAACAACCTTGAAAAGATATTTGTTCATGTTATCTGATTATCCGATTATATTACATCTACCTGCACCACACCTACATCCACTCGTCGTCACCCACTACGTACAATTGCAAGATAATGGTGTGTAAGATCTATTTCATTCTTTCGCCACTTTCGAATCTCCAATCGCAAATATCTCGGCTCGGGAACCGAGAATTTATCCCTCCTGTCTCGGAAGGACCATATATATGCACGTTCACCAGCATAGATTATGGTTGTGGCCCACTTTGTACTCGTCATATTCCGGAGTTTCTGGATCGCGGTAGATCCGTGGCCACGGGGAGCCGGGAACCACTTACTATTTCATTTTCTAAATGCCGACGTATACGGTACACGGGAGTCCGGCTTCATACCTCTGGCTCAGGAATGTGCGCTCGTTTGACGTGACAGAAAGTCACGTTCATTGATCGCTATACGCTAGAAGGCATGAGTAGGTAAAGGCGCTAAACTGTGGTTGACTGGTGTGCCAAGGTTAGCTAATCATTTTTGGTGATCATGCTTATCTTTCAGAGATTAGCACCATTACGTTCCACGAACCATCGGTCATTGAAACTCTGCAATCATCGACGAACGTTCGATCACACAAGGTTAGCAGACTGGTCGCCGTCAGCGACCCTGGGAGATACGATACCTAGCAGCCTGGGTTGTCGAAGTAGTCGACCGTATCAGTGAGACATCCACCCGGAACTCAAATGATCCACGCACTTCCCGCCATTCTCTCGTGCCTATAGCTACACGGGCACCACCGTGAACCGATATTACTCTGACTTGTATGACAGACGACGCCTCTCAGCACGTCATGGTTAGACTTGCGTCATAATACACACGCCTCGAGGGCTGGTTGATACATACGTGAGGAGATTTCCACTTGTCCCTTTCTGACTTACCTAACGACTGCAGCAGAATTTACACATTGAATGAAATAAGTGCGACTTTCACATGGTGAGTTAGACAAAACGCGCCTAGGATGAATTAGTGCCTGACTGCGCGTTGCGGTCAAGACGTGATTTCAACACACTGCTCATGACGAGTTATACAAGGCAAGTGCTGCTAGATGTGTTTATAACGGCGAATGCAGCCCAGTTGGATGGTCAAGACATGGGAGTTACAGCGGCGGTGAGGCTATATATTATTACCGTCAACAGCTGGCGGTACTATGTATGTATAAACCATAGCAAGTTGATGCATGCCCGTATGCGAGTCGCCCGGCCCTACAAACGCTTGATAATTTAAAATAGTCCCGAAGTTCATAGTACCAGCCTGCTGAGGGACAAGTGAGAGTTATTAGGAGTAAATTGGAGGATAATTGATCCTAGTATTTCGAGCCGTGGACCTGCCAGTCGTGGTCACAGCGAATCATAATATTTGAACGGTTACCAGAAGCTAGCCAGAAGGTTACTGAATATAGCTTGCTGTATATGCTCGAATCTTGATCGAGATATGGCCACGACGTCCATGGCCCTGCATTCACAGCCTTAGTGATTATGAAATGAACATGCGTGTGTAGGACTCACTACTACGTCTCAATGATCTAGGGCCCTTCTCGGTACAGCTTCTACCTGTAGGTTGCTGGGTATATATATATCATATGGTTGCAGTGTGGTCGTGTTGAATCTTACATATAAAGTCGACTCGACTGGCAGTAGGCGCACAGCCTGAGATTTTCGGACAGTTCCATCGTAAGTTAACAGCACCTTGATTTGAAATTTCAGGTTACAAGCGCTCGTGCCTGTTCCCAACCTTCGACGTGTGTCCTGTGCGTGCCATTCCTATAACTGTTCGTTTGCGACTGCTGAGCAGAGCAGAAACTCGCCTCGTACTGACATGCCATATACTCCTTTGATCCCCAGAAGTCTCGTTCAGTCAACGATGCGCAACATACCTCTTTCAGGTTCCGACTTCACTCTCGATGCCTCTGGAGTAGCAGGTTTTTTCGGTGGTGATGAAGCTGTTTCTGCGATGGCAACCGTACACGTATACCAAGGAAGGAAATGGTTGGGGTGGTACAATTCGCCAGGATCATACCTTATCGCCAAGAGATATGGCCAACTCGCTAACTCTCGTTTCTGGGATGGTTTGTTCCCAGGAGTCAACACCGACCCCGCCACGCTGTTCGAGCTGGATGGGTGGAAGGGTCCCAAGTTTAAGGGTGTTGAGTCCGGGTCGATTATCCCCGAAACTGGTCACCTCGCTGCTTTGATGGTAAAAGAATGCCAGACGCAGCAGGGCATTGATGTGCCGGGGAGAAAAACCCAACCAGTTGGGGTCACAATCGTCGACCTCCACTACGTCCCTGAAGCAACGATGACACCAAAGCAACTCAAGAAATACACCAGCGCGGTCGCTTTCATTCCGATGTCAGTATCCATCGGCACCTGCATCGCGTGCGCTTTCTTCAAAGACTGGTACTCCTTCAGTATGATCCTGCTCGGAATCCTCGCAAGCGGGATATCATGTTTTGTCATCGGTTCCGGAAAATTCAGATTCTATCATCCCACCCCAGCGCCGGGAGCGCCGCGAGGTGATGGCTTGCTCACCGCGGATAACAATGTCATCGTCCTTCTAGGTGAAGAGGGCGCTGTCAATTCCATTACTCGTGGAAAATTCTCTCTACACTTCGGCAGTGAACCAGAATACAGAAATATCGGCCTATGCTCGTTGATCCTCACAGCGCAGTTCGTTGCGCAGCTATTGCTTATTCCGCAGGGCACGCTCTTCGGACAGATCATGTTCGTAGCTTCACTCGGAGTCTCTTGGGCATACAACTCTTGGTTGTCATCGCTGGACAAGGAGGAGATCCAGAGAAGGCTGCTCCTGGATGTAGTCCTCAAGCGCCCGCTAATGACGAAATATATGTTGGGCACGCGCACCACCATGGCAGTCTTCGTTCTGCTGGCGTTGAAACCATCCCACCCCGCAAAGATATTGGACGATATCCTCCCGAACGATACCAAAGTGTGGAAGAGGTGGAAGTCCATCGTTCTGTCCAGGCTACAGAACGGGGAAAAGATGCACTTTGACTCGGCCGATTGGGACGATAGAAGTTTCAGCGGGAATGAGAGCACCCTTCTGAAGACCCTCTTAGGGGATGCCCAGGCTGCCTATGATGGGTACTCCGACCACCTGAAGTCGCATTAGGAATGAGCACCTGCTGGTTGCGAGTATATCTGACTACTCGATTAATGTATCCTGTGACAACGCTGATAGTGAATGATTCTGCTCCAGTTTCGAGTTCTATGTACCATATCTTGTATCCTTGCCTCTGTTCTGAGTCTCTTGCCTCGATTGAATCGTCTCCGTCTCAGCTATTGTGTTTAACCATGTGCTACACTGCGATACCTATTATTTATTCTCCTTGCGAAAATGATTTCTGACAGCCGTCACTAGCCACTCAGTGCGCAGTACTGAGTGAGTACTGGCTATCTTTTTAGTGACGTCATAGACTATGGACGTCTGCATCATGACAAGCTGAAGGTTGCGACGTTGATCCCTTACCAGTAGACACCAGCGATGTTGTCCTCGATTTCAATTCATGCTTGGCAAGTTGAACTGACATTTGAAGTACGACACAGGAGGGTCCAGAGGGTTCAGTAGGCTTGGTCAAACAAAAGAGCGAGAAAATTTGGTTGTCAGGTGCAACAAGTGGATATATACTGCCGCCCCGCCTCTCCATCGTTCTCCAACGGGGCGCGATGGTTATACCATCCGCCTCGAATTGGATTTTTACACCTGAATGCCGGGAGTTCGACGTCCGACCCCGCCCCTTAGAGGCGTATCTTTTTGACTGATGCTGCTTACACGCTTGCACTGACGAAATTAATTCGACCACTCCGAAAAAAGATTTATCTCCCCCAGATTTGATTGAAATAAAAATCTGTCTTAGTGCTTTGTTCTACTCATCGACAGGAGAAGGGGAAAATAAAGTCTGATTTTTTGGAGGTAGTGGGAAGTCTGCACAAAATAGGGTTAAGTGAACTGCACCGGGGATCGCGAGGCTGTTCGTTCCGAAGAGGAGTAACTGCGTTCGTGCGGGAAGAGAAGCGAAGGAGCCCGCGGAGATGGCGAAGGAAAGCAGGTTCCTGCGGGTCTATTGTAGGCTGAGGTCTTCGCAGCCTAGGGACAGGTGATGTCGTTGTGTTACAACACTTGACAGCAGGATTAAAACTGGTTGCGTCAGACTGTAACATTGGATTCGTGTGCCTCAGTACAATATTTGGTGAAAAAGGACGCCGTGATGCATACATCGAGTAAATTATTGATGGTGGCACTTGGTCTTTCAGAGCGCAGAAGATGGCTAAATGCGTACTTTGAGAAGGGTGGACTGTGCTTCCGGCGCAGGCAAGATGCAGGCCAGAATTTCGGGTGGAGTGTCGCATATATAGGTCTGCTGATCATCGTCGGGCAATCTCGTGTAAGCTATTTGGCGTGAGCCAGGTGAGGGGATAAGAAAATTGGGATTCTGAACGTCGAGCGAGGCAGGAGCTGATGTGACCCGACGGCCCAGAGCTTGATGGTGGCGTCGTCGGAAGCACTGGTAAGGAGAGCACCATCGAATGAAAGTGCTAGACCAGGAATAGCCTTGGTGTGCCATTCAAAGGGGGCTCCGACAGTATTCAGTGTCGATGCGTCATGAAGCGTCATGGCGTCGTCAGCCATAAAAGCGAATGCAGCCAAGATGGTTGTGTTTCTGCTGGTCCAGAGCGATGGCGCAAATGTAATTCCAGGTATAAGATCTTGAGATTCTTTTGCCCTACTGTGATTGAACATCAAGACACTTCCCATTCCACGGCTTGGCTGCGAGCTTCAATCTTAATGTCTGGAGAGAATCGAACTGCACCTACCATATGAGCACTCCTGAATGGACCAGCCAGTGATCAAATTCCATATATGATCCGTGCGGTTTGATCCAGCGACCCGCTCGCCAACAGCGTACTGCCATCTGCGAACTTGACATCGATGCGACCGATTGCTCTTGAGTGACCTTGTATTTTTTTTCACGATGCCCGTCTCAACCTCACAGGCTTTGAGTTCCCCGGTATCAAAATCTCCACCAACAGTGATAACCCAGGATAACCCGTCGACCATCCCTTGATACCGCCACCGCATAAACTATTTGCTCACAAATATTTTGCGCCTTCAATGTCCTTACCCGTCTGCAGATCCCATTGTCTAACGACGTGGTCGTCAAACGGTCCGTTGGTTATTCGCCGACCATCCAGCAAGTATGATATGGGTGCAATATTTTTGGAACTCTTCAAGGTCATTACTGGTGTCAGAATCATCCTGGCTGTTACATCTGCAGGCTGCGTCGAGGTGGAAGTCATGCCCTGCATCTTTGCAAGTGAAATGGCAATAAGCCTGGTATGGGCAAGTTTTTCTTTGGTTACGAAGACCCTATTCAATATCGGCAGTTCATGTGCACTGGAAGGTCAGATGAAAGTAAGGTTCGTGAGGAAGAGAACTCACCTGATTGGGTCTCAAATTTCCATTTCCCAAGTAACACACCCCTGCATCATGTTTGGTGGCACTGGCAGCTGTGCATTAATGCATCCTTGCTTCTATTCATCAAACTCACATCTCCTTGCTGTTTGGCTTACAGCTATGGCCAACGTTTTTGTGGTAGAGCGTCAGTCTATTCCATGTCCAGTGCAGCTTGGGTGCAGCACTGGGTCAAGTCAATGCGGAACGGGTCGGCCCGAAGGGCCGAACTGTATGTTGCTCGTGAGTTGGGCCGCATTGTTTTCTGACACTCTAGGCGCTGTTCGTTGTTGCTCTCAACGCCAACGGACGCGTGCAGCAGCACAGTAACGAAGAATCAGAAACGTCGAAGAGCGACCACATGACCTCATGCCATCGTCTGAACCATCCACCATCATTCTCGAGCGGACACTCATCCAATCATCTCCCAGTTTCCCGACAAACCCGCGCACTCTTGCAGATGTACGCGAGGAGGTTGCCCAGAGCCTCGCGCTCCGTATGATCACCAAAGCTCGCACAGTCGACGGTGTCCGCATCGGTGTCCACTTCACTTTCTCAAAAAAAGATGATGGTCGTTTTCTTCAACTTGTCACCTCTCATATCCGTGCACGCTTACCCGAGTCATCTCGGTACCTCTTCGCCATAGCCACCACTGGTACATCCCAAAGCAGTCGTAGTACAAGGAGTAGCTCCCGTACTTCAAACGCACTCGTTATCTGCGGGTCAGATGAGGATGATGTGCAGCGTGCTGTACTCCTCGCATCCTCTAAATTTTTGGGACGCGTCGATGCAGTTCAAAATACGGGTACTCTCCTCGCTGCCTCTGTAAGGCATATTGGCTCGTCATATGATGAAGCTGCCTTGTGGGATGTACTGTCCAAGTCTGTACGCACTCCCATCGATCCTCTTCTTCCTCCCCCTGGATCTCGCAGCATTGATCAACTTCTCTCTGATTCCCGGTCAAAGCTCGAGCGAATGACGCCCCGACAAGCCTACGACGCCCTTCACGACGCCACATACCCCATGCCTGTATTTCTTGTGGATATTCGCCCAGCTTCCCAACGTGCTCGTGAAGGTGGGATCCATGGATCTCTCATCATCGAGCGAAACGTTCTAGAATGGCGTTTTGACCCGCGCTGTGAAGCGCGACTAGCAATCGCAGATCGCTATGATTTAAAGATCATCATATATTGTCAGGAGGGCTACACGAGCTCATTAGCTGCGGCATCCCTGCATGAGCTTGGGATGCTCAATGCAACTGATATAGTGGGAGGATATGCTGCATGGAGGGGAGCTGGCTTACCAGGTCAGATAAGGCCCCCGTCCACTGTCAGTGATGAGGAAAGCTATCAACTCAGTCAACCATCGTTTGATTCTGATGATGTGATTGATGGCATATGACCAGGTTTGACAACAAGACTTTTTAGTTTACTTACGCGGATTTATGAGCCTGTATTATTATGCGCACTGCTATGGAGACATACGACTTGTTGCTATGAATAAAATGGATAAACGTTTGTTGACCAGAGGATGTCATATTCGTCTAGCTGGCTCGTGATTTTACATAGTGGTAATCCTTGAACGTGACATCAATGATTACATACCTTCGTGCTTTTGTTACTGCAAGTGTTTCATCGCATACCATGAGCAACGTACTATTAGCCTTCACATAGTTCATCATACAATCTCCCCAATATCCTAATAACATTTTACATTCGACATCAGCCTCTGCAACGAACCCGAGCTATCTTCAAGGCCTGCACCGACATCGCGAACGCGATGAACTACATTCGCGGCGCCGTGAGCGCAATCAGTGCTCCATACCAGTACTACAAGGATATCAACCCATCTACCCTCACTGGGGCAATCGATGTCATTGTTATCCGGCGCGCACCATCGCCCTCCTTATCTGCTAGCTCCGGTTCACCAGACAGCGATATCTACGCCTGCTCCCCATTCCATGTGCGGTTCGGTAAGCTCCAAGTACTCAGACCTGCTGAAAAGAAGGTGCGCAAAGTCTGCTCTTTTCGTCAGAATCCTTAGGTGTTCAATGGAGCATGAATGGCTGGGAGTAGGTCAATGTATCAGTAAATGGCTCGCCCATCCCGTTCAGTATGAAAATCGGAGACGCAGGAGAAGCGTTTTTCGTGTTCGAGACAGACGAAGATATCCCAGAAGATCTCGTTACAAGCCCTCTACTCTCTCCAACCCCGGAACCAGGCGAACTTCAGGGTGACTTTGAACGCGGAAGGTCTGGAGCTCAGCCGGACGGTGATGGGAAGCAGATGGATTTGAGTTTGCAGATGCAGGAGCCTGAGTTTCTTGACTTGAATGCTTCGTCTGGGATGAAACATCCCATTCCGATACATGCGGACGCGAAACCGAAGCCTGGTTCGAGGAGCGCTCCTCATACCCCTCCACCAGAGGAACCTTTGGCGCTACCATCCGACGTGCCCGGTCCAGAAGTGCAATACAAAGCTGGTGCGTGTATTCTGTGCAATTTCTTTTATCGGATTCTTAAGGTGTTACAGATATCGCACTTGACATGGCTGGATATCATTCAACCCAAGCATGCGACGCGTCATCCTCACGCGTATCCCGTGAGTCTTATAGAACTCACTGCATACACTGAGCTAATGACCTACAGATTCGCCATCCCAAGTTTCATCTGGCATCCCCTTCCCATCCACCGCACCACCAGCCGCTTCTCCTCTAAGTAAGCGTTCCCCATCACTTTCCACAACCACATTTCCCGCCCGCCGCTCCGTTTCCGAATCCCCAGAAGATATCCCACTTCCGCAGTACTCCTGGGAATGGGGCGCCTTTCCCCAACCCTCACCAATAAATACCCACTTCCCATCTTCATATCTATCACGCAAGGGCAAAGCACCTATCGTGGATGAGCATGTTCCACTCGATTTTGATTCCGAAGAATTTCTGGCGCGCAGTAGGAGTGTTCCGCCTGAGCTCGAAGGCAGTCCGCATACCGTCCGCTCGTCTCTACCGTCTCATGACGAAGATGAGCATCCATATGATCATGAACGAGAACTCGGGCGTGATCATCCTCCCCTTCCACTCCCTGAACACGGCTTTGGCTCGGGCGGTGTTCTTACAACGCTCCCATCCGATCCACGCATATTCCTTGTGCATATCGAAGGACAAGCACTGTCATTTGCTCTCTCCCTTGTGCCTACGTCAAATCGCGGGATCTTCCATGGGAGTGACGAAGTGGAAGCTGTGCGTCTGTTTGAGGCGGGACGGATCGAGTATACTCAGCTTGTGTCTGAGGAGGTGGTGGTTGGCGCGAGCGGGGAGGTGAGGGCGCGTACGATGGTAGAAGATGAGAGATTGGTGATTCGGTGGGCGGGCGGGCAGTATATCACGAGGGAAGATGGGAGCCCGTTGATGGATGCTTTGAGGTTGTGGGTTGAGAATGCGCCGAAGGAGCCATCAAGGGCGATGTCAGAGCCTCCTCCACTCATGGAAGAGGAACCGCAGTCGCTTATGGATGAGAGGGAGGAAGAAGAACAGGTGAGTAGCGCCGATGAACAAGAACCGGTGTCGAGTGGGGATGAAAGAGAGTTGAAACGTGCCGATTCGGAACCGCCGGAGTCGCATCGGAAACCGATGTCGAGCAGTTGGGCTAGGTGGTGGAGCCGGAGCCGGGATATAACAGAGGCTGATCGACCTATTCTGAGGGCGTCGAATACTCTTCCATTGGAATCCGTGAGTGTTGTGAGGATCATAAGTACAGAGGCTGATGATAGCTCTACAGTTACAGACACCGGTTTCTCTTGTGGCCCATCGTACGGTGTTCCCTCAATCTGCGTCGGCTCCTCCTGCCACGCCTGAGGGTGGCAAAGCTCCAGAAATCATTGAGCCATTGACCAAGGCGTTGGAGGCAAAGATTGCGAGGACGCAAAAGAGGTATGCCAAGACGCTGCGGTTGACCTCGGACCAATTGGTGAGTCTTCACCATCCTTGCAGCTTCAAACATCTGATGTTTGCTCCAGAAATCCCTTGACCTTAAACCGGGCGCTAATACCATCACCTTTTCCCTGTCCAATTCCACTGTGCCCGCCTGCACAGCGCGGATATTTGTATGGGACTCGACTGATCTTGTTGTCGTGTCTGACATAGATGGTACAATCACCAAGTGCGTCATTCCCATCGCTATGTATGCATCTAACCTGACTCCTTCATAGGTCCGACGGCCTTGGTCATGTCTTTGCTATGATCGGTCGCGACTGGACGCATTCCGGTGTTGCCAAGCTGTACACCGATATCAGACGCAACGGGTACAAGATCATGTACCTCACTTCACGAGCTATCGGGCAGGCAGATTCTACACGTGACTACCTCAAGGGCATCAAACAAGACGACTATCAGCTTCCTGAAGGCCCCGTCATCATGAGCCCCGACCGGCTAATGGCTTCGCTGCATCGGTGAGCTGGTTTCATCCTCCAGGGGACGAGGTTACTGATGCGTGAACCAGCGAGGTGATCATGCGGAAGCCTGAAGTATTCAAGATGGCATGCTTGAGGGATATCCAGCGTCTTTTCGGTGATAGCTCGCGCACACCGTTCTATGCCGGCTTTGGGAACCGGATAACAGACGCGCTGTCGTATCGCAGCGTGAATGTTCCGAGTGCGAGGATATTCACTATAGATTCCTCTGGTGAGGTCAAGATGGAGCTTCTTGAGCTCGCAGGGTATAAATCATCGTGCGTAATTCGTTGTGCTCGTATATTCTGCGCACTCATGGACTGTTAGGTACATACATATGACCGACATCGTGGACCAGATGTTCCCTCCGATCCATCGGAAATGGGCAGCTGAGTTCACTGATTTTAATTATTGGAAGGCTCCAGTCCAGGAGTTCGCCCTTCCAGACTTTACGCCTCCCTCCCCAGCCCTGAGCGCACGATCGGACACGTCTAACCAGAGTGCTCTTGCAAGGTTACGGAACTTCAGCCTCGTGGGGCGGAGACAGTCGCGGGAGATGAAACAGTTTTCACTCCCACCGCCTGTGATAGCGCGCGAGGGCACGCCGAATCGAACGATGGGTCTGCGCAGCTCACATCTACGGCAGATGTCATCTCTCGAACGTCTCAGCAGCGGACTGGCAGCGCTCACACAGTCATCTTCACCAAGCGGCTTTGATTCACGCTCCTCATCGTCATCCACGTTCCTAGACTCTGACGATGAGGATGCAGAGATTGAAGAGGGTAGTGTACGGAAACGACGACCAAGGAGCACAAGTATGACGAGTATGCCAGGGTCGCTGGATGATGCGCAGTTTGAGATGGATGGTGGGGATGAGGAAGGGTATGGGTATGATGGGGAGGTGGAGAGTGGAGAGAATGAGGAGGAGGCTGCCGAGGAGGCGTTTGATGAGGATTTTCTTGCGACGGGGGAGATGAAGAATGTGCCGTTTTTGTAATGTGGTTGATGGGACCCTGGTACTTAGTTTATAATGTGGTATGATGTTCATATGCCCTGGATTGCATCATTGGTTTGAATAGAGAGTAAATCATGTAGGGGGCCTAGGCAGTTCAACGGTCCAGGTCCAGTTCGTTCGATTTGCGATTGGTTCCGCGGAACCAATTTGACATCACGTGACAACTCGAAATATTGACGCTTTTCAAATTTCAATGTTGTACTTACTACTCATTGCGCGCGGGCGATGGGGCCAGGGTCCAGATAACAAGGATAACATTGTGTCTTGACTTCAATGAATGTTATCCAAGTCATGTCACAATGTTATTCTGAATTGTGTCATAGGTTATGGTATCTTTCGTTCGTGGTTGCTTGTTGCATCCTTGATCGGTATTCACTTCAAGTTGTAGGAGATTTTATCCGTAGCACTATATCCCTAGGACTAATCTCGTTTTTGTAGCAAGCTGATTACAAACCTCACGTCCTTCGTAAGCGCATCCCTTGATTTACAATGTATGGGGCATGTGAGTGCCCGTGGTCTGTGGTCTAGTTCTAAGTACTTAGCTTGGGTCAGTTTTGGGCGAGTTGACCTAGAAGGCTAGAACTCCATGGGATCAACTTGGCCTTGGGCTCTGCGGCCGCGCCATAGAATGAAAGAAAAAGCTTACGACGAGTCTCTGGCTGGAAAGTTTATGGGCAGCGGAGGAGCTTGTATCAAGTGTTCATCACTCAGAAGCATATCTCCAAACAACAAAGGCGACTTGGTGGAGAAGCCGACGGGTGAACTTAAGACGTGGAGGTGCCAGTTTAACAAACCCTGGTACTCATATAGCGAGTCGCTGTCAGGAAGCAACTCGTTATGGTCTCCCCTATGATACGCACAGGTGCGCTCAAAAATAATTTCTTATCATCCCCGAGTGCTTCTCAATAGATCTCAACTTGGACTGCATCGAGGCATCCTTTAGCCGCCATTCATTCACAGAGCTCAACCAGTGCCAGTTCTTCCACAGATTTCATATATCGGTGCAATTGGATGCAGCACGTTTTTCCTCGTCATTGCGCAACCTCAGGCGGTGGTGGCGTCTCCGACGAGAGTTGTGAGTCCTTCTCATCGATTAATTTCACCTCCTTCAAAAACTTTTCTCTCATCAAATTCGATTGAGCGCAAATATCGATCTGCATCGTCACCACCTAAACTTGATCTAGGAAGATCTAGGAACTCATTCCCAACTTTCATGCTACGTGTGGCTGCGTGCAGTCCAGTGTTGCCACGCTGATTCTGTGAAGACAATTCGCGGTCCACAGAGATCCCCTCGGGCGCACAGAATGGGAAAAAAAACATCTAGACTGTTCGCCGTTCATGAAATACTCAATTTGATCATCATTGTTTCGTTGCTTCCAATCACGCAGACTTGTGGACATCGTACAGCCCATAGCCCTAGCTGACCTATGATCAATGCCTGCCCGCATTCAGTGGCTTGATATGCACGCGGCATCATACAAAACGCCTCAAGGGAGTGCTTCGTTCTTATCCTGCAAATCTACGGCACTTATTCCGACCAACGCTGTTACCTGATTTTTCTCTTCAAAACCTACACATACCAGTAAGCGTCTTCAGCTCGAGAGATAGAGGCCATCATGCAACGAGACGATTAACAGGTCCACGCACTACCATTTTTTGATCACAGAGATGGAAAATTGGTTCAGCCAACTCCGGCAAGAAGTCCGCGCAGAGGCGGCTGCTGAGCAAGCCCTCAAGGACGCCGAGGCTGCCAGGGCTATGATCACAAAGTTAATACAGGCGCATCAAGAATCGCAGAAAAAGGCTGCCGAGCGAGCCCGCGAGGATGTCGAGGTTGCCTGGGCTGAGATCGCCAAGCTCATGCAGGCGCATCAAGAATCGCAGAAAAAGGCTGCTGAGAGAGCCCGCGAGGATGCCGGGGCTGCCTGGGCTGAGATCACCAAGCTCATCTGGGCGAATCAAGAATCGCAGCAAAAGGCTATGGAAGCTCAGCAGGCCGCCATGCAAGCCGCGGCAGCCGCACAGGAGCAGGCCAAGAAACTCGAAGTGGCTGCCAACGAGGAGAAGAGGAAGGTGACTGCTACTCAGGAGGCGGCTAACACATCAAAGAAAGCAGCGAAGGAGGAAGTAAAGGTGGTCAATGCTGTCAAGGAGGAAGCTGAACGCAAGTTGAAAGGTGGTATTCAACCTGTCGTAACGCCCACACATCAAGAGGTTCTCGCTGCCAAGCGGAGGGTTCAATACCGCGAGGATCTCTTCCACTTTGCAATAGCCGGGGTGGCAGGTGGAGGAAAATCATCTCTCATCAATGCCTTGCGTGGCTTGCGTGATGAGGATATCAGATCTGCCGCCACTGGCGTCACCCAGACAACGCTGAACCTGGCCAGATACGGTAACTCCAATGCGGAATACCCCTATGTCTGGTACGACATCCCTGGCGCGGGCACGCTCAAGATCCCAGACTGGCAGTACTTCAACGCACAAGGACTCTACGTCTTTGACTGCATCATCGTCTTGTTCGACAATCGCTTCACGATGACGGACATTGCCATCCTCACCAACTGCAGGCGTTTCAAGATCCCCACGTACATCGTCCGCTCTAAGGCGGACCAGCACATTCGTAACGTCATGAAGGATATGGGGTACGACAGCGATGATGATGAAAACGAGGATCAAAAAAAGAAGCTCTATCAGACTGCCCGGCAGCAGTTCATTCAGCAGACCCGCCAGAGCGTCAAAGACAACCTGGAGAATGCGAACATGCCCGAGCAAAGGGTTTACATCGTTTCGAATGAAACCATGCTCAGCGTCGTGAAGAAAAAGCGGCCGAAGAAGTTCATTGACGAGATTGAGCTGTTGAATGACTTGGTCGAGGAAGCCCAGACTAGGCGAGCGCACCGTGATGCTGAAGCAGCGGCTACTACGAAGGACTAAAATTCGATGTAGTCAGTAATATGATACCGTTCTTGAAGCTCAAGCTTCAAGCCAATCTATCTTCTTTCATGCCGACTTTTGTCGAACGTTTTACTTAGTCAGCACTTGGGTGCCCACCATTTACGATTGATATCAATATGCTCTTCTTAAGCATCTCTCTAGCATCGCACCAACTCTCTCACTATTCTTACTTCCTCTCGCTGTACGAAACTTCCCCGACAGATGATAGCTGCAACCCGCACATTGTAGCTTCTATCCGAAATTTGCTGCGTGTGATCAAGTACACGCGAGGCGAACTTCCACAGGGGGTGTTGGGTCTTATCGTGAACCGAGTTTTGATGGTCAATATGAGTGCGCTCTTCCTTTGTTATGTGGTCATTTTTGGTTCCTAATGAATATTCATGTGTAGGTGACATTCATGCAAAACTCGAGCAGCCCGTACTCTACCGCTTCAACCAATTGTAGTTTTCTGATACGGATCTGAGTTTATGGATGCAGGAGCCTCGTTGTATGCACTTGGACGCTACGCTTTGTGTTGACCTAGCACATGCCGGTACATGCAGGCGCGAAACAGAAGCTTGGTTCGAGGAGCGCTGGTCATTGCTCATTTACCAGAGCAACCTTTGGCAAAACTAAAGCACCCGATCTGTCACAGCGCACTATTTCTTTGGTGTGCGCTCGCCACATGTATCCTGTGATCATTGTAGTAGATTCCAGTATTGCACGCACTCAGTTAAAACCCCACAGGTTCATCATTCCCCAATTTCGACTCCCTTGCCCTCTGCGACTCCTAGGCTTCAGCCGTTTCCCCTTTGAGAAAGCAGGGTATAAATCATCGTGTGCGATTTGTTGTACTTGCTGTGTGACATTGTTTCATAGCTTGGATGATAGCACGGTGATCCAAGACATGGAACAATGTTATCCTGCCAATTGCGACATTGGTTATCGAGTAAGTATCTGGATGGAATCAATGGCACCAGACTGAGGGAGGCAGTGACCCAGTTCGTTCAATTTCTTCCACATGCCATAACCTTGTGATATTGCAGTAGAAGGAAGTCTGATGAATATAAGCGCCCAATGCACTGCAATGCACAGCTGCCAGTGCCATGCAGCAAAGGCGTGGTAGGAGATATAGTAGATATGCGATAGCCGCGCCTATATTCAACCTTTTCCCTCCTCGTCTTTGCCAACCTCTTGGTAACATCAAAATCTCATCTCAATATGCAACGCGAATGAGCTAACGATTGTCTTCGGCAGGCAAAGTTATTGTTAATATCATTCTACAACACACCAGGAGACGTCGCCGCTTCTTCGACCGCATCCAACGAACACCTTGCCGTTCCTCGCTACTACTAGCCAATGGCTTCCACATCAACGGTGTCCGCTGCAGCTGCAACCACGATGACTCTGACGCCGGTAATGGCCTTGCGGGGTCACGAAGACTATATTCCATCCATATCCTACTTTCCTGGCGGCGAGCGGATGATCAGCGGATCTGACGACCGTACCGCTCGGCAATGGGATATGCAGGTGGGTAGAGAGATCGCGAAATCGCGGGATGTTTGTCAGCGGCAAGTACGTGCGGTGGCAGTTTCAAGGGATGGCCGATGGGTTGTCACTGCTGGTGGACATTCTGGTCGCGGGGAGCTCAAAGCGTGTGAGGTTGAAACGGGCATCGTGAAAACATTTGAAGGGCACTCACAACAGACCTACTGCATCGATATCTCTGCGGACAGCAGGTTACTGGTGAGCGCGGCACTCGATACCTCGGCGCGGATATGGAGCTTGGACACTGGCAAACTGGTAGCTGGACCATTGAAGAGTGATCATTGGCCGGGCGCAGTTCGGTTCTCGCAAGACTCGAAGAAGTTCGCAATGAATTCAAATGTAGGCAAGTGCCTTGAGGTGTGGGATGTTCGAGCACGGAAATTGGAGGTCAAAGTAGGAAAATTTGGTTACGACCCCATGACATATGCGCCAGTCTTCTGGACCAAACAAAATACATCCATCATCGCCGCGTTCAGCTTCACTGATGACCCTGCCAGGTCGATCTATGAGTTTGACGCGTCCACGCTGAAGACTGTCGGATCACCCTTCGAAGGGCACACCATGGTTATTGACGGCCTGGCGCTTTCATCTCAGGGCGCTCTTCTCGTTAGTGCTTGCTACGAAACTATCAAGCTCTGGGCCTTCGAGTCCCGCCAGCTCCTCGGCTCATTCGACGTTCTGCCTACCAACTGCATAATCCTTTCACCTGATTCGCGTCAACTAGCTTACACGACAGGTAGTGATATATACATATGTAACACTCCGGTCGAGGTCCTGGCCAGCGTCGGGCTAGCGTCGGATGCACAGGCTAGTGTACAAATTCTGTCCATATACTATCTCGTCTAACATTCCCTTCCAGACCAGTCCACATAAAAATTCAAGCCTCGGCGATCTACTAAATGTACGCATCTCATGCTTTTGCTCATTACACACTGATTCATTGTGGCCATTGCAGTCTGACGCAACCCGTCGTCCTAATGCCGTGCGCCGTAACCCGGCGATATCGCCTGCCGTGTTTTTCACCCCTAGGCCGCGGGCACCTCCGCCTGCAGTAGACCCGCAGCAACCCGTTTTCGTTCGTCACCTTCGCAAATTCCTTCGCTTGCCTTCTCGCGCAAATGCAGCTTCTCCCGTTTCGAACAATCAGCCTCGTAGCCCTCTCGACGTATGTCTCCTTATATATATATTCCGCCGCAGTTGACTCAAATCATTCTGCAGCCCCCTGCTACATCAGCCTTGCCTCGGAATTTCTTCCCCTCGGCGCAGCCGCAGGCTACGACTGATGTTAGTTCTCACTTTTAATTAACTCGTAGAGTATGGCTGAGTGCGTCTCCAGTTAGGAACAGCCTCTCCGCCCCGCCGCTCCAACGGACTCACGCAGTTTCTTCGGCAGCACCTCAGGCCAAGACCCGGCCACGAGCCACCAGCCGTTGAAGTCGCAGCCGGACGCAAGTTCACTGTAATGTAGAACTTCTTGCCTCTCGTTCCCTTTTTCTGATTGCCCTGCAGCGACTTGCAGCTGCCAATCTACCGGAATACAGGAAAATCGCTGATACCCGACATCCGTCTAGACAGCCTGCTGCGTCACAGGCCACGGCGGCAAACGACCCGCCGTCTGAGTCGTCTGACATCGATTCTCTCCCCGACGTGCATTGGTTCAAGGCATTCTTTTGCTACTACTCTTGTTGGTCTCATGGAAGACTGCGGATGCCTCCGCGATGGCGCTTAGAGCGTGTTTACCCACTCCGCCCGACTGGCACGACTGGCACGACTACTACTTAGCAGTAGTGGTGGCGCTCACCGTCGAAGTTAGCTCGATGTGCACTCCAATACGTTAATTGAATTCCCTGCAACTGAGGATTTCAATGGATGTGTACTAAATCTAAAATTGTGACTTGTAGGCATCATCTTCACGTAGGACAATACATGGCACAAGGTCACACTTCATCTTTGGGTCTCAGCATCAGAGCAACATTGAATGATTAAGACATTGTTGTGAATTCAAAGACGATACTAAATATGATATGTATATTACCGAAAACCAAAAGCAGAGCAGTTGTATACTAAGCTTTCAGCATGAAGACCAAGCATGTGAGATGTCGAATGGTCAGTATAAAAGATGAATAAATTAACGGTTTGCCAATTTATGAACCAATCAAACCGTGACTGACTCCGAGGGCAGCTGTGCTTTCCCCATCAGTCCAGCTAAACTGTGCACGAGCTGATCGATCTGTGTGAGACGTTCACCAAGGCGCAGATCAATCTCAGCAAAGCGAGATGCGACCATTGCAGCCAAATCGTCGACTGGTAAGAAAAGTGACGCGCTTGTCCCGTCCGAGTTATCGACAAGTCAGTCTGATGTCCCACCTGTGTCGTGAGCCCTGTCTTTTAACCTTGATCGACTAGTGTTTGTAAGGGTGGTGCTCTGTGACCACGTCGAAGACATCGCAGAACGCGCAATCGCAGCATAAGGCAATAGGGGTCTGGTTTGTGATGGTAATCAGGCTTCGTGCTCATTTATGATAGACGTTGGACTAGGGGTTCCAAGGCGGGGACTACGCATTCGGGGTCTCTGTATCAACGCAGCTGTAAGTAGTCGACACATCGAACAGCAACGATGACGAGTTCAACGCCAGCATCACTGAAATACAAAATCAGATATGCCGGTTCACGTCATGCTGATGCAGCACTATGGATATCCTCGATATAGAACACACTGGAAATGCTGAAGTCGCACAGGAAGGGATCAGATGACGACAGTCCAGTAAAGAAGGTTGGAAACGTCAGTGAACTCAGACTTGGTACAATATTCGAAATTCAAGACATGGCAATCCCGGCACTGAGACCGGTGCTCGACACAACAGTGCATTGGGTGCTGAAGCAGGTATACAATATTTAATGATGTGCGGCAGCTGTGTGATCGTATATAGGAGCAATGGTAGGCTGTGAAAGGAATTATCAGGACAATGACACCAAGGCGAAACATTAAACGTACAGGTATGTTGCGTTCCCTGCAGAAATTTTGAATTCAATAAAGGACGAATACCAGTAGACACATATCACCACGTACCATTTTGTTCCTCCTGGCATAGACGGAGCTACGAGAAATAAACTTCTTTTAGAGGAGGTGATGTGACGGAGACGCGGAGACTCACGGATATAAGGATCGGGATGCAACTTGCTTGCGAGAGAAGCCTCCGCTTTCTCAAAAATCTGGGCGAGAGCTCTCGGCTCCGTGACGTCACTGATATATGCACACAGTAACTGCCAGTTAGACCAGAGTGACGACCAAAATCGCATCCACGACTGACCGGTTTCGCTCAAACTCGGCTCTAATCATCATTGCACGGCCACGCCAAATATCTCTGCGAACAACCCAGTCCAGCTCGTTTTTCAGCATACGACGGTAGAGTGACTTGACATAGAGCCTGTGGGCCGACGAGAATGAGGTAGACATTGTAGTTGGTGATGAGGACGTGAGACTTATCTGGAATAAAGTATACAATTTTTAGGATAGCCTAATAAAATAATTTATAATAATAGTCTCGCGGCTTTTATTAGTACAGCAACTTTTTCTCCTACACAGCAGACTCGGATGCGAAGCAGTCATAAAGGGTCACGACAATGGACCCGCATTCAAGACACTCCCAGTTCAATCAAAGAACTCCCAAAACTGGGCCATTTTCACCTTCTATGCGATTCGAGCAAACTCAAAAAGTTACCCTAGACAAGTACACCAAAGCATCCTCTTCATCTATGCCATCGGACTCGTCACTGTTCACCTCTCGCCCTATCGCGACAAACTCGCGGGTGAAGCAGGATGAAAAGTTCAAGAAGGATATGTTTCTCGCATATGTGAACAAAGCCCTCCTCGAGAAGCTCAATGTGAGTATGGGTGGCACATCACTTGATCGCGTGCTGATCGTCCTGTGCAGGGCCATAGCAAGGACTTTGATGATCTTGTTGACCAGTTTAGCCCGAATAAATCCACGCTTGCGCCTACCGTGCCATCCACGCAGCTTCGTATTTGGCTCTCCGCACTCTCGCACGTCCTTTCTCGCCTCGAGAGACGTCACGCGCCACTCGTAGAGGCAATCGTCCGCCTACCATGGTCTACCATGGATGCTGCATTCGTCAAATCGTATATCGTATTTATCGGCATGCTCATTAGCGCGCGTCCAGAATATCTGTCGCTTGTTCTCAACAGGATAGCGATGGGTTTCACATATCGTAAGTTCCTACCGCTATGAAAAATATCCAAGCTGATTTAACGCGTCGCTCGCAGAATCTGGTCTTCTCGCCGTTTCTTCTAATTTAGAAGGCTCCACCCCTTTAACGAGACGTGTGATCTACGATCGACAACATGCTCTTCTCGAGCATCTCTTTAACCTCATACCAACTCTCCCATCATCCCTGGCTCCTCTCCTCGTACGAAACTTTCCCCACAAACGACAGCCACAAGCTTCACATGTAGCTTATATACGAAATTTGCTGCGTATGACCGAGTATTGTGGCGAACTTTCAGAGAGGGTCCTGGGTCTGATCGTAGATCGGGCTTTGATGGTCGATGTGAGTGCGATATCCCTTTTCCCTGGTTTAAGCCGATGTTGGTTCCTAATGAATATTTATTTATTTATTAGGTGGAGATTCAGGTAGAGCTCGAAGAGCTTGAAGACTCCGAGCCTACGGACAGCGAACTTTTTGAATTTGATCCATTTGATACCATCGTCGGGCAAGAGGGCGACTCTTCCGACGACGAAGAGGATCTTGACGATAGTCTGAGCGACCTATCATCCGATGCATCATCAGACGGCGATGCTAAAGATGCGCCCACAGACACCAAACACATTCATGACATGGTCTCGAAACTTGATGCAATTCTCAGGCTCGTATTTGACCATTTTAACAAATTGCATTCGTCCATTCCTACCGTCCTCTTACCTTCTTCTTCCTATACACCAAACGCGCACGATCGTGACTCGCAGTCGCATGAACGCGAGCCACATACCCTCCTTGCAACTCAGTTTCACACTCTCCTAGCCATCTTCGACAGGTCTATCCTTCGCACTTTCAAGTCCCGATATACTCAGTTCCTCCTCTTCTGGTACGCTTCCCTTGATCCCGAGTTCTCCGATCTTTTTCTGGGACTACTCGTGGACAAGGCCCTCTTTGCAAGCGCCAGTGCAAATGGCGTGGAGCGTGTTGCAGCGAGTAGTTATATCGGAAGCTTTGTCTCTCGCGCACAGTTTATTGATCGTGAAGGTGCACAGAGAGCAGTTAAAGTCCTATGCGCATTCCTTGCAGCACACCTAGATGCGGTTGAGGTTGGGAATGCCTCTAGCAGCAATCACAGCGTTTTCTATGCGATTGTTCAGTCTGTCTTCCTGATATTCTGCTTCCGTTGGCGTGACTTGCAAGAGGATCCAGATGAACATGAGGTCGGGCGGAAGATATGGATAAGCGAGCTGGGAGTCTTGCAGAGAGTTATCACATCTGACCTCAACCCTCTCAAGGTTTGCTAACTCCTATCGATTCCGGAGATTCTTTGGCTAAATTCTTGTTGCCATAAATAGGTCTGCTCTCAAAACGTCGTGCATCAATTTGCGCGGATCGCGCAAGCCACTGATTTCGCATACTGCTTCTCCATTCTGGAGGCGAACAAGCGAGCACCGTACCCCATGTTTGCTGGTGTAGTGCCCGGTAGCCCTGGCCCAGAGGACCTGCATACCTTTTTCCCTTTCGATCCTTACAAGCTACCGCGCTCGGGCGAGTACATACAAGGCGTGTACCGAGAGTGGGCAGCGGTGGCTATTGGCGATGATGAAGATGAAGACGAGGATGAAGACGACCTGATAGAGGATGGCCCAATAGCTGGTGACTGGGAGCAGGGACGAGACGGCTTGACTATACCCACCACTGCCTCAAAACGCGGAGAGTCAGATGTCGATGGAGGATTGGATGCGTCCTTTGGTGGAATGAGCATCAGCCCGGCTCATAGAAGGACAAGGCCGGTGGCGATGGCGATGGCGATTTCTGTCTCATGATTGCTGGTTGCCATCCTCGATCAGCACACGACCATCATCTACCCACTGCTCATGCCTCCCAGAACAGCAAATTATGCTATTACGAACACCCACGATAAGAAATCAGATGACGGACTGCACTAGAAGATAATATTAAAGAACACATTTCGGAGGCCTTTCCAAAGCTCATGCCGCCGACTGCGGCGCTTCTGCTTTGTACCCCCCACTGCGTCAGTATGCTATAGATGTGGTCATCAGGAGGATTGAAGATTGCATCAGTGGCTGGTCACATACCTCAACTCGGACGTCCGGCGCCATTACCCCCTCGATATCCTCTTGCGTCTCTTCAAGAGCTGCCCACGCCTCTTCTTCAGTTCTTCGCCGTTTCCTATTCGTTTCCTCAAACCGCGTCCGTTCTTCCTCGGCTGCCTGCAGCGCTGTATCAACCGCCACTCTCCACTTCTCAATCCCCTCAATCCGCGCACGAGCGAGGTACACTTGTGTATATGCCCGGTCATCCTTCTTGGGATATGCGCCTTTGGGTCGCTCAGTTTCTGTTTTATGAACATCTGGAGGCTTCGATGCGGGATGGATTGCACTTCCACCGGACATGATGTGGTGGAGATGGCTTAGCGCGAGTGAGTGTGCCGTAGTGGGGTCGTTTCGGTCGTAACGGAGTGAAGGAAGGTCGAAGGAGTGACAGGCGTTCCCCAAAAGTGCAAGGACGATGAGAGAAAGAAACATGTGGGGAACGGCAGGCACTCCCGTTGCCGAAGTTAACGTAACGCCGCCTCGAGGCGACTGTACGGACAAACTTAGCGGTGACGTAGGACATGTTTATATTCCGAGACCAAAGAGAACGCTCCAGAAGCCTCGATTAATAACAATTTTCAGAAGGGATGATTAGTACTTGCTATTGATACCAAGATACCATGTCGCGCGGTATATAATACAACTGGTGAAAGCAACACAAGTTAGAGTGACGCCCTGATGTACGAAGGTGAACTATGATGCGGTAACTGGTAAGTTTGCATACTTGTGAATAGTATTGTTGGATGGTATCTCTGTGGCTGGCCGGACTTTAGATGCCCAGCATCGTCGTCTCCAGGGCTCCTCCCTTTTTGGAGGCTCTGCCGGGAGAGCGTACAGAACAAAGGTAAAGTCGGATAGATCGCCGAGGTGTATCAGACGCATCGTGTTGTTACCAGGCGTGATGGACGAAGTCACGTTCAATGCCCCTTTTTCCTGTAGCAGAAGCTAACTTAATATGCAGGTAGTATCCGCGAACTGCTACATACCAAATCATAGGGAAGCCAGGACCTGCCATTGGCGCTTTCAACGTTCAATTGTACCACGAGGAAGCCTTTGGTAGGCCAATCCTCTGCCGTATTCCTGACTTTGACAAGAGTGGTTTCGAAGCTATCATCTTCCTGGAGCTCATGATGAGGATCCTTGCGGAAACAAGAAAGTTTCACGACCAAGGGAGGGTTTGGGGCGCTAAAATTTCTCATGAGGAAAGTAACCAAGTTAAAACCGCGGAGTCTTGCATACCTATTTGATGAAGACGCGGGAATAATGCGATCTCCCACCATAAAATCGACGTTGAGTATGCCAGGCCGAGTGAGACCCTGACGTCTGAACCAGGTTCCGGGCATAGAGAGGGTTGACATATTCAATGACGGCGATGAGGTATGGGAGTCGGCGGAGGAACATGTTGCTAGGTTCTGAGCATCTGCTGGAGATGGTACTGAGTTTGCTGAGTGACATGTTGGAGATGTGGTCATTTCGATGTCTTCCACAGTATTCGATGACGATGCATTCATTTGATGTGGGGGAGCAGAAGATGTTTGAACATCTGCTGAGTTACGGTTATGTGGGGATGAAGCTTCATCATTTTCCATGTTCTGCTTGACTGGGGGTGTAAAGTCCATGACAATGTTCTGATTGAAATCCTGGGCAGGTGTAGAAGCCTTGTGGTCAATGGGCAGATCTACCCTTGTAGCTTCGCTATCCTTCCGCGACGCGGCATATAACGTGCCATCTGCTGAATCTAGCCGAACACGTGTATTCCGAGTGGATTCATCATGTTCTTCCATGCTGCGCTCTACGTCCTCCTTGTTGATGTGTGCATCAGCTGCGACATCCGGTAGGTGCGGGGCAAGGGCATCCATTTGAAGTTTCATATCTCTAGCTTGTTGCAGAAACTCGCGGCAATGATTATCAGTGAGCATGGCTGCACACTGTTTGATATCAAGAGTTGTCGAAGAGTCTTGAGATTTGGCAGACATAAGAAGAACAGGTGCTAGCTGCTGTCTGCACCTCTCTATAATAGGTACAGATTCGCCACTGTCTGCAGTTGGTAGAGGTTCGCGTAGCATGTCAAAACCAGTGGTTAACAGGCTAATCACTCCAGCTTCGAACGCAGACGACAACAACCCACTACTGGATTCCTCGATTGGGAGGGGAGTTTTATAGGGAAGGTTATGGGCAACCACTGTTGGTCGTGTATGCAAAAACTTCAAAATTGATAGGTCGGTATAACGTAAGTATCGTGGTTGATGGAACTCGTTGCCAGCAACATACCGAACGCCCATTTTGTCTGGGGAGATCCGGAGATGTGATTGTATGCTGTTGGGACCCACACATTCCCGTGTCCCAGCCTTTTAAAGAACCTGACGAGCCATCAGATCCATTGTGTATCCTCAATGCTTCTTCATTCAAGTCCATTCGATCAAGCAACCTCCTTTCTCCAGATGGTAACTCCATGCGCTCTAGCAACGAGGACGATTGTGGGCTGGTCTGGTTGCCCTTAAACGTTTTCCTCTTGGCATATTGAGACGAAGGCGCTCGGGGATTCTGAAAATCGTAAGAAGCTAGTCTCGATCGACCGCGATATTCCGCTGATGATCTGCGCTCCTTTCGTTTGGGTGATGAACTCCAGGGCGGTCGACTTGAAGCTGTTGGATAGACCATCACTGGCGGTGGAGAAGCTGACTCAAAGGACATATAATCAATTGAATATTCGAAGAAGCATCTTGCTCGGAACGAGGAGTGATTCACATGATAACGACTCGGATATGACGGCGATTGCCGACCCGCTGGCAACTTTGCCAGTTCAGCTCGGTCGCGCATCAGGGGACATGGTTATCATAATGAAGCACCACTCGTTAGCTGCCTTCACAGATCCTTGGACCACCGCGCGCACGGCAGTTAAGAGGCCGTCGAGGCGGTGTGCACCTCGAAAGAATTCGAAGTTACTCTTTGTCACAGCCGTGTTCAAGTGATATGACGAAGCTCGTGCACTGGTTCATATTCTATTCAATTGCTGTACTGTTACCCTCGAGGCATCCTTAAGGCTATTGGGTGCAGTGGGGGTTTAAAATCCACGAAGATATCCCTAGAAGCCGGCACGGACACCTTACATCGTCAATCGATTCAGGCGAGTAATGAACTGTGACAAAAGTAATGTTCGTTGACGTCCTGTTGGTGCGACAGACCAAGCAACGACATCTTCCTTTGAAATAGTCATGGGTGGCGGACAATCACACCACGTTGACTGGGCAGCAATTCATGCACGAGAGCAAGCTGAAGCTGAGGCGCGCGCCAGAGCTGAAGCTGCTTGTCAAACAGAACGTGCCGCTCAGGCAGCCCGCGCAGAGGCAGACCGACTCAGACACGAGGCAGAAGCGGCACAGCAACGCTTCCAGGCCGAACAAGCGGAGGCAGAACGGCTCAGACGCGAGGCAGAAGCAGCACAGCAACGCTTCCAGGCTGAAGAAGCGGAGGCAGCTTGGAGGGTGCAAGCTGCCCGCGAAGAGGCCAAACAGGCGGGGGCGGAAGCAGCACAGCAACGCTTCCAGGCCGAACAAGCGGAGGCAGCTCGGAGGGCACAAGTTGCCCACGCGGAGGTAGAACGGCTCAGACGCGAAGCAGAAGCAGCACAGCAACGCTTCCAGGTCGAAGAAGCGGAGGCAGCTTGGAGGGTGCGAGCTGCTCACGAAGAGGCTGAACGACAGCGCCGCGAGAGAGAGCAAGCCGAGTGGGCTGCATGTGCTGCCCAAGAGGCTGCCGCCCGCAAGGCTGCTGAAGCACGGGCTCGCCAAGAACGATAGCGTGCCGAACAACTGGCACGAGAGGCAGAACAAGAGAGGCGTAGAAAAATAGCTGCCAGACAAGCTTGCGATGTTTAATACCTGTTGTAACATACCACCTCTGCTCACAAAAGCCATCATAGGGTAACCGAGTTGCCATACTATTTTCCTTCGCACAGCAAGACAACCGAGCACGATGCCATCCTAGATCGTATAGTTATAACTTAACACATGGTGAACTCGATACAAAGTAGCGCCCAGCCACCGTTCATGAAGGACAAATATTCAAGCAATCGTATCGAGCTCACATCGGAAAAAGGTCGACTGATAGCTAACAGCAACATATCCATGTGGATCATTATTGAAATAGGGGACCAATCAAGTCAAGGAGATCAACGGATTACCGGGATATAACTACAAATTGTGAAGGCGGAGGGATTTTGGCAGATGGAAGGTATTCCACGGGGGTTCAACATCTTGGGCGTGTACTGGATATCTTTGCGCCTAGAGCTGCCACGCTTCCGTGAACAAAGGAGGCAGCAGCTTCTTGACCAGCGGCAATGATGAAAGCAAGATTTGTGTTGAGTGCACGCTTCGCGTCGGGTGCGCTACTTAAAAGAGCAGCCGTGAGTCGAAATCTACACATCAAGCGGCAACGTACTATGCACTACCAGCCTCCCTTTAACATCCATACCGGCTCTTTTGACCTCGACGTATCCGGCGTCGCAGGGTTCTTCGGCGGCGAAGATCTCTGCGATGCAGACCATTCATCTTTACAAGGCCAGAAAATGGCGAGGGTGGTGCAACTCCCTCGGCAGCTGGAACGTCGGCAGGGAGTTCGGAAAACTCGCACATTCCCGTTTCTGGGACGACGTCTTCCCTGGGTCCAACGATGACCCCGCAAAATTCCTTCAGCTTGACGGCAAGCAGGGCCAAAAATACCTTACCTCTAGATCTGGATCCCTCCTGGAGCAGACCGGCCACTTTGCATATTTGATAATGCAGAAATGCAGGGAAGAGCTTGGAGAGACTGGAAGGAAGAACCACGAAACGGAATAAAGTGACTATTATCCCGCAACGCGATCCATTTTTAAAGAGGATCCGCTAGTTCGCGTAATCCAACCTCACAGCGGGCGTCACGCGCACATTGCAATTCTGCCGATAACCGTCAGCTTCATTACATGTGCGCTTTGCGGATGGATTCTGTTGTTCTATGATTCTTCTGGGAATCGTCTCTAATGGCCTGTCTACTTTCGTCATTGGGTCCGCATGTTTAAAGCTGAAAGACGTGAAGCCAGCACAGACGGCTCCGCCCGGAGACGGGATGCTAATGGACGGCGATGACATCGTCATCCTCCTCGGGATAGAGGAAAATGTCGCCACCATCACCAGGGGCAAGTTCATTCTCGAATATGAGCCCTGGGTTAGAAAGAGGAGCAGGAAGGAAAGGCGAAAACGTTCCGTTCCTGGGGACGGGATGGGATCGGTCAGCTCGGATCGCAAAAGCGATGCGGAAGCAGGTCCTCAAGGTAGCCCGCGGCGCAGAGCAGGACGTACCCGTCAGAGACGAGTATGCTTCTATTGGATTATGTTCGCTCCTGCTCCTCGTACAACTCCTCGGTCAAGTGCTCTTGATCCCTCAGGGCACATTCTTTGGCCAAATCATGTTCCTGTCCGCCTTCGCGGCTTCCTGGGCGTACAACTTGTACTTGTCCTCGATGGGTAAGGAGTACATTCAGCAAATGTTACTCTTGGAAGTACTCAATCTGAATGAGCAACATATGCGGACGCACAGCCTGGGCACGAGAACAACTGCCGCTGTATTCGCCTGCTTGATACTCCAGCCTCGCAGTGTTGGCGCAGATCAATGGAAGAAAGCAGGTTTCGAACCAGAAGTTATCATCCACAAATTCATTCCAAATAATACGCCGGTGTGGAGTAGGTGGAGAGAAAAGATCTTGGACTTAATAAGAGACCGCATTCGCAGCCAAGGACATTGCGAACATTTACTTCAGGTGGCCGACAACAAGTCTGAGACCTGTCCATGAGCTGGTAATAGTGGTTGAGAGTATTCTTGGCCAGCCAAACTGCAGAACAAATTGTAGGGCAGGTATTTTTGTTGCAGGAGTATGACGTGATCCATTGCTGGGATCACCGTCGCAAGGTTGGGTGTTGCGCGCGAAAAGTAGTGTTGCGTCCTTTAGAATCTAACAGAGGCAAACAAAACAATGTTAGCACACAGTGGCAGTGCAAGGGTATGGGCTACCCGTACCTGTGCAGTTCCCTAGCTGAGTTGATGAGACACCCTTCATAGTCAACAGACTGCACATCCCATGACAAATGATCCTCTAAGTCAGATCCCACCTACTGAACATCATTTTTGAAAGCTGCAGGGATAATTCCATTGTCAACCTATTCCAGCTCTGCGATGTCATACACCTTTCCCGCCAAGATCTCGTACCCTTCCAGCTGGGGATCAATAGCTGATGGGAATTCCGCAATGCATTGCTCAATCTCATCAAAGGCAGCTGCGACCCATCCTCTGTTAAGCTTTCTGGCCCCTCCAGCTCGTCATCAACCTGGCTTTGGCTCGCCAGTGGAGGTGTCCATGTGAAATTTGCATTGAGATCTGTCGCCAGGTCCATGTCAATGCCACCATTGTTCCGAGTGTGCATGCGTGCATGTTTTTGTCAGACAGGCTGGCTAGTAGTGAGTGCATGCTGGTGGACATGATAGGAATAGTTGTTTTGAAGCTTTCCGACGGTCTCACTTAGTATTACTGATCAAACTGAGCGGCGGATTGATGGCAAATCTATGAAGAAAATCTGTCACAGATTGTCTGAGTCGGCCTCTACCTACTACAAGTTTTGCCACGGACCCCTCCGAGTTTACTGGCAATTGCCAGAGTGGCAAAACTGCCGCAGTATTGCCAACAACACTAGCCGTAGCACCCGGACGCACGGCATAGACAACAGCGTTCTTGATTGAGTAATCAGAGGGGGTTTCTTTCACTCGAGGGGTTTCTCATTAGATTTATCCGAGATCCGAAGATGTGATTGTTGGGACCCACACATTCCCGTGTTCCAACCTTTTAAAGAACCTGACGAGCCATCAGATCGATCATCCATTGCGTATCCTCAATGCTTCTTCATTCAAGTCCATTCGATCAAGCAACCTCCTTTCTCCAGATGGTAACTCCATGCGCTCCAGCAACGAGGACGATCGTGGGCTGGTCTGGTTGCCCTTAAACGTTTTCCTCTTGGCATATTGAGACGAAGGCGCTCGGGGACTCTGAAAATTGTAAGAAGCTAGTTTCGATCGATCGCGATATTCCGCTGATGATCTGCGCTCCTTTCGTTTGGGTGATGAATTCCAGGGCGGTCGGCTTGAAGCTGTTGGATAGACCATCACTGGCGGTGGAGAAGTTGACTCAAAGGACATATAATCAATTGAATATTGAAAAAAAGCATCTTGCTCGGAACGAGGAGCAATTCACATGATAACGATATGACGGCGATTGCCGACCCGCTAGCAACTTTACCAGTTCAGCTCGGTCGCGCATCAGGGGACATGGTTATCATAATGAGGCGCCACTCATTAGCTGCCGTTACAGACCCTTGGACCATCGCGCGCGCGGTAGCTAAGAGGCCGTCGAGGCGGTGTGCACCTCAAAAGAATTCGAAGTTACTCTTTGTCACAGCCGTGTTATGCTATTCAATTGCTGTACTGTTACCCTCGAGGCATCCTTAAGGCTGTTGGGTGCAGTGGGGGTTTAAAATCCACGAAGATATCCCTAGAAGCCGGCACGGACACCTTACATCGTCAATCGATTCAGGCGAGTAATGAACTGTGACAAAAGTAATGTTCGTTGACGTCCTGTTGGTGCGACAGACCAAGCAACGACATCTTCTTTTGAAATAGTCATGGGTGGCGGACAATCACACCACGTTGACTGGGCAGCAATTCATGCACGAGAGCGAGCTGAAGCTGAGGCGCGCGCCAGAGCTGAAGCTGCTCGTCAAGAAGCAGAACGTGCCGCTCAGGCAGCCCGCGCGGAGGCAGAACGGCTCAGACGCGAGGCAGAAGCAGCACGGCAACGCTTTCAGGCCGAACAAGCGGAGGCAGCTCGGAGGGCGCAAGCTGCCCGCGAAGAGGCTGAACGACAGCGCCGCGAGAGAGAGCAAGCCGAACAGGCTGCACGTGCCGCCCGCGAGGCTGCTGAAGCACGGGCTCGCCAAGAACAGCAGCGTGCCGAACAACTAGCACGAGAAGCAGAAGAAGAGAGGCGTAGAAAGATAGCTGCCGAAGAAGCTGCCAGACAAGCTGCCCTCGCTGCCAAGCAAGAGCAAGAACGGCAACAGAGAGTCAGGGAAGAAGAAAACAGGAGACTTCAAGCCCAGAAGGAAGCAGCGGAACGCGCCGCACAGAAAGCCGCCGAAGAAGCCAAGCAAGCTCAAGCTGCGAGAGAGGACGCCGAGAGGAAATTGCAGGAAGGCACCCGACCTGTGGTCACGCCTACCCCTGAAGAATATTCTGCTTTCAGAGCAAAGATCCAGCATACCCAGGGTTTCTTCCATGTCGCCATCAGCGGGATTGCTGGTAGCGGCAAGTCGTCACTCGTTAACGCGTTCCGCGGCAAGCACAACATGGATTTTGATGCTGCCGCGGTTGGCGTCAACGAGACTACTCTTACGGTGGCCAGATACCCTGATCCTAACCCATCCAACCGCTTCATCTGGTATGATGTTCCCGGAGCGGGTACTTTGAAGGTCCCGGATTGGAAATATTTCAATCAACAAGGGCTCTTCGTCTTTGACTGCATCCTCGTCGTGGTCAACAATCGTTTCACTGCCACTGACGTTGCTATCCTTACCAACGCTAGGCGGTTTGGCATTCCCGCTTTCATCGTCCGCTCTAAAGCGGATCAGCACATCAAGAACCTCATGAAAGATATGGGCTACGACAGTGACGATGAAGGCGGGAACAAGGCTAGTTACTTCGCGCGGGCGCGCGACCAATACGTGGCAGAAACCACCCGTAGCATCAGAACTAACCTTCAAGAGGCGAAGCTACCTGATCAACCGGTCTATCTCGTGACGAACGTTGCTTTACAAGCAGTCGTCACTGGCAAGACACCAAAGAAGATGCTGGATGAGGTCAAACTGCTCACAGATTTGGCGGGCACGGCTCCGAGATACCCGTAGGCTCTCATGATACGTTTTTGACCTGCAGATGTTGTGTGCCCTGTATTATATGATCTGTGAATACGCGCGTATCTAGTTGTGGAAGTGTAGGGACCATATTATATCATGATTACTCTTCAACTGACTGTCGTGCTAAATTACCCCTACGCGTCGAACATTCGCAGTGTACACCAAGACAATAGGGATACTGTCGAGCCCTCTTCAACGACATGAATTCCTTCAACCCGACGCGGTTGTCAGTCACCTAGATCTCTTGACCTTCTTCCTCGCTCTCGACCTCGCTCTCATCCGATTCACTTGACTCATAATATGGTTCATTGTCCTCCTCTGCATGAGCGTAAAGGCCAAGTGAGGTTGACGGTGATCTGAAGTCGAGTAGTCCAAGGGTGTCAACTTTGCCGATGGAATCACAGAACTGCTGTAAAGACTCCGCGACATCGATCGGAAACTGGCCTGTGAAGGCAATTTTGAAGAGCCACCGAATTGCAGCTTTTTGATGCAAGTCTGGCATCCATACGTTGTCCTCAACACGATGCCATGCGGTTCCAGCTATGTATCGTTTAGCTACCTCCCACCATCAACATAATTAAGAGTTAGGCGTACATGGAAAAACACAAATATCGAGGGTCGGGCATTTTTTGCCCCATGTCTGGACCATCTTGGAGTCGAATCTATAGTTGGACATACGAGTAAAGCGAGATCGTCCTTGGTTGCGTGTGACACGTATTTGATTGAGGGACTTGAAAAAAGGGAGTGCTGCTTCACATGCATCGAGAAACTGCGCCTATAAACATTGGAGAGCTTTGGAGCGCAGCGAAAACTTACAGCAACATTGGCATCGTGGTGTAAACCAGGTGCCATCCTAGTGAATGCGAAGTTTGTGATATTTGGCAGCAAAGTCGCGACATGCATCAAGGCTTCGGCATTCCAATGGGGACGGCACAAATGAAGCTCGGAAAGCGTTGTGCAATATCGAGAAATGTTCCTGATATAATTCGGGATCTCTTCGTTGTCATCCTCAATCTCTGCAGACAAAAGTGATTCTAGGGGTGCCTCCGGAGAAACCATAAACAGTAAAGGCTCGGGAAGAGCGACGGATTTCACCAAAGAAAGGCGTATTCCACTGAATTCTGACAATGGCACGGATTTCGCATCACTCGGAGATATATGCAGCTCCTGAAGCTGCGGGTGCCTCCTGACAAACGAGGCAAGAGTATGGGGTTCCATTGTGGTCGCGAAGGAATGAAGGTTGGGGAACGTGCAGGCATCTAATGTCAGAGATGCTCCACAGTAAGGAAACATCAACCGGATGCTTTCCACATTGACCATACAAGACAGGGCACGGGATAGCAGCTTGTAAAACGAGGATAAGTAGAGATAAAAGGGTCTGTTGAATGAACAAGTTACACGTATGCAAATCACGAGGCGACATGCACTTACCCTTCTGTAAGGGTTGGGCGGGAGAAGGCTAAACCTGGCCATAAGAGAACTTTGCGGACAGAGACAGCAGAAAAATGGTTTGAGATGAGGGCCTTGCAGATTTTTATCGTTTCACCGTTGCCCGCTAGGGCTAGACACCGGTAGAGCCATCGCGTCGCACGAGGTTGGAAGCGTTTTGAAACGGTACATAGGAAAAATAGAGTCCCCTGTGGTAAGAAAAATGCTATTTCATCCAGAAGCTCGTCTGGGAGGTCAGTGATGGTGCGCATAAGCAATCGAGCTCGAAACGTGGTATCGAAGGTTGCAACGTTGAAGAACTGCCTGACGCGTTGTTTGTTTCTGTTGAATCCTAAAGCCTTTGACAAACAAAGCCAATCCCAAGTCCGAAATCTGATTGGAAACTTGATGGATTTCATCGAGCATTCGATGATCGCTACTACTAATCTCAGCGATGTCATTCAGGTATGTAATGCGAGATGGAATGAGGTGACACTCTGATCTTCGTGCAGTTGGGGGTGGATCAATATCCTTCCCTCAATCTTCTCTCATCGACAAGTTATTCAATTTTAATGCTAACATTGAGCCAGGGATTTTAGGACCACATTGGTAGCAGGATAGCTCACTAGCACAAAAGCCTTAGCCGAATTGCTTCGGAGACTTCATTTGGTCAGTGCTATCCAAAAATCAAAAATCAAAAGTCACGTGGTGACGCGTTGTTTACAAGTATGTACTATTTGTTGTTATGGGTCCAATATTATTTGGCTCATGTTCAAATTTAAACTTGGTTCGAGACTCTTTTCCTTGCACTTCAAAGACTGACGCTTTCCCCCCCTTAGCGCTAAGCCATCTTACTTTTCGGCTTGTTTTGTCACGAAGGCCTTAATACGCCGTTCACGCATCCACGCACCCAACGTTCGCTCAGAAGATCAAATCCAAAGTTAGCATCCATTCGAGAATTTATCAACGTTCAACGATATCAACGACACAATGATTCCTTTTATTCCAACACTTATCCTTGCTTTTATCTCGTTCATATCATCAGCTTTTGTTATTCTTCGCATAGTAATTCCAATTCTTCCACCTCATCCTTTAAGCAGAAGAGTCGCTCCCGTATGTCTTCAATCTCCTCAGAAGCCTCAAATTGCTGATTTTTTTCCCGTGCCTTAGTCCGAGTTCGGACTGCCTAATTATAATTTTCGTTCTCTTTCTTCAGCCGATAAAAGTCACCTGTGGTTGGCTTCACTCGACATCACGGCTCTGGTCGTCTTCATTTGGCAGGCATTCGGTGAATACTATGGTGGCCCTTCAGGATATGGGGAGGCCCGTGATGCTGCATCCTCGGCAAGGTTGTGGTTCGCCTTGACAATCAGGCAAACATGTCTCCTTGTAGTGTCCGCAATCACTCTGATCCACATTCGTATGGGGCGATCAGTGTCTTTCGGATCCAGACACTGGATGCTGTGGGCACCTACCCTGCTACTGGGATTCACATCTACTGCACTCTCTGGTATTATCGCAGGGTCAGCTGTGCCAAGCTTCTTCATTGGACTCTTCGCATATTCCTCTACTATTGCTGTTTTGAGCAGTGCAGCATTTGGCAGTCTCGTGTACACTCTCGTGGTGATTCGGCGCAATCTCGCTGCACTCAATGAGCCTGCAGACAGCTGGCCACCCATGAAAGAAGTCGAGGACAAGCCTCGCCCCTCCTTCTCGACCGAAGACGTTGACGTCCTCAGAGAAGGTAGCTCCTGGCTCACCTCTGATGCTGGCAGTACGCATCAAGACTCAGTGTCCAATTGGTCTTTCTCGACTCATCAAACACATCCCCATTCTGGTTCGTCGCGCGCCAACTCTGCCATGGCATCCAAGGCCTCCCTTGCGCCTAAATCGTCTTACTGGTTTGATCCGCCCACGCCTATGACCAGCGACGCATTGATCCCACCAGTCCCACCCTTGCCATCACCTTACCGTTCATCTTCCTCTCCCACTTGCGCACTAAGCTCTGATCCTGACCCATTCCGTCGCGATGCTCCCAGTCGACCACGTCTCGGCTCGCAGAGCTCATGGTTGACTTCAGCGCCTGGGTCCCAAGTGACACACTCCGCATGGTCCTATCCGACAACTCCCCGAAGTGGCGTCAGCGTAATCGATCTTAATGCTGAGCTTCTTCCCCACGCTACTCGTCCCCTGACGCCTGCTATGTCGAGTGCTCGGGTTCTTGGAGGATACGGCTCTCAAGGTGATTCAGAAAGGGGTATTGCTTCTTTGGCGTACAGTGGTAGTGACGTCGACATATCATTTTACCGGTATGCCTGCTGGATGATGACGATTTGGGTACCTTTGGTAAGTCTCACTTGCTTGGCGTTATATAATTGGCTTTAACAACTGGTCACCAGGCGTTCTCCCTTCCATACTTCCTGTCTTTTATTGGAAATGGCTTCGTATCTTCTGCCACGCCTCTTCTTCTTGCACTCTCCGTCACGATGTCTTCACCTCTCCTTGCCATGAACATCATCATGCGCTCGCCCATTCCCATTCCTACCGGTCTCTTCGATGTTCACGAGGAACCTCCCTCGGTCTGCATGCGTGCGCCCTCTCCGTGCGTCACTCTCGCCAACTACAACTGTGAGTATAAGCGGTCTGGGTCGGTCACAATTGTCGAAGGGAGACGCTCTGGAGATGTCTGGATCTCACAAGGGGACGCCGTGGACGGGAAAAGCAAGCTTAGCCGGGCACTTGGTCTCATGACCCCTGTCCCGCGCCTAGCTGTTCTCCCTCCTGACGATGAAAAGGAAGATGGCGAGATGACGCCCCCTCTCCCGATGCAGATTGAGGCTGAATCATTCAATAATTCTATGTTCCCCAACACGCCCCAGTCTGCGGAGTTCGGGAGACTGAGGAAGGAGTCAGTTCAATCAAGGATTTCAGGCGAGGACTTTGCATCGAGGATTATGATTGCCCAGAGGCACTACTCTGCGCTGGCCACTACGGTTATTGTCCCTGCATCGCCGGAGAAGCAAGATGGTGATTTGCTCACTGTCACCACTGGTGCTGCCGTCGAGAAGAGGACTTCGGTCTCTGCGGGTTCTTCGCACCTCCGCTCCCGTTCTGTTTCCTCGGTCACCATCGGTCAGGCAATCAGCACCGACTACAGCCCCAGCCCCAGCCGACCTCCGTCTCAACCGCTTCCTCCCACGCCTCCCAACGTTCGTCTCGCCAAGCAACAATCGATGCGCACTCTAATCCATCGGAAGTCGTATTCGTCTGGCTTCAGTTTCGGTGCCGCCGTCAACGATGATGTTAACGAGATCGACGCACTCACTGCTGGTGTTCTTCCGCTCCTTGTGCCTGGCTTGAAGGTTGGAAGTGATATGAAGATCAAGGATTTCGAGTTCGATCCCCCGATCAGCAGCACCGTGACGAAGAAGAAGCGCCTACCTGCCTCCCATACCCAGAAGGATAATGGCGACTTTGGTGTGCTCGCCGGAGACCGGGAGCATAACAACGGCAAGGCGAAGCCCAAAAGGACGTCTACGCAAAAGAGACATCACTTTAGTCTTCCGAGGTAAGGTAGCTCCTGACCCCCTCGTTGATCTTCTCTGACATTTGCTGTGCAGTCTCGGTCTTGGCAAGGACACTGTTAACTCTTTGAAGTGTGAGATCAATCGTGCACTTGCCACACAGATTGGCGGGTACGCCAGCGTAAACGATGCGAAGCGCAATACAGTTTGGGAGGACGAATCAGTTCCCAACCTTCTCGTACATCCCCCCACGAATGATGAGAACCAGCCTGCTCCGAATGGCGCCTCCCTCGGCCGCTCGATATCTACTCGTACTCTTGGTCTTCGTGTCGAAGTTCCTCACGGCATGGACAGTGCACGTACCTCCGTCGCTACCCTTTTTGACGCCGAGAGAACTTTGCTTCCCCCGCCATCCGCTGCATCCACGGTCACTCTCTTTGACCCGATGGCTGAATTCGATCCTACCGCGCAAAGCACACCACACGAAAAAGAATATCAATATACACGAAAATATCAAGCTGCCGCTATGCCTCGCTCTCAACCGTCCTCGAAACGCTCTAGTATCATTTATATCAAATCGTCCGAAGAACACGCTCAGGCCCCATCAGAACCAGAAACTCAATCCCCCATCGAACAAAATAACGCCAACGACATATCACCTCGCACGCTCGCACAGTGGTCCTCCCGGGTGGTGAAACCACTTGTACCCAAGTCTAGCAAGCAGCGCAAGGAGGTCGCCGAGACCGCAATGAAGTCGGGCTCAAATTCTCTTCGCACACTCTCCCTCCTTAAAGATCGTGATTCGAACCATGATAGTATCGGTGATGTCGCCGGTACTGGGTTCGCAGGTACACGACCGCTTGTTCTTGGAAAGAAGAAGTCAAAAACGGTGAAAGAGCATGATGAGAATGTCGCTCCCAGTACTGGTTCTGCGAACAAGTATCTGAAGCCGCTAAAGCTTAGTCGCACCGAGTCGAGCAAGGCTCGTGGGATGCTTCGCAAGGACGAAACAATCCCTAGCGTGTTCGTTCGCCCACCATCCGACCGGATGGAGTCGATCTATGAGGTTCGGTGAACTCTGACATGACCTTTTCATACTCCTCGATTCATTTTCTGTTTACTTTGGGTTTTTTTGTTGCTTTTATGACCGTCCGCTTTCACTTTGCTTCCGTCCAAAGTTCGCTATCGTACTTTTTTGATGATTTTTATTCCACTTCAAAAGTTCAAGTTGATTTCCACGTTTTCCCGCAGTGCGTTTGGTTTGCTATCAAGTTTTCACATACAAGTTCAATTGCCATGAAGTTAACACTGAAAATACTCGCATGTATCGTCGACGCTGTATGTACAGCTACTATGCTTTTACCTTTCAATATTATGCGATCCTTCTCGTACACCAGAGTTGGTTTGACCTCATCGACTTGTCACAGTATTGCTGGCGATCAGCTAACCAAGTTATCAATCCATATCATGATGTATGATATCGGCGCTAAGGTAGAGAGGGCCGGGTAACAAAGGAACTTCACGGATCATTCCAGCTCATGCAAAGGCGAGATTGTTGAGCTCTGACGAATCGGGAGGAACGGAAGACGAACCGAAGAGGAAGTTAGCGATGTCAGAGTAAGACATAACGAGCGCAACCAAGCTGAACGACGAGGCGACACAATGACGTCGGCCGAGGCTCGTCATAATTGGACTACTTATTTCTATGATATTTCTATGACATCCGTTATTTAGCGTATCCATACTAACTACGTATAAAGCTACGAGTCTGGCATTCGGGCATCTCAGTTTCTAACAGATACTGAGATGTAAGCCATTATATTTTCCCTTACTATACAAAGCGCTAACGAGATGTAGTATACATTCTCTTATCAGGTACTATAGCTGTGCTACCAGTTTCTAACAGATACTGAGATTATACATTCTCTTATCAGCTCTTACTCCGTTCCCGCTCGCCTGTGATCACCACAGAGATTCCTTCAGCCGAAAGCCCCTTCAGTGTAAAGATTGGTGAACAGTCGACACATGTCTTGGACCGTTTGATTCTGAGGGAAGGTTGAATGCATAGTTCAAGTTACAGTGATATGGCAGAAGTCAATATCCATACTAGGTAAAAAGTTACTGGAGGACACCGGGATATTCCGTTCCATGGTTTCAGTCCTCCTTGCCGCCGATCGACCCAAGTCTACGCTGCTCTGCCGTGGCCTGATCGTATGCGGTGCGAGCGTCCACCAGGAGTTGCTCGAGAAGGTATATGTCATCCTTCTTCATCCTCGCTTCATCCTCGGCGTTCACCTGGAGCAAACCGTAGCAAGCTTCTTGGTTGCGTTCGCGCTCGCTTATTACGCCCAAGACCTTTTGTCTCCATGTAATCCACACCTGCGTATCATTTGGAATCAAATGTTGGATGATGGCTGCTGGTTTGAAACTCTCCCATTCATCTGCATCATTGCCACGAGGCTGGAGCATCAAGCATGCGAATACAACAGCAGTTGTTCTCTTGCCTGGGCTGTACGGCTGCATATGCAAATCGAGTACATCTAGGAGCAACCTCTGTTGAATACACTCCTTATCCATCGAGGACAAGTAAAAGTTGTACACCCAGGAAGCCGCGATGGAGGACAGGAACATGATTTGGCCGAAGAATAATGTGCCCTGGGGGATCAAGAGCGCTTGACTGAGGAGTTGTATGACGAGCAGGAGCGAACATAATCCAATAGCGGCATACTCGTCATACTCGTCTCTGACGGGTGGGTCATCACGGTATGAAGGACTATCTTGAAGACCTCCTTACGCATCGTTTCCGCGATTCGAGCTGGCTGATCCCATCCCGTCTCCAGGAACGGAACATTTTCTCTTTTCCTCCCTGCTCCCCTTCTTCACCCAGGGCTCATATTCGAGAACGAACTGGCCCCTCGTGATGGTGCCGACGTTTCCCGCTGTCCCGAGGAGGATGATGATGTCATCGCCATCCATTAGCATCCCGTCTCCGGGCGGAGCTGTCTGTGATGACTTCATGCCTTTCAGCCCTAAACATGCGGATCCTATGACCAAGGTAAACAGGCCATTAGAGACGATTCCCAGAAGAATCATAACACAACAGAACCAGTCGTATGTCCATCCGCAAAGCGCACATGTAATAAAGCTGACGGCCATCGGGAGAATGGCAACGTGCACGTGACGCCCAGGTGGGATCGTGCGAACTGGCCGATTCTCTTTCACAGATGGATTGGGTTGTGTCTGGATAATAGTCACTTTAATCCGTTTCGTGAGACCTCCTTCCACCTGCACTTCTGGCTCCTTGCAGCTTTGCGTTATCAAATATGCAAGGTGGCCGGTGTGCTCCAGGGAGGATCCAGATCTAGAGGCGACATATTTTGGCCCCTGCTTGCCATCGAACCCAAATAATTTTGTAGGGCCTTCATGGAGCCCAGGGAAGACTGTGTTCCAGAAACGGGAATTTGCGAGTGTTCCGAACTTGCCAACAGTCCAGCCGCCGGGAGAGTTGTACCATCCCAGCCATTTTCTGTATTCGTAGAGATGAATGGTCTGCATCCCAAGGACGGCTTCTTCGCCGCCGAAAAACCCTGCGATGCCGGGTGCATCGAGTTTAAAAGAGCTAGTATTGATGTTAATAGGAGGCATGGTACGGTTTTGTAAAAGACAGTAAGCGTCTAAAGAGAGAGAACTCGTATGAGTTCCCCAGTCGAGTATAAGAGACTTTATTATGTACCTAAAGAGAGAGAACTCGGATGAGTTCTATAGTACATCAGTAAGGAGCGTGTTAGGTATACTAAGACAAGGCTTACCCCCAGTCGAGTATTAGAGACTGGGGAAAAGACGGCAAACGAGTGTAGCGAAAGTATCGTCGTACCTGGGGTTCCTAATATGGTAAGTCCGCTGGCGTAGACTGAGTCTAACAAGAAGAAAACTATGTACTGTGTTGACGGGTTGATTTCCAACAGTTTGATGTGTAGAATTCGGCTCACAGCTACTCTTTTAAGTAGCACACCTGATAGGAGGCATGCACTCAGCACGGTTGGAAGTGTGGCAATTCTAGATCTACTGATCCCGTTGAACTGATTGGTCCCTATTTTGATAATCGTCCACATGAAATACTGCTGTTACTTGTCAGTTCAAGTTCACCATGTGTTTTCACAACACAATCCAGGGTGGTGGCCACGGGCTCAGGGTTTCTTGGTGGATCAATCGATGGCAAATACCGCAACCCCATGATGGCTTCTGTCAACCATGAGTGAAAACCCACAAGTCTGTGAGCATCTTCATCATCGCATTGGTGTTCCAATCACTGCCATAAGATCGCGAGAGCAGCATCATTCAGAGTACGATAGTTACAGCATATCGATAAATACTGCTACATATACAACGTCAGCAATCAAAACTGAAATGCAAAGGGGATGTATGCGAAAGCACTAGAAGCAGAAACACAACCGGCCGCTTCTATGTTCTCCAGTGTTGATATGCCCAGCTGAGGATGGCTGTTGTGAATTAGGGTCAAAGTCTTCGTCACGTATCTAGTTATTGTCATTACTGGGAGCACCCGCTATAGCGATGCGTTGCAAGTTGATGCATGAGACTTAGGTGACAGTGATAAAAATGAACCGAACATACCGATTGACCCGGTGCGAGAGGAACATCGACAATAGATGGTTGTGTAGGGCCAGAATGAATGGGCCACCAAGATGATAGGTGGCGTAGGTGGGCTTTTAAAGGTGGGGGAAGGGTAGTTGACGGTGCTCGAGACTAAACAAATGTGAGCGGATAATTGTAATTACAGGACTGGACAGAGCCTCACATGCTCGGGAGGACCCATGTCTGAATGACCCTGAGTTGTAACCCGGGCCCCCGGGCCGAAGGAGAGATAGGTAGGGCCGATGTAGCAGGGAACTGCAGAGTGATAATCGAACCAACTGCGGAGGAAGCAGCGTAAACGACATACATCTAGGAGATCGCGAGGTTGATGACTCCGAACAGGAGGAACTGCGTTCAAGAAAGGAAGGAGTTTGCGGACATGGTGAAGGAACATGGATTGCTGCGGGTCTATTGTATACAATAACCTTTGAAGCCTGAGGAAGAAAGGTGTGGAAGGCGGCGTCACAGCAGGACGGCGGGTTGCGCCGGACTACGATGATTGATGTGAATTAATACAAAGTGAAAGGAACGTGATGCGTACCTCGAGTAAACGCTCGATCAATCTTCGAGAGACGGTTGGCTCACAGAATATGAATTCATGTGGGTAAATGCGTATTTGGGTGAGGGTGGAGTATACTTCTTGTGCAGGCCAGATGCTAGCAAGAACGCTGAGTGGAGTGTTGCATACATATATCTTATAATTAGCTTCGATGTGCCATGTCGTGTAAGCTAATTGGCGTGAGTCAGGTGAGAGGATAGCATTGATGTAGTAAATATCTTCATCACAGTCAAAGTATGCGATCCGCTGGCAGGACTCGAAGGCCCAGAACTTGATGGTGTGGTGACTGGTCCCAAGAAGCCCTAGTGAGCCTAAGTGAAGAGAGCACAATCAAATGAAAGTGCTAAACCAACGACACGGCGGTTGGTGTACGCTTTGAAGGGAACCCCAACAGTCTCCAGCGTCGACGTGTTGAACTCATAGCTAGATCTTGGCGAGGTCGTTAGCATCCGTGAAGCTGAAATTAATGTTCAATGCGGTCAACATGTTTTTGTTTTTTTTTTGTCCAGGGACCAGAACATTGGCAAATCTGACATTCGATGTCTGTGTTTCGACATCCCAGATCTCAAGGCAATTGCATGTCCCCAGCTCTGAGTTGACTGCGAGCTTCTTCGAGTTTGTCGAGAATCGAACTGCGCCTACCCGAGCAACACTGTTGAATGAACCAGCCACAAGTTTGCCAGTCTCCAAGCTCCATATCCGCGCTGTCTAATCCCATGACCCGCTCGCCAGCAGCGTGCTGTCCGCCGAGATATCGATGCAGGTGATCCCTTGCGAGTGACCTTGAAATTTTTTTATGATGCCGGTCTCAATCTTGCAGGCTTTGAGCTCCACGCAGCTGCCCACACCTCCTCAATCTCCTTACCCGTTTCCCCATCGCCGAGTGGTCTTATCCCGGGATCTCCTGGTTATTGGCTTGCCGTCTATAACATAGGAAATGGACGCAGTAAAGCCTGTGTGACCCTCCAAGGTCATCATTGGTGTCAGAGTCGTCTCGGTTGCCGCAGTTGGCAGGTTCAAGTTGTGATGACGTGGAAGCCATGGCGTGTGTCTTCTCCCGTGGTGGTTGAAGTCGCCTAAGACGAGCAAGGTGTTCTTGCAATGCGTTGTGTACGGCGAGCTCTCGTGTTCTGTAGGCCTGATACTGACAGTGATATTACAGATGCCCACCTTGTTCGAAGCCCCGCTGTCGCTACCTTGCCTACTCACGGTCTTCACTTTTTTCCATGACGCTCAAATGGCTCCGATCATGATGTTATTATAAGCAGCACAGCGAAGAAAACTGATTGAAATCAAGCATTCTCTTCTTACTATCGTCATCATGATGCATCCAACCACATTCAAAATCTTCACCTTATGTCCTCGGACCTCCCAGGAGGCTCGCCGACATCCTGCTTGGTTGCATAGGCTGCGTGCTGGGCCAGTGGCACGTCGAAGAAAATAACGCCAGCGTACGTTGTGCCGCGCCTTTCTACTACTACGATGTGACTGCATGGACTACTATATGCAAAACCTATTCGTAAAAAATTAAATGGCATGGTTCCCTATTCCAGACAGCTGATAAACGAGTGTAGTATCCTTATGGTATCGTCCCATTGGCAAGGCTCGGCGAGCATCGCCGGTCACGGGTCTCCTTATACCCTTTTAACGCATCATCTGCGTCCTGCAGAAGAGTCTTCAAAAGTGCTTGCTCACTGCCACTAAGCCCCGCCACATCAACATCTTCAGGGATACTCATCTCGCCCTCTTCTTTCTCAACCTCAGCTACTACGTGCTGCCTCCACTTCTGCCACACTGGCGTCTCGTTTGGCAAAAACTCCAGCAGAATTTTCATCGGCTCGATGCCTTCGAGAGGTCTGTCAAGACCTTCGCAAAGAACGAAGCATGCAAATGCAGCCATGCTGGTTCGAGTGCCAAGCTGATAACTGTGCATGGCTTCCGGGTCAAGTTTGATACTGTCGCAAAACAGTTTCCGTTGTATTTTCTCTTTCTCCAGGGACGCGAGGAAGGAATTGTACGCCCAAGATGCGACAATTGAGGTCAGGAACATGACCTGACCAAACAGCGATCCTTGGGGAATGAGGAGGAGCTGCAGTAGAAATTGCACTTTGAGGAGCAGCGAGCAAAGCCCAACAGCTCGGTATTCTGGGTTTCCCTTAAGCTCCAGTGAAAATTTCCCCTTCGTGATCGCATTCACATTCTTCTCCATTCCCTTCAAGATGATGACCCCATTATGCGTCAAGAGCATCCCGTCTCCTGGAGGGGAGCCCTGCGCTGGCTTCGTGACCGTATCAATCTTGAGGTCTCCGGAGCCAATGACGAAACATGTGACACCGTTGGCGATGATCCCGAGGAGGATCATCGCAGAGCAGTACCAGTCGGCGACTAAGGCGGAAAGGATGCATGCGGTGAGGCTGACGAGGATGGGGAAACTGGCGAGGACGGCGTGGTGGATGCTCATGGTTTGGACATGAAGGGTCTCATAAGTGATTTCAGGGACCGTGACGACAGAGACTCGTGAAACTGATGTCTCTCTGGTGTGAGGAAGTGGGTGTGGTTTTAAATCATTCGTCTCCTGCGTTAGGAGATACGCAAGATGACCAGTCTGCTGTATGACAGTTCCCGAGCGTGGCGCGACATATTTTGGGCCAGTCTTCACGTCCAGCTTGAATGCAACGGCTGGATCATCGTTGGGCCCAGGAAAAAGGCCATCCCATAATCTTGAACTGGATATCCTGCCGAACTCCTTGGCTATATTATAACTGCCGGGAGAGTTGTACCAACCGAGCCATCTCCGCCCCCTGTACAAATGTACAGTGGTCATGGCAGCGATAGCTTCCTCGGCACCAAAGAAACCGGCGACGCCAGAAGCGTCAAGCGTGAAATTTGTAGTGTGTACAATTGGCCGGATGAGTGGAGGCATTTCAAACGAGTCAGGAATTTTGAGCTTGTCATCGGGTTGCCCGTCACTAAATAGGAGGAAGTGCATGCTCAGACGCCTCGAGCACAATGTATGACACACTGCTTCTGGAGGCCGGAGTATATCTCACACCGGCAGTGAGAAACCACGACTTCCTCTGACATCGCGAGCGGTTCGGGGTGGTGAACACTGGACCACAGTCAATCTCTCTGAACCCTAACCAATTCCTGTGGCACCAGCGTCAGAGACCCATCCTGTAGAACTCGTTAAAAAACCCACGATCTCATTAATGACATATCACATCGCGAAAAGCACGCGATTACGAGACCACAATGGCTGAGCGTTCTGAACCCTGATTGATCACCTCCCTGCGGTGTGGAAGGTCGCCTCAGTGTAATCTGCGCCGGCGTTAAAATACCATCCTGTAGGTAGAAGTATAATGGAACATACTTGGCTTCTTCTTTGCAACGGGTCGAGGGACAGCACTGGCTCAAGAAGCTCCGGTTCACTCGGCGCCATGAATATCCGAGCCGTACTTCCGAGTCAAACGAAGTATAGCCAGGCATAATTCTTGCACGTTGCTTGCACTGTGCGATACGATGAATAGCCCTACCTGTTCAGTGATTGTGTACCATATTTATCCTGCAATAATGTAACATCCTCAGTGAATTGAAGTCAGGCAGCCACAATATTGCACGAACTTGTGCCATTTGATACAGTCACCTACCGGAAACCAATGTAACGAAATTTCAATTGACCGCCCAGACCGCGGCTCATATACAGATGTCCTAGTAAACCGTAACGAGTGGTATTTGCACGTGAAGCTTAAGTTGATGAGTCGATGAGGCTCCAGCGCTCCTGTCAGTGAATTCATGAGTCCTTGACATTGTAGCCGTGGAAACTATAGAAGGATGTAATTCTGAGATGGTAGTGTAATAGTTCCGCAAGTGGTAGGCATGACTCGTTCAGATGGAACATCAGATTTTGCACCAACTACCTCTCGATCCTTCGGCAAGTTGCAAACCTGTGCATGTGAATTCAAATCTCCGCTTTCCTTTATAAAGTCAAGCATCACAGTGCAACGGCCGGCATCAGAATTATACTGATGTTGGTGATTGTCTACTATACGTTGTAATATATGTCCTTCTCACGTTCCCACCAGTTCAAGCCTTTACTAATGTGATTGCACTGTGACGCTTGCCTGATTGAGTTGTGGTGGAGTTTGAAATTCGAAAAACACAGCGAAGTACTTCGCGCACGCCGCAAGCTACAACCCAAGGGTTTCAATAACTTCAGTGGTGTGTATAGATACTTGCGTATACACGCTCTTACTCACCCTTCGGGTTTAGCAAAACGGCTATCAAACGGAACGGCATGCTGTTATCACAGTTCAAACTTTAAGCGGCACAAGTATCATGATGTACAGCGTTCCTCGAGGTGCTTGAAATTTGCCTTCTGAAGAACCGAAGCTATACGAAGGAGGAACCGTCTTCTTTTAGTCAGGACGCCCGGCAAGGTGCAGCCTCATTTCGTGAAGTCTTCTGCTCGGTCGACGGTCGTAGAACAATCGTGGAATTATGAATTTAGAAATCTTGATTACTACATAGGAATCAGCTAGCTCAAGGTGTGATTTTTTCGAAGTGGTTCAGAGCGTGGTAACAAATTTGTGTACAGGAACTTCATCCCAGGCCCATGCAAAGGCGCGATTCCTTCAGCCCCTTCGGTGTAAAGAATACTGGTGAGTTGTCGATGCATATCTTAGACCGTCTGATTCTGACGGAAGGTTGCGTAATTATGTAAGGTACAAGTCACTGGTGGACAAGATACTACTTCGTTACATTGTTTGAATTTTCCATGCCGCCGACCAACCCAAGCCGACGCTGCTCTGCCGTGGCCAGATCGTATGCAGTGCGAGCGTCCCCCAGGAGTTTATCGACAAGGTCCTTTGTCATCCTTCTTGAACATCGCTTCATCCTCGGCGCTCACCTGGAGCAAACCGTAGCAAGCTTCTTGGTTGCGATCGCGCTCGCTTATTACGCCCAAGACCTTTTGTTTCCATGTAATCCACACCTGTGTATCATTCGGAATGAAATGTTGGATGATGGCTGCTGGTTTGAAACTCTCCCATTCATCTGCATCATTCCCACGAGGCTAGAGCATCAGGCAGGCGAATACAGCAGCAGTTGTTCTCGTGCCTAGGCTGTACGTCTGCATATGCTGCTCATCCAACTCGAGTACATCTAGGAGCAACTTCTGTTGAATGTACTCCTTATTGATCGAGGACAAGTACAAGTTGTACGCCCAGGAAGCCACGAAGGAAGACAGGAACATGATGTGGCCGAAGAATGTCCCCTGGGGGATCAAGAGCACTTGACCGAGTAGTTGTATGACGAGCAGGAGCGAACATAATCCAATAGCAGCATACTCGTCTCTGACCGGTACGTCGCACTGCGTTGGTCTGTAGTCTGGGGGGCCATCTCGAGGACCTGCTTCCGCATCGCTTTTGCGATTCGAGCTGGTCGACTCCATCCCGTCTCCGAGAACGGATCGTTTCCTCTTTTCCTTACTGCTCCTCTGCCTAACCCAGGGTTCATATTCGAGAAAGAATTTGCCCCTAGTGATGGTGGCGATGTTTGCCTCTATACCAAGGAGGATGACGATGTCATCACCGTCCATTAACATCCCGTCTCCGGGCGGAGCTGTTGGTGCTGGCTCCACGCCTTCCAGCTTTAAACATGCGGACCCTATGACAAAGGTAGCCAGGCCACTTGATATGATTCCCAGAAGAATCATAGAATAACAGAACCAGTCGTATGTCCATCCGCAAAGCGCACATGTGATGAAGCTGATGGCCATTGGGAGGATTGCAACGTGCGCGTGACGCCCGCTGTGAGGTGGGATCGTGTGAACTGGCGGATTCCCTTCCACAGATGGATCGCGTTGTGTCTGGATAATAGTCACTTTACACCGTTTCGTGACTCTTCCATCCATCTGCACTCCTAGCTCCTCCTTACATTTCTGCGTTATCAAATATGCAAGGTGGCTGGTCTGCTCCGGGAAGGATCCAGATCTAGAGGCGACGTATTTGGGGCTCTGCTTGCCATCAAGCTGGAAGAATTTTGCGGGATTTTCATTGGACCCAGGGAAGAGGCCGTCCCAGAAAGGGGAATTTGCGAGTTTTCCAAAATCCCTGCCGACGTTCCAGCCGCCGGGGGAGTTGTACCATCCCAGCCATTTTCTGTACCTGTAGAGACGAATGGTCTGCATCGCAGAGATACCTTATTCGTCGCCGAAGAACCCTGCGACGCCGGATACGTCGAGGTCAAAAGAGCCGGTATGGATGTTAAAGGGAGGCTGGTGGTGCATAATACGTTGCCGCTTGATGTGTAGAATTCCACTCACAGCTGCTCTTGTAAGTAGCGCACCCGATGCGAGGCGTGCACTCAGCACAAATCTTGCTTTCATCATTGCCGCTGGTCAAGAAGCTGCTGCCTCCTTTGTTCACGGAAGCGTAGCAACGCTAAGCCCAAAGATATCCAGTACATGTCCACGATGTTGGACCCCCGTGGAATACCCTCCATCTGCCAAAACCCCTCCGCCTTCACAATTTGTGGTAATATCCCGGTAATCCGTTGATCTCCTTGACTTGATTTGTCCCCTATTTCAATAATGATCCACATGGATATGTTGCTGTTAGCTGTCGGTCGACCTTTTTCCGATATGAGCTCGATATGATTGCTTGAATATTTGTCCTTCATGAACGGAAGCCGGGCGCTAGTTTGTATCGAGGTCACCATGTGTTAAATTATAACTATACGATCTAGGGTGGCATCGTGCTCGGTCGTCTTGCTGTGCGAATCGATGGAAAATAGTATGGCAACTCGGTAACCCTATGATAGCTTTTGTGAACAGGTGGTATGTTACAACAAGTATTAAACACCACAGTGCGGTTGATGTACTTGTTTCTCTGTTGACGAAGAAATGTGACCATTGTCTTTGATCTTATGTACGTGCTCCTGATAACCTCTATACGCATTTTGGGCATCCTGAAGCAATGACTTCAGAAGGACCCTTTCATCTTTGAACCCTCGTAGATCATCGGGGCTAAGCTTGAACGATTTTTCTTCGTCGTTATTTTCTAGTTCCTTCGTCACTTTGTCTCTCCATGTATTCCATACTCTCGTGTCGTTCGAGATGAAACATTCCAAGACCTTCTTTGGCTTGAAGTCAACAGATGGCTTTTGGACGCCATCGCTGAGAACTAAACATACAAAAACTGCTTGAGCAGCTCTGCTTTTGAGCCCAAATTTCGACATTCGTGGATCATGAAGCGCTTTCCACAGGATATCGACTTGTATTTTCTCCTGCTCTAGTGATGACAGAAATGAGTTATATGCCCATGAGGCTGCAAGTGATGAGATGAACATGATCTGTCCGAATGTCGTTGCTAGAGGAATGAAAAGGAGTTGGAGAAGGAATTGCGCGAGGAGGAGAAGCGAGCAGAGTCCAATTCGTCTGAATTCCGGGCCGCCATCCATCCTCAGGACAAATGTGCCTTTCGTTATTGGATTGATGTCTTTCTCTGCACCTCTGACGATTACCACGTCGTTTCGCGTCAGAAGTATCCCATCTGCAAGCGGGGTGCCCGGAGCAGCTTCCTTGACGGAAGCAAATTCGAGTCGGGCAGAGCCGATGACAAAGCACGATGTGCCGCTTGACATCACTCCTAGCAGGATGAGGGCAAATGCTAGCCAATCTCCTGAAGCTGCGGACAGAGCGCTCGTCGCAAGACTGATGACGATCGGGATAGCGGCCAAGAGAGCATGATGGATGCTCATCATCGGCGCCTGATCCGAGTGCTTTAGCATCACGTCTTCGACATCGACGATGGTGACGGACAGAGGTGTGGTCTCCCTCCCTTCCACTTCTACCACCTCCTCAACTTCTTTGGCCTTCTGTACCACGAGGTACGCCAGATGACCGGTGGACATATCTGTGCCCGAAAAAACACCCCAATAACGAGGGCCAGGTTTCCCATCTAGTCCAAATGCCTCAGCTGGTGTGAGATTTGGACCAGGGAATAGACCATCCCAAAATCTTGAGTTAGCGAGCTGCCCGAATTTTTGGCGACAGTATAGCTTCCTGGTGAATTATACCAGCCTAGCCAGCGCCTCCCGCGGTAGAGATGGACAGTAGCCATCGCTGAGATCGCTTCATCCCCACCGAAGAATCCAGCGACGCCCGATGTATCGAGATTGAAATGCGTTGGCACATTCAAGGTGGGCATGGTATTTATAAGTTGCTGAAAAACCTCATACGAACGCAGTACTCCTCTAGGCGCTAACTTGGTGGGAATTTTCCATTCTACTACTAAATCAAATGACGAATGCATATTGATGCTAATCTGTAAATGCATATTGACTACCACGAATTCTAGTGTCGACACAACTGTCCAGTAAGCATTTTCGAATCCTTGTTGCACTTGTCGCATAAAACCATAAAACCATCTCCAAGAATAATCCTCGCCTTAACGATCAGCTGTGGGCAGTGGCGCGTACGCGGGCTGGTTGAACGCCGACCCTCTTGTCGAGGGACTCCTCGTAGGACTTAAAAGCCTTTCACTGGAGCCATGACGTTGAGACAGGGTGCCGAAGGGGGAAACAGAATCGGATGATTTCTTCAAGAACTTCTCGTTGTAACCCCTGATGGCCTCCTTCGCGTCATCCAGGAGTTGTTTGAGTAGCGACTTTTCCTCTTCGGTGAACCCTGCATCATTGCAACTTTCCAGTGGCTTCAGTTCCATGCCCACACCCTCCGCATTAATATACCCTCCTACGTGCTCTCTCCACCGATTCCATACCGCAGTTTTATTCGGCAGAAAACAGTTCAGGAGCTTGATCGGGGAAGGCGGTCGTAAGACAAGCGTGGCGAATACCGCAGCCGTTGTCCTTGTGCCTAGCTCAAACCTCGACATGGACCCCACATCCACATTCAGCGTCTTGAACAGTAGCTCCTGTTGGATCTTTTCCTTGTCAAGGGACGACAAGTACAGGTTGTAGACCCAGGAGATTACGAATGACGAGAGAAACATGAGCTGGCCGAACAGCGTTCCTTGGGGGATTAGAAGCAATTGCAGCAATGATTGCATGCCGAGCAGAAGGGCGCCAAAATCCAATGCCCCTGTACTCTTCGATCTCAGGCGTTTCCTCAACCATTTTGGCGCCCCTTCTCTTCCGGCGCCTGCTCTAGATCCGGGGTTGCACCAGAAGGCTCCCTCGGCAGCCCAGGGCTTCTCTTCTTCATCCACACTCTCGGGAGATATTCCAGGTAAACCCTCCCTTTTGTGATCCCGTTTACGTCTTCTTCTGCTCCCTTTAAGATGACGATGTGGTTTGAACTGTCATCGACCAACATCCCGTCCCCAGGAGGGGCGTTATCCGCTGGCTTGACCCCCTCAAGGACTACAGATGCTGAGCCAACAACAAGACATGTCAAACCGTTGGAAATGATACCCAGGAGAATCATCGCGAAGCAGTACCAGTCATGGTCATACCCACACATTGCGCATGCAGCTAAGCTTGCTGAGATGGGTATACTGGCCCACCATTTTTTATGATCTAAGACGTCAACGATCATGGTTGGAGTTTCCTTCGACTCTGGGGTACGAGTCTTAGACAGCGGGTTCGTGGCTTCGACGACCGTCAAGGTTACTGGTTTCGACTTTCGGCCTTGAACTCTTATTAAGGGTAGAACCTCCTTGCTCTTCTGTGACACAAGATACGCAACGTGAGTCGTCTTCTCGATGATGGTGCCGGACTGGGAAGCAATGTACTTGGGACCCAATTGGCTGTCTAGCCCAAAAACTTTTTCTGGCTCTTCGTTGGGCCCGGGGAAAAGCGCGTTCCAGAAACGAGAGTTTGCAATGGGGCCTAAGCACTTGGCAACGGCGAAACTGCCGGGAGCGTTGTACCACCCGGACCACCTCCTAGCCTTGTATAGGTGGATAGTCGTTAGGGCTTGGACGGCTTCATCACCACCGAAGAATCCTGCAACGCCAGACACATCCAAGGTGAAATTTGTTGAAGTGACTGAAATTGGGTGTCGGGACATAGTTGGTATGTGGTTACACTGTCGCTCGGCTCACTGGATTTCCTTGCTTATATCTAGCTTCTTCCTAGTGAACGCATTTCTATCTGGGCATTCTGATTCATGCTGTCCACGCCCCGTGTTTCTCGGATAGGGTGGCTAGGAAGCTCGGAATTCGAGGCCCACAACACAGGTTCCCTTAGCATTCATTCTATCGAGAATCTTCGAAATTAAGCATCTGGCATGCCGTCTGATGAGAGTCAAATACGATCATAGAGATGTTCTACGCGATAAGTACACACATACTCACACATCCTTTGCCTGGCCTTTCGGGGTGTACAAGGAACGTAATTCATCGCACCGCTCCCGACAGGCCTCAAACGCATGCTGGGCATCCTCTAGGAAAGTGTCTAGCAATCTGCATTCCTCTTGGCACAAACCCTCCTTCTCCTCCGCTGTTGCCTGAAAATTTTTGTTCGGAGAAGCCGATTTCAATTGCCCCGCAACCTTGGCTCTCCAGATACTCCAAACCCTCGTCTTGTTCGGCACGAACAACGATAACATACGCTCCGCGTCAAAGTCTTCGTTTGTTCTCTACTCCATCGCTGAGAATAGAGCAGGCGAAAACAGCCTGGCTCCTCCTACTTGGGAGGTCATATCTCTTTATCGCAGGTTTCATCAACCCTCAGCGCCTTGCACAATAGATCTCCTTGTATCTTCTCGCTCTCCAAGGAAGAAAGGAACGAGTTGTAGATCCAAGACGCTGCAAGCGAGGAAAGAAACATCACTTGACCAAAGAGTGTCGTCTGAGGGATTAAGAGTAGCTGTAACATGAACTGTGCTAGCAGAAGGAGCGAGCACAGTCCAACGCTCCGGTACTCTCGGTGGCCACGCATGGCGAGAATGAAGCTTCCCTTGGTTATCACATTCACGTCTTTCTCTGGCCCTTTCAGGACGACAACATCGCGTGGGGTCAGAAGTAATCCATCCCCTGGAGGCACTCCTGGGGTGACGTTTTTGGGTGACCGGAGATGGAGTTTCGCAGTGCCAATCACGAAGCAAGTGATGCCACTTGAAACGATTCCAAGAAGGATGAGGCTGAAGGCAAGCCAGTCCCCAACGACTGCGCATGTGAAGCATGTCGCGAAGCTTATGGTTATGGGTATGGCGGCTAGCAGTGCGTGATTGACGTGCATCATCCCCACTTGGTCCTTGTACGTGACGTCTCCAACGCCAATAACAGTCACCGCTGCAGGTAATGTCTCCGCGCCGGGTCTGCCCTCGACTTCTTCGCCTATCAATTCCTTGCTTCTCTGGATTGTGAGGTATGCAAGGTGCCCCGTGGCCATGTCTGTGCCAGACACTGAAGCGACATACCGCGGCCCAGGCTTTCCATCCAGTCCAAATGCTGCAGCTGGTTCGGGATTTGGACCTGGAAACAGTCCGTCCCAGAGTCGGGAGTTGGCTAACTGGCCGTATTTTTTAGCGACCGTGTAGCTTCCTGGAGAGTTGTACCAGCCCAGCCATCTTCGGCCGCGGTATAGATGCACCGTAGCCATTGCTGAGAGTGTTTCATCGCCACCGAAAAAGCCAGCCACGCCGGCCGAATCAAGTTTGAAGGATGATTGATTGATTGCGATCTGCGGGTACATCTTCAGCAGGTGTCGTGAATTCCATTCACTTTGCGCAAGTCTTCAAATACCGAGATGGGCGCCTGAACCAATTGTTCCTTGTTCCTCCGTTCATTGCGTAACTTACTAATATCAAGGGTTGGGGGTCCTGAGAGAACTTTTTCAAACTGGCTGCCGACCTACAGACCTCGAGGCAACCTCGAGGCAGCCTAAGTTACCAAATCGATCTACTTACTTTGTATCAATCTGGCTCCACGAGCACAGCAAAGTTCTAAGATAAGTTCAATCACCACCGTAACACCACACAATTCCATCTTGCGAGCACTGCAAATCTGATATCCTTGGCCCATGGGGCCCAGAACACAATATCAAAGTGTGATTCATCCAGATGTTTAAAAGATTTCTATGCACCATCAATCGCACAGAAACCTGATAGAACGCGAGGTCTGGAGGAAACAATGAACCAGTGCGCCCACAGGATGTCATTAGACAACAAATTTCTGGAACACGCTGATACTCGCCAAACCTGGCTAGTCGTCGCAATCTGTCAAGCTTTGTATTGAATCGGTAGAACTTGTATACGTATGGTGACTCGTCGACAACTTCCAAAGCTCATTTGTCAAATCCCACCCCCAAATAGGCCAATAACAGCCACGGGAGGAGGACCGCCTTCCCGGAGCTTTGTTTGCCCACAATAAGCAAATACGTATTTTGAGGGATGCCATGTCACTGTAGGTGACGGCGCCAATGCAGGAACGCGATGTAACGGGGCACCCGTCTCTGTTGCACACTGTTGAATACATTATGTTAGAGGTAGATACATTATTAGAAGCGAGTCCTTACTATGTCGATGTAGGGTCCTGTATTAGCAATAGCGAGATACTCCCCATCGTACGAAAAGCTCAAGGCATTGATCGCATTTCTGAAGGAATCAAGTGAGTGGATGGATTGCTGTGCTTTGATTCACTCACTCGCAAGTGGAGATTGTCCGAGCACATATCCATTCGCTCAGATCGAACATGTTAACAATGGAGTCATAACCTCCAGACGCAAGATACCTAGAGACGAGGTTAATGCATGTTGATTAAGCATAAAATAACTAATACGTACCTCCCTCGGGGATCGAGTGCTACTGCAACACAGCCTCCGACATGAGCGGCAGGGCTCTCTCGAAGGGTCAGCGTTGGATAGTCCATGACCCGAACGCTATGCTCAGAATGATGTGTCAGGATTATACCATCACCGACATGATTGAACATGGCGGTGGAGGCGACAATGCTCTGTCGAAAAATGTCGGTAATTCGTAACATGATGGAGACGATGAACAAACTCCGTCCTTATCTGAGAGATGCCACTGCTCTTTTGCTACATCACCATCTTTCCCATATGTCAAGAAAAAGAGCTGGTGCCCAGCTGAAGTAAATATCAAAGCCCTGCCATCCGGAGAGTAATTCGTTTGCACGGGTGAGATTTTCAGAATTATTTGCTGCGTGTGCCGACTTTCTTGAATTCTGTAAGGGTTACTCACAATACGCACAAAACATACAAAACTTACGTCGTGCATCCCAGAATACAATCCTTCTGTCCTTCTGACTCGACGTGCAAAATAACTCTGGATGAGTGGGATTCCATGATATATAGTCAACGTCGTCCGAGTGACCGCCAGAAAAGTGGGTTGCAGCTCTTGATTCCATCTGAAATTTGGTTTTGGAGATTAACTCGGACAAAATGCCATACATAGTACGTACACTAGTTTCCGGAGTCCAGATGCGAGTGATTTTGTCGATACCAACGCCAGCTAGACGCTTCCCATCGCAACTCCACGCTACATGAGTGATAGCTTGAGGCGACGGTATACGTAGATCACGCGGCTTATGCGCAGGAAAGTTTTGTGCCTGATTCGGTGGAATGCATTAACGTGCGAGGTTCTTTGGGATATGCGAGTCCTCTACACCCACATGCAAACCGCGTGCGGCGAATGTTGTATGGAGAGGGGGGGAGGGTGGCCGCTGAAGAGGCGTTACCTCTTCTTCCTCCTTGCTGTTTACTTGACTTGACATTGATGTGATTGAGGTAGTGGTTTCACTCAGACAATCGAGACACTCGCTGGCAGACGATGTTTGTGATTGTTAGGATCGAAAGCCTATAGCAAACAACCACAAACTTATCCTGAGAGCTTGCCCGAGAGTTGAGATCTGCGTCGACTCTTCACCTTCAATTGACAATTGCAATTCCGTTCAAGCTTGGCAAGTTAGAAGTCAGCTTACGTTACCACTGGTCCTTCATTTCTCATCGGCGTGACAGAGTCGGCCTGACCGGTACGACCTTCGATTACTATGGTAGAAATATTATCGACATTGGTTCCAAGCTTTTAATTCGAAATCACGAACGTAAAGCAACAAAAGGCGTATGTAACTGAACACCGTTAACTCTGTTTTATATCCATGTGAGTCCGATTGCTCATCGCTATTGTTGTCTTACAATCAATCCAGTTCAGTCCTAGTCAGCCAAATAGCAGACGATGACTTTGAAGTATGTCTGGTTAGACGTAGATCCCGTACGCGATTGACCGTTTGTTCTCGTTTGGCGTGGATGTGCTGAGAGGAATGCCTCACAGGGACATGATGATGCTACTGCACTTATGATGGCCTGTCAACTAGAGAATATCAAGCTTCTGGGAGTATCCAGTGTATGTAAAGCGGCTTCCCAGACAGGTCTCTATCAAACAAAATCGCTCTAGGTTCATGGTAATGCGTCCGCTGATTGCACTGCCAAAAACACTGCAAGGTGTCTGCACGCGTTTGCCGCATCTTCCGATGTCCTGGTTTATCGCGGCGCATCTAAGCCGTTACTTCGACCCACAAAGCACGATCCTGAAATCCATGGAGAGGATGGCTTAGGAGGTGTTGTAGGGCTCCCGTCAGCTGATAGTCCTGAAGTTCAGGCACGATTCGCTCGAAATGATGATGGGTCGTTCATCCATGCCATCGAGGGGATGGCAACATCGATCAAGGACGTGTGGCACAATGGTACTGGCCGCCAAGTATCGGTTGTCTCTTCCGGACCAATGACGAACATTGCCCTATTTATTAGCGTCTATCCAGACCTTCTAGAAGCAGTGGAGCAATTTGTATTCATGGGCGGAGGAGTTGGCCTCGGAAATAGATCCGCCGTCGCAGGTATGTTGTTCTACTCGAAGCTATACCCCTTACGCTAATCGTGTAGAGTTTAATATTATGTGCGATCGTGCGTATTCTATTGGAAAATGTTACAATACTCGTCCTGATCCTCCATCAGCTGAGGCGGCTCAGATTGTCTTAGACGCTCCAGTCAAGACTGTCATGATACCCATCAATGTTACACACACGGCGATTGTCACTCCAGTCATCCATTCCCGCCTGAGATCACCCCATCTACCTCTCCTGGAATGGCGTGCTGCCACATCCATCCACTGATCTCAGAGGCACACTTTCTTCCCTCATCAGTTTCTTCGCAGGAACGTACAAGTCAACATTTGGTTTCGATCAAGGTCCACCTCTCCATGATGCACTAACCATTGCATATGTGTCCCACCCTGAGCTCTTTCAAGTCCAACGTTATAGAGTGGATGTGGAGTTGCACGGTAAGCACACGGCAGGAGAGACGGTCATTGACATCTGGAATTATCGAATATGTGATGACTCATGGGGCTCCACCGGGAAGAATTGCCTGGTTGTTCAGGGAGGTTCAGGTGTGTGTTCGAACTTACAATCAGCCTTTGCTTCTGACGAGAATGATTCCCCTAGGTTGCACAGTTTTTTGAATTGCTTTTAGATTGCGTCTCCCGATGTGATGGAGTATCTCCGCTCAATGTACACAGAATATGACAGTTGACAGAGCAGCATCTTCATAGACCTTCATATGTCTGGGCCATGGTCAATCTATCGGCCTTCCGCTTTACGTCTACCCATACTCTCGCTGTCATTGTTCCCGAAGGGTATCCCCTATCTGTACTACCAGTGGTCTACATCAGGCACTGCCTACGCACGGCCTTCAAACTTTGCTCTTTGACTTACGTCCTTTCATACGCGACGCACCTTGTGACCAGTATAAATTGCCATATCTGCCAGAACTTTTCCATCGCTTTCGATAAGGCTATTCTTGGTTGGTAGTTGCGATCTGCACACGTTTCACTCACCATCACTGATTGGCGATCACCCTCTATCAGCGAACCCCTGATTCTGCTTGTCAAATCAACATCTCACAGGAACTGGGTTGTTGATCATGCTGATCTGTTGGCTGTGATTTTCTCCAACACGTGTCTGTATCAGATATGCATCAGCCACCAATTGACAGTTGCCCCTGTTGGAATGGGCATCGATAGATCATGAGTGCCATTGTTCTAGTATACAAGCCTATCTGAAGTGATGGTTGTGTTCAGGGGCAATAAAAAATCAAGGTCGGTTTAGCGAACTGCAGATATCATTGTTCTGAGTTTCCCCCAGCCGTTTCAAATTCATTCGTCGATCATCGTCACGAACCAGTGAGGATAGCGCTGCCCAGGTGCGATCTCTGCTACTTCTGTCCGTGTTCTTACTAACGCATCATCGTATTTCATCGCATATGCCTTACACCGCACAAAACTACACACTGGCACCTCCATCACTTTCGCCGCTTTCGTCCTTCATCAAATTTGCCATTCTTGTTTTCCTCCAGCATTTGAAGGTGGGCTTCCCAATGGTTTGTTTCCTTTTTTTCTGTGTCTTATTCTAACCTACCTTCTTGAGGCTCAACAATGCTACGTAGCCAACAACACCAGTGACCTCCCTTCTCGGTAACTCGAATTTGGGCCGGAGAAGTGAGGGAAGGGATCATGAAGGGTAAGGAGACGTTAAGGGTTATATATTGCTGGGTGATGCCGTCAACAATAAGTGGAACCGAATGTCTCGGTAAGTGTTTGGGGTCTGATCGGTGTGAATGCAATGAGGGTGTTCGGACTTTGTTATTGCAGGGATTGTAGGAACCGAGTAAGGTCCGAGTGATAACAGGGTACTATGAACTCACAATCTATCACCTTCACCTCAGAGTTCACTACTGAACGACAGTCTCTCGACATCATTGACTTGATGCCCTTGTCAATATCGTACGCCACCTTGCAATATTATCTTGAGTTCCTACTACTCACTTGTGCTCCCGCAGCAGCAGTACACTCAAAAGGTCTGTGGATTGTTATGCTGCCGAAGGGTTGTTTGGCTGATGCCATATTAGCTCTCTTCGTGGTGCCCGAGGCTCGTCCATCTTTGGCTCGGGTGGGGGGTCAAATGGTGTCAGTTGCCTCATCGGTCGTTCTTCCCCGACAATGGGCTGATGATACTATGTTTCTAGTCTAACCCTCAGGTCGACACGACTTCCAGTGTCACAAAAACAAGTCTTTCAACACCATGAGAGGGAAATTCGCTGAAGATGTTGTAATTCCAGCCGCCAGCGCCGGAACACGATGATACCGAAGTCCAGAGTCTCTCTGCGGTTTCCTTCACGTCACCGCCCACTGTCTCGCCTACAAGCCCCACACTCTCATCTTACCAACAGCCCCTTAGCGACGAGGTCAGGGCCAAGAAGCAACGTATCAGCACATTAAGGACGCACCGAACATCTACGATATGAAAGCACCAGCAGAAATTCTCAAGTTGCAAAAGTTTTGCATGACTGCCAGGGACAACCTGTTCCGATGGGCTTGGAGCGATACGTGTTGTATCGACAAGACGAACAACGTTGAAAAAAATTGGTTTCTCGTCAGATGGTGAGTTCGAATACTTATACCAGCTGCTTAGCATCGCGAAAGGGCATGGCCACAGGCCTTCCATTGATCTCAATGAGCGGCAAGCAAATGTATTGTATAGCCTTGCATTAGCTTGCGGGCAGGAATCCTCCAAAACTAATGTCATGTACAAGCGTGGAATAGGTTCGAATTCACAGATATTGTCAAGTAATAGTTAGTAGATGAGAAATGACCACCAGAGGCTGGCGCCTCATGCAAGTATAGGGCTCAAGATAAGAAACTATCTACTTCATCTTGGCGCGCAATTAGACAAATTGGGTTGAAGTGTAATGAACCAGATTGTGATGAACTGCCTCATTTTCGAAGTGAAGTGAAGTCAGTTCGAACTGACTTCACTTCACCAGCAACACTAGTCCCACAATTTCGCATTTTTCAGCCACAAAGTGTGAGAATTACCCCACAACACCAAAAATATTGCCCACTTTGGGAATCTCCACAATATCAATTATTCCCACACCCTCCCCACTACGCCACAATAGGTCCCCCCCTTGTACAAGTGATATATCACTTACTACAGCTGTACGAATGCTATGCACTACAGCAATTCATGTATCACATTTTCATTGCCACTGTAGGTTCAGTGATGTATCAATATCACAGTATAGCCTGCTTCGCTCCAATAACAAATAAAAGCGGCCAAGTGAGTATTTCAAATTCTGGTCTATCGATATGAAGATAGCTGTAACAAAGTAATCAGATATGTTTGTAGCTAGGTTCAAACGGAGGTGATTCCACCACTTTAGGTGTAAATCAAATGGGATGGGGTGATGTAGAAAGCGATCTGTGTTTGTACTGTGGCGGAGGTCGGTTTTTCCCGTTTTGCACTGTACCAGTGATAGGCACTGCCTACGCATGGTCTTCAAACTTTGCTCTTTGACATACGTCCTTTCATACGCGACGCACCTTAAGCTTGTGGCCAGTATAAATTGCCATATCTGCCAGAACTTTTCCACCCCTGTTGTATCAAGCCGAAGGCACCATGACAGTCGAGCGCTTTTGATAAGGCTGTTCTTGGTTGGTAGTTGTGATCTGCACAAGTTTCACTCACCATCACCGATTGGCGATCACCCTCTATCAGCAAACCCCTGATTCTGCTTGTCAAATTAACATCTCATGGGAACTGGGTTGTTGGTCATGTTGATCTGTTGGCTGTGAGTTTCTCCAACACGTGTCTGTATCAGATATGCGTCAGCCACCAATTGACAATTACCCCCGCCGCAAAACTTTGATCTTTGGCATCAGTTGGTTGCTGCTTGACGTACCGGCCCCCGGGGCTTAGTAAATGTCGTTAGGCTAGACGACGTATAAATGCATTCTCGTCACGCCATGTTAGATGGACCCACCTCTTGTCTTTGACAAATTTGCCTTGTGCTATCCGCTATGGGCATCGATAAATCGTGAGTGCCATTGTTCTAGTATACAAGCCTATCTGAAGTGATGGTTGTGTTCAGGGGTAATAAAAAATCAAGGTCGGTTTAGCGAACTGCAGATATCATTGTTCTGAGTTTCCCCCAGCCGTTTCAAATTCATTCGTCGATCATCGTCACAAACAAGTGAGGATAACGCTGCCCAGGTGCAATCTCTGCTACTTCTGTCCGTGTTCTTACTAACGCATGAATGTAGGAAGCCTCTGTAGACGACGTCGAGGATGACTCGACGAACACTGCGGAAGGTGCACAAGGAGAAGATGCAAGAAACTCGCAAGACGAATCGCCTCGCCAAGATTCCTTACCCATAGTGACAGAATCCCCCCAAGAAGAGGGAGAAATACAGTTTGAGTCCACATCCTCAGACGCAGCCGTCCGGGCGGCCGAAGAGTCTTCTAGCGCAGAGGATGCCGTCAGAGTTGCCAGCCCTGTCGAAGACCCCGAGGATACCCTCAAGCGCCTACAGGAAAATCTTCAGAACATGATTGACGAGACATTAGCGAACATACCTCTTCGCTTGATAGACACCCATAGCGGGATCCTATATACTAGCAATGACCTCGACGAAATTTTCAGAGAGTCGGAGGAGTACCAACGACTCACTGAGAATCTTCTGTCCACGTCTGTGGAGGAGCTTCAGCGCACCGTCGACGAATTCTTCGAATATTCGATGCTTTCCCACAAGTGGGCAAGCGCGAAGGACGAACCCCAGTACTGGCAAATCAAGGGCAGCGTCTATGAGATGAATGCCCCGCGAGAAATCCGCAAGCTGCAGCAATTCTGTACTGTCTCGAAGGGAGCAGGCTATCGATGGGCGTGGAGCGATACGTGTTGTATCGATAAGTCGAACAACGCCGAGCTTCAAGAGTCCATCATCTCTATGTTTTCTTGGTATAAGGAGTCGGCGATCACTATCGTTTACCTCGCAGACGTTTCCGACATTTCGCAGTTGAAGGACAGCCAGTGGTTTAAGAGAGGCTGGACGTTGCAGGAGCTACTCGCACCTCGATTTATTCGGTTTTACAAGCAGGATTGGCAGCCGCTCATCGATTCTGATAACAATCACAAAGAAGAACTTCTTACCACTCTCCACGACATCACCCGCATCGATATCGACGTTTTGAAGGCATTCCAGCCCGGCGTTGACAGTGTCAAGAAGCGGTTGAGTTGGGTGGGTAGCAGGGCAACGAAGAAGATCGAAGACATGGCCTATTGCCTCATGGGTAAGTATTGTCCTAGCTGATGAATCATTTTAACACCATTGCCAGGTATTTTCGGTATCCATATGCCCGTTATGTACGGGGAGAAACATAACGCCTTCGTACGGCTTCAGAAGGAGATCATGGCATTAACTGAAGATCTCTCGCTCTTCGACTGGGTAGGAGAGCCATCAGCCCTTCACAGCTACTTTGCTGCGCATCCCAGGTGCTTTATGACCCCGCATGATGACGCTCGGCAGGACTCCACTTCGTCGAAATTCGAATTCAGGTTGCTCAAAACTTCGAGAGGTATCACTACCGGCTTGTCCTCTACCGTTCTCAAGGCCGTAAAGGACCTTTTTAGAGAACCACCTCCCGGACGTTTTATCGCGAATGGGAGAATGAGTATGCCACTTTTCGTCCATGAAGTGATCACCCTTGTCCCAAATCCCAACAAGCCCGGAATCTTCAGCTACCTCGTCAAAGCTGAGGGCCTCTCGGAGCTCGAGGTCATCGCTACACAGGAGCTATTTCCTGTATCTGGAAAGGACGCTATCAAATACCGCATCGTGCGAATGTGGGAGGTCAGTCTCATTCCTCCGGAAAGCACAGTCGCCGTGGCTCTTGATGCCCCGACTATTGAGTGCCCTGATTCCCCGGAGCCGCCTACAACAGAGGACTCTCAGAAGCAGGAGAAGGAACAAGAGGAGGATAAGGGAAAAGAGAAGGATAAGGGAAAAGAGAAGGATAAGGGAAAAGAGAATGAGAAGGGAAAAGAGAAGGAGAAGGGAAAAGAGAAGGAGAAGGAGAAGGGAGAGAAGGAGAAGGGAAAAGAGAGTTGGGTCGGAAGATCCAAAGAGTTTGTCACCGAGTTTGTTACCGACATGGTCACTCAGAACGCCGCCGCCACATTCCTTCGGAAGCTGCAAGAGCCGTTTGTTGCGCAACTTCTTTTTACGCCCGGTGGTAAGCAGCCTTGGCGGAGGGTTGGAACCACTACTCGCATCATTGCCCATGCGTCCTCTGGGTCCGTTAATTTCAGGGGTATTAAAACTCTCCTGGTACATTGAAACCTTCGCGACTATATTGCTCCTCGCTAGCGCTCACTCTGCATTGCTTTACTCATGTTTGCTTAACTACCGTGACGATTATGTTGAACTCCACGATTATGAACTACTATATAATAACTTCTTGAGGACTCTACTGCATTTATTTAAGCAATCTACTCGCGTAGCGGTCATCAAGAAAAGCCCAGGAGAAACACCCCCAAAAGGGAATTTAAATGTCGATCATCTGAATCCGACATCCGTAGTACGTCATTGTTGCTTGTCCCAGTCCATGTCATCGACGGAGTGGCATAGTCCATCACATATCAAATTTCAAAATTTCAGTGCATTGTCTAGTTATGACAGACATTGCTACAAGTGTCCAAGGGATCCTGAATATATCGACTGCGACGCAACACCGAGAACGGGGATGCTCGTCTCAAATATGTACACGAAGGGGTCCAAGTAACTCCCAAGACTAGCAACCTACTACGCCTCCGCTTTCACGTGCTAATCACGCTGCGACGCCGAGCCTGCAGTATAAAATGCTGCTTGTATGCAGTGCGAGCATCCAAGAGCAGGTCAGTCAACAACTTCTTCTCGGCATCATCGAACGCAGCTATGCGGTCACCACAAGCCTCAACTTGAAGATCAAGTGATTGCAAGACCGACTTGTTGCTTTTCATCTGTTCCAATACTTGGTTTCTCCAGACCGCCCACACTTCTGTGTCGTTCGGAATGAATTGTCGAAGGATCTCTTGTGGTTTGAAACCCTTCTTCCCCCACTCTCCGGACTCGCAGTCGGGCTGAAGGGCTAGGCAAGCGAACACAGCTGCAGTTGTTCTTGTGCCCAATTTGTACGTCGTCATATGGTCCTCCGACAAACCCAGCGCCTGAACGAGCAGGTCCTCCTGCAGGTATTCTTTGTCCATGGACGACAAGAAGAGATTGTAGGCCCATGACACGGCGAAGGAAGTTAGGAACATAACCTGCCCGAACAGCGTGCCCTGTGGTATCAGGAGTAACTGCGTCAGAAACTGAGCGACTAGGAGGAGTGAACAGAGCCCGATTGCTCCGTATTCGTCATTGATCTCGGCGTCCTCATCATTCTGCACCTCCGGACCGCCCTCTGTATCCTGTTTGCCAAGCCAGTGGACGTTACGGATCCCATCTCCTACAATGCTTCGATTCCTCCTCTCCTTCCTCATACGCATACGGACCCAGGGCTTGTACTCCAACTGGAACTTGCCCTGCGTGATGGCAATAACGTTCTTCTCTTTTCCGCGCATGACGACTACGTGATTTCCATCCATCAACATGCCATCACCTGGCGGTGCATTTTTAGAGGGGGCGACACTCTGGAGGACTATAGATGCAGAGCCGATGACAAAACACGAAATGCCATTGGCGAGAATGCCGAGGAGGATCAAGGAAAAGCAATACCAGTCATTGTCCCATGCGCAAAGTACACACGTTGCAATGCTGGTGGCGATAGGGAGAAAAGCGACGTGTTTGTGAAAGCCATCTCGGGCACGGATGGTAAGGCTAGGTACGGGATCAGCGCTGAACTCGATGTCTTGCGTTTCCAAGATGGTAACTTTATTCGGTCTCGTCCTTCTTCCCGCTACTGTCACAGCTCGTTGGTCCTTGCATCTCTGCATTAACAGGTATGCAAGGTGGCCCGTTTGCTTCAGGAACGTGCCGGACTGGGATGCGACATACAGGGGCCCGGTCTTTCCATCGAGCCCTATGTACGTGGTAGGGTCTGAATTGGGTCCTGGAAACATTCCATCCCAGAGACGGGAGTTGGCAAGCTGGCCATAGTGCTTGCCAACACTGTAGCTGCCTGGGGAATTGAACCAACCCGTCCACCGTCTTGCTCTATAGAGATGCACAGTCTCCATAGCGGAGACCGCCTCTTCGCCTCCAAAGAAACCTGCGAAGCCACCGACATCGAGGCTAAAGTGATTCGTGTTTAGCGTGACTGTGGGCATGATGAATCTGAAGAAAGCTGTCGTCGTCCGCAGGTCATTTCTCCTTCATATGTCAGGATCAAACCCCAAGGATTACGAAGCGAAAACACAGGACCAATGCTGATCGATGATCAATGATGGCTGGCCGCTGGGGTCATCGTGATTCGCGAAATAAGAAATTTGTCCATGTTCGGGAATCGGTTGCACTGAGCCTCATCAGTTATTTAGCCGATTCAATTGAACTCAGCAGTGCCGTCATGATGTCCAATTCTGCTTAACCAGCATCAATGATTATGCGACACAGCCACTCACAGCCTTCACTTTGATGTTACCTTCAAGCGCGCAATCCAACCTCCAGGATATCTGACTTCAGCTCTCACAGACGTGCACAGACGTGCACTGATTGTCAGTTCTTTATTAATTATAGGAGTGTTTCGCTGACAGAATCCAGCCGGAAGAGACGAGACGACGATTTTCCAGAATAAAGCAAGGCTTGAGAATGTCGCCATCCCTACGATCCTGTGGCATTCCACATTCAGTAACACGAAAAGCCTTCCCTGATCTTTGTAAGCCTTCATGAGGCTGTAATCAACTCATTGTGGGCCATACTCTGTATCCCCTACAATACGTACGCATCATATCGATCGAACAATCTGTCACCTTCACCTCAGAGTTCACTACTGAACGACAGTCTCTCGACATCATTGACACGATGCCCTTGTCAATATCGTACGCCACCTTGCAATATTATCTTGAGTTCCTACTACTCACTTGTGCTCCCACAGCAGCAGTAAACTCAAAAGGTCTGTGGATTGTTACGCTGCCGAAGGGTTAGTTGACTGATGCCGTATTAGCTCTCTTCATCTTCATGGTGCCCCAGGCTCGTCCATCTTTGGCTCGGGTGGGGGGTCAAGTGATGTCAGTTGCCTCATCGGCCGTTCTTCCCCGACAATGGGCTGATGATACTATGTTTCTAGTCTAACCCTCATGTCGACACGACCTCCAGTGCCACAGAGGCAAGTCTTTCAACACCATGAGAGGGAAATTCGCTGAAGATGTTGTAATTCCAGCCGCCAGCGCCGGAACAGGATGATACCGAAGTCCAGAGTCCCTCTGCGGTTCCCTTCACGTCACCGCCCACTGTCTCGCCTACAAGCCCCACACTCTCATCTTACCAACAGCCCCTCAGCGACGAGGCCAGGGCCAAGAAGCAACAAGAGCTTTTCGATAGCATCATCGACGACAAGCTCGGTACCATCCCTCTTCGTCTCATTGATACAACGTCGGGCAAGTTATGCTCTACGGGAGAATTCTATGCTCATCTTAAAGAGTCTCACGCCTACAAGGAAGTTGAGGTGAAGATTCTCAGGGCCTCTGAGAGGGAGATGAAGGCAATTGTTGATACGTTCTTCGAATTCGCTATGTTCTCCCATCGCTGGGGTGCTGCTGATGACGAGCCCACGTATCAGCACGTTAAGGACGCACTGAGCATCTACGATATGACAGCACCAGCAGAAATTGTCAAGTTGCAAAAGTTTTGCATGACTGCCAGGGACAACCAGTTCCGATGGGCTTGGAGCGATACGTGTTGTATCGACAAGACGAACAACGTTGAGCTCCAGGAGTCTATCATCTCCATGTTCTCGTGGTATCGGTTGTCGTCTGGCACCATCGTCTATCTCTCAGACGTCACGGACGAAGAAAGTTTCAGACACAGTGTATGGTTCACCCGTGGATGGACGCTACAAGAGCTCATTGCCCCTCGGCTCGTCTGGTTCTATAAGAAGGATTGGACGCCATATATTGATAGCAAGCAGAACCACAAAGAAGATCCTCAAGTCGTCAAAATTATATCTCAGACTACGTCTATTGACCGCAACGTCCTCAACCACTTTGTACCGGGTTTGAGAGATGTCGGCCCAGACGAGGTCAAGAAGAGGATGGGCTGGCTTGCGTCTAGGAGGACGGCTAAGATCGAAGATATGGCGTACTGCATGATGGGTAGGTTTTCACGCTTTCAATGCGGCGATTGTCTCAAGCCCTCCAATTTACAGGCATTTTTGGCGTTCATATGCCAGTCATGTATGGGGAGAAGAAGCACGCTTTTGTCCGCCTTCAAAAGGAAATCATGAACCTCACGGAAGACCTGTCACTGTTCGACTGGGTCGGGGAACCTTCAGACCTCCATTCGTACTTTGCATCGCACCCCCGCTGTTTCGCGAAATCTGCAGCTGAATGCAGGAGGGGCTCGTCGAAGCTCCCTCATATTAAGCTGTATAAGATGTCCAGGGACCTTACTACTGGTCTCACCGCCTCCGTCATAAGAAATGTCAAAAACCTCCTTCATGACCCTCCTCACGGTCATTTCATTGCTAACGGGAAGATGAACATGCAATTCTTTGTTCACGAGGTCACAACATTGACACCAGTTGAAATGACAGACCCTACCACTCATGGCTTGGGCTATCATGTCAAGGCCAAAGGTCTCGCTGAGATGACGATTACGACCCATAGACTTCTACCTGATATCACGGACGAAGAAGACTCGCCCAGCTACCGTCTTGTTCGGATGTGGGAGGTCGGCCTTATTCCGCCAGCAGATGCTGCGGAAATCGTGGACGCTGAAGCCGAAGATGACGAATGTCCTGAAGCGTCTGGAAAGCCTCCCAGTTGGCTGGGGAGATCGAAGAGCATGTTATCAGACTCTTTAGACGCTGTGGCCACCGCAGTGTCTCACAACTCCGTGGTCATGTTCTTGTCCTATCTTCAGGAACCTTTCGTTGCGCAGCTGCTGATGAAGAGGAAACATGGAGGACCTTACGAGAGAGTGGGAACAACGGAGCGGCTGATAGCAAAGCCTTCATTGGGCTCTGTCCACTTTCGGGGGATTAAGACCCTAATTGTTCGTTAATTCGGACCATTCCGCAATCACGCTGTATGCTGCATGTATCTGTACGGTAGTTCTGTGTAGGAATAACTCAGGCCAAGAAAATGCTGTCCCTGTCATTCGATGAAACATGATTGACCCATGTCCAGTGTCGCGGAATTTAATGTGGAGCTCTTGACAGGGTTGATATTACGATAGGTCGGGTCGTCCATCAAGGAATATCTTGCTTGCTCTAGTGATGGAACGAGGAGCTCGAGATCTCCTAGTACGACCTTCTCTCAAAGTACGGATGGCTTCATCGAGGTCACCGCGACCAATAGATGCCGAACGTTCGTGTGTGCCGGCAGGGGGTAGGAGTAAGTTGTGTGAGGGATCACGTTGTGCCTTGGCGGTCTGCGTGGCGATGAATCGCGGAAATGCAAAACTGGACAGCGTAGGTCTGCGTACCTCTTCGGGGTTAGTTCGTGGCGAAGATGACATCTTCCCCTGCCCCTGCGTCAAGTCAGGGGCCTTTTTCTTCTGTACATCGTGTATTTCCAAAGCGGCTTTCTGATCAAGACGTGAAGCAATAAGTTCCCAGAAACTGCAAACGAGGCGTACCTGTAAAGATGATGAAAACGAGCAAATCATCCCAAAGAAATCATCCGGCTTTGGTCCCTCTGGCGAATCTAGGTCTTCGCCATAGTAAGAGAAGATAGCTCGTAAGTCTATTTCAACGAGGGAAGCCATCTTATTGAGCGCGTCGACGCTTTCGGCCACTTTGAGAGAAAATGGCTAGCGTTTCTCGGGTATCAGAACATGAGCTCCTTTGAAAGTAGTAAATAGTATTTACCTGCATGATTGTCACGAATTGGTCGTTATCGGAAGGTGTGTGACTCTGCTTTAGCAGAGTTATTTCTTCTTTGACCTTACCCAGCGACGTGAGTAAAGACTGCACATTCTGTTGTAATGTTGGGAAGGAGACTGAGGGACAAATAAGATTGGTCCAAGAAATGTTGTATAAAACTGCCACTTACTGCGGGCAGCTGATTCCACACTAGGCATCTCATCGATAAAAAGTGTAAGTGACGGGTCGGTACGAATAAGAACTCGTGCGACATAGTGCAGGAGTGTAGGGCATTCTGAGCTACTCCTCGCCGTCCTCGTTTCCTTCATCTGCAACGCACCGCACATCAACAATATCGTCAAGAAAGCGTTGCGAACCTACTTTCACGAGCGCCTCCAGGCGGAACCCACGAGCATCTCCACGAAAGCTAGACCCATTCAATGCGTTCCCAACTGTGAGAACAGCCTACAGTCCTTGTCACCAAGTCTGAATCGCAGGCTGGGCAACGAACGCACCCGTAATGTCGACTTGAAACGTTCAGATGCTCGTAATTCTTTACAAGCATCATGAACAATTTTCAGATCTGGACGAATTTCCTCGATCTCGAGTTCCAGTTTCTGGCGATATATCATGCATTCTAGCCGTTGCAGAAGTCTTGGAATTGCCATAATCTAAGACGCTGTCTTGAATCGCGAGCAAAGGAATCATGGGTAGCACCTACGGCAATCAAGTACTGATCAGCCTTCGCTAACTTGCTTACATCTGCGAAATCCTTCATACGAGCGATCTTGTCAAAGATATTTCAGGGATCAGAGTACAGAGAAAAGGCATGCAGTAGTGACGGACCTCTTCCGGAGACGGCAGCTGCTTGCTGATGGCTTTCAAGTCATCAATGGACAACTTATCATCGAGGCTTAGCAGGGCTTGACGTATTTCAAGAGGGGTTATTTTCAAACGCCGAAGCATGATAGCTAGGGAAGGTCGTTTGTCAACTTATCATTCAACGATTATGATGAACAAACCGATATTATTAGCACGAGTTATATCAAGAAAGGTCGTAACACTTTGTTTCCGTGTGGGATTTGCGGCTTTCGAAGGTGAGGTCGGGGTGTTGTCAATTGCAAACGTCGCTTCAAGGTCATCCAGCGTGAATTCCAGAACGGTTGAAGATTCTGCCCAGACTGTAGCGCCGCAATTCTGATTGCTGATTTTGGTCCAGAAGAAGGGCTTTAGTCTTGGTCCATTGACTTTTGCCTTATTTCCAATCCTGATTGCAGATCCACTCGGTGGGGGCGGAGGCGGAGCTCCGGGTGGTCCTGGTGGCAATCCAGTGAGTGAAGCGTTGAGCAGGAGAGGCGGAGGCGGCGGCGGCGGAGGTGCAGGTGGAGGAGGCGAAGGTGCAGAGCCTGAAGAAGGGAACGATGACGGCGGCGGAGGTGGTGGTGGTGGTGGTGGTGGTGGAGGAGGAGGAGGGGGAGGAGGGGGAAAGGCTGCCTGACTGACATCCTTTGACTCCATGGTAGAAGATTCTTTGCGCCTTGGAGCAGTCAATAAAGGAGGAGGAGGCGGCGGCGGAGGTGGCGGAGGGACACCACTCGCATCCGACGTCACGCTCACACCCGTTTCTTCGGGCGTTCTTACAGCAGTCGCTCTGGACTTCAAACCTTGCGGCGGAGGCGGAGGCGGCGCGTTCTGGGACTTGAACTCCATTTCTGAGATAGGCGTTGGTTTCGCAGCTAACAACAGCTTGAGCTCTGAAACCTCCGTCTTCAGTGCTGCGAGTTCGCTGTCTCGTTTAGCAAGATTTTCGATGGTACGGCTCGCGATGAGCTGAGCATCCATATCCGAAGCTCTTTCCTCTTCCTTCGTTTGAAAGCGTGAGTATACTGATTCAAGAGCGCGTTTGAGGTACAAAACTTCCTTGTCTTTGGCAGACAGAGAATCACTCATTCCACTCAACTGGGATTCAGAGTCAGATATACAACATATAGGTTATGGATGGGTGACGTACCTGATGCTGCAGTGTATTGAGTTCTTCGTGGAGAGAGAAAAGCCTTGTCCTTTCGCGTTCTTTCCTGGCTTGTTCCTCCTGAATCAGGTATGTAAACAACTGTTCAGCAAAGCGAGTTTCCATAACTCACAGCATCGCGCGCGTTGTTGGAAATTTGAGCGTTCAAGCGTTCAAGCTCTGCCCGTAGTTGAGTGACTTCCTTCTCCTTCTGCACCAGACGTTGAACAACTCTGTTCTGTCGCAGAATCAGTTTGACCATGACCACAACCACAGATATGACAGTGTTCGTACCTCGTTTCCTCCTTTGCTAGGAGAATTCGGCTTCTGCTGATTTGACCCTACGCGTTGTTCGAACTTTGTCTTGAGTGCCGAGTTCTTTGTCATATTCGTGAGATCGCGAACAAAGCTGAGCTTGGATACACAAACCTCATGAATCAAATCATCTATCTGCGCATGAAGGCTTTCCAGCTCGCGCTTCATCTTGGATGATGCCCCACCATCGACGGTATCTATATTCATATCCTGGCCAGTAATGGGCTGAACTACGTCGAGAAACCTCTTGACCAGAGGGATCCAGCCCGAGTCACTTCGTGGAGGGTAAGCACGCAGACTCAAGACACACCACGAACCAATACTTACATGTTATCTGCAGTGGAAATCTGATCCAAAAATGCATCTACTATCGCTAGCTGATCAACTTTGAAGTTCCTGTTACACCCGTCAGATCACGTTGCCAAGTCTCTGAAAGAGTACTTACAACTCAGCACCACTCTTCGCGACAGAAGATAGGCGGTGCAAAATACTCATTAATATAGATCCGAGCTCCACATCGTTCGCGCTTTGTAGAAGATCATCCAGCAAAACGTCTGATTCAGAACGCTCTCTTCTGTGGCTCCAACTGCCCTGCACGGCTTTGCGTGCTCGCTCTCGGATGTCTTCTTCATCCTCGTACTTCTCCTCCATATAAAGATCCAATTGGGTCAGTAAGGAGTCCGGCGGTTTCGTATAACGGAGAGTCTAGCAGCAGATTCAGCTACTGTACAAAGCGACACAGTGACGAACGAGAGAATATCCTACCACTATAACTTCATTCAAGCCTCGCCGCCCAAACTCCTCGCGCAACAAAATGCGGTCTTCAAGAGATTCAGGACAGTTAGTGAGGGCATTGACAAGGGCCATGAAAGCAGTCCGCGCCTCCCATATACCATCCTCATCAGGTGAAGAAGCATCGTTGGTTGCAGGGTCGTTACTCTGGCCATCTGATATACACAGAGCAGTAACTAGAGACTCGAAGCGGTACAATTCATCATAGGCGATGCGGTATTCTGACAATGCCGCCATGACGGCCTTGTGACCCTGGTTGAGCGATAGCACGCAAATCGCGGCAAGAAGTTCCGCAGCAAGCGTCCGGGTCTTCAGAGAGGCACCATAAAGCGAGTACGCTATGTGAGTAATGATTGTAGGAGACGACAAAACGCTGTCAAATCCGGCCTGTAAAACGTATGAAGCATGAAGCCTAGTCGATCGAAGATCATGTTTACCTGGGTGTTGAGAAGTACCCTGAGGCATTTGATGATCTCCAGTAGTACTGTGCCTTCTATGTCCGCCAGGACCCTCCTCTTCCCGCCCTTGCCAACGAGCGTTGCGAGCGCGCTACCCACTGCATCCATCCCATCTTGCGCAATGAAGTCCTCGATCCACGGTAACTTTGCAGTAGACAGATGCACACGGAGCGAAATGAGATGCTTGACAAGCTTAGAGTCCGCCTTCATCCTGCGCAAACCATCAACATATCGCTTCGCAGATGTTGCGCTTTCTGTTTCGGCATTGTCGTCTCCACCTGAGGACATCCACCAGCTGACAAACATACTGCCAGTGGTCTGCGCTTGCAAGGGCTGCATCTTCTCCGCGACTGTCTCGATTTGTGTGCGTCCTTTTCCAGGTCCGATGTCGAATTCTCCGCTAGATCGATTGAGATCGGGAGACATGACTGGTACTGCTGCGGCGCTCGTACCCCAAGTCGCCATGGAGAAACGCTTTAGTATTCCGGAGTCGCCTGTTAACTGGGGAACTAGACGAGGGAGTAAAGCTCCCCCGCTAGAAGCTCCAAATGTGGAATATGTGGACTGAGATGGTCGAGGACTTTTCCCGTCGGGAACCGAATGGAAAGCCCGTGCTTGTTCAATGAGCTGTCGTTTCTTAGTAGCTGGTAATTGGTACATCTTGTCTCTTGCGTCACCTTTCAATGCCATTTGATCCTATTAATGAAATGAAGTTGTGGTCACAGACAGAGGAGCACGTTTTCTTACGAGGCAATGTTCGAACTCGGTTTGATCGACACCTAGTGTGTCGTCTTCTGGAAGACTTGGTTGCGATATCGACGTAGTGCTTCCCCCAGTACGTTGCTCTACAAGCACTGGGTCACTCACGCTCTTGCGCTTCTTTGACGACGACGAGGGAGGAGGGGCGAGAGCTGTAGGCTGCTGCCACGCAAAGAGACTCGTGAGTGAACCACGCCAATCTGGAGAAGTCGGCCGAGCGGTGCCAGAACTCGCCGTCGAGGCACCAAGAGTAGACTTCTTCTGCTTTGCAGTACCCTCTCCGTCATCCTCTTCTGCTTGTATATCCTCAAAACGCTTCAAGGTGTCCTCGGAAGGCTGCACGGCCGATGGTGAAAGAGCATGTGGGCGAAGGTACCATTCCTCTGGTACACAGAACCGGAATGTAGGCTTCTGGCCGGAATTTGCCAAGGACGACTGGACGATATCAGACAACACTGAAGAAGATGAGATCCTCGAAGCTAGCAATGATATGCTGAGTGAGCGTTACACTGAAAAATAAGACGTCACTCTCACCGCCTTCCTCAATGACGTACTCGATGCTACCCCCTCCGGCTATAGGCAAGCTCCTCGCAAGGCCCAAGTCCTCGATCACAGAACGAATAACATCCGCCACAATAGAACTCCGAGCATAATACACCGTCCAAATAAACCCATCATGAATCTCGGGTACGCGCGCAAACGAGAGACGCAACGACAGCACCGCGTGCAGCGAAACCAGGCGCAATGCAGGGGAATGCAAATAGGACTTTAGAGGGAACGTGGAGAAGTGTCTCTGAGACGTGTTTGTTCCGGCGTTGTCTGATTTTTCCAGCAGCGGGGCGATGTGGGTCGATGGGTCGATGATGCCTTGGTCACACCGGTGGCAAAGTGAGCTCCAAGACGAAACAAGACATGGGTACGGGATTGCTCACCATTCCTGAGAGCTTCGAGTTCCACCTCTTCCCACTTACGACCGTTCGGTTGGCTCCGAACGTGCTGCAGGGCCCAACCAATATCCTGGAGCTCTCCAAGGATGCCAGATACCACTTCCTCCTGAACAGTAAGTACTTCGATAAGATCCTGGGCAAGTGCATCGGACGACACACTGGGGTGGCGAAGAGATCCGTTAGCCAGAAGGACAGGTACGATGAGTGAGTCGTCCGCCATATAGTTTACAATCTTGACAATAACTTCATACAACTTCGGTCGCCTGACGATGGCCGACGAAGTCAGTTGTGTTACAACGCCTGAGGTCTCAGTTACCAGTCCTGCCTCAAAGTCTGGAGCTTCAAGCTTCAAGTACTAGGACAATATGCCATAGTAAGAAGGAACCACTGTCCTCATTCGTCTATGGGAGACTAACAATATTAATAGGCCATGGGAACGAGATATCCATTCTGGCATGGTGAGGGAAACATATGTATGATGAACTAACACCTACAAGGAACAACTATCTTCCTTCAACTATGTAGTCTGACCAGGGGAGACTAATGAACACCACAAGTCAACGCATGAGCTACGAGGAGGAAAAACATGACACGACATTGCTCATAGTTCAGGGCCAGGGCCATTCCGGGTGGGCTTTCCTCTCTGACATGCATCTTTCCATCTCTGCACGCTCGAGATAGATAGCAACATTACCAGTGTTTCCGTCGCAAAGGTTTTCTTCACCCCAACAACAAAGGACGGGAAGCGGCATGAGCTTCCGAACGTCATTCGCGGCCCTATGGCCACGGGTTCGATCATCCTCGTGAGGGATTGGGAGGCAACGAGCCTCCGCTTCAAAAAAAAAGCCGAACGCTGTCGACATGTCGAGTCCAGAAACCACGCACGAGACTTGCTTAAGACGACCCAGCCTGTAATAGAACTCCTCGAAGAGAAGCCGAGCCCGCTGTGTGCAAGCGTCTTCGTGCTTCCCCTCCGAGCATCCAGAACGTCGACCTTTTCAAATTGGGCATGCCTTTCAGCATGTGATGGAGATCAGATCCCCAGAACTTGAATATTTCACTCAGTCCCTCGCACAGGTGTTACATGGTAGCCAATATTCGTGCTATAATGTAAGAATAAGTATTGCTGACCCGAGTAGCGAAACCCATCAGGGTAATTTCCTCAACGTGCTCTGGAATTTGTGCACAGGTGTGAAGCAATCTTAAGCGCCAAATCATGAGATCAAGTCCCAGATTCCTGACAGACACTGCGGAAGGGTCAACGATAACAGGAAGTGAGAACCTGATGCTGGGTGCATGGTCGCCCTTGAACCGCAGTGTGAACTGGGTACGAAAGCTTCTGACCATCGGGGTCGGCAGAGACTTGCGTTAAATGCGGCAGAGATGTGCGGGGTCACGGATGTTGTCCTGCTTGTTCAAGAAGCATAGCAATTATTGGTTGAACTCATAGGTGCAATGAACAGTGTGAACCTTGGCATTGCAGTGTCGAAGGACAGACGAGTAGCTCGCTTGGGAATGTATAAACTTGAGGCCGGTCAAGTTTTTGAGAACAGATGTGATATTGTCCAGGTGCGCCTCAGGACCGTGGCTAGTAGTCCATGATTGTAGGATATGTAAAGATGAAAGATTTGACTTTCTCGGCGAGATGAGGGCGCTCTGCGAGCGCAGACGTCAGAGCTGTCGACCGTGATAGACTCGTACTGAGTGCCGACTACTACACGATAGAAGCCTGTGGACATTCGGCAGAGCACAGCTAAATCATTCGAAGAAAATTGACAAGACGATGAGCCACAGTTCAATAGAAGGGATGTGGAATAGGGGAACGTCTAAATGTGGGTACTCACTCCGGTGCTGCAAACTCCAAATATCGGGTTATGCCACGAACGAGACATGTTGCAAGGATAACTGGCATGGTCAGGGAAGTATATGCAGTGAACACAGAATGGGCTATGATAGAGAAAAGTACAATGAATATTCAGGACCACTGCTCCTAGCCGAGGTTCAGGGGGCCGTTCCGGGTGGGCCATCCTCACTGACATCCATCGTTCCATCTCTGCACGGTCAAGACATCGATGGAGGCTAAGTGTATCTAAAGCTCGGTCTTGTCGACTTTCGAACCAGTGGAATCAGCGAGCATAGGTTTCACTGTGTCAGGATATACGATGTTGTCCGACTATCTCGGTGGGACAGAGGAACTCTCGGATGAGCTGGTGTTCTACGGCGAGTAAGAAGCATTTTGCCAAGTTAAATTAACTGATTACGTGACCTGAGAAGCCATGCGGAGCAACCTGGCAGGCTGATCAGTAACATAACAAAGAGAGAAAGAGGACTCAGGAAACCTACGATGGTGGTCAAATGGCGGCCATTGATATTGAGGTAGATGCACTTAGGCCCCTTCATATCAACAGCAGGGTCGTCAGGCTCCTGTCTGATGGGATGTAAATTGTTCTTGCAGCCCGCTTGCGTTCTTGACCATTTCATGACCAGTGAGAGCGTAAACTTTGAATTGCACTAGCACCTTCCGAAGTGCTGAAAGTCTTCGAAAGTCTGCCTAGGGGGGAGGATGGATAAATGTAATGAATACAACAGAACAAGTGGGCTACGTTACGGCACAACAGATACTCGGAAAAATGGTAATAAAATCATGCCACAGACGACGTGCCCTCCGTATCCACCGACGGATGCACCATATAATATACTCTCACATTTTCCCCGTCTTGAGTGCTCGACGACTGAGCCGGCGCAGACCCATCCGTCGTGGACTCTGGCAACGAGTCTTGCACGTCACCACGTACTTCAATGAGGTAGTTGTCCTGTTAAGACATGAGAATAAAATGGAAAGGTGAATCTACCAGAAATATCTTACCTTCACCAACTTCCTCAATAGCTTCGAGATGAGCTCCTTCTCATACTCCAGCTCATCCACGTCCTGAATCTCCGACTCCTTCAACTCCAAATACCAATCAATCAGCTCATCACGGTCGACACCCCGCCCAGTCTCACGCTCAACCGCAGACAGATGCAGAACCACAAGGCTCTGCAGCGTCATGTACTTGTCGTGCGTTATGATCATCCTTCTCTTCGGGGCAGGCGCGGGCGGCGGTGCAACATCTGGCAGCATGCTGCCTGCGCGCGACGTCGACGACGGTCCAGCACCACTGCTCGTAGCGGTGCGGTTCAGGCCCATGCCCAAAGAGCTTTCCTCCATCTCATCCATCGCTTCTATCTCCGCTGCGCTCATCTCGATATCTTGGCTCTCTTCCACCGCATCCGAGGTTTCGTTCGCAGGAGCGTTCCGCGCCTCTCGCTCGCCCTCTAGCTCTTCCTCGTCGAAATCGATATCGTCTTGTTCGACGTGGATGATGCTCTGCCGCAGAAGAGTATATGCTTCTCGTACGAAGGCTGGTGTGATCTCCGCTGTGCAATTAGCACGGGCAATAGCTTCACTCAGACGGACCATGGACTCGAGCTGACGGACGGTGATCCTGTAGGAATGACGTCCTGCTCCTGTCGCATCATCCTGCCGGAGGATGCGGTATTTCTCTACGAGGATATCGGCGGCCTCTGGAGTCAGCTGCACACAAAGTTAGCAATATGCAAGAGACGTCACGCTATACCCTACCTTGGGGTTAAACGTCCTGGCATACCGGATGTACCGTTGCAGGGCCTCCGTACTGAACTCCGGGTTAATAGCCTCATCCTGGAACCGATGCACATTTACGATATGCTTAGCGATGTTCAAATCCGTCTTCTCATCGCACTCATCGAGGACAACAAAGAACAGATCGAATCTGCTCATAATCGGAGCGCTCATAGCAACATTGGCTTTCAGCGTTCGCTTGCGGTCGTAGCGTCCACCAATAGGGTTAGCTGCTGCGAGGATACTCGTGCGCGCGTTGAGCGTCGCATGAATACCCGCCTTCGCAATAGAGATTGTCTGCTGTTCCATCGCCTCGTGAATAGCGACCTGGTCGGAAATATCCATCTTATCGAATTCATCGATGGCGCAGATGCCATTGTCGGCTAGCATGAGCGCACCAGCTTCGATTGTGAAGTCGCCGGTTTCTTCGTCTTTGACGACGGCGGCTGTGAGACCTGCTGCTGATGAGGCTTTGCCGGATGTATAGACTGCTCGCGGGAGAAAAGAGCAAATATATCTGTTAGTGCATTAGCAGCGAGTTTTGGTTATATGATTGGTTGAAACACACTTGAGGAATTGTGATTTTGACGTGGAAGGATCACCCACGATGCAGATGTTGATGTCCCCACGGAGATGCATCCCCTCGGCCGTTTGCTTGTGGACACCGCCCATGAGCTGCAAAAGGAGGCCTTTTTTTACGATTTCGTGACCGTATACGGTGGGCGCTATGCTCTCCACCAAACGGGAGTATATGTGATCAGAGTCGATCATGCTCTTGAGCTCATCAAACTCGGGCTCAGTTAGCGAACGGAGGAACGCCTGTCCATCCTCTTCGCCCTCTTCTTCTCCACGAACATTAGTGCCACCCTGGAGGAAAATGTTAAATTCTCTGGCGTGGGTGCAAACTATTATACATACCCTGCCATCAGCATCGTGGACCATGCATGCTAGGAATGCCGTCTTGTACTGCAAATCCCGCACACCAAGGCTCTTGAGCCCCGTAACACCACTTCCACCAACACCACCTGTTGCAACGTTGGCCCCGCTCTTACTCGCTTCACGCATAAGCTCCGCCTTGTTTCCACCTGGCAGTCCGAGCTGACTGACATCCGGGACAACGATGAAGGTTCCAGTGAAAACACATTTATCTCCAGCCTTGGCACGTTCGACGAGTTCAGAACGAAGTATGACGTCCAGAGATCGAGGCATGGAACCAGTGGGTATCTCAGAGGGATTTTCTTGTATCCGGACCTTTTGCCAGTCCGTGAATTTGGAGGTATCGATTTGAAGTTGCCATGCGATGCGGTTTCCACATGTGGGATTAGGACAGAGACTTGGCTAAAGAGGCATAAGCGCACACATCTAGGTATCGAACATGACCTTACCTCAGTATATTTAAATTGTTGCTCTATCTCGTTGACAAGACCACCGCAGACTTCACAGATGAAGCTGCCATAAAGGAGTTCAGGCCTCACCTCACTGGTGCGGGTGACAGTGCCGCTGATACTCATCAGCGTGCCTATCTTATCGGTTCTGAGATCACGGATACCGGATACTAGAGGGAGATGATAGAATGCGATATTGAATTCTCGCGATTGAAGGTTTGCGGAATCAGTTGTAGCAGCGGTGGGATTGATCTTGAGGTACTCAGGCTCATACTCTGCGACTAGATTGTGGAGGGCGCGGCGGAGGTAGGGAAGGAAACGGTAATACTGCTTCTGGATCGCGTCTGCAAGGACGTCATCTTTTTGTAAAAGATGGGTGAAGTCGACATAGAGAGTGGTTATTTCGTATTCTCGCATAGTGTGGATTTGCTGGATGTAAATCAATTCACCCTCGATGACCTCTGGAAGGTCGCCATCGGATGCGGGCGTCGAGGCCAGTGCGACCTCTTCTGTGAACCTGCAGAAACCCATCAGATTGAATCCAAGATATCTTGATATAACCCCACGTCTTTAAGAAGGTCTCGAAACTTTCAGAAACGCTCTCCCCAACAGCATCCCTTACGAGTGGGACATCACCATTCGGCTGATTTCTGGGTCGCCTTCTCCGTCTCGTTGAGGCACCGTCTTCCTCCGCCTCCTGAGCTTCGTCATCGTTAAAAGCAAGTGCATCAGACGCTGGTCTCCTCCCTGCAGATCTGGGTGTCCCATTAGTAGAGGACATGGTGGCCATGGGAGCGCTGCTCGGTGGCAACGACGACCTGGGCGCTGGTGGCGAAGATGGCTCATCGACATCCATATCTACAGAATTTGAAGAAGAACCTGAGATCGAGAGTAATTAGTGGTAACAAGTGCTTTGATCGCGACGCGTAGAATAATCGAACACGAGACTGCCTGCCCTCAAGCGTGAGATGTCACATTTGTGACAACAGCACGTGGTTCATTACATCACGTGAAAATGACTCACATATTGCGCTCATTTCATTGAAAACATACACTGAAAATCACGAGTATTAAGCAATGAAATTGTTGTGTCGTTGGCTGTTCTCCCTGTAGTGTTGCTGTCGAACTGAAGTGACCTCGAGGTAATTCGGGTTCGGTTCGAAATTGAGGCAGTTCGATACAACTCGATTCGTTTACGCCTCGTTGTAGATAAGCATCGAATTAGGAACGAACTGCCAAATGAAATGCTAAATCCGACCCGTGACTTGGTGATTTGTTAGAGTAGTACTCCAGCAACCTCACATCTCTAGCATTTCCTCAATGTATTCTGCTCCTCCGTTTCCCGTCCTCGAACCTTTTGGTCTAGAACGTGATTATACGTATTTTCATCGGACCGCAGTACTGCTTTAGCGCCAGAGGACAGGCGCCTGCAATGGTGTACAATACAAATGTTGAGCAATCCTCCAGCGTGGTTAGGCGACCAGTGTCTAGGTCATCGTATAAATTCCGTGCGTCGTACTGTGAGTTTAGTATTGTATTCACCAAACATGAGTTTTCACCAGTGGAACAGTTCTGCAGCTTCTGCTACTAGTATCTCTTCGGCATCTGAGCAACAGCATCATCACTCTCACCCAGGCTATACAAGTCTGCCATGGTCCGCTGCTCATGCACGTCCACCATTTTACCCTCAAGATGCTCTGCGTGAGCTTGAGCGTTATGAGCGTGAACCAGTCACATTCAATGCGGGCGAGCGCGTGACTGATCTCGTTCGCTTCTGGGAGGTGAGCTCGACTTTTCCTTCACATAAGGAAGGCGCTAAAGTCGATTTCAGCGCATGGAAAAAGTCTATCCACTATTTTTCTGCGTTGCTATGGATGTCCTGCCAGCTCAGGCATCCTCTGTGCCGTGCGAACGTGTATTTCATCCAGCAAAGAACATGCACACTCTGTCGAAGCAGACTCTCACCACGAGTAATGGAAGCACTCCAGATTCTCAAGTTTTCTTACAGACAGGAGAGACTATGTTTCACTAGGGATTCGATTGCAAAAGAGGATGACTATCGGGTTTCGGGCCCTGTAACAAGAAGGGCTGCAGAGGAATTGATACATAGTTACGGGGAAGTTCGACGAGCTTGCTGATCTATTACAAAATGTCGACGATGATAACGTAGAATGAAACATAGCCACTTCATATCTACTTCACTTTACAAACACTTCTCATTGGCTGGAGCTTCGAGCCGTATTCGTTACACTTCGGTTCGTTTCACCTCGACCCATCGAAACTAGAACGAACTCCCACCTCGTTTCGATTGGGTTCAGTTCGCGGCAACACTATCTCCCTGAACTAGATTCAGCGCTAACAGCCTTTTTTTGTACAGGAAAATTAGGGGTTTCTAGTAGTTTATGTAATTTTCGGGTTAGGATGCGAAATTAACATTTGACGGCTGCATTTTGTATGAATTTCTCCCTGTGCTGACTCCTTCAAACGACCGCTCTATCCTACCACCGATGACCGCCACGGATTCCGGTTTAGAGCCTCTCGATCCTGCATACGTGGCAGATGTGCTCTCCAAACCACCTTTCGTCCAAATCCCGGGCGTATGCAACGTCCGCGATATAGGTTCATACCCTACCGCAACTCCAAACGTCATCACGAAGTCCGATTATGCCTACCGTTCAGCAGAGCTCTCCAGTATCACTGAAGAAGGTCGATTCTCCAATTATTTTTCATAGACTTGCACTTACCCGCAACCCAAGGCGCGCGGAAATTGGTCTCGCTTGGAATCTTGACCGTCTTTGATCTACGATCAGATCCGGAGATGAGGAAGTACAGCTCCCCGATACCTACCATCGAGGGCGTAGAAGTAATTCCGACTCCCGTGTTCAAGAGCGAGGATTACAGTCCAGAAAAGCTCGCCGAGTGCGTACGTGCTGCCACCGCGCCACCCCACTTATCACTGACTACCCTAAAGGAGGTTTGAGCTCTATGCAACCGGAACGACAGAGGTATGCGACCTTATCCAACATTATATCCTATAATTGAGCTCCTGCAGGCTTTCATGATACTCTACTCCCAAATACTAGAACACGGCGGGCCCGCATTCGGCACCATCCTACGCCATGTTCGGGACGAGCCAAACTCCCCTTTTATCTTCCACTGCACGGGTTCGTCCACATTCCTTCTTTCCATCCTGTTAGTTTCTTATTTCCTCCTAGCTGGGAAAGATCGGACAGGAATCATGGCTGCTATCCTTCTCAAGGTAAATCACTGCCGTCAGTCCCTTTCACTATCACAACCTCATTCCTTCCAGCTAGCAGGCGTAGATAACCACTTCATCTCACAAGACTACTCCCTCACACGAGTCGGACGTGAACCGGACCGTGCCAAGGTCCTAGCAAGACTCATGAAAGAGCCTTTGTTCGCTGCCAACACCGAAGCTGCCATGCGCATGCTGACATCTCGGTATGCTAAATTTATCTCCCATGATACCGATCTTGACATCCTGGCTTAGGTACGAGACCATGCGAGCTTTCTTCAATCTCTTAGAGGAAAAGTTTGGCGGCGTAGAGACGTACGTTAAGACCTATACAGGACTAACAGACGAAGACCTGAAAACCATCCGTTCAAATCTCGTCGTCCCAACAAAGTCTCGGATGTAGATATCCTAGTTCCCCCCTTTCTCTCTCACGCACACACGCCGCCTGTCACTTATATCCATCATATGACTTATGCTCATCACCATCACCACCACCATCATCATCCATGTTGTCATCATTAGAGTATCATGTGCATGCAAGTATGTACTGTATGTCCAAATCGAACCGAACCGATCAGATCAAATCATTTCCTTGGTCCCACCACAGGTAAGCCCAGAGTCCGCCTCGTCCTCTGCTGCATCACCCCCGATGTCGTCGCACTCTGCAGCGTGCTCGCCAACAGTCCATTCTGTCTCGCCTTTGGATTGAGCGGGCTCAATGCGGGCTTAGGCGGGATCACCGGCGGCACTGGAAGGTCGCCTGTCACTCTTCGCCGCATGGGGGGTTTGGCTGACATGGGCTGCGAGAGCGGTGTGATGGTGATATCATCTTGAGATGTAGAGTTCCCAAGATCCTGACGTCGCGCTTTCTCGTGCTTGCTTTGCAGTGCTCGGAAATGATTGAGAAGTTCTTGCCATTTAATCTCATCGCGGCCGAGCTTGGAACGTGAGGTGATTGGGTTAGGTGTTCTAGGATTTGTTATCATTAGCACGTGGTGAAAGAAGGGTGCACAAACTCACGATTTTGGGGCAATGTGGAGGAACCCGGCGGAGTTGACTGCGTTGAGACGGTTACGGAGTGAAACAAAAGCGGTGGATTGTGGGAGCAGCATGAGCAACCCATATAGGCACTTGAACAGGTAGGGGTAACGTTCAGGCTCGAGGAGCTGGAGGCGAAGGTCTTCCAGATCATCATCAACATCTGAAATTCATCTCATTTATTACAAGATAACTCACAGGTGAACACAGGAGATTCGATCAGCTGCACCAACTTGTCGACCTGGACCAGCAGTGGAACAGTGATCTCCAGATCAGCACTGGCACAACATCATCAGCAATGATCAAAATCGACAGTTAGCCAACTCACAAGATGGATAGCAAATTTGATGCATGCTCGTAAGCTTGCGCAAGCAGGCACAACGAAAACACCGCAACCGCATTATGACACCATGACCGATAGAGCGTGGTAAATAACGCCTGGCCATCTTGCTGCACGTGGTCCATCAGTGAAGGCATCAAACGAAGTTGCGACCAACCAACCCTTGTCTCAAGGCTCTTCAGCCGTTTTCGGAACTCCGCCAGTTCGGGTGAAGTGATTAGGATCATGTTCAACTTCTGCACGATCTCGCTCGCGAACTCTAGATCCTGTATACCCAATCAGTTAACATCGCACCAGGAACCACAAACCTAAAAAAAGACCAACCTCTTCTTTCTCCAGAATCTCTGCAAATGTCTTATATATCCTCTCTGTATTGAGATTGAGACATAGCTGGCGAATGATGAGACTGCCGCGGGCCTCAAGAAGCTTCCTGTCTGTGCTGAAGAGCTCGAGAAGGTTCATCATGAAGACCTTGAAGTAGCTCTCTTCCGAGGAGGAGGATATTTGCGCGAGGAGTTGCAGGTCATGTTTGATAACCTAACGAAAGAATGAGCCGCGCGATGCAAATCGATGGCCATTAGAGTACCTCTTCGGACGAATCCGACAAAGTCTTCAGTAATGCTGGGAAAGTACCATCATCCATTGCGAGAATCTGGAAATCTTCTCAGTTCGTACATCCCCAGACAAGTTCAAGCACACCTTCTTTGGTGCTTTCTGATGCAGCATGATAAGCCACTTCAGCGCAGCAACCCTGGTTTGCTCATGCTCGCTCAAAAACTGTATCGTCAGCTCGTTCACCGTCGCCTGGTAATTAAACCGATCTGCTTCCTCCGGTACGGGCGAAGGAGGCACTGGAACAGGGGCAGGTGGAGGAGCACCCGGTGTACTATTTGATGACATGCGTGACTGAGGTCTGCTCGAAGATTCCGTAACGACAGTTTGATTTGTTCCTGAGCGAGGCCGCTGAATCAAAGTTGTCTTATCGGATGAAGATGATGGCTGGTTATCGCCTATTGGCTCAGGAGAGGAGGCATCTCCAGACGGCGCTTGTACAGTTGGCCGTGAGGGTTGCAGTGACTGAGGAGTTGGGGTTGGTGAGCTTGTGAACACAATCGGCTTGTCCGCTGTGTTCTGCCGGGACGGGCCCTCCGCTGGTCCAGGGAGGTTTTGGATGACGCTCGAAAGTAGCTTGTTAGTTCGTAGTGCAGCTGACTGGATCATCGGGACATGGTGTGCTAGATTAGGGAGGATGGCAGGGATAAGGCGAGGCGTGAAGGGCACCATGACGTCGGGCACGAAGGTCAAGAACTCGGCAAGCCAACGAAGGGCCGTAGATTGTTGAATTTCGTCATCTGCATGCGCAAGCATAAGTACAATGCATTTGGATTAGAAGGAAGCAGCTCACGTTGGTTGTCAAGTTGTTGTATGAGAATTTCTATGATAGCTGCATAGTCTATCCGTACACCCTGCCCAGGAACTAAGGCTGCGTGAACAGTGAGTAGCTTCAATGAATGCGCTTCATCAATGCCTACCTCCAGTGCCACGGTAGTCTTCTGATTTGTGCTCATCCTTCAAACTATATTCTCCGTCACAATCATGAGCAAAGTCACTCTCAGGAATGAAAAGTGCACGTTCAGAGTGAGACATCGTGATATCAGGAAGCTTCTCATCCGAGCGTCGTAGATCAAAGGACTCTGCGTGTTCTTCTTTGCGTTGGCGAACCATGCTGACGTCTCTGATTTCACGCAGGAAGTCGGCAAGAATGTTCTCTGTGGCCACGCGCACATCCTCGGTGGGGTCTGACAAGTACTTCCTGGACGAGTGCATCAGCAAAGAACTTGGAACACAAACCTTTCAGACTGACAGGAGGCCGTCCAGGAACTCTGGGAGGTATGTTATAAGTTCGAGCTCTGGGACCGAGTCGAGCACGGTTATCCAAGACACGAGGTAGCTCCTTGTGAAAGGACTAAGGACATATATCCTGTCTTGCAGAAGTGGAATAAAGCGCGCGAGGGAAAAGGCCTTCTTCTGAGTAGGTATGTTTTCTCCTAAGGATCGGTCATCAGGGTAAGCGACGAGAATACTCTGCTCCTGAGGATCGAACTGGTCGCGGATCCTCTCCGTCTCTGCATACTGTGGAATATACACCGAAGCTGTCTCGGCCACGATGTCCTTCAGAAGTCGATCAAGCAGCTCCGCCCCATTCTTGACCGACAGCTCTGAATCAGCGGCTAGCTGAGAAGTTCGACTCAGTCGAAATGCAAAACTTGACGAGGAGCTACCGCACTTTACTGAGGGCGTCGAATATAGGGTTGAAGTAAACAAGAACCTCGCCCTTGGACACCTTGGCTATGTTATAGAGACATTCGGCGGAGAAATACCGGATTCTGTTTTCTGGGTCGGTAAAACATGCGAGAACGGGTTCGATGAATTTCTCCATGTACGGTGCAACGTCCACGCCAAGGGCAATAGCTGTACCAGCAAGGCCAATGAGTCCTCCATTCCTGATGTGAAGGGGATTTGACGGATTGCTGAACATATCCACAAGCTGTTCGATGATCTGGTTTATACGGCGCTGGTCACTTTGCTGATGGCATTCCCGAATCTGTCTGAGAGAACGCTCAACACATTACTATTAACTGTAAGCGAGCTAAATTACTTCTCTAATTCGAGAGCAGCCGCCTTTCTCTTCTCATAAATCTTGTCAACAAGCTGTTTTGCCACAGCGGTGTCTGCAAGATTGAGATGAGTCAGGTAGGCATTTTTGACTGTGCGTGAACGACTTACCCATGACTTTGGCTGCGGTTTACACCACAAATTGACCCTACAGAGATATTAGATGAGAAGAGCGGCGTCAAGCCACCTCTGGAAGTACCAGTCTAAGTTATAGGACGGGCACGCTTGATGATAACCACGTCACGTGATTCTTAAGACGCAACCAGTTCTCTACCGAAGTTCGAACCGTCACCTACAATTCTGGCTCAGGCTGTCTTACCCCAAACCAGTCCTCCAGCAACTTTAAGCTGCAGCCATCGCGCGCCAACTAACTTCGACTTCCCAGTGACCTCCAAACCAGCTATGGATAGACTACTTTGGTCCAACTATGCCGTGTGCCAGATGACTATTTTCCTTCCACGACATCGACGACAATACTAATAATACCTCATCCCATTCATCATCCTCGCTACCAACATCAAGTCGATCCATGACAGCTTGGATTCCATGGCCTTGTCGGCCTCATCAGCTCTTGGCACTGTCGTAATGAATATGTACACGAACCTTGTGAACAGTTCTGCGCCCGAAAGATTACAGCATCTTGCAGATTGGATGGTGCCGAAGTTAGAACCTCGTCATCTACTCTGCATCACCTTCTTTTTGTTTGGCTGTCTTGATCAATGATGCAGCGAGCCCCAGCGAAACTGAGACGTGACTAGATAACGCGTCTCCGATTTGCAGGCATAGCATTTGGAGTGGAGACTGCGAAGATTCTTGGACGCGTTCATAGTGCACGACCACGGCTTGCTACTTATCTCGGTGGGTCTCCCTTCTTCTCCGACATATTTCCAAACTCACACGAACTCGCGGACGTAGTCGGGTTCGACATGCTAAACGCACATCAGGCATACATCAACCTCAAAAATGCTGTACTGTATCGCGCGAGGTGCGCTTCCTCTCTGAAACACGATCTCCTCGAGAAGGCACGGATGGTCGGCTCAGGAGTGGAAGACATAGTGGTCCAGGGCTTGGTTCAATCATTGTGCGATATCTAGCTGTAGGGACTTGTAGACTTTGCCCTTGTCGTGCCTATTTTGACAAAAATGCGCATGTATAATATTGTGTGGCAGGCGTGCATAGGTCTCTATGAGTCTCCACGTCCAATACAGTGTAAAAGTCGCCTCGGGCGACGGGCCTACCACGCGTGAAGTCACTCTGCCCACCCTGTGTCAGATCTAATGCAGTCCAGACCTTCGCAATCAGCTCCGTCGAGCCTACAGGAAATTAAGTCGGATGATGAAAGATAGGAATATTGATCGTACCAATATCATTGGTGTGGAACTGATACACGCTGACGAGCACACCGACCGTCGTTGATCTTAGTGTCCCAGTCATGATAGGGCTAATGATGGGGAATTTGCGTTTGTGCACGTCATTAAGTCGAACTAGCATGAAGAAGCCAATGTCAGATTCTCGCAAAGATCCACCGTTAATGGCCACGCACCCCAATGAGAGCGCATCACTAAGCTAATACCTGGTAATTCGTCGAGGACGGGACATGATGATCCAGAAGTCACGAAAGCAGCTGCGGTCATGGGAATGAGGAAGGCCGCAAGAAGTCGCTCGAAAGCCCAGTGATACGAACCATTCGTCCTTGATGAAGGAGGGAACTCCGTAGGGTCGTTGATTGTGCCCTTTAAAATCGCTGTCGAGCACAAGAGTGAGCTCGTCTCGTGCGTTCATGAACGTACGTCCACCTGGCACATATTGCGTAGCAAAACTTCATGAGGGGTAAGAAAGGTTTTTGGATTGTGCTTCCCTTACAATGCAGAATGCAAGATATCGCGACCAGTTACGGAAGCAAAGGTTCTGGGCAGCATTGAGCGAACAAGCATGGACATCACTGGCGGTGTCAAGAAGGTATGTTATGCGAAAAAAGTCGTGTGCGCGGGACTAGTGATGCCGCACACCAACCACGTCATCAACTATTAACCATAACTCGCTCAAGTTTCAGATTCAAGCAACACAGAGCAACGTTGCACCGCCTACATTTCCCAAACTTTTCTCGGCGGGCGACTAGCAAGTCTTGCAGCGAATCCTAGCTTAAAAATGCGAACGCAAGCCTCTGCGAAGCACGCTGACCTGGGCCACGCTTCTATCTCTTATGAGCCGAGGCTTCAGTACGGGCTTAGCAGCACTCTTTGGGGGCGAAGGTTTGTGCAAAAAGTTAATGAAGAAGGTCGCAAGACCTCCACTCATCGTGTACATGAACCATTTCGGTACACGAATAAGGGCGCTGTAGACCGTGGTCGGCAGTTGTGCCAGGTGACCTAAAATGTATTCGCTATAAACGGCGATGAGCACAGGTAAGATGATGAAATCTGACACGTCGTACCGTTCACCCCCGGGGCCATAGACAGAATTCCATGGCTTCTTCATACGCCACCCATCCTCCTTGAGAAATTGGTGCAAAATTGTCAGTCAACCTTATCTGATCGACTTAGGCTCATCTTCCCTGGCCCATGTTGTGTTGCAGGGGTGGATGAGGAATGTGAGACGTATACTGGTGAGGGATATTTGCTTGTGAAAGGAATCGTAGCTACTTGAATACCCTGCAATGCTGCAAAGAGCTCGTGATAATAAATTGAAACAATCAAAGCCAAGACACGTCTGAGACTCGTAACCTTATGCTAAGTATTCCAAGAACTGCATTGCTCCAGCGGCAGTAAAGAAGCAAACACGTTGATCAACTCAGATACTAAAACTACTCATGCGTCGTGCCATCAACCATACTGCACCGATGTGAAAGCAGAAACATGACTCACGATCACACTTTATTATACTACCCGCTGCAAATGAAGAACACCTACCACGCCGGTGAGTGATGTGGTTAAATCCAGGACAAAAACTACTCATACTCACACAGTGAGACCCCTTACTGCACCATAAGCAGTCTCTCAAACCGGGGATGCATATCAAGGGACAGCCGTCAGCGTCACTAGCAGATATCGATACTGTTAAAGTAGCAGCAGCGACGAGGACTATGGAGAAACGCATTGTTTGTGAGGATATGATATATGTGATCAAATAAATCTGAAGGGGACAGTACTAGGAAGACGCTCTGCTTTTATATGCTGAGTTGTTCCTCATAGCGATGTAGGAAGAACTTATCCACCTATCCTGCAATGCCAGCAGATTGTCACCTGAGGTCTACCTCGTGAAGCAAGGTCAATAGGTGAAAGCACGCTGACCTGGGCCACACTTCTATCTCTTGTGAGCCAAGGCTTCAGTACGGGCTTAGCAGCACTCTTTGGGCGAAGGTTTGTGCAAAAAGTTAATGAAGAAGGTCTCAAGACCTCCACTCATCGTGCACAAGACCGGGGTTGGCAGTTGTGCCGAGTGATCTAAAATGTATCCGCTATAAACAACGATAAGCACAGGTAAGATGATAAAATCTGACGCGTCATACCGTTCACCCCCGGGGCCATAGACAGAATTCCATGGCTCCTTCATACGCCACCCATCCTCCTTGAGAAATTGGTGCAGAATTTTGTCAGTCAACCTTATCTGATCGACTTAGGTTCATCTTCCCTGGCCCATGTTGTGTTGCAGGGGTTGATGAGGAATGTGAGACATGTACTGGTGAGGGACATTTGCTTGTGACGGCAGGTCGAAGTGATGACGGCACAAGGAAAGAGATGCATTCTCGCACGTAAGTGACTAGATACCAGCCTGGTGATTACTAAGGAGTCGTAGCTACTTGAATACCCGGCCATGCTGCAAAGAGCTCGTGATAATAAATTGAAACAATCAAAGCCAAGACACGTCCGAGACTCATAACCTTATACTAAGTATTCCAAGTGGGGAGGCGCAGCGCCACCAAACAAAGTGTGATATTATGTAATCAAGTATCGGCGAAATACGTGGTCAATAAAGTACGAGATGGTGTAGACATGTAACCAAACACCTACACGACAAGAATTTAGGTCGCCGAGCCATCAGCAAGAACTATAGATGAGGTGGATTATACGAGCCTATCAAATTTTAAGAGGAGCGGCCGTCTACGAGTCATTTTCTTCATCGGAGTCCCCTAAGAGAGCCCCAACATTGGTGGTGTCATGTCCCTCAATTTCCTGCATCGTCGCAGCCTCGTCAGTGTTGGGTCCTACTTCCCCACTAGAAAGCCGCTCTGCTGCAGCTGCCAGAATGGCCCTTTTCTCCGGTGCTTTCTTGCCTTTAAGGTCCTTCGCTGCAGGAATTTGTGAATCGAATTGGCGATGCCAGCGGATCTGCAGGTCCAGCTCAGCGACGCGCATCTTGTTGATGTCCTCTGCGATAACACCAAAGACACCTCGAACACTCGATACTGGTACGTCGTGTGTTGCTACGAGCTCGCAGATTGTGTCGCGGACAGTATCAGTGATTATATTCTTGTTTTTCAGGGCAAATGTTGTATGTTTTGTGGTTTGTGCTATAGTGCGAGCAGTGGCCTTCTTGATGGCATGTGCTTTCTGGAGAGGTGCGCGAGAAACACGCATACCAAGAGCATGGTTACGTTTGGTGAGGATCTCATTGCGCTCTCGCAAGTGTTTGGCCTCACTCTTTGCAGCTGTGAGTGACGTCTGTGCAGCTGTGAGTGACTGTTGATCTGCCCGAGCCTGTGAGGCAGCCCCGACAACAGCTGATTGTGCTTCTTGTAGGCTTGCCTCCAGCCTTTCAACATGACTCCTGGTCCGCTTGTGGCATCGGCGCTCATTTCTGTAGCGGACGTGAAAATTCTTTGATGTTGGGAGGATTGCATCAGGTAGGGTTAATTTGGGGGACGAAACTGTAGCTGCAGGAGGGATGTTTTCCTTCAGGAGACCTTTTGTGTGAGTGCTCTGAGCTTTCATGCGTGATGTGACTTGCTGTTGAGCTATTGTCCGTTTTCTCGAAGGTTTCCAACGGTCGTGCTTTGTGTATCGTGCTGGCATTTGGGTCTGCAGAGTGTCAGGATGTTTGATGTGACGCGACGCGACGCGTTTATTATGCTTACTCAGCAGCGAATCTTCACAATCATTGACCTACCGCTCGCACCCCACTACGTTGTGCTGGTGTGTAAATGACCATCTAGAATACACTAGATTTACTCGTTCATTGTATTCTTGGTGGAATTTAATAAAAATTTGCTTGTCTGCCTCCTGTGCTGGAATGCATCCCCTTCTAAACCGTGTTTTTCTGAAAAGTGGCACCAAGAATACAATTGGATTCGGAATTCACGCCATTGTCCCCCTTCAAGTTTTAGCAACTGGTGATGTGTTTGAGCTGTAGCGGTAGATACATTATGCGACCATCCATTAACGCCTAACTAGTGGTAATCCCTTATAGACTAGTCACTGTCGGAGATTGAAATTGGCAGGGTGTTGCCCCTCCCCATTCCAAGAACTGCATTGCTCCAGCGGAACACATTGATCAAGTACTACTCACGCGTCGTGCCATCAACCATACTGCACCGATGTGAAAGCAGAAACATGACTCACGGTGGCACCGTCACATTATCCCCGCTGCATGCAAGGATCAACTACCACGCCGGTGAGTGATGTGGTTAAATCCAGGACACAAACTACTCATACTCACACAGTGAGACCCCGGAGTGCATGCTGTGCATTCTCTCATACCGGGCCAGCAAAACAAGGGACAGTAGTCAAGAGCAGATATCGATGCTGTTAAAGTAGCAGCAACGGCGAGGACGATGGAGAAACGCATTGTTTGCGAGGATATGATATATGTGATCAAATAAATCTGAAAGGGACAGTACTAGGAAGACGCTCTGCTTTTATATGCTCAGTTGTTCCTCATAGCGATGTAGGAAGAACTTATCCACCTATCTTGCAATGCCAGCAGATGAACTTAAGCAAGGTCAATGCCAGCTCGCAACAAGGACCGATCGACTTGTTGTTTAGTCTCGTGTTGTATATTACACGCAACAGGCCTCGGAGGACTCTGTCACCGCAGTCCAGGACACACTCTGGCCAATCTGGCACGACTGCATGTATCAATTCTGGTCCGGACTCCGTGATCCACGTTAACAAGTCTAGCTAGTTCACATAAAAGGTACAACTTGGGATGACGTAATTTCTCCAAGATCTCCATTGCTCGAGCGGCGGTAAAGTTTGTTCACGCGTCGTGCCATCAACCATCGATTGGACACTTGCAAACTCGTCGCTGGTCCATTCAAGACGCAGTTCGATTCTCTTATGACTCGAAGAAACTCGCAGTCAAGTCCAGTTTGGCGACACGCCTTCAAGTGTGGGATGTCCAGACACAGAAACTGGATGTCGGAGTGAGCAAATATGTCGACTCCGGGATATGCATGTACGCGCCAGTGTTCTGGACAACAAATGACAAATCCATCGTGGGCGCATTCAGCTTCAGGGATGACGATTCGGACGCCATGACAATCTATGAGTTCGACGCGTCGACACTGGAGACTGTCGGAGTTCCCTTCGAAGGGCCACCACATATGTCAAGGATCTGACACTCTCATTTGATTGTGCTCTCCTCGCCAGTACTTCCAACGACGACACCATCCATCAAGCTCTGGGCCTTCAAGTCACGCCATCTCCTCACCTCCTTCGATGTTTCCTGGACCTGCACTATTATCCTCTTGCCAGACTCACGCCAACTGACTTACACAGTCGGGAGCGATGCCAAGATCTATATATGTGACACTCCACCGGACATTATTGCTAGCATCTGGCCTGCACAACAAGAACAGCTCAGTGTATGCGTTCACCCTCATAGATGTATCCGTCCGTGCGCTAACATTCTCTTGCAGACCAAAGCGCCAGAAAATCTGTTCCTTGCTACTCAACGCACGCGATCCCTTTCTTTTACTCATCTACACCACTACATCAATAATCGCAGTCCGACGCAACACGTTGTGCCGTGCGCCGTAGCCCAGCGACATCGCATGTTATATCTCATGTCCCCCGCCCGCCAAGATCTCTGCCTGCAATACAGCAACCTGCTTTGCTTCGCTACATCCGCAAACTCCTTCCTTATTCCCGCCTGAATGCAGGACCTGCTGTTCAGAATGATCGGCCTCGTGATCCTTTGGATGTATGTTTATTAATTCTGTTTCCTTCGCAGTTGGCTTGACGTGTTTCTTTACAGTTCCCTGCTACATCGACCCTACCTTCCAACCGCTTTCCTTCCGCGTGAGCCTCGACCCAGGCTCGTTCACATATGGATCCCCACGAGAACGTAAGTACTGATTGCCGTAATCACGTTGTCGACTTACATCTTGTTAGTCTCGACCCACACCAGCACCCCCCACTACATTATTCTCTACCACTACCTCCAATGTTGGCCTACACCGCTCATCCACCTGGTGGCCAGTTCGTGCAGGTCATGCTCTGCCACCTATTGTTGGTGTTTCTCTCGCGTGGGGCGAATTGGTACGCTTAGCTGATCTTTATTACCGTTTTTTTTAGGCCTCATGCACTTCCTTGCAGCTCCACGCCGCAGCGGGTGCTCCTGCCCAGGACAATGACTTGATACGAGATGAAGACTATGTTCCGGACCCCAATTCACAGCCACAATCCGCCGGATCGCATTGAAAGGGCTGATTGTGTGGCTTCTCCTAAGCCGCTTTCGCTAACATTCTCTGCTATCTTATTTTTCCTGTTGTCCCTAGTCACATGCTTTTACCCTATCAATATGGACTTGTAGCAATATGTCGTCGACATGTGGTCACCCTTTCTCTTCAATTGTGTTCCGCCTTGTATTGACGACATGCAAGCTGACTACACAGTACAGAACTACAGGGGCTCAGCTCTACGTTGTGTCAGATGTTTGAACGTGATACTTTCCTTTTGCGACATTGATGGCAGTCCTATTGAAGACGTCAAGTTAATAACGCCTCATCCCATCCACCATCCTCAAGTCATCCAGCCGGCGTTGCGTACACGACCGTCCCAGTTTCCTCGGCTTGTGGTACTGTCGCAGTAGTAACGAACCCTTGCATGAACATTGCGAGTAGTTCAGATGAGTCTCGACTGAAATATCACATGCATCTTGCAGATTGGGTGGTGGAATGTGTTATACCGGCCGGTGCCTCTACAGTGCCGCCGATAATGCTATGTTTGTATGTCGTTCTTTGCTTTTTGACTCATTCCGCTCCAGCACTGCACATCGAGTGTTTTTCCCTATTTAAAATCTGAATTTTCCTCAAAAGTTATCGTGGGTGACACGAGCACAGCATTGGTCATATTCTAGGACAAAGAATCAGTTGTATCGAAGTTCGCGACTTGCTGTTTGCCTTCTGTGGTGATGTAGTGCACACTACGGCGATTCGTATGGAGGCGGGCTTGCAGAATCTGAATTGTGCTGAGCGGCGTAAAAAGTCATACGTTATTTGATATCCATTCAAAAGGAAGCTATCTTCGCAAAATATCTTCTAGCACTACGCGTGCATTTTGTGCATCGGCACATCCACGGCTGAGCTGCATGACCTTACCCACCAGTTTGTTGAGGACTCGAGGATTGCCTTGGCGCACTGCTTCCGCCTCTTCAGGAAGCTTTTCAATGGCTTCGGCACACCAAGCTCGGATAGTGGCATTATCGTCTTCCGATACAGCCTCAAGAGAAAGTTCCTGTACGAGCACAGAGGGAGTTAACGAAGACCGATTGGCGATGATATGCTTCAATAACGATTTTCCCGAGGTCCCTGGTAGTGATAATTTCCAACTATGAAACTTGACGATAAGAGAAGACTTACCCGTGATTTTGCCATCCTGCACCAGGTCGATGAGTTCGCCCAGTTGCTCGACAGACACAGGATTATCGCTGAAAGTCTCCTTCCGAGCAGTCAACTGCCCAAGGAGCTCGTGCGTCATCCTGGATACAAATGTATATGTGCATAACTTCTACAATCAGGGAACAAACAAACAAACACACCAGTTGACAACGACCCTTGGGTCCCTTTGTTGCGCGAGGGAGTCAAAGTAAGCAACGGCGCCCTTTCCAAGTTCGCCATCAAATCCAACCTCGTGGCCTGAGTCGACGGTCATGAGCACATCGGTATCACGCTCAGATAGTCCAAGATTCAGTAAACGAGCACGGGTTGCATCAGGGAGGTCCGGCATGGTTTGGCGGATGGCTTCAATATACTCCTAAATGGATGTTTAGGTGACACGAACAGAAGTACTAGCAGGCTGTTACCTCGGATATGAGCAATGGGGGGATATTCGGGTCCGGCATGTATCTATAATCCGGGGCATCCTCCTTGCTTCTGAGTTTGAAAGTTTCGGCTTTGTTTTCATCAAATCCTCTGGTGTCCTGCGGCACAGAGCGGCCACCTTCGAGCAGCTCGATATGACGGAAGACCTCTGAAGCTGTTCACAAAAATCAGCGGTAATTCGGAATGGCTGCGCAAACAGTTCACTAACTGATCGCCATCATCATGAACTTCACACTGTTGAGGTTTTTGATCTCGCAACGAGTACCACGTGGCTCTCCATGTTTGTTGACAGACACATTCACGTCACAGCGGAAGGATCCCTGAATGAAATCACATTTAGAATGAATCAAAGTTACATGAGACAGATGCCCCACTTGTTCCATGTTTCCATCACTCGAGCCAACACAGCGAAGGACGGCCTGCAATGTCCGAACATAATCTGCGGCCTCTTCGGGGGATCTCCATCAAAGGAATAAGTTACTAGATGAGAATGATGTAGACCAAAGTAAGTCACCGCATATCAGGCTCTGAAACGATTTCCATCAACCCTGAGCCAGCTCGATTTAGGTCAATAAGTGAGATACGTCGAATTCCATCGAAAGTAGATTTGGCTGTATCCTGTGGATGCTTCGGCTTCGGCCCACATGCAAAACTCCGTCTATCTCACCTGTTCGAGTTGAATTTGTGTGATTCCCACTGCGACATCCCCTTTGGAGAGTTTGAGATAACCACCCTTGGCAAGTGGAGCTATAGGTATGGAAGCAGGTCGTGGGTATTTGCATTCTGCGGAATTGAGTTGAGCTTACAGTAGCGCTGAGTTATTTGATACCCTGCCGGAAGGTCAGAGTAAAAGTAGTGTTTCCTGTCGAACGCCGAGCGGGATGGAACTTCCGAGTTCAATGCTAATGCTGTTCTGACTGCTAACTCGACACATTTCGGGTTCAATGTCTGAAATGCGAAGTCAGGTTGCACGTCGAGTGAATGGGTGTGGTAGGCGTACGTACGGGTAGTGTTCCAGGGAATGCGGCATCGAATGCGGACACAGTGGTATTAGGTATCTCACCCGGACGAGATGTGAATGACTCTGTGCATGTCGAATTAAATGGGAACGTGTCATCAAATGGGATATGAATGCACCTGAGAAGAGCTTGCGGCGAGACTTGATCTGAGCATGCACTTCAATACCTATAATGACTTGCCAGCCAGGCCAGCGCTTGTCATGGATTGCTTCGCGAGTATGGATTTGCCGTAGATGGCAGAGCTGGTGAAGCCGGATAGAGCGCCATGGACAATGTCGAATAAGCATCAAAGTATGACTTTCCTTTCCTAGAAAATTTCAAGTATCTTCGATTTAGCACATGCCACAGCTCCTGATGTGGACCGTCCGCGTGAGGTGCTGACCCAAATATAATCCAGACTTGATGGTAGGCTGTCCAACTTGAAACCCGTGCGCTGATTCTGGCACAAGTTGCGCATCAAAGCCGTAAGTACGTTGTTGCCTTGTCCTAGTACTAGTTCGCCGCCAAGCCGGTCGTCCCGACATTAACCTAGTACCCGTTCGTCTCCAGGCTTCCATATGATACAGAAAGTTAACATCATTCATCACAAGTGATATGCCCGCAAATCTCCATGCAAACCTCTGGTCAGTGATCCGACAGGATAGCATCAGTACTACTGCTCGAGAAGACGACGAGGAACCCTTCCTCCCCGTTTACGAACCCCCTGTGGGAAGCAGAGTGTAATTTTGTGCCCCCGAATGGCTTCTTTCGTCGCTGATTGATCTATTTGATCCAACGTATATCATTCGTGGACTTTTGTCTATGCGGTGTGGATCTCATTAACAGTAGAAATTCTGTACCGCCACTCGCACCGGCAAGGTCGACTACTTCAAAGTGCGTATCAATCCTTGTGACTTTGTGGCTATTAACAGCCCCATCAGTCCCTCAGAGTCATTTTTGCAGATGGACACGCAACAGACAGTGGTATACACCTACAACTTAAGAGCTGGGTCTGCTCCGCTGCAGTTCTCCGTGCTGTACGTCGTCCCGTCACTTTGCCCCTCGTCATGATTTACCTGAAGTGTGGAAGCATTGAACCCGAAACAGATCAACCAAATCACTACATCTTCTCCCTCTCAATGAAAGCTGGTCACGTCGAGAGAGCACTCTGTGCTCCACTCACCCTGAGACTATCAATAGATCCCCGGCGGCTGGACTTCTCTGTGTTGTAAGTTACATCATGCCAAGCTCAAGAGGAAGCTCACCCCTTACCAGCGTCTTCCCTCCACGAACGAGCTTACCGGCTGGCTGTCTGTACAGCCTGCGCGTCTGGCTCCACACTGCAGGCATCGACCACCGGATATTTAGCGACAATGATCTTTGGGTTGGGAGAGACCCCGACTTCCGATCTGTTGGAGACGCCTCATTCGCTGTATTGCGAAATGCAACGCAAGATATGCTAATATATCAGGGTGTCGTGGGTCGTGCGCACGTTAGCTTCATCATAAGGTTCGTCCTTCGCATCACTTTCTCCATAACATGATATCTTAATCCACTCGATGTGAATTATGTAGATGGAAGATCGTAGAAGTCGGCCTATATAGTATTTCCTTCGAGTACGAAGCCGGAGGCGCCGGACAAACACTCTTTGAAGACTGCTACCTTAGACTAGACTGCGAACCACAAATCGTCACATTCATGATCTAGTATGTTCTCCCTCCACAATTTCCATTCATAACCTCACCAACATCCACCAAGCACCATACCCGTAACCTCAACGCCTCCAGGAGCATCTCACCGCCTCCGCTTCTGGCTTCGCACGCCCTTCGTATCACATTCCCCCGCCTCCTCCGCCACCTCTCAATCCGGCGAATCCTACATCTACCAGCGCCTCTGGAAATCAGACGAATTCAAGCTCGGCGCGGGTCTCAACTTTGAAGCACTGGGCTCAAAACTCGAGATGGGCGTCCGCGATCCAGATTCACCGCGGATAGAACGTGATTTCCCGCGTTTGAACCCCAATTGGCCTCGGGCCTCCCGGACACCTGTGGATGCAGTTGGTAGTTCGTCAAGGCATCTCCCACTACATCGTTGATCCATGACTGTATTTATACTATCATATCCAGTACTCTGCACAGGGTACCTAATATGCAAAAGGTTTATAGCATTTCAACATCGTACTCGACTGGCGTCTGAAAAATTCAGGCATATGCAGAGTACCTATAAATTATGTATTGTACAAGTAGAACGAAAGTTTCTTGGATGTTGCAACTGCGAGAGATGAAATAGTGGTATTTTGCAACCTTGCTCGAATACAAATCACCCAGATCCCAAAGATCCTGCAAAGGTATTCGTAAAGTTTTACCCGGAGCACGAGGATCATCTTGTAGGGATGCCAGAACACAAATTCGATAGAGATGATTCTCTTGCGTTGAGGTGCTATGGTGGTAGAATTGACGGCGAATGCGGCAACGTGACATCAGACAGGGGGGATGTGTAAGAAATTCAATCTCCTCCACATTATTTCGCACAAACCCGACAACCTAGTCGCTGCGGAGAGTAAAAGTTGGCTACGCCGGTACTGTGGCGAGGTGTGACAACCCGTGACTGGATTTTCTCGGGTTTCCTCCGACACTACACCACATCGTCCTAAAAATGAGTAAAAATGAGAGCTACGTAGAAGAGATACGAATCCACAATGGTGCAAATTTGCGAAAGAAAATGTGAGGTGATTGAGGAGCTACAAAAGTTTTGCTAAAAGTTTTGCAGAACACTGGGAATGATAGCAACTCAATTTATGCCAGCGGCTTTTCATCTTGAGATATTTCACAGACCACGGTTGTTTACTTACGCACACGTTCTACGTCGCGGAAAATTTATAGTTCATGCGTAAGTTACGGTACAAATTTGTGTCTCTGGATTTTAAAATGCTGAAATACGAAGAGAAAATTGACGCTGCCAAACTTGAAGCTTTGAGTGCCAAGGGAAGAGTATTAAAGTGAAAAGTAGCGCGGACTCTGGGAAGGGAGATGCAACAAAAAAGCCAACGGACATAAGTGAAGCACTCATCCCACTGAACTGCGCTGTTGAGGTCTGGACGTTTGCCCAGTGCATCTCGCCATGTGCTTCGGTCCCTGTAGAAAAATGGATAAATAAACCAAACACCTGCAGGATGGCCATGACAATAAAGACTGGGCTACTGGTCTGTGGCCCCCAGAACGAGCAAGCTGGAGCAGAGCTAGAGCTTGGTGAAGTTGTTCAAGGGACCAGGGAGGCGACCATCTTTCTATTGCGCTCCCGTGGCGACGGCAGCGTTTTCACCGAGAGGAAGTTGAGGAGTCTTGATTTCGTTAACAGCCCTGTTGATAGGAGCATATAGGCCATTGGTTTCGCCATGTAGAGGTCCACTCAAGAACGACAAGCCCGGAATACCATTCTCGCTATCTTGTGTCATCTCCGATCTGCTGAGCGCGTAGCCACGCGAGATCAATGGTAAAAACATGTGAAAGAGTGTGTACCAACCGTCTCTTCTTGTTGGGCATATCAGGCGAGGTATTGTGTGACTTGCCCGATCCCTTCACATACAGCGTAATGCAGGTCAGTCATGCTCAAGCAAATACCCAAACCACCCACTTTGCCTGTCTTCGGACGCTTCAGTACCTGCTTTGGTTGCCGCTCGCCTTCATCAAACACGTAATCGGGAAGAGCAGAACTAATGAAATGAGTGAGATCGGAAGCGGTCACTTGCCCATCAAATTGCACGACCTTTTGATGTTCCGCACCACAATACCCATCGAATCCTCGTCGTACTTCTCCCACATCTTGACGAGCTTTGTAAACTCGGTGGTTGGGTATGATATATCGAGCCTCCGCGGGCCCACGGCGCCAACTTCAAAATAGAAACGTGATGAGCCGCAAATATCCCAGATGAAACGGCATAGGAACTGATGACGCACGGGGCTTGGGTTCAATCAGAAGACCAATATAGAAGGTTGTCGAGTGCACTGTACTGGAACCGTCGACACCTTCAATGTCAGCTTTCGTTCGCTTGGCGATAGCATCGGAGATCTGTCCCTGTGCAACCTGTCTGACCTCCTCTTCCGTAATACAATGTGAGACTTGATCAAAGCCTTTGATGAATGGATGCGCGAGAATCAATGAATCAACGTATTCAAGCTTCATAACCAATTGCCGTATCCGAGACTCGACGGTTCCTGCCCTAAACATGACTTGCAGACTTGCCGAACATACGACGAAAGAAACTCTTACCATTTGATCTGCAGATCAGCGCCGCCCGTTGAGGCGATAACTTGAAGGTAATATCGATACTTGTGGAAGAAGTCGTGTTTCTGGAAAAGTTCTGACCAACTTGCCGTGCCGACGATAACCTTATCCACAATGTCTGCTCCTATATACCCTTGAGAATACCACAAAAGGCAGAATTAAAGGAACAGTAAACCCACCTTTCTTGAACTCTTCAGTGACGATCATCTGTGTCGATGCTGTTACATTGTGAGTCGAGCACATTGCAGGATATGCGGGTGTGATGATGGGCATCCTATGCGATCGATCTGCAGGATAAAGCTACGAATGTGTATAAGGCTCTGCGCCTGATTCACCACAAGAAATGAGGGATACCTTTGGGTTCCATACGCGAACTTGTAGTGGGCCTTCTTCTATTTGTTTAAGCAACACCGGTTGCGGCCATGACCTGGACATCAATAGCATACACGCACACCAAAAAGCACTTCCATGAGCAGGCGCACCATTGGTACATGATGATGAAAAATCGGCTGACGATTGCCCCCGCAGTAGCATTAGGATACAGTTGACATATTCGGGCAACAAGGATTGCCCATGCGACACCGCCCAAGAACCCGTTTACATTCGAGTAGATGGCTCTCCCTGAATGCGGTGTATAAATAAAGCCCTTCGCCCCAAGTCATCCAGCAGAACCACTCACGTTGGGCCCAGAGCTTGATGCATCGAAGTGAATCTCGATAGACCTCAACATGGGGCACCAGACGCAGAATCTCATCATTCACCCGTGAACCTGTGCACGATGAATATCGTTAAACGATACGAAACGCAGGCCTTACCTCCAAGACTTCGCACACATCGCTCGTCTAGATTTCGCAAGAGATTGTCATCCTTCAGTGACAAATCATCTGGTATAGATGACAGCGCCAGACGAGCCATCAGGAAATCTAATGGTACCCCTGAGATTTTGGCCTTGATAATCGGAACGTATGCCTCTGGAACGCCCTAATATATCATCATCAGTCCAAGTCGCAGAAGTAATCACTATTGGATAAAACTTACCGATACCTCCGTAATATCCTCTACCTTGACAAGCATTTTCTCGAAGACTTCAAAAAAGTCTTCGCGGGATACATGTTTAGGAACAACGCAAAGTGTATCAATATCGGACCCGGGTGAGTGAACGCCGAGACGATATGAACCGAAGGTAAATATTTTCCCCCCAGCAGCGTTCGCTGCCGCTTCCGAAAGTCCGCGAGACAATGACACCTCATACACAAATTTTTTGACGACGGCAGCTACACGTCCAAGCACCGTTTCCCTGCGAAAATCGAAAGCGTCCTCAGTATCGCCTCCCTCTCCAAAGGCATAGACTAAAAAGGCTAGACACTAGGAACAACCCAAGAACCATGAAATGCGTATCCAATCATCTTCTGTGATAGCGCAGTGTCCACGAGGTTCTCGGCGAGCCGACTTTTGGTTCGCGCATCGATGTCCAACGAAAGCAAAAAAGCATTGATCCTACCTGAGCCGGGCCTCATCCACGCTCTCGAAAGTATTCTGTCTTCTCAGCTCCTCCATCAAGGTCGCTGTGACCTCCTTTTCCCTCTCGGTCGATTCAGCAGTCGAGATTGGCGGCGTAACCCCAAGATACCTAGAGCAACGTCAGTTAGATGGTTATTCGATGACTGAAGGTTGTATTTACCCTTTCTCCGTGGTCATGACTGCGTGAAGTTGAGACTTAAACACACTTGCGACTGAACTTGCGTCAAACGACTTAATCGTGTAGAGTTGCGGGCAATGGAATTAGAAACCACCCGCGCCACTATTTCAGTCTGCTTAGTCATTCTGGAGCTTCCACAATGTTATCTTCAGGCAGGCCGGGAAAACTGTTCAAGGCTCGGGTTGTGAATTCTATGGGTAGCAATGTGAAGGTAGGGTATGTACAACTCGGCAATATACACTAATATAAGAGGTAGCGTGTCGATATAATCACAGGTAGAATGCAATAACACCGGGTAATCTATCGTCATTGGCCGGGAAAAAGTAAGTGTTGTAATAAACAGGACGGGCAGGAAAAAAGCAGATAGATGCAGGCAAGTATGTCCAGGAGACTCAGAATTGTTCCTTACTCTGAATATATCCCCTCGGGGCTTGCCGCGTAGCCCTGAAGTGAGAGCGATCCGCTGTGCGCTTTAGGGCCCACTTGCGGATATACCATGCAAGTAAGGCCACAAAGAGGATGCCAGCAATGACGCCTAGCACGATACCAACTATTGCACCGGTTGATGAATGACTACTCGTCGAAGGCGAGGGTTCGGGAGGACCAACAGGCGGGGACGATGAGCCTGGGTTTCCACCGTATGGCCAATAGTCTCCGCCGGCAGGGGGGAGAACACAAGTCAAACTGTCACCATTCGTGTTATCCTGAAAGTCTGACTGGGTCGTGCTCTTCGAGGTGGTGTTGATATCAAGGACAAACGCTGCAGGAGAAGGTGTCGGGTCGCCAGTAGTGCAGTTCGGACCCCGCGCCCCAATAAAAGAAGTGTTTCCAACAAGGACATTATTCTCCACCGTAAAATTAGTTGCAGACGAGATGGCAATGCCGTAGCTGAATGCGCCAGTGAGCTGGTTGTCGAGCACTGTTCCGCCAGTGCTAACGTTATTGAGATACTCGGTTCCGAACCAGGTGCGGGGACCAATTGCAATTCCGATTCTGAGTCGTTCTTGTCAGCACCTTTATAAAAAAAATAAGGTGACTCCTCGTACTTTATGACGACATCTTCGTTATTTGTACCCTTGGTCGCCGACCCTGTGGCAGGATCAGAGGCGAACCCACCAGCAATGATATTGTTGGTGACCACGACCCCCTTATAATCACCACTAAAGGGTGATACGTCGACCATGTTGATTCCTCCGAGTAATGTATTCTGCATCGCCGTTAAGAACCAACAGAAAAGCATGGAATTTGTACACTTACAGTCTCGACCCAGATGGTGTTGTTTTCAACGCGAGTCCCAGGAGCGCCAAAGAGTACAATGCCTCCATCCGTCGGATTATTGATCATGTTATTACGAATAAGGCTGTTTTGGCAAGCCACACTAATTCCATCTGCCCACTGCTGGAAAAGATCGGATCCGGCGGGTCCAATATCATTGTTCTGGACCGTGACGTTATTGCAATTCAATGATCCCTCAGCGACATGGAGACATGACCAGCCTCTGGGGTCATAAGAATGCACGTATTCGATAAGCTGATCCGAGTTCGGACCGCCCATTTCAATATTTGCGCCTCCTGAGATGGGAGGCGCGCCACCCCGTGTACCATTTATCTGTGAGATAATTAGGGCGAGGGAAGCGATGAAGTGTCCATGGTTTTACCTGCACGTTCCGCAACCTCACTCCGTCGCAATTCGCGCAACTGCCGACGACGGCTGTTGTATGGCCGGTACCATTTGACACAGGGCCATTGACTACTAAGACAGCTCGACTGTCATCGGTGGGATATCCAAGAGTACTGATCTCTTGATTGGATGCCGCAAAAAGGATGGGGGCTTGTATGAGGTATTGCGTGCTTGGACATAGGTTCAACACGTATCCTGAACCCGAAGAGTTGAGAAGTGTGTTAAGGCGGTCTGTAAGGGTGTTGTCTGGGTCAGCAGGCTCGCAGTTTGAATTGGCTCGAGGCATGGCCATCATCCTGCAAATATAACATTGTGTGAGCGAGGAAGAGAAGGCACATGCAGTCCCATACTTGTGGAAATGATTGCTATGCATGGCGAGAGAAGTCTACTACACGCGGAAATGATTTGAGTGTGAGAGGCCAAAACGAAGGCAAGGAGGTCAGAGGCAACAACAAAAAGTAAGGCCTATAGTACAAGGCAGTAGTGAAAACGTTACAGTAGAAGACTTAAAGGAGTGGAGTGGGCAGCTAACCTAGAGCGCCTCTCGATAACTCTGAGCCGAGGCAAATGATTCATCACGCCGCGTCGAACATGCACTTCTAAATCGAGAAATGACATAATGCCCAGCTGTCAATTCCCAACCGCCAAGTACGATTCAATCACTTCTTCTACGTAGGTCTACGTCCACCACTGAAGCCCACTTCAAGTTGACGAACGTACGTTGAAGGTAACTTTTTAAAGCATTAGGACCGTTCGAACAGGCCATGCCAGATCCGATTTAGCCGCCTGCAAAGACTTTCACCGGGCGTTTTGAAAATGTCTACGAACGCTACTACCGATAAGCGCTTGAACCGGTATGAAATTCACGAAATAGGCTCCATGTCACAGGACGTGGAACCTATTACCTATTGGTGATCACTACCCGTGACACGCTGAGACGCCGAGGTACTATCGAAGCCCATCAAGGCCCACGTATGTCTCGAATCCAGATCCTTCCTATCAAAAGAAACAGGGACGTCGCTCCGACTTGAGGTGAGCTACTTGTTATCTGCCCGACTCCTGTGGAAAGATAATTTGCGCAAGTAAAATACTAGAGTTCCACATTTCGGACTCGAGCTCAAGCCCAGCGACTGGCAGACGGTCCTCCGTATGCGGGTCATGCTTTTAGCGTTCACCATTCAGTGCCTATGTATATACCTTCTGTAATCGAATTCAGCTTCGAGAAGGTCCCATGGGGAAGACCAGCTGATGGCCTTCTAATCTTGTTCATACGACTCCTGAAACTCCACGGCAGTGCAGATGCGCATCCTAGCTTTTGAAGGGATGCCGATATACAACAACTAGGTGACGTCGAATGGGAAAAACCGCGCAAGACATCCTCACAAGTTATGGACAGATATCAGCGCCCACACAGGATCGTCCGACTTCGAGACGGTCATGTGAGGAAGATATTTATATGGTGCCAGCCTCCTTATCTTACGTTTCACCATGTCTCAGGGTCACGATGTTATTAGTCCCACTCGAACACAAGGCAGGTTACAGAGTGTCCATTTTGCCATCCCCTTCCCAACAATATGGCTAGATTGTTGAGTGTAGCGTTAGGCTTCTTGAGCCAGCCATTCGCCCATCTTTCTCAGCTATCGTTCCCAACTGATTCCGTCAGTGTAAACAATGGTCAGGTTATCACCCCGGCGCTTTCCAACTCCATTCAAGAGATCCTTGACATTTGGAACATTACTGGACTGTCTGTCGCAGTTGTCCCGAGGTATGGAGAACCGGAATTTCATTCATGGGGAAACAGGTCCGAGAACGGGCAGCAGACAACAGAGGATGTGCGGACTACTCAAGTTTCTACCAGTATGAAATCTGAAACCTCGTTTATAGACATTATTTCATATGGCCTCCGTGTCCAAGGCATTCTGCGCCACCGCTCTTGGTATTCTAATGGACGACTTCGAACACGGAAGAAACGTCACGCCGCTTCCCCCCGATCTGAAGGAATTTAATTGGCACTCCACAGTAGAAGACATTCTTCCGGGAGAATGGCAATTGATGGATGAATGGGCGTCCAAGAAAGCTAATATGAAGGACATCCTGTCTCATGTTTCGGGTCTTCCTCGGTAAGCCTTTACACAATTTCCTCGCTCCAGAACAGGATTCTACTGAGCAGGAATCAGTCATGATTACTCGTATGGACCATACGACAGTGCGAAAGATGCTGTAATGCGGTTACGCTATCTAAGACCAGCTTTTGAACTGCGGGAACAGTGGTCATACAACAACCAGGTAACGTAGAATGGGCAAAACCGCGAAATCCTTTCTTACAAGATACGAACAGATGTTCATGGTGGCCTCACACATCATCGAAACTTATTCCGGACAAACCTACACCTCTTTTGTGGAGGATCGGATATTCACGCCCCTAGGAATGTTCTCTTCCACCTTCTCACCAGCAAAAGCTGGGAAGACGGGAAAATTCACACAGGGATGGACTGGCAGTGGCAGGCTCCTGCCTGAGTGGTTCACAGAAGAGATGGCGATGCTGAAGGCCGGTCCAGGTGGTGTAATCTCGAACGCCATAGACATGGTAAGTTCTTTTCACCTTCATTATATTTCACTAACTGATAGTGTTGTCGTCGTCGTCCAGTCGAAATGGGTTGCGGTGTGGCTTAATAAGGGTGTGCACGACAACGTTACAGTCATACCGCTGTCTGTGCATGGAAATGCATCGCAGTCGTACTCCGTATCTATCAACGCCCCAGATGATTCTGAACACTCGATTCAGGGGTATGGGATGGGATGGTTCCGAAACTCGTACCTCGGACATGATGTAACAAATGTTCATTCGTTCATTCCCACGATTACTGATGTCAGAGGATTAGGTCGTATATCACTCGGGATCAATTCCAGGTCTCTCCACGCTGGTCTCATTCCTTCCAGATGATGATGTTGGAGTTGTAGTTTTTTGCCAACGGGGGCGATCGAGCAACGCCTGTGATGAATATCTCTAACCGCATAATTGATGCTGCTCTGCACCTGCGGTCGCAGCCTTCACCGTTGATGTTCGTTCTTTTCATTGTCCAATGCTGCTTTTGTCTTTGCTTACATGTCATTGATTCACCCAGCATGCCTGAGAAGAAAGCAATCACGCCTCAACATGAAGGCGTCGTTGGCTTGCAGCTTGCAGTCGAAGCATTTTCGGGCACATACGCCAACCCCGGATACGGCGTCCTCTCCTTTTGCAGTCCCTCCAGCAGCTCCTCGTATTGTCGAGATGTGATCTCCGACTTCACTGCAGTGGATGCAGCACAGTCAAGTGCTCCTAATTCGCCTCAGCTGCTCGCAGCCTGGCCTCGCGTATGGGCATCTCATATTCGGGCTGTGCATCAGTCTGGAAATACGTTCTCGGTGCAGTACACCTCGTTGTTCCCTGAAGGGTATGGACGAGACAGTACGCCATTCGAGACAGCGGAAATAGGGACGTCCCAGGCTACAGCAGAGTTTGTCGTGGAAGATGGAAAGGTTGTTGGGTTTGGCTTGGTCGGGCTGGTTGGTCAACTCACGGAGAGGGAGCGAACACATACGACTGTGAAAGACCGAGCTGAAGTGTGGTTCGATAAGGTATAGTGATACAGATACTTTCAAATGTACAACAGAAAGCTTTCAGCCTCTCCTACAACATATCGTGGGGGGAGCTGCGAGGCGATGACAGTTACCAGTTTCGTTGTCCAAAAGTCACTTCATTGTCGATATATTGAGATTTCTAGCTCCCGGACCTGGTGCGATAGCCTGAATCCTGTGTACACGTTCGGAACTTGCCTGTGATGAACGTGGGAATTGATCTCATGATTTGGAGCCCAAACCGACTACACGGACAAATTCCAGAGCATGTTGAGGAAATCATGACGGGTTTCCTCACTCGGGTTAGTAATACCCGTCCTTACTTCATAGCAGGAATATTATTGACAATCGTATAGAATCTATGCGAGGGACCGAGTGAAATATCCATCCCTTGGCGATATAATTTTCATCGCATGCTGAAAGGCATCCCAAATTTGAAAAGTCTTGACTGTGCAGAGATGGAAATATATGATAGCGAAGAAAGCCCATCTGGAATTTTCCTGGTCCTGAACGGCTAATGCAAGTGGTGGTACTGATTCCATACAAATGGTGTCTCGGCACGAATTTGCATTCCCCTGTTTGGGACACCCCCACGATGACCATCACTCCTGACGAAGTGATACACTTGGCGGCTAGCCTACAGTTCCTTGCGGTGAAGAGCATTATTGGCACCTTTTGTAGTGTCGGGGATCGCACTGCGCAACGCCTGGCCGTGTTCTATAAGATTTTCTATGACAAGATAGCCAGAGAGCGGTTCGTGAGGATACGCGCTTCTACCAACGCATCGTGTCCATGCATATCGGCCTATGATATATCATGTGCGTCCTTTTACTTGTCACGGTGAGCTGACGACACGCTCTAGGCCTGTAATCATGCTGAGGCTAACACGTTGCCTGGCTTGTTGCGAGCTGGCATTGACCTTGCTTTCGCAAGGTGATATATTGTTCCAGGCCAGATTGCTGATGAACTTTGCTTCACAAGGTAGATCTTAGGTGGCAATCTGCTGTAATTGCAGATATCATCTGTTCGAAAGGGGATGTCAGGTGGATTGGTTCTTCCTACATCGTCATGAAGAGCAATATCTAGCACATAAAAGCAAGGTGTCTTCCTACCATCCACTTCAGATTTATTCGATCTAATATCACATCCTCACCAACAATGCATTTCTCCTTCGTCCTCGCCGTCGTTACTGCTTTGACAGTATCGATATCTGCCAGTGATGCTGACAGTGAAAAATGTCCTATCTTTTGCGTGCTGACGAAAGAGTGCAGAGGCTGCCCCTGGCTATCATGCGTGAGTATGAGTGGTTTTCATTCTGGATTTAACCACATCACTCACCGACGTGGTAGGTCGCCTTTGTATGCCTTCTGAGCAGTTTGATGCTGACTTGATCAATGTTCAAGTTCTGATGGTTGCCTTGATCGAGTGGCAAAGGAACCGATCACGATCGTCGACGAAAAGTTCAGACCCCTTAGTATTCTCCCAGATATAACTAGTTCGACGTGATGCAGCGAGAGAGGTTCATTGGCGTGTTGATCAAAGGCTCTACCGTTCAGGCGATTGGCTACGCTCGTTCTTTCTTCTGTATTATGTAGTAAAATATACCCACTGACCTTAGCGTTGTGGTATTATTACTATCAACTTTGCGTGCGATAATATTGGCGGAACGGTCAACAAATGAGATCGAATCTCGGATCTTTCACATCGTCCCCCGCAAGATTTGCTAACTTACACGTCGATGAACAGCTAGCTTGTATGTAAGCCGTTAGTACCGCATTTTAGGTGTTGCAATCGGCAGGAGAGAGACATAGTACACCGTCAACTTCGTAGTATGCGTTCAAAGAATCCGGCGTAGCCGTTTGCACAGAGGATGACAATGAAAAATACCGCATCTATGCCATCCTTTGTGCAAACGGCTGTACCGCTGAATACCTGGCCATTCTATCTAAGATCCTGCTAGTTAGTAGGAAGAACTGGCAGGCGTTGATCGCGATGGGTTGTTTTGTACCTTGGAGCCTGGACAGCTGAGTTTGTTTCACAGTTTGTTTCTGTGTGTGGCGTGGCAATGTGTGACATGTCGTGACAAGCCAGTGACTCGTATGTGACACGGTCACCTGGGTGTCCCAATAAGTAAGCCTTATTAGGCTGGACGATTATGTGTCTCACCCACGCTTATTTGGCTCAACAGCGAAGATTCCTCAACGCCAGCATTAAATATTGCCCTAAATCATGTAGGTACTTGAAGCATTTACCTGTTCTACCTATCTAATTGCATACTAGATTATCTTCCCACCAGCAACGCCTCCCGCCCCGAGCTTATACTCCCTGACTTCTATTTGGCGCATTCCCACGCACTCCTGATACTCTCCACCATAGTGTACAACGCCCAACGCCTCCACACCCAATGCCTCGCAGCCCAATGCCTCCCACCCCTGAACATTCACTCCCCACCATCTATTTGGAGCATTCCCATGCACTCCTGGTACTCTCCACCACAGCATACAACATCCACCGCCTCCCGAGTCCCAGCCTCTCAGATCTCACTGACCACAATCGTCACCGGTCTCATATCAGGCCCTGCCTCCTTTAATATAGCCCACCATAGCACTATGCAGCATTTTCACCTTGTACTTGTAATGTGTCCTCTGCCTTGTGATCATAACATATCCTCTGCCTCATGATTGCCACATGTACTAGGCTTGTATGTATGCCCTCTGCTACTCTCTCTCTGCCCTCTCAATGTCTCACTCACAGAAATCAACCAAAATCAGTGGCTTGTCGAAATCGGTCATCACACATGGTTTCAAACACGGTCAGCGTACTTCTGGTGTGCTTACTGCTTCAGCTCAAAAGAAGCACATGGATGCTGTTGACGCTAGGTGCCAGTCTGAGTTGTGAGGTATGTCCATTGCATGACCACCTGTCACGAATTTCAAATACAAATCATTTTTTGTTCCTCGGCTTTCCTCCAGCTACTTCTAGTTACCGAACTGGTCATGTGACTTCACTTCCCGTCACATCTTCACCTCTTCACATATCACCAGTTGTTTCACTGATTGGTTCCCCAACTCCATGGGCTAGAACAATCTCGCTTCCGAAAAAAGTACCGGTCGGATCTTGGGCTTCTATTTAGTCACTGTATGACTCATCACTTATATCATGATGTCATGCTCAGTCATCCGCAGTATCGTACGACTCTTTTATAAGTAGGTTAGTTAGTGTAAGTACTCCTTAGACTTAACCTCTTCATTTCCACACTGGTGGTAGACCTAGACGTTCACACTCAAATCTATCTTGTTCATCATCATCCTTCTTGACTGAGTCCTAGTGGTTGTGTGTTAGTCTTTACCATTTGGTGAACGCTAGTCATAGCACCACCGCTCAGAGCTGATGTAGTCTTAGAGTTGAATGCAGTGGATTGAGAAAATGTCGAGAGCATGCTTGCTGATCAAGGCATGATCACTGATGACATACCATATGAGCCAGCCCCAGGTGATGGGGGACTTGACCTCAGCCACAAAGGTGGCAAATACGAGGCTTTTGAAGGGCTGTCTCACACAATGGCAGACCTTTTGGGATTGTAGGTGTGCATTTTGTTTTGTACATACACACTTATCAATTCCTTGTCAGCCACTATGTGGACCCTAGGACTTGACACAATCATACTGACCTTCAAACAAATCATTGGGACATGCAAATGAACGAACTCATTCATGCCTATCTGGACTACCAATCTCGCGATTCTGGAGATGGTATACCTACTGTCTCAAATGAAAATGACAATCCTTCTCTCAATACTGCCCTGGTACTCAGCAACATTGAGCTCGTTGATACTTTCTGTAGGTCCTGACTATTGTCGCCACTGCTTATACTTAAGTTTGACCTGCAGTTCGGCACCGAGCATCATTCAACATACTGCGATGCCATAAGTACGCCAATGAGACACTGATTTATAATGGTTATCTTGGGTGTTCACCTTTGTTTCTGAACATTGCTATCAGCCTTCGTACTCTTGCAGCCTATCGGCAAGCTCACCGGACTTGTCCCTGATTCACCATCCAGGCGCAATGCAAAATGCTGTGCCACTTGCATGATGTTTGTACTACCTTACTTTTTTTGCGTTTATTTACACTTCAACCTACCCTTCGTCAGATGCCGTATTGCCCATATCTCTGCTCTCAATTTTCTGCTGCTTATGACACTTTTCTTGAAATTGTCTATTGTGTTGATGTATTGCTGAAGCAGGCACTCAAGCACGACACTCCAAACTGGTGGCTGTTGAATGCATGCCCAGCATGTACTTACAAACTGGTAGATGAATCACCACTCCAATTTGCTTGGTTTGCCACCATCGACGGTAATAATAGCCTTAAGCGCTGGGCGTCTTCAAGTCCTAATTCTGTTCCTCGTGATGACTCTCGTTGGCCGAGATCAGACTACTGGATCAGTCGTGATGCAGTAGATAAATTCAAAGACGAAGTCAGGTCCAGAACTGTGGGTGTACTTTGTATCATCAGTTTCAAGTATGTAAAATAACCCTATGACCAGGCACTCGACAAGAACAACAAGGTCGATGACTGGGAGGATGTACACAATGACAAAGAAGTCCCAGGCGAGGCCATTTTCCATTGTACAGTCCATTGGTGCAACGCCAGACCCGAACAATACAAGAAAATGTTTTCAGTTTTTGATGAATCCAGTATTTTCATTGCTGCGTGACGTCACCATTTTGTCTTGGTTGCCTGCGATATGATTTGCAGCAGAGAATTGTGAGCACCGAGGCCACCGGGACCAGATATACTGAAACTCATATATTATTTAGAGCGAAGTATCTGCTCGCTATAATTGATCACCTAATGGCTGTATATGGGCAGAATGGCTCATGTGCTTACGACATTGGTTGCGCATTTTTGAAGACACTGAGTACTAGTTCTTTGGGTCCACGTGCAGATGCACTTGCTTTATGCATGATGGTGGGCACATTCCATGGACATGCTCATAACCACAAGTGCCAGCTGGACTGGTCACACCGAAGGTGAAGGCTGCGAACATATATTCTCATCATCGAATGAGCTCGCACGGAGTACGCAACATGCTAGTCCTTTCCATCGGCATCAGTCTATTGAGAAACATTTCAACTTCTGGGATGCCAATAAATATGCCGCCTTGAGTAAGCAATTTTTGTCAGTGGCGCCTCCGATCCTGAAATCTCGTAGGCAATTTTTTGTTCAATCATTACCGGGAAGCTGTCATATACCTGATCTGTCCGCTCCGATATTAATATCCGCTCCGCTTTCTGACCACCTCTGCTCCATCCATCCTCCGCTCTGTCCAATCACAGTCCACATTCCGCTTCTACGCTTCCACTCGACTGCCCAACCGGTCCCCTTCCATAACATCTCTATTCAACTGGATCCGCTTTCCCCTTTTAGATATATACTTCCCCCTTTGGTACATAGACCCTTACTTCCGGATCACCGGTAATTCCTATTACCGCTTGATCACTGATCCAACGCGTACATATTGATATCCGCTCTGACTTACAGTGGCTCAAAAAAGTGTCCAGATGTTTATGCATTTTCAAGTAATTGAACAATAGCAAGGCAGAACCAAACAATGACCAAAGGGTATAGGGACATGTCTGAAAGCCCTATATCATGGCTCAAGTCTGAGATATACAGCGTGTGAACCCGACCATATATGGGCAAGCTATGGTAATTCTAAATATATGACTCATTCGGACACTTTTTTGACTTTTTATTGAAATCACAAAATCAGACCATTCATACATAATACTCTTAATTAAAGCCATGTCATAATGATAATATGGTCTGATTGCAATATTATTTGAATATATAAACCCACATAAGATCATGAAATTCAACATAATCATCATGAAGCCCATCTCCTCTGCTCACAAGGATAATATCCTTGTTCTCTGTACCTCTGGTTTATCTACTAGGCAAATTGCCTCAAAAACTGGTCTTGGAAAGTCTACTATTATTACAGTCATAAAGCAGCACATGCCAGAGAAGGAAAATCATCAAATGGGATGTCCTCCCAAGCTTACTCCACAGAACAAAAGAGCTATTGTTCACCAAATTCTATCTGGCAAGGCTTCAAATGCTACCCAAGCTACCAAGTTCATCAATTCCATCATCACCACTCCTGTCTCCACCCAAACTGTCAGAAACACCCTCAGGGCAGCCAATCTTAAGGCTGTAACTAAGAAAAAAAGACCTCCTCTCTGTAGCTCATAGGAAGAGAAGACTGGCCTTTGCTTTAAAGCACCAACATTGGAGTGTGGAAGACTGGAAGAAGGTTATTTGGTCAGATGAAATAAAAATCAATAGAATGGGGTCATATGGCCAGGAATATGTGTGGAAAAAGGCAGGAGAACCATTAGGAGAAAGAGAAGTCAAGGGTACACTGAAGTTTGGAGGAGGAAGTATGATGGTATGGGGTTGTATGGGGTGGAATGGTGTGGAGATTCTTTGTGAAGTGGAAGGATGGATGAATGCAGAGCAGTACATCTCCATTCTAGAGGAGTGTCTACTCAAAAGCATGCAGGAGTCAGGAATTGATGAAGAAGACATTATCTTTCAACAAGATAATGACCCCAAGTACACCTCAAAACTGGCTACAACATGGTTTAAAGACCATGATATAAATGTTCTATCATGGCCAGCACAGTCTCCAGACCTCAATCTCATTAAACATCTCTGTGAATTACTCAAAAGACTACTTGCTGCCTATCAAGATCCTCCACAGGGGCTATTTAAACTATGGGAGAGAGTTGCAGCAGAGTGGACAAAGGTTGCTGAAGAGGAGTATCAAAAATTGATAGAAAGTATGCTTAGAAGGATTGCAGCAGTTATTAAAGCCAAGGGGGGTAGCACCAAGTACTAGAATCATAGAATAGTCTTGGTTAAATACAAAGTCAAAAAAGTGTCCAAATGAGTCATGTATTTAGAATTACCATAGCTTGCCCATATATGGTCGGTTTCCCACGCTATATATCTCAGATTTGAGCCATGATATAGGGCCTTCAGACATGTCCCTATACCCTTTGGTCATTGTTTGGTTCTGCCTTGCTATTGTTCAATTACTTGAAAATGCATAAACATCTGGACACTTTTTTGAGCCACTGTATGTCTTCGCCTGTGTAAAGTACTTACAAACTATATCCTTGGTACATAGCTTTATAACATAGTTATCCTGATCACTGCCTCATACTTAGAAGTATATAACATATCCTGTACTTAGATATTTTCCCCAGTCTTAATATTACTTGTCTTCTCGCAGTTACTACTTGTGAGAATTCTCAGTAGGACCTTGCCTCCTCTGGACACAAGTTTCATCTTGTTGTCACCTCTGACCCTCCACTCCAACTTAGAGCCGTGCTCTAAGTCTTCTCTTGACTTCTCCGCCCCTATCAAGTATTCCCCCTGCTCCTTTCCGCCCTCCGCATTATCCTCCGCCTCCTCCGCTCCTATCAAGTATTCCCCCAGCTCCTTTCCACCCTCCATCCTCCGTCTTCTCTGCTCCGCTCCTAGTCAGTCCGCCACTAGTAGCTCTTACCTCCCGACCCTCAAAGTGGACCTAAGTGGTCCACTCGTCCTATCGTTGGACAACATCGGACCCGCTCCAAATTTGGGGCACGTACTCGGCTAAGGGCGCAGCGCAAGAGCTGAAGCCAAGCCCCGACCCCTCTGCTTCCTGAGTCGGCATGGTACCTAACAGAAGCAATACATGTCATTCAAACCTTACAAGCCGAGCTCTCCGTCATCAAATGCGAATTAAATCTGGATGATGCAGACTTTGTGAAGTTCTACAATGAGGAAAAGTTGTATCTCAATCACTTGAAAGAACCTCCAATCTGAGATTGTCTTTGTATTTGATATGTTGAAGTCCTAGATGACCTTGACTCGTGCCGGTGAGTGGCTGTCTCATATAATACTATTTTGTTGAATAGGTTTAAATGGCAGGGAGGAATGGAACACTGCTCAATTGGCTGCCAATAATGCACTAACCACTGTTGGAGTCGGTGATTTCGCAGAGATCTGTGCTGCCCTTACTACAGCTCGCATTCGTGTTGATGCTGCTTACACAAAGTTGCAAAATGCAGAAGCCTTAGTTGCCCACATGGAAATTCAACTTCACATTGAGGAGCACTGGGTTATTGGGGGTCCTGAGTACATTCAGTTCAAAGAAGAAGCAATATTGGGCAAGTATCGCACAGCGTTAAATGAACTGGAGCGCCTTGTAGCCATGAGGCTTTTTGAGCTCTCAAAGCTTTCTTTGTTGGGCACAGGTAGTATGTTTCATCTCATTATATTTTACTGTTTTCATATTTTCTTTCAGGATATAAACTACGTCAGCAAATCAGAAAGGCACTACAGCACCGTTTGGAGGCAATTCACAATGCGATCAACTGGTACAATACCCAGGCTGCTGCACTTAACCTGCCATGTCCAAAATTGTCCTGGAAGAACATTGCAGAGTACAGCTTCTTGGGAGAATTCAACTTATTGTGTCACTCACGTACTGACATCTGCAAACTCGACTGGACGAAACCTGCTCACTGTGAGGCCACCACAAAATATTTCAAATTGTTGCGTGCGTGAGAAGAAGTATCTTGCCTCAATGTTGAAGTCTGTTGATTACGCACCTTCTGTCATGAATGTTACCAACTGCATGTAATTTTCGATTATTGAACCCTAAGTCACCTCATCCGATAAGATTAGATTAGATAAGATCCCTGATAAGATAAGATGGATAACCAATTAACGATCACTATCTTCACATCACATCTATACTACATCAACGTCATCCATCTATATCCGTAACCCTAGATATACGAAGTCATCACATCCTTAGAAGTCCTACGATTAGGCAACTGGCTACATCATAAGCATCTACACGCCTCTATGATTGAACCATAACCGAGAGTCCTTTACGAGCTATCTCTCGAAGAGTCATCATCCCTTTACATCGCAGACCTTCACTTCCCACACATGACATGTTAAGAGTCACCTCTGTCATTACCGAACCCCTTACATAAGAACCTGTTGCACAGTCACAGCTGAAACCCTGAACCCCTATCACAGAAGCGCCACTCATAGAGAAGCATGCTCATTACCGAAGACCCTGGAGAAACCCTTAGATCCAATCGTACCCAATACATCTCCAGATCCTATCTCTTATTGAGATCCTTAATTACCGCTCGAGACTTCTTATCACAGAACTCTCTCACACCCTTCTTCATTTCCGTTTACCCTGAATAGAAGCAGAACCCTGAGAACCCTGCTTAATCTCCGATACCCTTTTTCCCTTGTAGTTGATTGGTTGATAAGACGCCCTATACCCTAGGTGCAATGTTATGATCTTATATAGATATATCACTACCTTTCATACTCAGATATCTCCACCTAGAGAGTAGTATATAGTTTAGGTCGTAGTCAGTAGTACTCCTTAGACTTAACCTCTTTGTTCCTACCCAGTGTAGACTCAGACGTTCACTCTCAATAACATCTCTTTGCTCTTATCCTTGACGAGTCCTAGTGGTTGTGTTAGGCCTTTACCATTTGGTGAACGCTGATCATAACACCTTCGTCCATGATGAGGAAATGGAGACCAAAAAAGTTATTATGGACTTTCAATCATCTAATCCCCTCCTTGCATCTGGGCTGCAGCGACAATGGTGAAGTCACTTGGCCACCAACATGTTTCACATCTTCTGTCTCAATCAGATTGAGGACCTCCCAAGTTACTCAGGCATGCGGGGCATTGGAGTACATTCCTGCATAGGAGGAGATTCAGATGTGCATGATGTCATCACTTCTGAGTATGCAGATGCAGACATCATCTGGCAGGAGGAGCATGCCGAAGATATGGAGAATATGGCTAGCTATCTCAATTCCATTGTAGATTAATACTTTGTCATATGTCACATAGAAGAATAAATACTTTCTATGATAGCTTTTCGCTGCAATGTTCGGTTGATTGGCGTGAGCTGGCTTGGTATGTATTGTATGCAGGAGTTATCATATCCCCTTCCTACATATCATCTGCTACTTTCAATTGACGTGAGGGTACTTGGTATGCAGTAGTTATCATATTCCCTTCTACATATCATCTGCTAGCTACTGTAATTTCAACCATTGATGTGTTTTGATGGATTGTCATTTGTAAACAGCAACTCCAACTTGAAATCAGTCATGCTCAGGGGCAGGTTCTCAACATACTTTTTGTCCTGTAGTGCTAAGTTCTCTGGATATATTCCCTGCTACATATGCATATACTACTTGGGACTTGACATATATTTGAATGTACGGCCACACTATCTACTTGTAGCAGTGTACCAACATGATTCAGTACTCGGGTGTGGCAAGTTGCATTCCTAGTATACTATGCATCTATGACTCAGGTGACTAGTACAATTACAAGCACTCGCCATCTATTTTTGACCATCAACTTTAGCTCGACTCTCAATCACATACCACCTCCATCTCAACAGCAATGTCCCAATCAAAAGCCACCAAACTTCCCCCCATAACCATGGAACCGTCTTTCTCAGTCCAGAGCATAGCAGCACTTTACAGCTCTACTTTTGCAGAAGGTTTCGGAAATTCCAAGCGACAGGCTGCAGCCCATGTGCTGCTTTGACATGATGCTCATCTTGACGGAACTCACTACCACGCCAGGAAACCAAGCAACCTTCATCCATCCTATGCAGCATTCAACTCTTTTGTTATGACAAAGGACCGTTCCCTCTCTCGTGAAGAGTTTGTTGAAGCCTCACTGAAAGATGTCTTTGATTCCGTATGTGTCAGCCTATTTTTTTCATATTGATTGAATCAAATACTCTTGCAGATTGCCATGCAAGACCATCTTGATGGAGGGATATTGATTGTTATTCACTGCCCAGGTTTCAAAGCCAACACCACGCCCTCTCCAGAAGAGGTGGCACTTGACTTGTATGTCACTCCCCATGAGCTGCAGGAGAGCCCCGCATGAATCAGTGGAGATGTTGCTGTCTTGGTTCAAGCTTTTTGTGAGGAATTTGTTGTTCTGCACATGGAACACTTCATGAAGCATTGTCAAATCAAAGGTATTGAGGCACCACATCGTTGTAAGTCAGTTTCAGTACATTTTTCCATCATACATCTTTTCATGGTCTTTTCCAGTCACCTCCACGTGTATCAATCTTAGTGAGCTGCCGCACCTTCCAGCACCTTGTGATCCTGCTGGGGCACGTATCCAGTGTTCAGGCTATCCTAAAGAGTCTTTTGAGTGGGATCTTGCATCCAGATTGAAGAGTTCAACTTCTTTGGCTGCTATTTGCCATGCCACTGCTCAAGTGTCTACTGGTCCTCGTGGTACTGCTCAAGTGTCCAATCCTTGCACTACTACTCAAGTTGCCAGTCCTCACACTCAGATCTATCATCATCGTCCAGCGGATGCATTTCTCACGAAGCCGATAGTTTTGGGTCCACCGCTTGTTAGTATTGGCCCGCATACTGACACCATTCTTGATCGGTTCAAACTGGGTGATGAAATCCTTCCGAAGTTGCACACCTTGACCACCATGGTTCGTAATACCCATTGGGAGGAAAATCTGCGCTCTCCAAAATGGGGCCTCAATTATGAGCAAGTGTCTAAACTTAATTGGGCTCTTCATGCTGATTTGCAGCTCGGCTCAGGCTTCAGGGTAAGCAAGATCTAATATTTGACACTTCACATTGTGCTAAAGTTTGACACAAGGCTTCTTCTTCACCCTCTATTTGGCAGATTGTCAGGATCGTGGCACTAGTTTTCGTCACCCTTGCTGGTTGCTGTGCTTTTTACCTTTTTTATCTTGTTTTCTTGTAGATCATGTGTCATTGGTTTGGCTGGTGTCTACTAGCGTGGCCGATGAAACTAATTTTTGGTGTGCTTGCACGGCCCAATATTTATAGTAAATAAACTGTCTGAAAATCAATCTTTTGATCTGGTGTGATTTTACTGTCTTTGCATGATATATATTAGTGGTACTGATTCACACTCCCCACTTCCTTAGGTTGATATGGCAGAGCGCACCCAAGGACTAGCTAAGCCAACTCACACTAAGGTGCAGCTTACCAAAGAGGCTTGCACTGCAATCACACTACAACACCACAAAGCTTCTCAAAGTTTTCGGAAAGCTCTCAAGGACACATGGCAGGTCCTAGATGATGCTGCTATCAAGATTGCTTTGGATCACAAGAAAAGTGTCCATCGAGTGCAAAATGAATTGCATATGGGACACTCACTCTTGCACTTGAAGCATTCCAAGGTCAGCGCATGGAACTCTTTCCTATGGAAGAAAGGCCAAGACGGCAACAAAGAGAACTGTAAGTTTCTCTCTCTTTTGATACAGCCTAATCCAATTTATTTTTTTCACTGCAGACGGATGCTGGTAAAGATGTACTTGAAGGGATCATGAAGGACTTTAAAGATGAGTACAATAGCCTCATCAAGGAGGAGAAAGCAAATCTTGTTGAGGAGTACAAAGAATACAAAGCTACCAAGACTACTGGGCAACACATTTCAACTAAGTCGAAAATCAACAATGTCACTAACACTCTCAAGATTGTTGAAAATGAGGTACAATTTTCTGTCATGTCTCACAGTCAACCAACCACCAGTGTCTAACTCTTTATTTTACTAGCTCAATAATCTCTGCTCTCGTACTGGAGCAGAGACAATTATGTATATGGCCCAAGGAACCACCGACCTTCCGCTATGTGGTTCTCAATTTGTGACTGAAGGTGTGCAAAGCTTCATGGAATCTGTGATGGGCATCAATAATCAAGACCTAGTCAGCAAGCTGGAAGGTTTTGCGATACAAGGCATGACAGGTATATGTTTATAAATGTGGTTTCTGTTGGGCGCTACTTACTGACCTTGTGCAGGGGCAGCAAAGAATCATCAGCAGCGCATGGCTGAAGTATGTGCCATCATCCGCTCTGAAATTAATAAAGCCCTCCATGAGTATTAATTTGATTTTTTTTAAAGTTTAATGTTGTCTGACAGAAGGTCTCCAGAGACCATTGCCAAAGATCCAGATGCCAAGATGCAATGGGCACAATATTGGCGTAACATTGTCAAACGGTACTCTGTAATCATTGAGGGCTGGCCAGAGCAAATTCCATTTGCAAATCTCAGTGCAGTCTCTAACTCCCTTCCTGAATTTGAGATGCTTCTAAGGAAGTGGCAGTCTGGGGCCATCTATTGGAAGTGCCTTACTCCAGAAGAATTGGAGCACATGGACAAGGAAAGGGCATCAAGGCATCAAAAATGGTGCAATAGTTGAGAAGCAGCCAGCGTGCTCGCTCTGACAAGGGCAAGAAGAGACTGCCACAGTGCTGATGATGATGATGCTCCTCAGCACCAGAGGAAGAAGGTATATAAGAGTATGGAGATGGTCAGCAGCGATGATGAGGAAGAGAACCCTGATGTTGTGCCCAACACCACTGACAACATACCAGGATCATCAGCCACATGGCCATTTCAAGTGGATCACTGAGCTTGCAAGTGTTGACACGCAAAACATGGCCTTTGTAAGTGATCACATGAAGATTCTCCTGCTGTGCACTTCAATCTAAGTATTGCACACATTCAAACGCACAGAGTCAAAAGGACTTGATTTGAGAATTGACACATCATTCCCTCTTTGTCTCTGTGCTCATCCCCATTTGCACATCACTCTCTCATTTTTGTCCATTCCCTTCTCGACACCGCAAATCTTCAGTAAATCTGCCTCATGTCTTCCTTGACTCTACCTGCTGGCACTTCGGCCATTTCAAATTCAGCTTCTTCTGCCCCAACAAGTAATTGTTATCAGCTCCTGCCACCTCATCCGGCACTATGACTCATAACCAAATCCTTGCTGAAAACACCCGCAGAATCGCAGAAAATATTATATTACAGTCATGCAGAGATGCCGGAGACACGAATGTCCCAGCAGATGAACTCTTTATACCAGTCCCTCCTCAGCCATCTGGGACAGCACTTCCACAGTGGATATCGGCATTTACCTGACTTTTGCCTGCTTCTCAAACTCAAGGCTCGGCCGTTCTAGACTCGATCATTCCCAAGGTCGCTTCCAGGCCCAACATCACTTCTCTAGCCAAGGTTCTTTTTGATACATCCAAGGAACTTCCCACTGGCTCTGGGGTAGACTCTACTTATAGTTTCAGTATCCACAGCTTCATTCAAGATCTTTTCAATGCCGGGCAATATTGTCCACTCACGCTCTTCACCAATGCTAACACAGAACATCTTCACTGAGAAGGCTATTCCCTCAAACACTCCAAGATCAACGTCAACGGCATCTTGCACCATTTGCTTGATCTCTCCCAACTTGAGAATGAGTTGGAACTGGACGCCTTATCCTGGCAAGAAGCTCACCAACACTACCTCACATGGATTAAAGATATTGGCAACCCCCTTTCACACACCCGCTGGTCTAACCATTTCACCACCCTTTCCAAAGACGAAGCCATACGTAAGAATTTTTGTGCTATCCTCGAATTTGATGTCGAAACTAGACAAAACTATGCCTTGCGTCTGCACCAACACTGCAAGCGCGAATGGCGCGATCAACTACAGATGAAGAAATACAAGACCATGCAAGACATGTTTTTTCGGCAGCAAGAGTCTTCCTCTCATTCTTCTTTGGATCATTCCATTCATGCTGCTCGTTATGAGCCCTATGACAAGCGTGCAGGCAAGAAACCCTCAGATACAGACACTCAGTCCTTTCAGGACAACAAACCTGCCAAATCCACTGATCCCATGTGTATTATCTGTGGCCGATCCGGTCATCATTTCTCAGCGTGCGCTGAAGAGACTTCGTCGAAAGGAACACAAATGATCTCTAAATATTCCGCAGGTACCCTATGCAAGAAGTCCAATGGTTCTCAACTATGCGTTACCTTCAATCTCAATAACCCCAGACGTCCCTGCAAACGAGAACATGCTGATCAACATCTTTGTTCCTTCTTTGGACGTTCAGAGCACAGCACCTTGTCACATCTCTGTGTCTGAGTTCCCGGATGAAGACTTCTTCTTGTTCTGTACCATAGACTCTTCTTGCACATTGACTCTTTCTTCACCACGGCACATATATCATGATCACCTGCAGCATTTCTCATCACCCTACAACAACAACCTCAAATATTCTTACATTAATACACCTTACTCAGCCGATGGTTTTGATATCCTTTTTGAATGAACCAATCTCATGCATCAATTTCCCAAACTCACTTACAAATTGCATAACGGTTTCACCATTGGTCACGATCTCACACCACTCACCAGCTCTTATACTCCAAATAACCTACCTGGCGCTGAGATCTTCAAGGGAGTTTGTGACAAGTATGTCGCTGAAGAACTATCCAAAGGTCATTACTCAGGCCCATATACGCATCAAGAATTATTCTCCAAAATCAGACATTTTTGATCTTCTCCGCTACAAGTCGTCGTCAAGAAAGGTGTCGACAGCGCTCCAGACAAGCACAGAGTTTGTCATCATCTCTTATATGCAGGGACTATGAGTCACTCACTCGGTCAATGATGAAATCGATGCGGCCGAATACCCTACAGAATGGGGCACAGCTGCAGAATTTGCTGATATTGTACATCTAACTCTTCTCCGCTCCTCTTGTACTTCTGTATATGGATGCTCTTTGTGATAATCTCACGTGTGTCTCTGATGCATGTAATTTTGTTGTTCGAAGGCATGTATACGTACACATACACGCGTCATCTTACGCATACCTCATTTCATCTCCATCCTCACAATCCATCACACAGATTTGTACTGCCCCTTCAGGTGCGCAATTCGCCACTCTGGACATCAAAGCGGCATATTGCGGCATCCCCTGCGCTCCTGAGCACAAGCGTTATCTCATCGTATACCATGACAGTAAACTCTACATTGATCATAACATTCCCTTTGGCTTAGCATCTGCTGCAGGCCTTCAAGGGGAAGTCGCCGATGCCACCATCCAGATATGGTGCGCTCTAGATGTCAAACCTTCTAAGAAATGGGTCAACAATGTCAGTGTATTTCGTTTCCCATCTCCTTGTGGCTCTTTTTCCGCCATCTCAGATGGCAAACTCTATCACTACAACTATGATCTTCCACATGCCAAGTCGCTCATCGCTCTCGCTCAAGTCCCGTGGCATGAGGATAAGGGACAGCCTTTCTCAGACACAGGGGTTTATCTAGGTTTCTTCTGGGATGTTCCTGTGAGAACCATTATCCTGGTGGAACGCAAACATCTCAAATACATCACACACCTCTCCAAATTCCTCACTCTATATTGAGACGCGCAAGTTCCCAAGCGAGAGCTAGAATGTATTGTGGGTTTCCTAAACCACTGTTAAGGTCATGCTCAAGGGAGAGGTTACTCAAAGGGCTTCGGCTTCAGCTTGTGCGCTGCGCCCCTTACCCGAGTACGTGCCCTTAATTTCCGGGGGACAGAGGGAAAGTCCGACGGAAGTCCGGGGAATTCCAGAGGACAGAAGTCGGGGGAGTTCGGCAGAACTCCGGAAGACTATGTGGGGACGGAGTAAGGCTACTATGGAAGTCCAGAGTAGAAACAGAACATAGGTTAGACTACCCTAAGGTAGAGCCGGAGAAGTAGTCCTAAGGTTTAACCCCTAAGACTCGGAGGTGGACAAGAGATGAGACTCAAGTCCAGAGATTGCAGGAATGAGCAGAACTAAGATGATATTTGAACTGAGGAGTTCCAGAGTATTACAGGGGTTTATATACTGTAGGTATCATGTAAGTAAATCAGTCAGCAAAGGTAAGGGCTATGTATGAAGCATGTGGAAGGTCTATTACTAAGTGCAATGGATCAAAGCAGTGAAGTCGGAAATGAAGTAAGAATGGACGGATCAGTAAGCATAGTGGAATAGGACATAACCAGTAACCAGAGCAATAGCTAATCTAAAAGGAGTTAGGGGTGAGTGCGGAGATGAAGGCAGAGTGCCGGGCAGAATAGTAAGATGGAGGACTGGACTTTAATGAAGTAGATCCGGAATTCCAGACCTGGAGGTACGGGATATGACAACCACACCTCTTTCATCTTTCCTCAGGGTCGCTCTTACCTGTCTAATCTCTATTCTGACATGTCCGATTACGGGACGGAAGAATTCATCTCATGCTTCATCAACAAGTCCACTAAGTCAGATCTCAAGTGGTGGCTTAAGACTCTCACTCGTGTTCAATCACCTCTCGACTTATCACCTCAACCTCCTACTAGGGACTATGGCATTTGGGTTGATGCGTCCACAGGTTCGGGTATAGGCTTGCTCTGGAATCAGCATTGGGCTTTCTGGTGTCTGGCAGAAGACTGGTGTGGTCTGTCACAGGACATAGGCTGGTTGGAAGCCACAGCAGTTGAGCTGACCATTCGTCTTATTCACACTAAAGGCGTATGTCATGTGGATGTCTTAATCCGCAGCGATAACCAAGGTGTCATCGCAGCGTTTCAGAAAGGGCACTGTTCCAACTTTATGATTAATCTAGCCATTCACTGCTCAGAGGAGCTTCTATGCGAATCTCACCTGTCTCTCTCCCTCGTGTATGTTCACACATCAGTCAACCTCGCGGATCCCATTTCCTGGGGTATTTTACCTCCTGTCGCCTCACGTCTTTCTTCACTCCCCTCTCTCCCTCCTGATATTGAATCGTTTTTTCTCTAATGAACGAGAGCAATCTTTACAGATGAGTTATGCAGGGTGTCGACGTCGACACTGCTGCCACTGCATTTTGGGCAGCACATCCTCCCTCCATTTGTCAATCTGTTTCTCTCTCTTTGCAACAATCTCGCACATGTATCGCACGCACTCCACATGCCAGTTCATCCATTGTTCCTTCTCAACATTGTCCTCTTGTTCTCGCAAGTGATCGTCTTCTTCTTTGGACCACTCTGTCAGGTATGGACTGGTAGACTATACTCGAACAGAAATACCCTGATTCGTCTCTCTTTCGCTTATTCCAAGTATGCCTTCCCGCGTTCTCTCTTCGTCTCATCTCACATCAATCATTTAGGTTATGATTTGTTCTCTTGATACCAACACGCGTAGTAACTATGGTGCGGGTCTCCTGCGCTATACTCAATTCTGTGACTCTATCTCCATACCTGAGACCAAATGTATGCCTGCAGCAGAGGCTCTATTAACTCAATTCGCGGCTGCGTTCACAGGGACCACTTCTTCCTAGACACTCAATAACTGGCTTGCCAGCCTACAATTCTGGCACATTATTAATAGTGCCCACTGGCAGGGGTCACAGCTTCTACATCACACCAGACACGGCTTCACTAAGATGGTGCCTCCTTCATCTCACAGAGCCAAACACCCACCTGTCACCATAGATGCCTTATGTCTTTTATTTGATCATCTTGACCTCACTCTCTCTTTTGATGCGGCTGTCTGTGCAGTTGCTCTCATAGCTTTCTGGTGCTGTTGTCGGTATGCATCACCCACTCTCTCACTCTCATCACTTCTCAATCTCCTTTCTCACAGACTAGGAGAGCTGGTTATACCTAGTGTCAACATCTTCAATCCTTTGAAGCATGTCTCACGTTCAGTCACACCGATTTCACCCTTTGAAGTTCTGGATAAGAACAACTCACAGGCAGCAGTCTTTCACATCCTGTGGACCAAGACTATAATGGAATGAGGCGCTGAAATCTCCCTCACCTCGCGAGATCATTGTACCTGTCCTTTGAACACTTTGGAACATCATCTTCTCATCAATTGTGGTATTCCCAATGACACCCCCCTGTTCGCATACCTCACAGCCTCTGGATGGGCCCCTATGACTAGGACAGCCTTCCTCGCGCACTGCAACAAAATTTGGGTTTCGCAAGGTTTCCCTAACTTGCTGGGACACATGTTTTGCATCGGGGGTGCCACGGAGTTACTGCTTCAAGGTGTTCATCCAGATATTGTCTCAACCCAAGGGAGGTGGTTGTCAGATGCATTTCTAGAATATTGGCATCATATCGACACTATCTTACCATTGTTCATCGCTTCATCGGCCAATATGCAGCGTCTGGCTGACCTAGACCTGGTCATGGACTCTTTTGCTCAACGGCATCACTTATCTTGCTCTGCCCCATCATTGTAATACTTATCACTTACTCTGTCACTCATCGTACTTTGTGGGCTTCTCGTGTATTATCTCGCATTCAATCTGACATGATCCTGTGCATCCATTTGTTTGCTTTGGGTGGGTGGGTTGGGTCCGTCAGGACCCACTTTCATTGTGAGCTTCACTCTATGGTGGTCTGAACGTGTGTTTCTCCTGACAGACCATCAATTTGGTCTGTACATGTCTCGCACCAAACATGCTCCGAAGGTCTGTTTTCCCCGATCCCAAACTTTTCGATATTCAAGTCTTTGCTTATCGTCTTCCAGGATCATGTGCTTAGTCCAGGCACTGCCTCCCGCTGTTAGGTACCGTGCTGGCTCAAGAAGCGGAGGGGTCAGGGCTTGGCTTCAGCTCTTGTGCTGCGCCCTTAGCTGAGTATGTGCCCTGAATTTGGAGCGGGTCCGATGTTGTCTGACGGTAGGATGAGTAGACTGCTTAGGTCCACTTTGAGGGTCGGGAGATAATAGCTACTAGCAGTGGACTGACTAGGAGCAGAGTGGAGAGGGCAGAGGATAGTGCGGAGGATGGATAGGAGCAGGGGGGATACTTGATAGGGGCAGAGAAGTAAGGAGAAGACTTAGAGCACGGCTCTAAGTCGGAGCAGAGAGTCGGAGGCAACAACAAGATGAAACTTGTGTCTGGAGGAGGCAAGGTCCTACTGAGAATTCTCACAAGTGGAGACTGCAAGAAGACAAGTAATATTAAGACTGAGGAAAAATATCTAAGTACAGGATATGTTATATACTTCTAAGTATGAGGCAGTGATCAGGATAACTATGTTGTAAAGCTATGTACCAAGGATATAATTTGTAAGTACTTACACAGGTGAAGACATAAGTCAGAGCGGATATCAACATGTACACGTCGGATCAGTGATCGAGCGGTAAGAGGAATTACCAGTGATCCGGAAGTAAGGGTCTATGTACCAAAGGGGAAAGTATATATCTAAAAGGGGAAAGAGGTTCCAGTTGAATGGAGACATTATAGAAGGGGACCGGTCGGGCGGTCGAGTGGAAGCGTAGGAGCAGAATGCAGACTGTGATTGGACGGAGCGGAGGATGGATGAAGTGGAGGTGGTTGGAAAGCGGAGCAGATATTAATATCAGAGCAGTCGGATCAGGTATATGATACCCGCGCGTGCCTGGCTTTGCCAGACCTTCCCACACACAAAATGAATCATTAGCACATTGTCTTCAACTTGATTCATTATTAAACCTCCTTGACTTGCACAGATACTTTTTTATATGTTCACACTCTCCACAGACATCCTCCTTGCATCTACACTCTCTCTGTACCTTCTCTGAGAGCAAATATCAAGCTTACCTTAACATCATTCCAATGACTGGATATTTGATCATCTCATTATCTTCTCCCAGATCACGTGTTTCATACAAAGGCCCTCACCATCCTCTGATATTGCCGACACACCTGTCTCTAGTGCTAGCAGTGCTTTGACTCTCCCACTCGTTACAGATCGTGCCAATATAACTCCTGCGCCAGAGCCTATCCTCAGTCAGAGCATCAACATACCACCCTTTCCAGACCTTGCGCCTCCACCCTCCACCCCCGGCAGCTTTGGGCCAGGCCCAGACTTGAACTTGCCTCCAGGTCTCAATGACTTTCTTTCAATGTTTAATCCGTCTTTTGAGCCTTACTCTGACGGATTCAATGATGGTGGAAGCTCCTCTACATTTTTCTAAGTCTTCAACTTATTTTCTTGCTGTAATATGACCTTCGTACAGTTGCAGTCTTATTCGTTGTTGCTGGGATTGCATTTGTTCAAGCAAATTGTCATTTTCAGTACCTATTACACAGCCAATACTAATAATTTGTCTCAATGCTACTAGTATGCCAGTGATAAATGCATGAGGATGGGCCAGTGTCAGGCTGGAAGGACAGGTAAGTAAAGGCTGCAGGAGCCGACAACATGTCGGGGTCATCTGCCATGCTCCGAACACAAATTCCAGAGGAAGGAAAGCTCCAGTACTGCTAAGGTTGGCCAGTGAAGCCGCTGATTTCAGTTGACTTCTGTGAATGAGACGTTGAGAAGGTAGCAAGAGTAGTGGAGGGCATACATACAAGCCTAGTACACATTGCAATCACGAGGCAGAGGACACATTACAAGTACGGGGTTAAAATGCTGCATAGCGCTATGGTGGGCATGTCGAAGGAGGCAGGGCCCGACATGAGACTGGTGATGATTGTGGTCAGTGAGATCTGAGAGGCTGGGACTCGGGAGGTGTTGGGCATCATACGCTGTGGTGGAGAGTACCAGGAGTGCGTGGGCTGGGAGGCATTGCACTGGGAGGCATTGTGCTGGGAGGCGTTGGGCTGGGAGGCTTTGGGCTGGGAGGCAATTGGGCATGGAGGCGTTGGGTGTGGAGGCGTTGGGTGTGGAGGTGTTGGGCGTCGTACGCTATGGTGGAGAATATCAGGAGTGCGTGGGAATGTGCCAAATAGAAGTCGGGGAGTATAAGCTCGGGGCGGGAGGCGTTGATGGCGGGAAGATAATCTAGTACGCAATTAGATAGGTAGAACAGGTAAATGCTTCAAGTACCTACATTGTCATCCTCTGTGCAAACGGCTACGCCGGATTCTTTGAACGCATACTACGAAGTTGACGGTGTACTATGTCTCTCTCCTGCCGATTGCAACACCTAAAATGCGGTACTAACGGCTTACATACAAGCTAGCTGTTCATCGACGTGTAAGTTAGCAAATCTTGCGGGGGACGATGTGAAAGATCCGAGATTCGATCTCATTTGTTGACCGTTCCGCCAATATTATCGCACGCAAAGTTGATAGTAATAATACCACAACGCTAAGGTCAGTGGGTATATTTTACTACATAATACAGAAGAAAGAACGAGCGTAGCCAATCGCCTGAACGGTAGAGCCTTTGATCAACACGCCAATGAACCTCTCTCGCTGCATCACGTCGAACTAGTTATATCTGGGAGAATACTAAGGGGTCTGAACTTTTCGTCGACGATCGTGATCGGTTCCTTTGCCACTCGATCAAGGCAACCATCAGAACTTGAACATTGACCAAGTCAGCATCAAACTACTACTCAGATGCATACGAAGGCGAACTACCAAGCCGGTGAGTGATGTGGTTAAATCCAGAATGAAAACCACTCATACTCACGCATGAATACGTTGGCCAGGGGCAGTCTTTGCACTCTTTCCTCAGCACGCAAAAGACAGGACATTTTTCACTGTCAGCATCACTGGCAGATATCGATACTGTCAAAGCAGTAACGACGGCGAGGACGAAGGAGATATGCATTGTTGGTGAAGATGTGATATTAGATCGAATAAATCTGAAGTGGATGGTAGGAAGACACCTTGCTTTTATGTGCTAGATATTGCTCTTCATGACGATGTAGGAAGAACCAATCCACCTGACATCCCCTTTCGAACAGATGATATCTGCAATGACAGCAGATTGCCACCTAAGATCTACCTTGTGAAGCAAAGTTTATCAGCAATCTGGCCTGGAACAATATATCACCTTGCAAAGCAAGGTCAATGCCAGCTCGCAACAAGCCAGGCAACGTGTTAGCCTCAGCATGATTACAGGCCTAGAGCGTGTCGTCAGCTCACCGTGACAAGTAAAAGGACGCACATGATATATCATAGGCCGATATGCATGGACACGATGCGTTGGTAGAAGCGCGTATCCTCACGAACCGCTCTCTGGCCATCTTGTCATAGAAAATCTTATAGAACACGGCCAGGCGTTGCGCAGTGCGATCCCCGACACTACAAAAGGTGCCAATAATGCTTTCACCGCAAGGAACTGTAGGCTAGCCGCCAAGTGGACCTGTTTCCCCATGAATGAAATTCCGGTTCTCCATACCTCGGGACAACTGCGACAGACAGTCCAGTCTCTGGTGTTGCCACCCACGTTTGACCGCACATGCAGTAAAAACCACTCCTGCACCCCCAAGCACGCTACCCTCCACATGCAACTTCAACTTGCTTCCGCACCTTCCTGCAACCCCTACCACCCGCTACGTGGCACTGCCTTCCCGCAACCAAGTACTGCGATCTGCTGCTGCCGCCACATTTCAACCATATCTCTTGCTGCTCCTACTATTTCCTGCGACTTCTTGCAACCCCACGCCGTCCACATCCCAGTACGACTTCCTGCAGCCTCCTGCAGCCCTGGTACCTGCCTCACTCGGAGTTTCACACGCCTCATGCTCTCTCCCTCTTCTGCTCGCCACACACCCCTTTTTGCCCTCCTACAGTGCGCACCCTTTTATTCCATGTCCACAATTATTGCACGAATAGGATAAAAAACTAGTTTTACTATCTGTACTACTAGCTAGATGCATATATATTAACCTGTAAAAACAACAAAATCCTTCGGAATAAATTCAACAGGCTTGAATTGGGCTTGAAAGTACCTTTGCTGAGCGCTGAGCGATAAATCGATGACATAGAGAACGAGAGCGGAGTACTTAGGTAATTAATATAGTAATTACGATTACGTGTTACAATACCAATATAGCGTCGCGTCAATCATTCCTAAGTACAACTCTCGTCTCATCTATCATGGCTAGCCCGCTTGCCTGTTGAACTGCGGCTCATTGTCTAGTCTCTTACAAACGCTCTCAGATTTTCTTCGAATGACCTAACTGTGCCCTGCCGAGTGTCCACAGGCTTCTATCATGCAGTAGTCGGCACTTCTGTACGAGTCTATCACGGTCGACAACTCTGACGTCTGCACAACGCTTGCAGAGCGTCCTCATCTACCCGAGAAAGTCAAATGTTTTATCTTTACATATCCTACGATCACGGACCGAGGCGCACCTTGAGAATCTCACATCTGCCCTCAAAAATATGACCTGCCTGTCAACGCTCAAGCTTATCCATTCCCAAGCGAGCCACTCGTCCGTCCTTCAACACTGCAGTGCCGACCTTCACGCTTTCCATTGCACCTATGAAATCGACCAACAATTGCTATGCTTCTTGAACAAGCAAGACAACATCCGTGACCTCCCTGCCATTGGCTCAGCACACGCCCCAACACCTCAATCCTGAAGAGTTTCCTCGCACATCTCTTCCGCATTTAACGCAAGTCTCTGTGGTCGCCCGGTTCACACTGTGCGGTTCAAGGGCGACCATGCACCCAGCACCAGGTTCTTGCTTCCTGCCATCGTCGGCCCCTCCACAGTGCCTGTCAGGAATTTGGGACTTGATCTCATGATTTGGCGCCCAAGACAATTGCACACCTACGCACAAATTCTAGAGCCTGTTGAGGAAATCACTCTGACGGGTCTTGCTACTCGGGTCAGCATTTGCCAATACTCGTTCTTACTTTATGGCAGGAATATTAACAACCATATAGCACCTGGGTGAGAGACTGAGCGAAGGATTCGAATTCTGGGGATCTCATCTCCATCGCGTGCTGGCAACATCCCAAATTTGAAAAGGTTGACGTTCTGGATGGAGGGGAAGCGCGAAGACGCTTCCACATGGGCTCGGTTTCTCTTCGAGGAGTTCTATGACAAGCTTTCTCGTCTTGAGCAAGTCTCATGCGCCGCTTCTGGACCGGACATGTCAACATCATTCGAGTTTTTTGAGGTGGAGGTGGGTTGCATACCTCACGAGGGTAATAGAACTCGTTGCCACAGGGCCGCGAATGACGTCCGCGAGCTCATGCTGCTTCCCGTCCTTTGTTACTGGAGTGAAGAAAACCTTTGCGATGGAAACACTGGTAACGTTGCCCTCTATCTCGTGTAGAGATGGAAAGATGCATGTCAGAGAGGAAAGCCCACCCGGAATGGCCCTGGCCCTGAGCTACGAGCAGTGGTGCCGAATATTTGTCGTGCTTTCCCTCTATCGTAGCCCATTTGTTAACTTGTGGTGTTCATCACATATACTTCTCTCAGAATGGACATGCGCTCCCAATGGTCTATTGTCCCACTCACTTCCCGATACTACACGAACGGAGTCTCGGCATGAATTTGCATTCCCTTGTTTGGGACCCCATATGATGACCCTCACTCCTGACGAAGTGATACACCTGGCGGCTAGCCTACAGTTCGCTGCGGTGAAGAGCATTACTTATTGGAACCTTTTGGAGTGTCGAGGATCGCACTGCGCAACGCCTGGTCGTGTTCTATAAGAATTTCGATGGCGAGAGGGCCGCCAGAGAGCGGTCTGTGAGGATATGGGCTTCTACCAGCGCATCGTGTCTGTGTATCGGCCTATGATCTATCATGTGTGTCCTGTTACTTGTCACGGTGAGCTGACGACACGCTTTAGGTCCAGCATCATCCTGAGGCTTGCCTGGCTTGCGAGCTGGCATTAACCTTACCTCGCAAGGCGACACTCTGTTCTACGTCAAATTGCCAATAAACCTTGCTTCACAAGGTAGATTTTAGGTGGCAATCTGCTGTCATTGCAGATATCATCTGATCAAAAGGGAACTTTAGGTGGATTGGTTCTTCCTACATTGTCATGAAGAACAATATTCAATATTCAACACATAAAAGCAAGGTGTCTTCCTACCATCCACTTCAGACTTATATCACATCCTCACAAACAATGCATTTCTCCTTCGTCCTCGCCGTTGCTGCTGCTTTGACAGCATCGATATCTGCCAGTGATGCTGACAGTGAAAAATGTCCTGTCTTTTGCGTGCTGAGGAGAGAGTGCAAAGAGTGCCCCTGGGATGCGTATTCATGCGTGAGTATGAGTAGTTTTTATCCTGGATTTAACCACATCACTCACCGGCGTGGTAGTTCGCCTTTATATGCGTCAACTGAGTGTGTAGTAGTTTGTTGCGACGGTTGCCTTCAAGCGGCAAAGGAACCGATCACGATTGTCGACGAAGAGTCCAGAACCCTTAGTATTCATATAACTAGTTGTGACGCAGTGAGAGGTCCATTGGCGTGTTGATCAAAGGCTCTCTCATTCAGGCGATTAACTGAGCCCGTTCTTTCTTCCGTATTATGTAGTAAGAGATACCCGTTGACCTTAGCGTTGTGGTATTATTACTGTCAACTCACGCCATGATGATTTTGGCAGCACGGTCAACAAATGACATCGGATCTCGAACCGAAACTACGCTTTCACATCGTCCCCCGCATGATTTACTAACTTACATGTCGATGAACAGCTAGCTGGTATGTGAGCCGTTAGTACCGCATTTCAGGTGTTGCGATCAACAGGAGTTTTTAGATTGTAACATGCCTGTGACACCGTCAGTCCTATGCGTTCAAAGAATCTGAATCCGACGTAGCTGTTTGCACAGAGAATGGCAATGAAAAACACTGTTACATCATTGTTATCCTTTGTGCAAAAGGGTAACGTTGAATACCTGGCCATGAGTGTATCTAAAACCTTGCTAGTTAGCAGGAAGAACGTTAACGCGAATGGATCAAATATGTTCAAAGAATCAGCGCGTATTACAGGCGTTTACACAGAGGATGGCTAAAACACACAATCCTATGTTACCAACGGCTGTAACGTTGAATTTGTTCTACCTAAGATTTTGCGCAAGTAGTGAAGAACAGAAAGCTGGTTTGCGATGGGTTGTTTGTTTTGATCTTGTGAATTCAACAAAGGCAAACAACCGCTCCGGAACAATTAACTGATGAATGAGTTCTGGAATTCCCAAGGCTTGCTGGCCGTAAGTAGTGCAGTACTGGCCTCTGCAGGCAGAGCGACCTACAAATTCCATCAGATCTCCAACAAATGAATGGCGTTCGCAAACTTTGGGGAGGCGGAAGCTCGTCTCAAACACCACCTCCGCCTCCACCACCACCTGAAACGCCTCCCCCGTCCGTCTCTTCAGCTAGACCCTCGAGGGCAGCATCGCCTTCTGAAGGTTCTCCTATAACAACAACAACGCAGGGACTTCTCATAAGGAAGAACAAGAAGCAGTCATCCGTGGCATCTGTCACAGACGCTGGGAACGGAAACGACGTCACCGGTTCTGAGCGGTCTGCCAGTGCCTCAAGTTCATCTCCTATAGTCTCACCCACCAGAATCACTTCACCCTCACGCAAACCAGTCCCAAATAGCATACCAGGCCCAGGTCCCTCATCGACATCTCCCAGAATTCCACCTTTACGCCCAAGAACGTCTACCGCTTCAGAATGGAAACGCACCTCGGGGTTACTCAATATAAGGGATGACTTACTTATGAGTCTTCTCACTAGCGAGGCTGTGGTTGATAGTCGGGAATGCGAGATCCTGAGTGGAGAGGAAGTCGAGGAACTTAAGAAGGTTCGGTTTAATCACTCGATCTGCGCCCTTTATTTTAATTTTAATGAATCATCCCCCTAGGAACACCAAATTCTCAAAATCCGACTCGTAGCGACGCAGAAGAAACTCAAACTCGAAACCAAAATCCGCGATGCAGCCCTATCCCTCTCCAAAGTCAACACCGCGCACAAAAAAGTTTCAAAAGCCACAGACGACCAGTTAGAAACCGCAGAGCGCAAAGTCAATGCTGCACAAACAGAGTTTTGGCGCGTTTCAGAACGAGCGTGTGAAGTCGAACGGAAGCTCCTAGAGCATCGTGCAGGCGTGCTTGGGTACTCTGTCGCTAAGATGGAAAGAAAGATGATGCCTAGCGGGGATGTGGATACGCCGAACAGGAGTTCGACGTTCAGTTCAGTCACGAATACTTCCACACTTTCGAAAGCGCGATTCGACGGAGCCCATTTGTTCGCAGGCCATGCTGATGCACAAATTCCCAAAGCACCACCATCCGTATCTGATGTCATCGCGCTCGAAGACAGGCTCCGCGCCGCAACAGAGGCTCTCAGTATTGCAAACCAGAAGCAAGCTGAGATGGCACGTGAACTATCCCACCTTCGTCTCGAGAAGGAACAGATCGAAACGACGATGGGTATGGAACTGCAGACTGCTGAGGAAACTGTTGCTGCGCTCGAGCAGGAGTTGCCGCGTTTCGAGGAGTTGAATACGAAATGCCAGGAACTACTCGAGGAGCGCGTTCAGTGGGAAGAAAACAAGGCTCAGTTAGCTGTTCGAGAGAAGGAGGTGGAGAGGTTGGAGAGGCGGTTAGAGGTCTTGGAGGAGAAAAGCGGCGAGGCGGCTGAGATGGAACGTGTCCTCTCGGATGTGCAAGCACAGTGCGACGAGGAGCTGCAGAAAAAGGACAAGGAGATTATCGCACTGAAAGCGGAATGGGAGGAGGCGAGAGAGGAATGGGACGCTGAGAAAGCCGTCATGGAAGAGGATAAACTCGCTGAGCTCAGTGCGCTACGGGATGAGTTGGAGGAAGCAAGAGAGGAATGGGAAGCAGAGAGAGCCGTATTGGAGGAGGACAAGCTGACAAGGCTTGGTGCCTTGCAGGATGAATTGGATGATGCGAGGGCTGGTGGCGAAGCACGAGCAGAGTTAGAAGAAGCCATTGAAGCACTCCGGACGGTGGTGCAGCTCCATAGTATCCAGGCTTCACCAGACTCGACCTTCCAGGACCTACTTTTCTCAGTTGGCTCGCACCTCGAAACGTTGTCAGCTGTGCTTCAAGAGCATAGCGACATGCATACGCGCCTTGAAGACGAGCTACGAGTACACGCGGATCAAACCGAATCACTCTCAAAGGACCTAGACGTCATTCGTCAAGAAAGAGACAACGCACACCTCGAAATCCTCTCCCTAGAATCAAAAATCAAGGTATGTAACTCCCACATCATCCCACTCCAAACAAAAACACTCATACTTTCCAGGAACTTATCGATACAGTCCCATCACATAACCTCCCCCCCATCGAATACAAAGGCGAAGCAGCAGACATTATCGCCCTCCTCCAACCCATCTGGGACATCCTCCCTGCACCCGAACTCCGCGCTACGAAACTGAACAGTAAACGACACCTCCGGAACACATCTAGCACCTCAAATCCAGGCGGATCATCATCATCCCCTTCTAAAAATACGCTTCCATCCCTATCCGACATGGACGTACGCGCACTTAAATCTCTATACGACGTTCGTTCTCCCGCTTCTCCACCCGCAGACCAAAGCAAAGGTAAAGGGACATTCAGTATCGAAGCATTCGTCGCGCGCGTCCAAGCACTCGTCATAGACGATCGAGCCTTAATCGAAAGACTCATCCGCTTCGCACAAGCGCACTCCCTCCTCAAGAAAAATGCAGAACGCGCTCAAAAACTCGCACAAGACAGCAATACAGCCCTAGAAACTTATCAACGCCAGGTGACGACGCTCGAACGGCAGAATGTCTCTCTTGTGTTGAAACAGAATGCATTGTGAGTTGTTCTGGCGTATTATGGAACTTGATTTCTAATTTACGTGTGTACAGGATGGATGAGATAAGGGAATTACAAGACGCGATTGAACGTGCGGTGGGAGAGAGGCGAGAGATGGAGGAGCGGGCTGCGGACCAGGCGGAGACCTGTCGACAGCTTGAAGAAGCGAACGATGCATTGAGCGCAAAGACGTTGACGCTTGCAGAAGAAGCTGCTGAAGCGCCTGAAAGGATACGAAGGCAACTAGCAGAGTGCGCCGACGCGTTACGAGAAGCCAAGGAGGAGATCGATGCGATGCGATCGTCGGAACAGACACAGCGTATTGCCCTGTTGGACGAGTTGAACACCGTGCAGACGGAGAATGGGAACCTTCGTGCGCAACTCAGGGCGACGAAGAAGTGAGGAGGAATGACAGTTTCACGAATCTATCACACGCATGATGTATGTAAATAATGTCTCCAACTTGAAAGTCTGCATCAAGGATTTCATTGATATCCGATGATCCGACTTAATATGCGGTAACAGCTGGATCGTAGGATTTGTCTTCGACTATTTCGCTGTCGAATGACGAGGCGTGTTCACTGTCTTCCGGAGGGTGCGATGTCAAGAAGTTCTTGATAGTCTTCGAGTGTGGTGCTTTATGCTGGTGGATGCCGTAAGGCAGCAGACACAAAGGCACCAGGCGCGTCAGCACACGAAAAGCGGCGAACGAATATATAAGGTCTGATTGAGAATCGTTCTTGTAGGTCAGATGGCGAAAGTTGGGTAGGTATCTCGCACGAGACCGATTAGAAGGACTGTAGCATTGCCTATGTATCCTCTGGGTTCGTTGATTTCAGGGGTATTAAAACTCTCCTCGTACATTGAAACTTTGCGATTATATTGCTCTTCGCCAGCGCTCACTCTGCATTGCTTTACTCATTTTTTTTCCTACCATGACGGTTATGTTGAACTCCACGATTATGAACCACTATGACATTGTATGATAATTTCTGGACTCTACTGCATTTATTTAACCTATCTACTCGCATGTGGCGTGGCGGCCAACAAGAAAACGACCCAGGGGAAACCCAAAAAAGGGAATTCAAATGGAATTGTCATCTGATGCCCCGTACTTACGTCGTTGGCGCTTGTCCGAGTCCATGTCATCGACGGTTTGGCATTGTCCATCATACATCATGGCGCAAGAGGTGCGAGGATCAAGTTTCAAGTTTCAAACGTCGCATTGTCAGCAGCATCTATCTATGATCTGTGATCATTGCTGCAAGCGTCTCAGTTGGGATGGAACAGATGTCACATCGGGGATTCGAATATTTAAGACTGGTTTGAATGTCGTGCGAAATGTCAAGATAATACTTAATATTTAGGTTGTCGTCTAAGCGGATGTAAAATTTCAAATGTTAAAGAGATCTTGCACGACAAGAGAAATATAAAGTATCAGCGAACATTTTGTTACTGTCTGAACATCAATGATAATAAGAAATATAAATATATCTTTAATGCTGGCATAAACTTCGAAATGAAACTTCACATTTAAGACTCGAAAAAACTTCAACTATCGCACGTGACTGAACGTCTGCTCATGTATGAAGTTTAGACCGTCGCTTAGACGGGCGTTAAAATTCAAAATACCCCCTGACAATAAAACGTGAAAATAAATCATCAAGTTTTATCTCCAGATAAAACCGATCGCCCACTCACGGCTGAATCATCGCCCACTTACAACGTCATCGCCCACTTAAGTTTGAGATGCAAAATATCACGGGACTAGACAATGTGAAGTGAGATATGAAATATTGTACACAAATCTACCGTACACAAATCTACTGTACACAAACATAGTAGAGTGAAACTGAAGCCTGTTTGACAGTAGTCAGACACCGGTGATTTCTCGAGGTGAATGAATGTACTTACAAAATCATTTCAACTTGTATACAGGCTAGTGCTAATTGTCTGTAAAAGCTGAGCAGGAGATTAGAGATGCACAAGTAACAACCAATTTATTCTTACCACTTGCTTTGGTGGCAAGAAAACTGCAAGATGCCACGTTGACATTTTTCATCATTTTGTTGGTGCCCACATTGAATTTGAGTGAGCCTTTCCACTGCGAGCCAGTCATTGGACCGTTAGCATCATTAGTGAATTTATGTCGCTCTCGTGAAACGCCCTGTTGAATGTTGTCCAGGCGTGACTGAAACCAAAATTCACAGCGACTGGACCAGAACCCCACGTTTAGTCCTGAGGCAGCCCATGCCTGGGGCCTGGGCCACCAGGAGACAATTTCAACATTCCCGTCGTCTAGATTATTATTCAAACATAAGCACCTCTGTCGATGTAAATGAGAGAAACTTACTGGTATGCAAATAATACGTCCCGCACATGAAATCTACCTCCTCTTCTGACAGCTCATCACCAAAATAAGTCTGGCCATTAATGTCCAGCATGAGGCCAAACGGTACCGCTTCCCATGAAATGCCATCGAGAATGGAGGGGAGAACATCGAACCCAAGACTATGTAAAGCCAGCCGCCATATGAGGCCACCATGAAGAAAAGCCGCTCTTGCGCGAGGCTGGTTCATGAACTCGTGACGGTGCTGCTCGTACACGATGTAGTCAGCAAAAACAGGCCTAAAATGGGTGAGCCTGCGATCCTCAGGGGGGAAGACGTGTCCGAGTGAGTATGTACGGAGTTCCATAAGTGGGCATTGAGCATGAGGTGGAACTGAGATTGGCTGCAACGTCTTTATAGCGATTTCTTTTTCAAGGAGGTTATGTGCGATCTTGGTGATATCCGAGCCCCAGTCATGCTGGAGGCACATTGCAGCTGTAATAGCGTTGGGAACTGCCAGTTTCCAGGGCACCAGATTTGATGACAGTAACTCGATGATGTAGAGCTGCTGCTTGGGTTGTTGCACATAGGAAACTCAAATGTGTGCGTTTGAGACTGACAGGGACGAGTCAGGTCCTAGATCCCAGAGATCGGGCGGGATGTCTGACAACTGTGATTGAGGGAGGGTGATGAGGTAACCTATAAAACATGTGATAACATGCTTCTGTGCGTCTGGAATTGACATGATATTCGTGGGGTTGTCGCCGATGAGTCTGCATAAGTGAGTCCACTGTGTCTTGCGAGTCCAATCATCAAATGTAGTTGATCTGCCTCGGGGTGTAGTGGTGGATGCTGCAAGGCGATATCTGAGATGAAAATGCAAAATCAAGACAAATTGCTCAATACTACGAGTGTATTGCATAGAGGGTGCAACCTCATAATGACCGAAGTAGGCTTCAATGTCTTTCAAGAAACTGGACAAGGGTGGTGGAGGGGCAGGGGGAGCAGGGGGAGGTTCAGAAGGAGCAGACGCAGGCGGGAAATCATCTTCCTCCCAATTGCCATCGGGAATGCTGGTAAGATCCAATGCATCGCACAAGTCCCACTCATTACGGAATGAATCATACAGTGGCTCAAAAAACTGTCCGCATGTTTTCACATTTTTCACTATCTATGATATTTTATGAGAATGTACAAACACATCAAGGACATGCTGGTACCATATTGGAGTACTACTTCAGGGCTTCCAATTGAGCCCTATGGCGTGGGAATCAGCCAAGATATGGTGGACATATGAGGCTTACAAAATGATGACTCATGCGGACAGTTTTTTGACTCAAATATTTTACAGTGATAATCAGGTATTCTAGTACATTGTGTGACCTCCCTTGGCTTTAATTACTGCCTCTATCCTTCTAGGCATACTCTTAAAACTACATCTAACTATATAAACCAGAATGTCTTATGTGTCATAGTCATAATCACTATGAAAGCCATCTCCTCTACTCGAAGGGATAATATCCTCTCTTTGTCCTATGCTGGCCTCTCTGCTCATCAAATTTTCTCTAGAACTGAAGTATGCAAGTCTACTGTGGCCAAGTGTATCAAAGAAAGCCATCTGGACAAGGAAAACTCTTGTGGAGGACGTCCACCTCTGCTAATAAGAGGGCTATCATCCAACATATCACTACAGGAAAGGCTAATGATGCCGTCCAAGCCACCCATTATATCAATTTCACCATCACCACCACTGTCTCTTCACAAACTGTGAGGAATGTTCTCAAGGCAGTTCATCTCAAGGCAGTAACAAAGAAGAAATGCCTCTTCTCTCTATCAAACATAGACAGAGAAGACTACCTTTGGCTTGGCCCATCAAAACTGGACTGTAGAGGACTGGAAGCATGTTATATGGTCAGATGAGACCAAAATCGATAGGATTGGGTCAGATGGGAAGGTATATGTGTGGAAAAAGAAGAGGGATTTTCTAACAGACAGAGAGGTTAGTGAGACTGTCAAATTTGGAGAAGGTTCTCTAATTGTATGGGGCTGTATGGGATGGAATGGTGTGGATATACTTGCTGAAGTTGAGGGGAGGATGGATGCTGAGCAGTATGTGGACATTCTAAATGACCACTTGCTGTCTAGCATAGCTGAATTAGGGATTGATGAAAAAGACATCATTTCCCAACAGGATAATGATCCCCAGCACACATCTAGAAGAGCCAGACAATGGTTTAAAGAACATAATATCAATGTTCTTGACTGACCAGCACAGTCCCCTGATGTCAATGTCATTGAACATCTCTGGGGAACACTCAAGAAGAAGCTTCAAGCCTATGAAACCCCCCCTAAAGTAGTATAGGAGCTATGGGAGAGAGTAGCAGTGGAATGAGCAAGGATTACAGCAGAATATTTCCAGAAATTGATTGAGAGTATGCCTAGAAGGATAGAGGCAGTAATTAAAGCAAAGGGAGGTCACACAATGTACTAGAATACCTGATTATCACTGTAAAATATTTGAGTCAAAAAACTGTCCGCATGAGTCATCATTTTGTAAGCCTCATATGTCCACCATATCTTGGCCGATTCCCACGCCATAGGGCTCAATTGGAAGCCCTGAAGTAGTACTCCAATATGGTACCAGCATGTCCTTGATGTGTTTGTACATTCTCACACAATATCATAGACAGTGAAAAATGCGAAAACATGTGGACAGTTTTTTGAGCCACTGTATACCCTGGTAGATTTGCTATATGACATCCAAGTCATCGGTATCTCAGCCTTTGTGAGACGGATGCATTGACGAAAGCTGCCAAACTCGTCATTAGGTTGCCATTCAAACACCATGACTGTGTTGGATTTGCCAGGAATGCTGTGGTTCATGGCTACCTGCTCACAGCTCTGACGCGACTGCCGTTGAGCTGGCATCTCCGTCTCCTCTTTCCTCTTGTTCTCCTGACAGCGCCGTGCAAAGAATGCCTTCCAGTCTTCTCCTCGCCTCTGTCCACAGTGGGGTTGGGAGACTGGGAACAGAGAGTCCGCATGTGCTTCAGGAACATCAGACACGGGCTGTGCCCCACTGTTCTGACCCCATCCAAGGGCACTATTGTCCCATTTAAGGACACTCTGAGTGTTGTCCTCTGGTCGACCCCACGCACTATAGTTTGGCTCACCCCACGCGCTGTCATCCGGCTGACCCCAAGTGTCAGGCATCTGCTTCCTTTGGGCTTCCTTGGTCACACGGGCGATAGCTGCTGGAGACGGGATATAATGACGCAAAGTAGAATCAACGGCGGCAGAAGTATTCTGAGAAATGTGGACCCAAATCGGAAGCAAGAATTTCTCAAACATGGGCAATTGAACTTGCCAAGGACAGTGAATGGAAGAGATCAAGGCTCCCGTACATGGCACATTTGTCGTCAGATCTCCAATGAATGAGCGCGACAACTCAAGAACCCATTCAGCGGGTATGGGATGTCGGGGGTCACTCATTAAGATAGCCGTCCACTGATTGGCACCTTGGTATCGACGACTCATGATGTACCATGAGCAGGTGGCAGCAATTACTGGAAATCCATCAAGCAATCATGAATGATGAATAAACTGGTTGACTTACATAGAAATGCATCACACGACCTTATTGCAACCTTCTTAGCAATGCTAGCATCTGCATGCGACCATTGGTACCCATAGGTAGTTGGAGCACGTGGAAGTTTAGTCCCCCACGGAATGAATAATCCAGCACCCAAACGTTCCTGGCACCCCAGCAGTTTCTGCTCTAAGTTGACCCATTTTGCCTGAATATCGCGGTGGAGAATGTGCTTTCCCGATGGATCTACCTCTGTGAGGAGGGAAAACCTGGAGTGGTTGAGGCATCCAAAGATCGGCCCATCGAAGCTAGGATTCAAAGGTACAAGGGGAAACCACGGACGAGTTCCGTATGCCCAGCGAGTAGTGAGTGGCGTATTACTATCGTCGGGAGAACAATCATAGTCTTTGTGAGGATCCCAAGGAGGTTCGTGAGGTATAACATCGGGAAGGGAATGTGTGATAAGAGAGGTATAAACCTGCCCATCACGGATGATGACTCGGAGATTGTTACTCATGGAAGCGAGGAGACGCAAAGAGTATCACAGTCAAGACTACTGCAACAGTACAAACCGTTACATTAGGTTTAGATGAGAGACATTGAGAATATCGCAGTCAAGACTACCACAACAGTACAAACCGTTACATTAGGTTTAGATGAGAGACATTGAGAATATTGCAGTCAAGACTACTGCAACAGTACAAACCATTACATTAGATAAGGAAGAAGGTAACGAAATGAGAGAAGTTTGGTGCGTCTAATATAGACATAGCGGAGTTTCAACAAACAATTACCATATCAGTGGCAACAATACCAGGGGGTGTGGTCTGTGGTCCATGTGGATTGAGACAAGCGGAGGAAAACAGAACAATGCCAGGGCTGTGGCGTGAGATGAGTGGAGAAAATTAAAATTAAAAACAGGATTTCGACTATGTGGCTTGAGACGTGGAGTAAAGAACTACCGAACGAAGATGACATTTTCCGATGATTAAGAAAACGAATTTGGACACAGGCATGTATTAGAATCTTATGTGAAGTCTGAAGAGAGGGAGAGCTGGTGGCGACCTGAGCTTGGTGTGGATTGTTGGCAGTGAAAGCAGAGAACGCCGGGTGGCACGACTGTACATACAGTCATGCCCTGGAAAAGGTTGTTGAAGGTCGTTGTCGACGAGTTTCCACCCAAGTTATTTCTGGGATAGGCAGTCCCATGAAAGACCAGAAGGATGTTAAACCCATGATCAATATGGGACGAAGGGTCCTATGGAAGACCAGGGAAAAGATTTTAAACCTATGATCAATAAGAGGAGAATAACATCATGACGACTCACTTCATAGATCTGCAGCTTCTGCCCAAGTTGTTTCTGTGATAGGCGGTCCAATGAAAGAGCAGGGTAAGGATGTTAAACCCATGATCAATATTGCGAAGGGCTGCCATGGACGTCGAACCAGGAAGCGATGGATGTTGACTTAGAGTTAGGACATTGGCGGTGGTGATGAAAGTAGAGAACGCTGGGCACGACCGTACATACAGTCATACCCTAGAGAAGGTTGTGAAAGGTCACTATCGACGAAAAGTCTAGTGACGATGAAAGAGGAGAATGCAGGGCATGACTGTATGTACAGTCATGCCCTGGAAGGAGGTGAGGAAGGTCATTGTCGACAAGGAGAATGGCAGGCTCGACAGTACAAACGTCGAACCTCCTAGAAGAAGGTAGTAAAGAACTTAGTAATAGTAATAAAGATGAGGGACTTAGAACTTTGGCGATGAAAGCACCCAACAATCACAAACAACCATATTAGGAAATTGTTACATAACGATAGGGACTTGGAACTTTGGCAACAAAAGCTGGAGAAGGTCGTGAAAGGTCGCTGTCGATGAGAAGTCTAGTGACAAAAAAGAGGAGAATGCAGGGCATGACTGTATGTACAGTCATGCCCTGGAAGAAGGTGAGGAAGGTCGTTGTCGACAAGGAGAATGGCAGGCTTGACAGTACAAACCGTCGAACCTCCTAGAAGGTAGTAAAGAACTTAGTAATAGTAATGAAGATGAGGGACTTAGAACTTTGGCGATGAAAGCGCCCGACAATCACAAACAACCATATTCGGAAATTGTTACATAACGATGAGGGACTTAGAACTTTGGCAACAAAAGCGCCCAACAATCACAAACAACCATATTTGGAAATTGTTACATAACATTGACTGCTCAAGCCTTTCAACCCTGACGTTTATCACAACTACGAGCACAACAGTATGTACTGTCGTGTCTTGTGCTCATTGAGTTCATTGTTCCTATCTTCGGAGCACGACAGTATGTACTGTTGTGTCTCCTGTGTTTCAATAAATCCCATTACCACCCACCTCGCCAACTCCATCCTTTTTCGCTGATCAAGCGCCCAACAATCACAAACAATCATATTCAGGAAATTGTTACATAACATTGACTGCTCAAGCCTTTCAACCCCGACGTTTATCACAACTACGAGCACGACAGTATGTACTGTTGTGCTCATCAAGTTCATCATTCCTATCTTCAGAGCACGACGGTATGTACTGTCGTGTCTCATGTGTTTCAATAAATCCCATTACCACCCACCTCGCCAACTCCATCCTTTTTCACTGATCAAGCCATCAACTCCTCTGGGTCATCCCCTCTACCGTACATACAGTAGAGTGGGCAATGGCTAATCCGCCTTCGCTTACTGCGATCCTTTAGATCATGTTGGTCCATTCCTCCATACATTCTCTGAGTCAGGTAAGCTCCAATTGTTGACAGATCCAACCATTAATCAACCAATAAGTCCAGCCGTCAACACCCGTCATCTCCTCCACCGTACATACAGTGGAGTGGGCAATGGCTAATTCACTTTCGCTTATTGCGACCCCTTGGATCACGTTGGACCGTCCTGTCCGTCTTCTATGTCAGGTAACCAAGTCGTTTGTTAAAAATCCAACCCCATTGACCAACCGTTAAACAATCCAGCCGTTAACCCCTCCACCGTACATACAGTGGAGGGGGAATTGACTTATACCGTCTATTCAACACGCTACTATGCTACCCCAACTGTCATCCATCGGAACGTCTCATCTGACACATTCAACCTTTCTACCTGACCTCCGGTAAGACCATCAAACCATCTGCCGTTGTATAGGGCCTTGGGTAATCCAGTGACCGGGTTCCGTACAGTCGTCGAATTTCCCGATGCGCGTATTCTTTTCATTGGTTTGGAACCCTGGGGCGCGAAAATTTCATCATCCAACACTCTCTGGTTATCGATGATATTCAGTTCTCGCTCTATCCCGCTGATGCCATGCCATGTTCTTGACCTGGAGTACGCATTTGATGTCGTTTTCTACATCACTTTCTTCTGAACTCATACCCCCATCTCCCAGCGTCTTGATTAGTTTTTGAAGCCACTGCCAAGCTCGGTAGGTCGTTGTCCTCGCCATCTTTCTTCAGCTCAATAACTTGCTCCAGAACTTTTGCTCTGCAGAGATATTTCTATAGACACATTAGTATCCGAAGAGCCTTGAGATCATGCTGCAGACATACATTTCACCGACGAGTTGTTTGACGAACCGACTTCAGATTTTCACCTCTTTTTGCAATTAACCTCTCCTCCACTTCTGCCGCAGTCTCCAAGCTGCCCTTTGCTGTAACCTTTGGTTGTGCTGCTCTCCAGACCATCCGCAGCCGCTTGTAGCGATCTTCAAGTATCGCCTTATAATAGCCATCCGACCTCTGGAACGGCCACTCCTCTTCTACACTCCTCTTCTTCAATTCTTCAAGGAGAATATCAAGAATTTTCGCATTCCAGGGGGTGTTAAATCTGTGTTTGAGATCAAAGGCCAGATTCTGGGTGTTGGGGCCTGGGCCATCTTTGTACTCGTACGAGTACACATCTTCACGATCCGCTGGTTGGTGCACAATAAAATCTGCATCTTGAGATATACTGAAGGTATCTTTGAGGAGATGCCAGATTTCACCCTACTTCATGCTTAGCATCAGCATATACATCAAAAATTTAACTCTCACAAGAAGGAAGTCTCTTTCGTGGCTCAATTCTGCGGCCCTTTCTATCCTAATTTCATCATCCTGCTTCTTTTTCCTTCAAGGACTACGCTTCGTGGACGTCAGGATATCCTTATCGACGAGGATGTGTCTGAGTGCCGCCTCTATGCCTTTGGAGATCGCATTTTCCATCACAGACATAGGGTAGACGTCGTCAGGCTGAAATTGCTGTGGCTCTTGCTCAATTGTCACTGATTGTTCTCAATGCGTTTCCATAGGGTCATCAGCGTCCTGCTATGATGTGAGTTTAAAACGAGTTCTGACCACTTAGTACTTACCTCTACTACAGATACCAGGTGCATCTTGCATGTTGTTCCATGTGCCTTCCTGATCTTTTTGATCGTCTCGAGGCACGGAGTCTTGAACTGTGGTTTCTGGGGCATTTGGGGTGGCTGTTGAGCATTCCTTCGGGTGGGGTCTGTGCTGATTTCTGTGGCCGCATGCTGTTGCCTACCGTGTCTTGCAAAGCGCTGCTCCATGTTAGTGAGCTTGTTCTCTTTTTCTACCTTCATTTTTTCTATTTCTAGTTGTAGCCTTCACTCCATTTCGGCAAAAATGGCTCTCTCGCGTTCTTCTAACTGCTTGACATCATTAGCGATTCCCGTGTTCGGTCGTTCTTCCCCACCTCTTTATTTTTTCTTGTATTTAAATCTGCGTTGTGTCGTGCCAGTTCTTCAGTCAACTACTTGCCATCATTAGTAATTCCTTGGTCAGTCGTTCTTTCTCACCTCTTGGTCTTTTCTTGCACTTATTTTTGCTTCGTGCCATGCTAGTTCTTCAGCAACGTTCTTCCTCAGCAGTGCTTGCTGCTGCTCTTGCCATGTGTGAATTTCCTATTAACTTGTAAGCATGCATCTGACTGAATGCATCTGTTGCACTTACTTGCTTTTCCCGCTCTCGCTCTCTCAGAGCTGCTTCCCATTGCTCGTTGAAATCGCGCATGTGGTGCTCACACTCTTCTTCTGCAATACGTCATTGCTCCTCAATGTGGTCTTGAGCTTTTCGGTGTATCTGCCTGTATGATCAGCAGTGTATTTTCAATGAGTTTCTCATGCGTACCACTTCAGTTTCCTGTATAATATTGTTAATATGTTCTTGTTGTTCATACACAGTCTGGCGAAGTATCTGTGAATAGTCGACTTCACGAAAGCGACGCTTCCCAGATATCTGGATGGGCATTATGAGTCATGGAAGCTGACTCGTACTATTTACACACCACTTCATCTCTGGCCCTCTTGTCAAGTTGTGGCACACTGGTGGGAGGCTGACTGAGAGCATCCACAAAGTCACCAGCACCCTTATCGTTGTCTTCATCGTCACCAAATAAATCCGCGTCATGAGATGTTTGTACATCTTCTGGCTGAAACTCGGGATGTTGCATGTTGATGTCAATGTTATTGACACTCATAACGGGGCAATAATCCATCGTCAGTTTGTAAACATCATTCCTGGGTCTTTTTAAGTTATGTGCATGCATTTTTGTCTTGATTCTTTTAGATGTCTTGTTGTATGAATGAACAACAGAAGTTCCAACAGGTCCAGGTTCATCTTCATCACTTTCAATTATCTTTTGCTCTATTTGCTCTTACAATTATCTCGTACAATTACCCTTGGTGACCAATGTATTAACAGGAACATATTACTTCATACAATTACCCTTGACAACTAGCGCTGCAGGATTATCATTGCAGTATTGTCATGCTTCGGTTTGGCTCTCCGCTATTTTTTTCGTCAACTACATCCCCCGAACGATTATGGTTATTGTCTTTGACTCAGCATGTGAAGTTATTAAAAGACGGATCGCTGCTATAGCCTGCTTCCATCGCCCGCATTCATTGCCCACTTCTTAGATTATTGCCTTGATTGAATTACAATCAGATGGTAAACACTCGCACATATATCCTTCCAACATCTGCTGTAAGTTATCGCTTACTACCTCACACCCTTTATTTACCTTCAAATCAGACCCCGGAGCTTCACCTGCAGTGCAGGCTATATTCAGCATCGTGGACCAGACCCTGTCAGGTCACTATGTTGATGTGTTGCTCTGGCCACTCACGCACTGCTCAGCATTTTCCTGTTCCTGAAAGTCTTCTTGAGGAGGCTACCGTGCAGCCTTATGTTCACAACTGTTTCGTGAATGTGTGCAAAGGGAGACACATCTATTGATTCTGCATCTTCTTCAAGCAACATCTTCATCTCAGAGCCAACGTGCTTCTTAGCAGGGGTGATCATAAGTTCCGAGGCGATGCAGTTGTTATGAGGGTTGGAGTCAACCATCCCTCAGTTGTGAACATGCGAGCCAGAGATAATGCACTTGCTGACTTTATAATTCACCAGTGAGTAAACTCGATGATCTATTGAGCCTACCATAACTATCTTTTCAGCTTTGCGCAAAGCATAAGTAGTCGTCCAAGAGCTAGGCTCCCACGCGATCTTACTCTTGTGAAACCCTTGAGCACTCATACCAATTGTCGGTCAGCTGCAAGGTGTGGAGTAATATAATTTCCTAGACTATGAAAGCATTATTACATACCAAATTTCTCAGCTGGACTGCAGATGACAATATCTGTTCCATATAGAATGCCATATTGTCGTAGTACAGTGCCATGATGATCTTGACCAAACATTCGAAAGCGCCGGCTTGAACTGATACTGACGGGTTCTAGGTAGCTTCGCAGACGACTTGCATGATGTAGTTTTGCTCTCCCTGATGCGCGTAAAACTCATGGTTACTAGTTGGTATTCCATCCTGTCTGATACCGTAAATGAATATGCTTGATTTTGGAATGCCAGCTTAACATAGAATGCATACAGCATGTAATAATGACGGAGACATCTAATGCAGTGGGGGTATCACTTCCTGACCTTGCTCTTGCTCTTGCCTACAGCCATTTCTCCCACCTTTTGTCTCATGCGACCAGACGTGTATTTCAGGCGTGTCATGATCAAATCGTTGACTGGCCACAAGTTGTTATAATTATCAAGGTCTGGGAAGTTGTCGAGTGCCTGAGATGATAAGTTCATTGACAATATCGAGACTCTGCGAAACTGTTCACCTTGCCACGCACGACGTCCAATAGCATGGGACTTTGGGCAGAAGCGCATTTTGTTGTGTCAAGGTGGTCCTCAATGAGACTATGCATAGACCTCTTAGGAATTCGTGAGTTAATTTGCAATACTAAGGGTACAATGACAATTTGCGAACCTTGAATTTTGCATATGCCTTTGGATTCCAATCTAAAGCTTCGCGAAGTGTGTACCCCCCACGCCCCGGACACCCAGGTTCACCGGCAGGTTTAGGAATCTTTGAGTCTTCTGATAAACTCACACTCGAAGTTGAGGAGTTGCTATCTGAGAAAGAATCCAAAGAGCCTGAGGAATCTGAGGGTGAAGGCATTTGAGAATGGGAGTGCGTGGAAGTGACTTTCTTGGTGTATGGAGAGGAAGAGCGATCAGAATGCTTGCGCATCTGCTTCGCAAGCTTGAATTCAGGGGCAGGTGTAGACAATGAAGCCCTTGCAGTGGGAATGATACTAGCTTTAGGAACTAGGATTTCATCGGCAATAAGTGTAGTCGGGCGACGATTGGCATTGCCAAACAGCTCCAGCTGGTCCGTGAGCATTGGGGGAAGAGGTGGCGGAGCACCAGGCTCTGAGTCATAGAAAGGTGGAACAATTGTAGTACTGCGCATGATAGAGAAAGAACCGAGTAGCTACCTGGAACTTAAGGACAGTTCATGAGAGGTAAAGCATTCAACAGACTACCATATTGAGCGAAAACAATAAGGGGCTTCGAAAATGGTAACCAAGAATAGCACTTACAAAGAATAAGAATAAGAATAAGAATAATAGGGGTAGCCATCAACGTATCTCAAGAGAAGAATAAGAAGAATAGCAGAATAGCAGAATAGCACTACACAAATGGCGTCGACAATGACTATAAAGTTACCATGGAATCAAACAAATATGGTAACAATACAAAAGTATTTGGAAACAAATGAGAAGTACAGATAAATATGTTGTGAGCGGGCGACTACAGCGGATCATATCATAATGTCTTTCCTTGCGTTGTTCAACAAGTCAGTGCAGCCACTGCATTACAAGCTGCTCGCTCATTTAACTGCCTATAATGGCTCTATCCATGCACTTGCGATTTCTAATGATGGACACCTGCTTGCATATGGTGGTAAGAAAGCAGAAACTCAATCATAGACAGGGCTAACAAAAAAACAGGTACCGAGGGAATCAAACTCTGGGATATCAAATCTCGGAAAGAACTCACATCTTCGGCTAATCATCATGAATCAAGGGGAACAGTCAGTTGCGCAATCTGGGCCATGACTATGAAAACCACAGCAGAAACCCTCTGTTATGGAACAGGCCTGGGTTATATCATATGTTTGCGATGCAGTCTCACAGATGTAAGGGCCTAGGTTTGCTGTTCAACCGTCCGTTGACACCAACAGGAAAAATTCCAGGAAATATGCGCCAGGAGACTGGGATCAGGTTTTGAGATCACATGCTTGTCATGGTGTTCAACTTCCTCTGAAGGCAACCTGCGAATTGTAGTCGGAACTAGAGACAAAATGGTTCAGGTTCTGACGCTCAACACAAGCTCGCAGCTCCAGCCCATCTTCGCAGTGCAACTTGAAAATATGGTGCCCAAGTCAGTAGCATTTGCAGATAACCGGAGCATCTATGTGTTTGGGCTCTATGATGGCAACTTGTCAGTCCTTCCACTGCATACTTTCATTGCCTATTGCCTGATGCTGAGAGCCGAACAGCATGAAACTGAAGGATGAAGATGGCGACATAGTGCAAGAAATTAGCTGCAAATCAGTGATGTGAGGAACTACCGCTCTTGACCTGGGCGCGTTACTGACATTATATAGTGGTCATGCTGCGGTGTACTCAAAGCGGGGCGTTTTCATTGTAGATAATGCAACAGACGGCTTTACATTATATCGCCTTGAAGGTGATGGTGAGCCTGTTTGAATGTTTGCAACTGGTTTGCCAAGCGTGTCGGTCCCGAAGCAAGTGGCATTCGGGGAAGAAGGCAAGGTAGTTGTGGGAGGAAGTGACCATGGGCTAGTATACATATTTGATCAGAAGACAGGGCAGATACTTGAAACCCTCCACCACGCGGACACTGGCCTTGTGCAAACAATATCCGTAAGTATTAAGACTAGTCGGAAAGAATGTCACTAAACTGGTTTAGACACGCAATCTCAATGGCCGCTGCACAATTGCCAGCACTTCGCCCGTGCCAGGGCACAGGAAAACTACAATCAAGATATGGGCGTACGACTACGCAGTGCCGAAGGTATCCAAGGTGCCCTCAGGGGATTACTGGTCCCTGTCGCACATACTGGTGATGTTGACACAACTACTGGCACTGCTATCTATGAGTGTCTTCCTGCTGATAAATTATAGAGACAGCTTTTTGGTAAGTGGGCCAGTTGGTCAGCAGGGATCTAACTAACGCACCTTCAGGATAGCGCACTGAACCACGTACATGGGTACATGACTTCAGCAACAATGATTAATGTGACTGATGACTTTTCACAGCGTGTCCAAGCTGCCATTATATTTGACGAGTATGTAGATATCAAGAAGGACAATAAGGAAGGGCCGACCGAAGGATACGTCAAAAACGACATTATGATGCTCTGGGAATTAGCAGCAAAGCTCATGGAGCTAGCTCAAGAAGCGGACGGAGAGATTGACAAAGATGAACATAGGGGCAAGCGCAATACTGATTACCCATGAGCAGCGAAAGGAGGTGAAGAGACGAAGGACCTATCTCTCGTCCAGTACATGTAGCACACTAGTTGAACATAGGCATAGGTTTTGCATTATGCCCTCCACCACATTGGGTAGATGGACATACAATAAGTCAATTCCCCCTCCACTGTATGTACGGTGGAGGGGTTAACGGCTGGATTGTTTAACGGTTGGTCAATGGGGTTGGATTTTTAACAAACGACTTGGTTACCTGACATAGAAGACGGACAGGACGGTCCAACGTGATCCAAGGGGTCGCAATAAGCGAAAGTGAATTAGCCATTGCCCACTCCACTGTATGTACGGTGGAGGAGATGACGGGTGTTGACGGCTGGACTTATTGGTTGATTAATGGTTGGATCTGTCAACAATTGGAGCTTACCTGACTCAGAGAATGTATGGAGGAATGGACCAACAGTGATCTAAAGGATCGCAGTAAGCGAAGGCGGATTAGCCATTGCCCACTCTACTGTATGTACGGTAGAGGGGATGACCCAGAGGAGTTGATGGCTTGATCAGTGAAAAAGGATGGAGTTGGCGAGGTGGGTGGTAATGGGATTTATTGAAACACATGAGACACAACAGTACATACCGTCGTGCTCTGAAGATAGGAATGATGAACTTGATGAGCACAACAGTACATACTGTCGTGCTCGTAGTTGTGATAAACGTCGGGGTTGAAAGGCTTGAGCAGTCAATGTTATGTAACAATTTCTGAATATGATTGTTTGTGATTGTTGGGCGCTTGATCAGCGAAAAAGGATGGAGTTGGCAAGGTGGGTGGTAATGGGATTTATTGAAACACAGGAGACATGACAGTACATACCGTCGTGCTCCGAAGATAGGAACAATGAACTCAATGAGCACAAGACACGACAGTACATACTGTTGTGCTTGTAGTTGTGATAAACGTCAGGGTTGAAAGGCTTGAGCAGTCAATGTTATGTAACAATTTCCGAATATGGTTGTTTGTGATTGTTGGGCGCTTTTGTCGCCAAAGTTCTAAGTCCCTCATTGTTATGTAACAATTTCCGAATATGGTTGTTTGTGATTGTTGGGCGCTTTCGTCGCCAAAGTTCTAAGTCCCTCATCTTCATTACTATTACTAAGTTCTTTACTACCTTCTAGGAGGTTCGACAGTTTGTACTGTCAAGCCTGCCATTCTCCTTGTCGACAACGACCTTCCTCACCTTCTTCCAGGGCATGACTGTACATACAGTCATGCCCTGCATTCTCCTCTTTTTTGTCACTAGACTTCTCGTCGACAGCGACCTTTCACGACCTTCTCCAGCTTTCGTCGCCAAAGTTCCAAGTCCCTATCGTTATGTAACAATTTCCTAATATGGTTGTTTGTGATTGTTGGGTGCTTTCGTCGCCAAAGTTCTAAGTCCCTCATCTTTATTACTATTACTAAGTTCTTTACTACCTTCTTCTAGGAGGTTCGACGTTTGTACTGTCAAGCCTGCCATTCTCCTTGTCGACAACGACCTTCCTCACCTCCTTCCAGGGCATGACTGTACATACAGTCATGCCCTGCATTCTCCTCTTTCATCGTCACTAGACTTTTCGTCGATAGTGACCTTTCACAACCTTCTCTAGGGTATGACTGTATGTACGGTCGTGCCCAGCGTTCTCTACTTTCATCGCCACCGCCAATGTCCTAACTCTAAGTCAACATCCATCGCTTCCTGGTTCGACGTCCATGGCAGCCCTTCGCAATATTGATCATGGGTTTAACATCCTTACCCTGCTCTTTCATTGGACCGCCTATCGCAGAAACAACTTGGGCAGAAGCTGCAGATCTATGAAGTGAGTCGTCATGATGTTATTCTCCTCTTATTGATCATAGGTTTAACATCTTTTCCCTGGTCTTCCATAGGACCCTTCGTCCCATATTGATCATGGGTTTAACATCCTTCTGGTCTTTCATGGGACTGCCTATCCCAGAAATAACTTGGGTGGAAACTCGTCGACAACGACCTTCAACAACCTTTTCCAGGGCATGACTGTATGTACAGTCGTGCCACCCGGCGTTCTCTGCTTTCACTGCCAACAATCCACACCAAGCTCAGGTCGCCGCCAGCTCTCCCTGACAACAGAGTTATATTTCCTTGTTTGGTAGTTCTTGTAATGAACGTCATATTTTCATACAAGGCTTACTGCTGTCTTGTTATTTCATTACTGGAAATTGCGAGTTGTTTCTTCTATTGTTGTTGTTCGTCTGACTTAAAAGCTTGCCTATGCAGTCGTTTCTGGCTCTCCAATTCTACGACTCTCACTCCCATCCAATTCATAGAAACGACGGTACATACTGTCATTGCTATTGGTGACCATCCTGAATCAACTTCCACGGCTGAAATGAAGCTGTCTTATTTTCGCCCCGCTCCTCATGCCTGTGTCTCTCTCACAGTTCAAATGGTGCTTCTGTGAGGAATGCATCAAAACCGGCGATCGTGCTGAGGATGGCACCCCTAAGGGGGTACTCATCGCAGAATGTCTTATGGCTGCACATCTACAATGCACCAAACGTACCCAAGCAGAATGTGCTGCCACTGGCTCTCCCCACACAGACGTCATCATGGATTTGTTAGTCTCACAGCTCCATGCACTCGCCCTTATCGACAACAAACTGCCTGTTTCTCACCCCAATCCCACTCCACCATTATCTATTACGGCTCTGGCAGATGATCTTGAGCAACTCACTTTGCTAGATCCTTTTGTTGCCCGTGAACCCAGAGTCGCCATTGCTGGCGACATCTCCCAAAAGATCACACATCAGCCAACTGTGAAGGCCTTGACGGTCCTCGATAACATAGAGTTCTGCGTTCAGCGGTGCTTTCGGTTGTTACTTGCGGGTAATTCCAATGATGTTGGTCGCAAGCTACTATTGCTGTGCACAGCTGTGGAGAACGTCAAACAAAATGCAGACCTTGTGATCACACAGAAGAGGGCAATTATGTTGGAGATAGATGGCTTAGAAGCCCAGTTCAACAGTCAAAAGCCTCCCGAAATGGACTTACGTGCAGCAGTCAAATTTGATACTGGTAAGAGTTGACTATCTTCATCATGATCGTGTTCTGAATAGTCAATAGATGTTCACCATGAATCTCCGCTGGATCAGTGTGATTAAATCGCACAGGTCACCTTATTCATCACTGTGGCGTGTAAAGTCATCATGGGGGTCAGTAAGCGAGCCTGCGATTTCCTCTTGGGACTTATTTCAATCATGTTATTCCTCGCTTTCCAGAGATCGGATGGCAGCCTCAGCTCTTCGCATCAAAATGTGCTCAGGCAAATTCCAATGAATTTCGACACCGCGCTCTCAAGATTCCATCTCACTGAGAAAACTGTTGTATATGCGGTCTGCTCCAGCTGTCACTGCACTTACAGCCCCCATCATGCAGACGGCTCGACTGTTCCTATATATCCTGAACGTTGCATGCACCACCCCACGCCAGAGGCCGAATGTGGCGAGTCATTGCTCAGCCATGGCCCTGATGGAGTAGTGCGACTGAAGAAGACATTCATTTACCATGATTTTAAAGACTACCTCGCCCGTCTCCTCTCCCGTACAGATATTGAGGGGGCGATGGATCAAGCCTGCGACGATTTGCAAGACTCAATCAATTCCCCCCATCTGCCTTTGATGAAACACGCATTCGAGGCTCAGTTTCTCCGTCAATTTGTGGCCCAGACCCAGGTTCACTTTTTATTGATAGAGGAGATGAAGGGCGCTATGCTTTCGCCCTTCATGTGGACTTCTTCAATCCGGAGGGCATGAATTTGCGTGGTGCTAACAAATCCTCTGGCATCATCTCTATGGCATGCTTGAATCTACCATTGGATATCAGGTATAAGCCCGAAAACATGTATCTTGCAGGAATCATCCCGGGTCCAAAACAGCCGTCCCTCGAGCATCTCAATCACTACATCCGGCCACTTATCGATGACATGGTAGACTCATGGGAGCGCAGCATCAATTTTTCCAAGACTGCTTGTTTTCCTACTGGCCAGCTCGCTCGCAGCACTATTGTTTTGGCTGTTTGTGATCTTCCTGCCGCTCGTCATCTTGCTTCTTTAGCTGGAACCAGTAGCCATTTTTTTTGTAGCGCGTGCAATTGCTACCATAAGACCACGTACGGTAGAGTGGACTTCGAAAGCTGGAAACATCGTGATAAATATGAACTCCGGAAGTTCGCTGAGCGGTGGAGGGACGCTGCGACGACCTCTGAACGAGAGAAACTATTCAAAGCTCATGGTGTGCGCTATTCAGAGATGTGGCGTTTGCCATACTGGGATCCCTCGCACCAGCTTGTTATCGACCCGATGCATTGTATATTGGAAGGTTTAGTCCAGCATCACTCTCGTAACCTTCTCGTTTTGACTACAGCAACCACTTCATCGACTTTATCCCCTCCGGCCTTTTCATGCGACTTAGGCGATATGCCTCCAGGGATGACTTCGAAGGAAATGACTCAGGTCGCTGCTATACGCACCCTTCTTGTTTCCCAGTTGTCTTCCAATGACGAAAATCTGGATAACCTAAAAAATTCGCTGTTTCACAAGAATACAGGACCTCTCAAGTTTGTTTGCGAGGCCTTGCGATGCACTCCCCAGAAATCTAGTAGATTGTTCAAAATTGACTATGTCAAAGCTCTCGTGGAATGGGTAAGTTCTTAATATGTCTACTTTGTTGCGAGTTTTTATGTTTGTTCTCAGCACTGTGGAAAACCTTTTGCTGCTCCTGAGAAGGAGCTTCAGCTTGGTTCTCTAGATGCCCTTCATCGTGTCTGAGATGTCATCCAGCAGATAATTGTTCCATCTTGGTTTACTTCAGTCCCAAGTGATTTTGGAAGCGCATCTGCTGGGACGATGAAAGCGGACAAATGGCGCTCTCTAATCACTGTCGACATTCCTATTGCCCTGGTGAGCTTGTGGGGGGCCGGCACCTCGCATCCTTCCGATGAAGTTGGCACTCACCTTAGTGCTGTTCTCGACCATACTATGGAACTTGTTTGCGCGGTGTATCTCACGTGCGCCCAAACAACAACTGCAGAGAGAGCACACGCATATCGCTCTCACATTGTGCATTATGTTGGAAATTTGAAGAAGATATACCCTACCTTCGCTCTGCATCCAAATCACCACGCTGCCTTCCATATATACGACTATCTACTTCTATTTGGCCCGGCCCACTCTTGGTGGTGCTTTCCTTTCGAATGTTTGATTGGAATACTTCAGCGTCTTCCAGTAAATCATAAGACTGGTGAGTCTTTACGGAACACCAGTGTGTAATAGCAGGATTGACTTTTCAAGGCGAGTTGGAAACTACCATGTTATATTCATTTATCAAAACTTCAAAACTTCACCGTTGGCTTAGTCGACCTGATTGTCCGCCGGCTATTCAAGAGTGCAAATTTCTGTTTGATAGCACGTATGCTCCCAAGAGCGCTTCAACTCTCGGTGAAGAACTTGCTGAAGATCCTTTGGACGACAGTTTACAGGCTCCTTCCTCCGCTGTAGCTGTGGCTGTTCCTGAAGACTTGTTTGCACTTATCAAACGATGCACAGCAATATTACGCGCACGACTAAAATTCAACAGGATTGTCTACAGCAGAGCCTCTACTCATGTTGGGAATAGTCAAGTTTTTTTTTATCCTCAGGGTGACCAGTTATCGTCTCCTGTCCCCGGCAGTATCCAACATATCTATGCTATGCCCACAGGTGAACTGGTGTTTGCTGTCCACAAGCTCCTCCTGCGTCACGATCAGACCATTGATCCATTTGCTATGTATCCTCATTTTCCCGCTAAAATGTACTCGTCAAACTCAAGTAGTCATTTGGAAAATGTCAAGGTATCCTGGGTTGTTAGTCACTTTGCTCAATGGGCAGTTTCAAGTGATACGGTAGTCATATTATCTCTATCTCGCGTAAGTACATTCATTCACCTTCCGAAATCACTGATGTCTGACTACTGTCAAACAGGATTGATTTTCAGTTTCACTCTACTACATAGATTCGCGTACATGTATATAACTCATCATCTAGTCCCGTAATATTTCGCATCTCAAACTTAAGTGGGCGATGATTCAGCCATGAGTGGGCGATCATTGGGCGATCGGTTTTATCTGGAGATAAAACTTGATGATTTATTTTCATGTTTTATTGTCAGGGGGTATTTTGAATTTTAACGCCCGTCTAAGCGACGGTCTAAACTTCATACATGAGCAGACATTCAGTCACGTGCGATAGTTGAAGTTTTTTCGAGTCTTAAATGTGAAGTTTCATTTCAAAGTTTATGCCAGCATTAGGGTTCAGGGAATTAGGGATCCCACTCTGGTTGACTGGCTAATTAGCACAACCCTCTGTGAGGGCCTAATTAACAGGTGTAAATGACAGCAAATTCACTCAAATTGACCCATAGCTCTTTGACACTGATTTGCGCTAATTTGCAGGTAAATTTGGTCTAATTGACCGTAATCTACAACAAAGCTGCCTATCACCATTTCTCCCACTCGTCATCCATCGATGTCAAGGACGAAGTTGTGGCTTGATCAGCCATCACCTTTGGTGTCAACAGGCCTCCGCAAGCAACCGTGGGCTGTACGGTGTGGTCTGACAGGATATTGAGGAGGTAAGTGGATGATAAGTCAATATCTTTACCCACATTGAACTCAGTGCTTTTCACGCCAGCTAAACCCACATGGTCTGCAATATCACCATTATCAAGCCAATCCCCAGCTTCGGCATCCGAGTCTGAACATCTACCTTGATGTTCATGAGTCAAGCTCGAAATGATGTCCGTCGTCATGATAGGCAGTCAAGCAGGCGGCGGGACAACAGGTGGTGTCTCAGGTTTACCATGGATGGTTGCATACATATCTCGCCATTTGACGGAAGGAGCGACTGTTGGTGCTACTGGCTGTTTCAAAGTATGAGTATGTTGGGAGTTGCCGAGCTCTTGGCCATGACCAGGCGATGTTACAGCCACGGCTGGCAATGCACCAAACAAGTTTTTCCCCAGTGGGACCACTTGCTAAATGGCAAGGCTTCGAAACCTTGCGAAGCAGTGGGTGCATCTTGGCACCACCTTTTCGACTGTCCTCATCTTCACCAGCACTGATGTACCGGTCGTCATCGAAGGTTGACAATATGTGGGTATTCGAGCTTCTGAACCTTAGGCTTTCGTTTCCCAGGTATCTGAGTATGATTGACTTTGATTGGCTTTTGTTTCATAGAACTCAAGTGCGAGACAAGGACTGGCAACTTCATAGTGTACCATCAGTGAGTCTGTTTTATTGGAGGGAAAAATAAGATTTGACTCACAGCTTTTCCAGTGGCAAGAATGAGGCCCCGCGCAGCTTCAAGAGTGTCGTCAACCCATTTCTCCAGGATAACATCACCCGGAAATTTCTTAGTCCATGTTTTTGAAACAAGTTTCAGGCCATCAACTCAACTGCCCAACCTGACTTCTAGCTCTCGATTGATGGCAGCAGCCTCGCCAATGTCTGCAGCCCATTCAGCATCTGGGCTGAAGTTCAAGAATTTATACTTTGACTCCTTTGGAATAGGTATGTCTGCTGGCAATGCTGCAAGACAGAGTCGTAGTTCAGCTAGTTGATCCTTGAGATGTTGTTGCATTTAGCTTTGCGATGGGGAGGACAATATTTACAATATTTCTGCGACTCGAACTTCACAATTCTTCAGATTCTCGGTGATCTTCTGAGTCAGCAACCAAATCAACTTATATATTTTGACTATGATGACGAGCCAGGGTGTTCAGAAATTAAGCTTTTTACATTGGTCCAGCCGAACCAGCCGAACTGAACCAGTGACTGGACCCAAATTCACCCAAATTGACACCTGGTTTTTGAGGGTCTGAATTTTACCCTGTCATTCACAGTAAATTAGCAAGGCAAATTAGCCCACCCCAAATTCCCCGAACCCCTAGCCAGCATTAAAGATATATTTATATTTCTTATTATCATTGATGTTCAGACAGTAACAAAATGTTTGCTGATACTTTATATTTCTCTTGTCGTGCAAGATCTCTTTAACATTTGAAATTTTACATCTACTTAGACGACAACCTAAATATTAAGTATTATCTTGACATTTCGCACAACATTCAAACCAGTCTTAAATACAGTCAAGGATGGGTCAATGACACAGGACGGCTCTATGAATCATTTTCCGCATCACACCACAACTACATACTTTTACACATTCAATACACCTCAGTTCCCTGCTAAATACATGTCTCTTGGACTCTCAAAAAACACGACTGAAATTAATTGAGAAGTGATGATGAAATTGTGTGATTACCATTTGTGACAAACCTAAATTTGACCCAATTGAAATTTCTGCTTTGCCATGTACAACTCTGTGGAGCCCAAAGCCTTCAAAATCAAACAGAATACATTGAAGAACATCTCAGGTATCTAGCCCATTTGAATTCATAGAAATAGGTGCATTTCTGCCAGAGTTGCAAGCAAATCATGAGAGGTATGTGATCTGAGTCGGAATCTATACTAGGTCAGGGTCCACAGTCCAGTAAATTACTACTGAATTCTGCTCTGTCTTGGCTCAAACATGTTGAAACCTTCACCTCACACCTTGAACTTGCAACAATGCCTGGACGACCCAAATCTGTAACACGAAAGAGGCAAGAAGCCCGTGAGGCTTGTGACTACCTCATGTCGTGCACTGTCGAAGCATACCGTGCTGAGCTCACAAAAGCTCCAGGAATTTGACGCCGTGGGGCAAGGACAATCTGCCATGACTTCAAAAAGATGAACTTCGAAGCAACAGGAAATTTAATCAAGCTATCCTATTCAACTCTGATCCGTCTTGCAGCTGGTGGAAAGACATTGAGCAAGACAAATGCAGCCAAGGCATGGATTACTGAGGAGGAGACGAAACAAGTCATTGCTTATGTTCAAGAAGTTGGTGACCGTGGTTTTCCACTCAGCCATAAGTGACTTCGTGAACATGTTAATGAAATATGTCATGCACAACTGGGAGATGCATTTCCAGGAGTCGGTGTTAAATGGACCAATCGCTTTGTCGAGAAGCACGCTGACAGTCTCAAGACATCATGGTCTCGCTCACTTGACTCAAAATGCGGACGAGCTGTCAACCTGCACACCAATAAAGCTTGGTTTGATCTCCTAGAAGATGTCTTTGAGAAGTATGACATCAACAAAGACTGTATTTATGCAGCCGACGAAATTGGCATTTCACCAGATTCTGGCGAGCACGAACGTGTTATTGGAGGGAGACGGCCTGGGCCTCAGTATCAGCAATGTATGGGGAATCGAGAAAACATTACCATCATCGTTACGATCTGTGCTGATGGCACTGCTCAGCCCCCTGCTGTCATTCTAAAGGGCAATGCCTACCAAGTAAAATGGAAACAAGAAAATCCTGCAAATGCTTCGTGAGTTCATTTTCAATCATTTGTTATTAATGCTAAAATCACGTACATTATGATAGGCTTGGATACTCGAAAAAGGGGTGGACAGATGGAGAGATTGGGGTTGAATGGATCAAAGAGTTCGACAAGCAGATGAAGGCCAAGGCAGACGGACGTGACCGTCTCCTTATTGTGGATGGCCACAACTCGCATTATACACGGGGATTCCTGCAATATGCCCGTAAAAATCATATTCATATCCTGTGCTATCCGGCTCACATGACCCATGTATACCAAGGCTTGGATGTCGTTGTTTTCGCAGTCCTAAAACAGAGCTGGAGTGAGGAGCGGGACAAATGGGAGAGAGAGAAAGGGGAAGGCGTCACAAAGGCCAACTTTATCACCATTTATGGCCGTGCTCATCTCCACGCACTCACACCGGACCTTATTCACACAGCTTTCCGCAAGACCGGTGTCTGGCCATTTGATCGTGATGTCGTCCCTAGCAACATGCTGGCTCCAAGTAAAGAAACCTCAACTAAATCATATCTTCCAATCGCACCATCCACGCCCGTGAGAATTCTTGCTGATGCCCTTCAAAAGATGTCAACACAGCTTAGCGACAACGGAGATGAAGAACATTCAGTAAACTCATCATCGAGTACTCAGGAGGATCTTGAGACCATCATCAAACAACTCGCTGAAACATCATTGTCAAAACTCGTCTCGTCAACACCAATGAACTCGCAAACTGACCTGCAGCATGCCACAGCCCACACTATCTCCCCCATCAAGAAATCACGTACATCCATCACAAACATTCATCCAACAACCACAAACGAAGTCTTGCTACTTGCAGCTCTCCACGAGGCAGAGGCAGCCAATGCTGCACTGAAAAAATGCATTATCGCACTCCAGGCATCCAATATATTGAATGAGATGTACTGTGCTAAAATTCGCAGTCAGCTTGCTCATCAGGAGTCAAAAAGCAGGCAGGAAATAATGGTGGAAAGATTCTCGGGGATGGCTTACCACACTTGTTGTCAGGCGACATGTTCTATGAAAGAGTTGTTCAGTTCGAGGAGGCTCAAACAAGAGCTGCAGCTGAGAAGAGGATGAGGACTGAAGTGCGGAAGAGACATGCTGAAGCATTGGCAGATTGGAAAAAGCTTGAGGATGCGAGGAAGGCAGAGAATAAGGCACGGCGAGAACACTATCACGAAGCGTTAAAGATATGGGAGTCAGAGAAGGCTCGTGCAAAAGAAGAAAAGCGGAAACTCACAGAGAAGAAGCCCACTTTGGGCAAGCTCATTGCAGCCATACCACGGCCAAAGGTAATTGTAACTGAGGAGTGTGAAAGTGATGGCGAGTATTTTGATCTGGATGATATAGGCTCATGCGCCAGCGACGAATATTAATGTAGTTACATATCTATGTTTCGAATCAGAAACGTAGTGATTGATAAGCTTTTCTTACCTAATTGAGGCTGATTCATTGAGCCATACTCAGCAAATTAGGCACCTCCTCACTGTTGCTGATGCCGTGCTCGAACGGCTCACTTTTTTTTCTTCAAAACGTACGAAGACCTCAAGCAGAGGTCTATGTATGGGGCAAAAATATTTTGAAAAAAATCCACGCAGTTGTTGTGGCTCGGGAGGTTAGTTTTCATTTTCGTGGTTCAACGAGGCATCCATGACTGTATTCGAATCCCCGATGTGTGTTGGCGCAACACTGACACTTTGAATAGGGGATCCTGAATATATCGGCTACGACGCAACATAGAAAACGGGGGAGCTCATTTATGTACACGACGGGGTCCAACTAACTCATAATACTAGCAACTTACTACGCCTCCTCTTTCACGCTACTCGACGTGCTGATCACGCTGCGACGCCGAGCCTGCAGTATCAAATGCTGCCGGTATGCAGTCTGAGCGTCCAAGAGCAAGTCGCTCAGCAACTTCTTCTCGGCATCATCGAACGCAGCTATGCGGTCACCACAAGCCTCGAGATCAAGTGATTGCAAGACCAACTTGCTGCTTTTCATCTGTTCCAATACTTGGTTTCTCCAGACCGCCCACACTTCCGTGTCGTTCGGAATGAACTGTCGGAGGATCTCTTGTGGTTTGAAACCCCTCTTCCCCCACTCTCCGGATTCGCAGTCGGGCTGAAGGGCTAGGCAAGCGAACACAGCTGCAGTTGTTCTTGTGCCCAGTTTGTACGTCTTCATGTGATCTTCCGACAAACCCAGCGTCTGGATGAGCAGATCTTCCTGCAGGTATTCCTTGTCCATGGACGACAGGAAGAGATTATAGGCCCATGACGCAGCGAAGGAAGTTAGGAACATGACCTGCCCGAACAGCGTGCCCTGTGGTATCAGGAGCAACTGCGTCAGAAACTGAACGACTAGGAGGAGTGAACAGAGCCCGATTGCTCCGTATTCGTTATTGATCTCGGCGTCCTCATCATTCTGCACCCCCGAACCGCCCTCTGCATCCTGTCTGCCAAGCCAGTGGTGGACGTTACGGATCCCATCTCCTACAATGCCTCGATTCCTTCTCTCCTTCCTAATACGCATACGGACCCAGGGCTTGTACTCCAACTGGAACTTGCCCTGCGTGATGGCAATAACGTTCTTCTCTTTTCCGCGCATGACGACCACGTGATTTCCATCCATCAACATGCCATCACCTGGCGGTGCATTTTTAGAAGGGGCGACACTCTGGAGGACTATAGATGCAGAGCCAATGACAAAACACGAAATGCCATTGACGAGAATGCCGAGGAGGATCAAGGAAAAGCAATACCAGTCATTGTCCCATGCGCAAAGTACGCATGTTGCAATGCTGGTGGCGATAGGGAGAAATGCAACGTGTTTGTGGAAGCCATCTCGGGCACGGATGGTGAGGCTAGGTACGGGATCAGTGCTGAACTCGATGTCTTGCATTTCCAAGATGGTAATTTTATTCGGTCTCGTCCTTCTTCCCTCTACTGTCACAGCTCGTTGGTCCTTGCACCTCTGCATTAACAGGTATGCAAGGTGCCCCGTTTGCATCAGGAACGTGCCGGACTGGGATGCGACATACAAGGGCCCGGACTTTCCATCGAGCCCTATGTACGTGGTAGGGTCTGAATTGGGTCCTGGAAACATTCCATCCCAGAGACGGGAGTTGGCAAGTTGGCCATAGTGCTTGCCAACACTGTAGCTGCCTGGGGAATTGAACCAACCCGTCCACCGTCTTGCTCTGTAGAGATGCACAGTCTCCATTGCGGAGACCGCCTCTTCGCCTCCAAAGAAACCTGCGAAGCCACCGACATCGAGGCTAAAGTGATTCGTATTTAGTGTGACTGTGGGCATGATAAATCCGAAGAAAGCTGTCGTCGTCTGTAGGTTATTTTTCCTTCATATTTCAGTATCAAACCAAGACTGGTGCTGATTAATGATGCGTTGGGGCCTGTGACATCGGAGTCGTGATTCGCGAAATTTGTCGATGTTCGGTTGCACTGGCATCAGTTATTTAGCCGATTCAATTGAACTCAGCGGTGCCACCATGATGTCCTACTAGCTTGTGTGACTACTACATCATGATTCACGCGACACAGCCTCTCACAGCCGTCACTTTGATGTTGCCTTCAAGCACGCAATCCAACCTCCAGGATATCCGACTTCAGCTCTCGCACACGTGCACTGATTTTCGCCGACAGAATCCAGCCGGAAGAAACGAGACGACGATTCTCCAGACTCCAGAGTAAAACAAGGAGGAGGCGCACATGTCTACGACCCTGTGACATTCCACACCCAGTGACACGAGAAGCCTTCCCTGATCTCGGTAAGCCTTCATGAGGCCTTCTCCTCCGTCGGGTGACTGCGAGGCTTCTGCATTGAATCGAGCCGCTCCATTACACGGATGACTCAAGGACTGGCTTGGCTGTCACGAGAAACGGCGTGTTCCTGTCACCTGCCTAGAATCCTGTGGACTAAAACGACTGCTCGGATACAGCATATCCACTCAGAAGGCTGCAGAAGGCCCTCCTCGTGTTATGACCATGTTTCATCTCCACTCAGAAGGCTGTACTCCTCATGTTATGAGTGTTTTCCAGTGTGGCGAAGATCGGGAAAGTAGGTCTGGACAGCAATCATTGTTTGGTTGTAATCAACTCATTGAGGGCTATAATTTGTATCCCCTAATACGTACGCATCATATCGATCGAACAATCTGTCACTTTCACCTCAGAGTTTGCTACTGAAGGACAGTTTCTCGACATCATTGACTCGATGCCCTTGTCAATACCGTACGCCACCCAACGTAATTATCATGAGTGCTTACTACTCACTTGTGCTCCCACAGCAGCGATAAAATCAAAAGGTCTGTAGATCGTCATACTGCCGAAGGGCTGGTCGGCTGATACCCTATTATCTCTCTTCGTGGTGTCCGAGGCTCATTCATCTTTAGCTCGGGTGGAAGGTCAAATAATGTCAGTTACCTATTGTTGCCTCATCGGTCGTTCTTCCCCGACAATGGGCTGATGATACTATGCTTCTAGTTTGACCCTCAGGTCGACACGACCTCCGGTGTCACAGAGGCAAGTCTTGCCACACCGTAGGAGGGAAAGTTGCTAAAGATGTTATAACTCCAGCCGCCAGCACCGGAACAAGATGATACCAAAGTCCAGAGTCCCACAATACGGTAGTCCTGTGTAGGAGTAAGTTACGCCAAGAAAGTGCTGTCCCATGAAATATGATTGACCCATGCCCAGTGGTGTGGAATTTAACGTGGAGCTCTTGCCAGGGTTCCTATTATGATAGGTCGGGTCGTCCATCAAGGATTATCTTGCTTGCTCTGGTGATGGAACGAGGAGCTCGAGATCTCCTAGTGCGACCTTCTCTCGAATCTCTCGAAGTACGGATAGCTTCATCGAGGTCACCGCGACCAATAGATGTTGAACGTTCGTGCGTGTCGGCAGGGGGTACGAGTGAGTTGTGTGAGGGATCATGTGGTCCCTTGGAGGTCTGCGTGGCGATAAACCACGGAAATGTGAAACTGGACAGATCTAGGTCTTGGCCATAGTAAGAGAAGTAAGTCCATTTCAACGAGGGCAGCCATCTTATTAAGGGCGACGGCGCTTTCGGCCACTTTGAGGGAAAATGGCTAGCGTTTCTCGGGTATCAGAACACGAGCTCCTTTGAAAGTAGTAAATAGCACTCACCTGCGTGATTGTCACTAATTGGTCATTATCGGAAGGTGTGCGATTCTGCTTTAGCGGACTTATTTCTTCTTTGACCTTATCCAGTGACGTGAGTAAAAGACTGCACATTCTGCTGTAACGTTGGGAAGGAGACTATGGGACGAATAAGATTGATCCAAAAAATGTCGGATGAAACTGCCACTTGCTGCAGGCAGCTGATTCCACACTGGGCATCTCATCGATGAAAAGTGTAAGTGACGGGTCGGTACGAAAAAGGACTCGTGCGACATAGTGCAGGAGTGTGGGGTATTCTGAGCTACTCTTCGCCGTTCTTGTTTCCTTCATCTACGACACAATGGACATCGATAATATCGTCAAGAGAATGTTGCGAACCTACCTTCAACCAGACCCTTTCAACCAGCATCGCCTTCCGAAGTTTCTTCTATAACAACAACGCAGGGACTTCTCATAAGGAGGAACAAGATAGCTTTGATCAGTATGGCCAAAGCGGCGCTAGAAGAACTTACCATCAAATTGCCCTCACTTACTTCCGCAGGAGCGTAAACGGTGAGGTACACTGGTCAGCGAAAGGGTCCGGTGCCACCGTGACAATGGTCGATGTACCAAGCACTCGGACCCAGGACAACATATCCGAACCAGCCCATGCGTTAATACGCGTGTGTAGGGAAGGTTGACAAAATATGGCGGGCAGTGAAAAACGGTGTTAATGTGCACTACGGCCAGCAAGGCTCAAGCCAAAGCTTGGGAGTTCCGGAACTCATTGATGAGGAATTGATCCAGAGCGGTTTTTTGCCTTTGTACATTTAGATAGAACGAGTTCAACATGCAGCAAAGGATGATGTGTTTTTGTCACCCTCTGCAAACGGCTGTACTGCACACCGATTCTTTGAATACATTTGATCCATTCACGTTGTTCTTCCTGCTAAATAGCAAGTTTGCACAAAGGAAGTCATTGATGCGATTGTAAATGTTAACGGGCTGATGTTGACGGCGAAAAGCAACTTTGTTAGCTCCATGCACAGTACATGTGTCCGCGTTATTATGTAAGCTACACTAGAGCCGTCGAGAATCGACACCCTTGGCAGCACTTTTTAGAGCTTCCCACGGTCTTTCAGACAGGGTTTCCTGCATTGCGACAACCATTCTCCAAGACGTCCCTCCTGCAAGGACCTCCCACCCAAATCCCAAATTTGTAGACAGATTCCTCTCGAAGTACGCGGACCTCCACCTCTGTGAATTGAAAAAGATTTCCGTTTGCCTATGCCGCACTACACAAGTCCCAGAAGTCTCATAGGCCATTCGAGTGGAACATTAACGAGGTGCTGTAGGATCGTTGGCGAGGCGCTGTAGGATCGTTGACGAGGCGCTGTAGGATCGTTGGCGAGGCGTAGTAGGATCGTTGGCGAGGCGCAGTAGGACCGTTTGCGAGGTATGAGAGGACCATTGGCGAGGCGCAGTAGGATCGTTGGCGAGGCGCAGTAGGACCGTTTGCGAGGTATGAGAGGACCATTGGCGAGGCGCAGTAGGACCGGTTTTTGATGTTTGAGAGGACCATTTGCGTGGTATGAGAGGACCGTTTGCGAGTTATGAGAAGACCGTTTTCAATATATTCGTAGGATTGTCTAGCAAGAATATGTTGTGTTTGTATGGAGGCCTGTTACACTCGATGACACCTGTACTTGTAGGAAGGAGTCTCGATCAGCTCGTTCAAATGTAGTCTGAGTCCTACGGGCTTGTTTAATGAAAATTTCACACTTCGTCCCAGGAACATGCTGGATTTATTCAAGAAAACCGCCACTGAAGGTAGAGTAACGAGATGGTCAAAAAACATACAGAAGTATAGCATTAAAAAGACGAGGTACTGAAAAGGAAGAAGACGAAGGTGATGCAGACAATACTATGAACAATGTAAGGGCTGATGAGACAGAACAGAGACAGGCAACGAGGGAGGTGACAATAACATGGCTTCTCCTTTGAGGAGATAAAAAGAAACATCAGATGGAGCTAGGAGAATAAAGGAAATATACATGATCAAGCAGAAGGGGGTGTGTTGCCGGATTGCTCTCCTAGCTGGGTATTTGAATTGGCATCATGGTTATGGTGGTATGGGCTGCGCGCTCCCTGATCGGCCCATCTGGAGTCTCTGTCATATCCTCTCCTAAAGGCTTGAGGGTTGTTATAGTAACCTCCGCTCTGGGGAGGAAATCCATAGCCACGATCGTCATGATCAGCACGCGAGGGGTATCCATGTTCATGCATGTAAGCAGGAGTATATCTGTCGCGGTCAGAGTATGTTAATGAGCGGCTGCGCTCCCGTTCCATAGCATAATCCATGCTCGATTCTGTCACTGGAGACAAGTCGTGCGCGCGACTGCGAGCATCATGGTGTTCAGGAGCGCTGTCATTGGCATTGCGCCTGCGAGAATAGTATGTATCGCGCGGATGCAGGTGACCATAATCCTGTGAATGCAAAGACATTAGATTAAACATGTAAGATTAAGAAAGCGTCACATACCGAATACGAAGATTCATAAGCTGTATGACCAGGATAACGAGGATCGTGATGCTCTCGGTTCAAGCGCTCTTGAGGCTTGAGTGGGAGAGGACCACGATGACCAGGAGGGAGAAGGCCACGAGGATCAGGAGGGAGAGGGCCATGAGGATCAGGAGGGAGAGAGCCGCGAGAATCAGGAGGGAGAGGGCCACGAGGATCAGGAGGGAGAGAACCGCGAGAATCAGGAGGGAGAGAGCCGCGAGGATCAGGAGGGAGAGTACCACGCGAATTATGGAAGCGAGTCTCCCTGTAGTAATCACGAGAGTAATAATCACGAGGGTAATAACCACGTGGATCTTGATGAATGGGCCTGTGAGGTTCGCGAAGTTCATGACGGAAAGGCTCTTGAGAGTGCATAGGTTCTGCAGATTGACGGTCAACAATTGCAGGGACCCTGTCAGAATCAGGTAGGCCTCCATGAGGAGGAATGTTGTCACCGAATGAACCTTCGTTCATTGATTGAAATCCTCCTCCTCTTCCGCTGCCTCCGCCTATGCCTCCTCTGTCTCCTCCGCTTCCTACATCTCCTCCGTTTCCTACATCTCCTCCATTTCCTACATCTCCTCCGTTTCCTACATCTCCTCTGTCTCCTCCCTCATCTCTGTCTCCTCCATTTCCTCCACCATCTCCATCTCCTCCTCCTCCTCCTCCTCCTCCTCCTCCTCTCTGAGGGGCAGGAGTGAACTCTGTGGGTATGTCAGGCACATCACGTTTAGGAGATGGTGCATGCGCCCCATCCCTCTCCGTATTGGACTGTAGCTGTGATGCAGGGCCCTCGTCTGCGGTAAGGTTATCCCTGGATGCGATCGCCTGACTCGTTGCTGATGGATCCGTAAAGTTATCCCTGGATGCAATCGCCTGACTCGTTGCTGATGGATCTATGCTGTCCGGGTTGATTTGGTGGGATGTGGTCATCATCTTCTCGCTACCGGAGTCAGAGTCCTCAGAATAAATTGCACGAAGGACCCAACCATGACGAGACATTGGCTTTGGTTTTGCTCTCGAACCTTTCACAAGTGGTCGTGCTCGAGTTCGGCCTATTAAAGTAATGTTCAGGGCATCAAAATGAAGATAATCGATGAAGCCATACCTTTTGTTTCTCCAGGCTTGCTTGAAGGGCCGTCACGAAGACGCTTAGCTCTGTCTGGTAATCATGAGGGAGATAGTAAGCGATCAAAGAGCAAACTTACTTGTAGGAGCGGGTAAGACAAGATCCCGCTCTTCGGTTGAAGACGACTCGACCGTCAGTGGGGATAATGGGCCCCCTTTCGTAGGAGAAGCATTAGCATGCTGAGACGAGGGTCCTGATTTCTCTTCCGAAGGTCCAGCTGGCATTGCTGTTTTGGGGAGAATGTCTACAGGCGATGCGCGCTTCTTTGGCACAGGCGGCTCACCACTAGATTTCCGTTTCTTCCTCTTGCCCTGAGAGGCTTCTTCATACTCCGAGTCGGTTGCTGAATTATGTTGGTCATTGGCGTCTCGAGAATCGGGTGAAGTTGAAAGTTCGATGACCTCATGAGCGGGTGGCTTGGGGACGACCTTGAAAGGCCGAGATGGGGGAGGTCCAGGCCTTGCAACAACCTTAAAAGGCCGGGATGGTGGAGGTACTAGTACTTCAACAGAAGTAGTAGATTTTGCGGCCGAAGTGGTAGATTTCTTGACCTTGGTAGTTGCAGCACTGACCTGAATGCGAGAAGGACCATTGTAGTCTATGTGGCCATCAATGAATAGCCGTCGAGCGCCTGTATGAGAGTAGTCTGATGGGGGAGCTTCGCCGATAATAACAGGTTGCTGAGATGACATCACCGCCGCTATTAAAACAAGAAAATCAACACCAAAATGTGAACCAATGGATGGATCATGCTCACCATGTTTTGAAGCATCAACTTTTTCAACATACATCGTTTTTGACTTCAAAGAGTCCATGAGAATCAATACCTCCTTCTGCGTGAGGCCGGCGACACCCTTGCTTTTTGAATTTGAGGTAGTGTCGCGCGCCTCACCTGGCAGGAGACACTTGTGCGCAGGATAACCCTTGATACAAATGTTGTCGTCTGCAAGCGCACTTGGCATGAGCTTCCAAGGGAACACCCTGTCGGTACCGAATTTGCCTCCGAACTTGGCTAGTGTATGGTAGTCAACAAGTCTGAATGATGAGAGTACCGATGTCGCAACGTACCAACTTGTTTCGTAATCTCTCTCTTAATCCATTTGATGTTGTCTTCTCGTCCCATTTCCTCTCGTCCTTCCGGCAGGTCTGAAGCCTGAGAAGCCTGATCATCTTCCATATCCTTAGAGTCAGGGTCCTTGGAACCTGCGTCCTTGAGCGACACAATGTCGTCATCTCCTGGTTCCGCGAAAGCATCCTCTACAGTAGATAAAGACACTGTGTTACTGTAACATTTGATAAGACATCGCACACTTCAAAATAAACTCAGAAGCTCACTAGACTTGAGCCTTGAGATGACCAATAATCGTATCATTGTCCGCACAGCATCGCGTTAGAAAGAACTAAGACAGATCGTCAATATGTGCGTGACATCGCATATAATATAAACTTACATCAGTTACCCCCGGTGTTGTGTGCACATGACAGTGGCCGATTCAAAGCCAAATTTCGAAGACGCGACATCCAACTGCAGCGGGTAAGCTTTGAGGCAAAAACATTCACGAAGTCACTTACTATATTCATGACCCTTCTATGAAACCTCTGAAATGCCTGTCCACGCTGTCCAATTGTTTGAGGCAGTGCCCCAAGTGAAGCGAGCTCCTCGTGGGTGTCGAGAATATCTTGATACGTGTCGGGAAATTGCTCTTTGAATTTTGCATAGCATTCTTTTTGCCTAGTTACACCTATGTTTCAGGGTCAATAACGATACCACAATGAGTCCATATGTAGAACCTACTTGGTGTGCGCTCTCCAACCGCAAGATTCTGACCGAGCCGGCCGAGCTCCTGCTTGGTGTTGTCCTTGAAGTAATTGGAATAGAGGTTCCAATAATTAATGCTACTTGCAGTGCGACCACGGCTCTTCATGAAAAGGTTGATGACTTGATGCATCGGCATTCCAGTAGTCCTGGATAACTCGAGGAGCATCTGATCAACTGCCGCAAAGCTTGCATCAAGTGCGGCATTAGTCTCGGCAGACCTGCGGCCCACAACAGGTGGCTCCTCAGAGTGTGAAGTAAGACATTCTTCTGGAAACCGCTCACTGGAGATTGTGGTGGGAGAGTAATGGCTCAAGTCTAGGTGCTGACTTGGCCCTGGGGTTGGGATACGTGCGTGAGGCATAGGTGGGATGATGTTTGTGGAGGGTGGAGGAGCGAGTGAGTGTTGAGGCAACCCCGGAGTTGGGATATGTGTGTCAGGTGTAGGTGGGTTGATGTTTGTGGAGGGAGGAGGAGCGAGTGAGGCTTGAGGCAAGTGAGATGGGCACTGAAGATCAAATGGCGCGATGTGGCCGGAGAAGCCCTGATCAAAGGCTGATGAATTTAGATCTTGGTCGCCGATTAAGTCCGTGAAGGAGTCAGCGCCCAGCAGGCCAAACATGTCAGAACCCTGTTGACCTGCCCAAGCAGGCTGATCCCTCGTCGGACCATAGAACATATCCTGGATAGGTGCGGGAGCTGGTGTTCGGGAAGAAAGGTCACCTGTAAATGGTGAGGGGTGACGGCTGTTGCCAGTGTTCAGCATGGGAGTGAATGATGCCCCTTCGCCAGTAAACGGCGAGGGATGATGACTGCTGTGGGTCATAATGGCGCTGTCATCCTGGGCAGCATTCAAGGTCGTGATCGAGCCTTGACTTTCTGTGGACGGCTGTTGGGCCCCCTTATGTCGAGCGGAGGCACCTTTGATGACTCCAGTGTCCCGTGCTGTGGCTTTCAGAGTGCTCCTTAATCTTGACAGAGTTAACTCAACCTCCGGGTCCTCGTAACGACGGCCTCCACCAAACTGCGGGAAAATGAAGTTGTCGCCAGCCAGGGGAAAGGCTGCATTGCTGGGAGGAAATCCCGATGAAGAATGATCATATCTGGAAGGGGGAGAGGACTGCCGTCCGAACACATCTGTGTCCTTGTCGTGCGGGGTTTGAGTCATTCTACAAGTATTGTTAGTAATGTAACAAAATGCAAGACATGTACACACCAAAATTTATGCAAGAGCAAGGGGGATGATGTGAGTTGACGGAGGCAACCAAAGTAGATCAGAGAGGTACCAGAAGAGCACGCCAGAGGGGAAAAAATGGTCACAGCCTCAAATCTTATATATTTTTGGGGGGTTTTCTTTCTACATAACAAGTTAGAATGTAATCAGTAACAGAAGCCGAATGACATACCGGTTTTCTTCGGCAGAGACATTCACGGCGGTCTGATCGGACTTCAGTAGGTCCTGGAGGATTGAAGGCCTACTGAAGAGCCTACTGTGGAGTCCATTAGCCAATAGAATAGAGAATATATCTCCTACTAACATCAAAACATGAGCTGCAAGACATATATTAGCCTGAAATCCTCCATGACAGTATAGAATGACTCACGCCATCGACTTTCACCAAACGGCGGCAGGTATCTTGTAGCCTATTGTAACGAGTAGGATTACCTTCAGTTGTACATGATTAGCTTTGTGCACTTTTAGTACGAACACTAATGAAACGCACAAGTTTCCTTGTCCGATAACCGTCCGCTCGTTGCACTCAGCATGAATTCACTGACTGACGACATCTGGTGCTTGTTCAGGTGCGATGTTAGACATGGAAGGAGGTTCTCCAACAGTGAGATGGATGCTGAGAGCGGTTTGGCGATGAATACGAGCGATGTTGGCATGGCGAGAAAGGTAAGATACTAGTACATAGTATGCCGAATGTTAGGATATTTCGGAGTCTATGATAACCTGTTTGATGTGTTAGTAGGACTGGTCCTCTGGCAGCTCAATGATGGCAGGGAGAAGTCTTTTCAATAAGTAGGAGTTCGATATTAATGACACTTACTGAGTTGCATGCGACAGAGCGCCGTCTGACTTGGACACGCCGAAGTTAGATTAAAAATGGTAGTGCCAGTGGAAGGCATTTGCAGCATGTCAATCTAACTACACAAGCGTTCTTTGTTGACAGCTCTTCAATACATCTACTATGCATATAGAACTCATCATACAGTCTGTGATAGCCTGTCTGACATGTTGTGATGTGTCTTTGGTGTTCAAATATGGTAGCAGCACACCATGATATGTCCTTCAAGTTAGCAGACAGGCTGCGCTAATCCGAGTCAAAAACTTAGAATTAATGCAGATCCTAGTCTACTGGTAAGGAAAGCACACGAGTATGTACATAATATTGCAAGTCTTTATATGGCCGGCATTTCAGAGATATGCCATTCTATGATAGCCTGTCTGATGCGCCATGATTTGTCCTCAGCGGTAACCTCAAGCTCAATGATGGTAGGGAGAAGACGAAGTATAGGTGCTCAGATTGCTCGCCAATGGTCAAAATTCGTAGGTCTAGGGTACTGTACATTGATGCGTGCTAGAAGGCAGGTATAGAAAGTACACGAGCACGTAGGTAATATCTCAAGTCGCTCATTTCCTCCTCTTGTAGTCGCGTAATGTGTCGTCCACATAGGACAGCAATCATGGCTGCTAATATCCATACTCCGCAGTCATATCCGTTAGTCTGGAGTGGTTTGACCTGCGTGAATTGTTAAATTGAGGTTTAGACATGAGAGATGCGCTTGAACTCACGGTCAATGGCCGAGCCACCCATCCATCCAGATCGATATGTACCTGCTTGTCTCGTTGATGTGCGACTACCAGAAGCCGACAAACAAGTTTCATGATGTCCTGTAAAAGATATCAAACTCATGATCGCATGTAAGTCAAAATAAACATACTTTCAAGTCGTGTTTCCACGGTTTTCGTTCAGCGAGACTATCAAAGAGATGGATTTCTTTTCTCGACAAGTAAATAACACAAGCAACCCAATGGCCAACACTAGCTGGCCTATGAATTGGGATAATCCACACATCTTTCTCCCAATAGCGTGTCCAGGATGTATTGCGCCAAAGGATATCATCGGCTGCATTGTAGCGAATGCGAGGAAGATCGTGCGTGGAGAAGATAGCTACAATGGGGTTAGGGATATCTATCTGCAGAAGCATGGCACAGCCGTTGATACAAACATCGTTCAGGTACGCTGTCGGAGAAGCAAGAAATGAGATGTCTCTCGGCTCAAAAACTTGTTGGGGGAATCCACCCATCGACGGTCGTACTCGTGTCGCTACCTGTCCAGCCACAATGACATGCGAATCTTGAGATGGGGCGCGGAAATCATCAATCAGGAGACCCTACAAAATATTAGTGATGTTTGGCCTGTCAACGACATTGACGTACCTCTGGGGAATCCCACACAATGTCAGCGCACATATTGGACATTAAGTTCTGATCTTCATCAAACTCCGCTCCGGCAACATCACCCTCCAGGATGTCTGCAAGCGCAGCTTGCTCAGGCTCAAGCTGCTGCGAGTCCAAGTCATCCACCTCAGGGACAACTGGTTCATCTTCTGGAGCAGGGTCCTGCACTGTTATGCTAGCCAAATTAAGAACAGTATCTTGAGGATCTCCAGAGTAGGCTATAGCGCGGTCTAGCGCCTCTTTTGCACGGCTTGTGAACCGAGCCGATGGTGCAAGCGAGTTTGACCATCGCGTCTGAAGGCGGATAAAATGTGAGTGCTGTTGTTGCAATGGAACACGAAAGCGCTTATCTATAAACGAGCAAGGCCGGATCAATGAGACCTTGAATAAATAGCGAGAATCAAACTTACTTTTGGGCAATCGGAGTGAGAGCTCCAGTGCAGTTAGCTCTTCTCCGAAGAAGCGGCACAAATTGTCAGCCTCCATGCCTAAGCGTTTTTGCTCCTCCTGGCACCGGTCACGTTTGAGAAGGGCACGAATTCCGTCCCTGATGTCCGCGTCTTCCAACCAGCAAGGCACATCTCCCATTGACGGCGTGACCCAGACATCCTGCATTAATGTCTGGTCACCACGTAGTTCAGCTAATTTTGTTGGAAGGGGGGTAGGGAGGGGAATAGTCCAAGTAGGATCATACAGTGACTCCAACCGTTCGCAGTAAGAGTTAAACTTTCGGATTGCCATCATAAGCGCAGGTTGACACTTGGCTATAGCCTTTCAAGTATGTTGGTGAAGCTTCGTCCCTGAAAAATAAAGTTAGAATGTAGGAATAGTCTAGCGTGAGGACTTACCTAATGTTTGGTGCGATCCGCCTACTGCACGATCCAATTTGTCCCATTCGAAAAAACTAGTGATTGCACACTTTCGGATATTCATCTTGAGATCGCGTGCCATGAGAAGGACATGAACAAAGTTGAGATTGATGCCGTCGAGCTCGGGAAACCTGTCATTGACGTTAAGTGAAGCATACAACGCTTCAACTTTCGTCATGAGACGATCATGGCCCCTCTGTAGGCTCTCGAGGACATCGAGAGTGTCATCCGATGCTGCCTCCTTCTCCAGCATAGTCTTGGTGGCCTGCAAGGCTCGATCCGAGACATCCAGATCGGCCTGTAAAGTAAGGACGGTATCTAGTTCTTTCTTCAGACGGGTGGGGGCGTCTGAGGTCTTAATTAACTACTGATAGTACAAAAATGATGTGGCTACTCACGCGCACGAATTGAGAGTTGGGATTGCCGCTGGTCAGCCCACTGAGCTTGTAGGTCCTCCACAGATGTTTCGGAACGGTTGATGACATCCAGCGCCGCAGAACCCTGGTCCTTGACACCCCGCTTGAGACAGCGTTTAAGCCAGTCCCCCAGGTCTGATTTCATTTCCGATCCTATCGCAGTTGCTTGACGGTCGATTAACCAGATACGACGCTGACGCTAAACGAATTAAGGCAATTAGTACATGTCAGTAGGATACAAACAAAATAATGTACTGATGACGACCTTTCGACACCTATCAAGCGAACAAGCCGAGACCACAGCCGTTCAGTGCCCTCACCATCAGATAACCCTAGCCCAATGCACATACGAGGATTGTACGCCAACTGACATGCCCATTCGTGACCATAGGCGTGCATCGCCGTGGTCATGAAGCGCAGACGTGATAAGGTATCCTTGGGGAGGATCTCGAACTGGAAATGATTAGAAAATGGAGGAAATTGAGAGCATGTACATACTTTTGAAAGGGTCCGCGCAAGAACACATCCGACGTCATAGAGCGTCACCACTGTTGCTTGAGGAGGGAGCAATGTGAACAAATTTTCGATCAGCGCAATCGGATACTTCTGTTGCTCGCCCGGGGAATCAATATTAACAAAAAAAAGTGGGATGTCGTGACGGCAAATCAGGGCCATCAATCCCGTGTCATCAAAGCTGTCCATCGCCGCTTTTTGCTTCTTTCCGTCAGCAGCTTCATATGCGTTCTCACACAAGTCGATGGCCTTGTCAGGGACAAGGGGTGTGTGTACCTTCGCAGGTCGCTTACGTTGTGTGTGAATTCTGCGCCCAACCGCGTCAACGAACCCTTTAGGAAGGAAGTAGGTGGGCTCATAAAAGGGAGGACAGTCGCCGGCAGATCGGCGGTGGCGATGATGAAAATTCCCGTCAGTAGCAACATGTATGTCGCCACCTTGGTCAACGGGTCTTCCAAACAGCGCGCCACCAAAACACGCTGGACATCATTGGATGAGGAGTGATGCACATTGACCATGGTGTAAGCCAATTTCAGCTGAATGTTCTGCATGCGCTAAGGCGAGTGGTTGAGGTGATTGAAGACCGGCCACAAGATCTCGACTTTGTTTGAGAACTGCATCAACCTGGCGCTCGATTTCGACCTGGAGGACATCATACCACTGTACGGCATAACCTAAACCACGACAAAAAGGTTCCTGCACAATGTCACCCTTCAATTTACATTAGTAGCATTAATCAATACATAAATATGACTTACGTGTGAGTCGGTCACTTGAAACCCTCGGCACAAATAGTGAGTTTTGAGCGCGGATGCGAGAGCGTTGATGGCATCGCAAGAGCGCTCAAATAACGCTCGATAAAACGACAATAGATCGACGGAGACCGCCATACGAGGTTGTGAAGGTGCGGTAGGGAATAGCCCGTGATGAAGAAGGACCTGCGGAAGGCTGGAACATTCACAACTTAGTACATCAATTGATATAAATCCTGTTGGCGTATTTCACACTCGTTAGATTGTGCGATAGGGCATTAGTGTAAGTACTACTTACTATCAAAGAATAGACACAATATACTAGTCCTTCTCTGAGCGCATGACAGAGTGCCACACGCAGAGATAACATTGTGAGTTGTCTCCAGGGCTTGGCCAAGAGTGCGCGCATAATACTTCAATTGCGGGTCTACGAGGGTGGGTATGAGCTTTTTCCAGTTAGCATATAATGTACCCGTTGATTTATCTGGAAGAGTGCGCCGCTTGGAAGGACTGGTCTCCGAGTCTGCGGGCCTATCAGAAGATACTGCGTGTGCCGTCTCAACTTCAGCGCCTGCAAAATCGAAGTCGTTGGTTAGATTTATATTGTCTGCTTCACCAGAGGGACCCTCCAGTGTGGTACCAAGAGAACGGCCTGGTTTAGAGGATGTAGGATCCATGAGTCGTTGCATTTGAGAAAGTAAACGACGACGCTTGAGCTCAGCGCCAGGCAGCTTGACAAGGACTTGAGTCTTCCTCTTATCTCTCGCTTTCCTAGGGCTCACGAAGTGTTGTCCAAGGCCAGAAGATACGATTTGAGCTTTGTGAGTATTGCAGGAGTTCATTAGAGTCATGGCGATAAGAACTTGGGACAAGCATAGTTAGGACTACTTGGTTTGATATAAGCGAATACCTACCAAGGACGCCTCCTCGGCCTACCAAGTGATCCTCCCTGCACATCATGGGAGCCTACTAATGGACAGACAGAGCCTACAGAGCCTACAAATGCGAGTGCAGGAGGCGCTGTAGGTGCAAGGAGCTAAAATTACCTGTAAGCTATTTTTAGATGGAGGGAGGAAGGGTCTTGCAGATAGGTTTCCCACAACATAGTAACCGGGTCTGTAAGACCCTTTATAGGTACCGAAAAGTGTTGCCTGAGGTGAGAATCGAGATCATATTTCTAACAGCGATTGTTTGCATTGCCGTCCTCTGTGCCAGCGGCTACGTCGCATTCTTTGAACACATAGGACTGAAGGACTGACGGTGTACTGTGTATAAAAGCTCCTGCCGAATCAGAGACAATGCTGAAGGCGATGATCAGCAGCCAGCAGGAGAAGCTGCAGAAGAAACCGCTAGGGAAGGACAATGAGGAGCTGGATGGGATGGAATTCGAAGGCATGCATCTTCTTCTTTTTTTTAAAAAAAAAAAACCCCCATAAATCCAGTTTATTGAGAGAATATCCTCTATGTTAGACATCTGCACAGGAATCCGTAAGACCCCCAAGTTGTCAGTCAATGTCCTACGGCGCCGTTAACTTCTAAACACCGGCACAAGTAATATTTTACACCCTCCACTCTCACTTCCCAGCTCATGGTACTTCATGTGCGTTGGGGCGACCTACGTCGCGCAAGGACTCGGAGGAAGTGTTGTTCGAGGAATGGGTGAGGGACTACGAGTGGAATTGCAGGGAGAGGTAAAGGAGTCGTCGATCGGTGCGTGGATAGGACCCCAGGTAAACGTAGTTGTCGACAGCTGGCAAGTATCAGGACAATACTTATTGCGAATGTCTACGAACACTGGAAATCCAACTTAAAGGTCTTGCAGCACACCTCGGTTGAGAAGGTAACTCAAAAAGAATCCAAAGCAACAGATCTGAGCCGTCTGTCGGGTTCAGGGGTGCTCGTAGGGCCATGTCGTATGAACCAAGTTCTCGATATCTTAGGTGGCAATCTGCTGGCAGTGCGATCATTTAGTATTTTCAGGTAAATGGGTTCTTCCTACATCACCGTGAAGCTCTGCCAGGACAACATCCAACACATAAAAGCAAGCCGTCTTCCTACTGTCCCCTTCAGATTTATTTGATCCCATACTACATCCTCACCAACAATGCGTTTCTCCTTTGTCCTCGCCGTTATTGCTGCTTTGACAACATCAATATCTGCCAGTGACGCTGCCAGTGAAAGCTGTCCTAAAGTTTGCTAGCATAGTAAAAACTGCAGAGGCTGCAGTGATATATATGCATGCGTGAGTATGAGCAGTTTGCGTCCTGGATTTAACCACATGACTCACTGGCGTGGTAGATCTTCTTTGTATGCGTGTGGCAGGACTGAATCGTGGTGCAGTTGGGTGCAGTATGGTTGATGGCACGACGCGTGAGTCACTAGTAGTTTGTTCAATGTGCTTGCTTCTGAACAAATTTCAGCGCCGCTCGAGCAATGGAGATCCTGGAATGGGGGACATCTCAAACACTAGAAAGTACTTACGACGCAGTTTTGTAATTTTGTTGTAAGCTTGAACATAGAAGCCTACGACTCCTCCTATCATAGGCGTCGTTTATGGAAGCCCGCCAGGGTGATGGCGGGAAACACTATAAACGAATCAGGCAAGAGTTAACAGAACAAAACCGTGGATTTCTGAGCGTGATACAGAAGAGCAACATCAACAAGAATATATGCTTCGGGCAGCATATATTTACACATACGGTTCAGGCTCTTTTGTTGATGAATATGATGGTATGTAAGAGACCCGAGTCTGCGATAAACAAGGCCAAGCGAGGTGTTATAACGGAAACGTGACTCTCGATCTGTAAGCATCTGGCTTACAGTTTACTCGTCATGGATGCATTTTTGGTCTGCATTGTCACGACCCCATTAGATGGTGGTATAAGTATTTGGAGAATCGTCGTCGAATTGCATGCGGAATTGCTTCCGTAATACCCGGTCCTTTCCGTGCATTCAAATTGAGTGATAATTACTTAACGGTGCAGTACGTTTCTCTCCTGCACTTCAAGCGAGTCCACGGCGCTGAGAAGAGATATACGTTGCTGGAGAAGATAGACTCGACTCCTGGACTTGACCCGTCTAAGATCGGACCTACTGTGAGGCAGAATAAGGGATTCACATATAACCCCGGCTTACCCTCGTGCAGCGGGAAAGATATCACTCCCATCGAGTATCCTAACCTTCTTCGACCTCGGAGGACACCGCGTTATCCAGTCCATCTGACATAGATACGACGACAACTGTCACGCCGTAGCATACATTATAGACACGCAAGACCGAGAGAGGCTGGGAAGTCTTTAGTACGTTCTCCCTCACTCAACCACAAAATGACGAATATCATTGACGAATACAAACACAGACTCAGTCCCCCCCTCCCTCGTCGTCGTCAACACACAAGACTCCCCGAAAGCCTCTCAGCAACAGAGATTAGACAGGATTATGAAGAATGAGATCAAAGGAGGAGCGTGAGCGTGCGGAGCTGGTTTGGCGAAGATGCGGATGCGCAGATGGAGAGGAAACGACGGAGGATCACGAGTTTGGAGCGATTCATTTCACAGGCGGCAGTTACTGACGATATCATGTTACAGCAACGGACATCATGTTACAGCAACGGACCCACAGCATGCACCTTCTTCTCATCACCCTAGGATGATCCTAAGATTCCGGAAAAACTCCGACATCTCTATCATCACCGAAGGAACCTCATTCTGTGTTCGACGATCCTTGTGGCGTCCCAGCAATGCGAGTAGTGATAACCAAAACACACTTATGTCCGCTCAATCAATGTCCGCGTTGCTCGAGCAAATGGAAGTCTGGACTCATTAGGACTTGAATATGACTGGTGTCGAATTTCGTGCGATTCCGTTACGAGGCAAGCATCCGTAATAAACGTGCGGTTATCAGGTAGACTTTCGCACTGCGTGGAGTTGAACTTGAATGCTAGTACGGCGTATGGGGTCCCTCCGTTAACGGTCACATAACGAAGCGAGCCCCAATGTTGCACTGCGTCATGAAGTACTCAATTTGAGATGCTCATGGGCCATGCGGAGATCCGAATTTGAGCGTTGCTATTTCACGGCTTAGAAAGTGAATGTTACAGTTGGAAGGTCTTGACGTGCCGAAAACACGAATTCGAATATCTCTCTAACCATGCCGCAGAACAGCCTTCACCCGTGCACATTGAAGAGTCCGGGTTTCCGAGCGGCGAACTTTGTCTATCCAGGGGGGCATTATTCATGCATGGCACAGTGAGTTCTTGTCAGTTCTGTGAGTTCTTGCGTACATACTGTCTGATAAAGTGGGATGGGGTTTAGACCTGACAGTGGTGATATTCAGGCGGTGCCTCACAGTATTCGGAAGTTTAGAATGCCCAGCTGAGCCTCGCGCCCTATAACGTGGCCCTGCTGTACAATTCTGACGTCCATTATGCTGCGAGTTGCTTCTGTCCGTTGGCCCCGGCTCCAGGACATTCCAACACATCGGCGCTGCACATCGTATTGCGGCCCAGGTGCCACGTGTATGCTGTGGTTCCCCCTCCTTTATAACCCATCAAGATCTTGCAGACACTGCAGTGTTTCACGACTACTGCCACATATCTTAGTTCGTACCTATCATTGAGCTTCCATTTACCAGATGTCAAACTTTGTATGGGTCCTCGTGACGATCCTCCACCCTTGGCAGAGGAGCTAAGCCAAACAGAATGCCCCCAAGACCCGGGAGATACATACCTCGGTGGAGTGCAACAAGTCGTCGTTACTAGTATGTGCCATGTATCTCTATTCAACATGTATTGACCATTTTGTCCAAGGCGTTCTCACAGCTGATCTTACTCTGGGTCTGCGATGGATGCCAGTTGGCTTCCACGTGACAGTACAAGCTGATGGTACTGAATGGCAGACGAGCAACAAACCTGTACTTGTAGATCAGGCCATCGTCGAATGATACGACCACACACTTCTGCAAGTCATCCTTCTTGTCTTCCCTGCAGGTATTGAGAAAGTTCTAGTCCATACAAGCCATCTTCTAGAGTTCAAGCCAGTTGTATACCTCATTTGAATTGGGTACCCATGCTCGGTCATGGAGAACACCTCCGCACATTCGAGATCCTCGTTAGAGAATTACTGGAACGCAACGCAGAAAAAATTCACGTCGTTCGTAACTTCTGTTGTGAATCATGCCCGTCGGATGCTAACAAAATAACCCAGCTTTCGTCTTTCAGCCCAAGTACGGGCGATATCGTATCCTCATGTACTTCGCTCTTTGCCACTGTGGAGCAGCAAGTTTCTTATGTAGACGACACTACGGTTTTTTGCCCGATTGTTCCTGTGAGTGGATCAATGCATTCTGCATATGCTGAGAACTCATAATATGCAGTCGACATCCTGCGACACACATGCATTGAGACTCATGACGGATGCAGGACATCGTCTTCTTGTGCGCTTTCACAGGACACAAGATTATAGGGATCTAGACCGATCCATCAAGGAATTCGAACGCACCTCTGATCTCTGCCTCATTGATCGTCCCTGCCGCCCTGCAGCACTGCCAAATTTAGCTATCACGAAGTTCGTCAGTTTCCAGGTTAATGGAACCTACCTCGACCTCAACATCCCCATCTCTCTCTTCCAAGACGCCCTTCGGTTACGTCCTACCAGTCATCCGGACCGGCCCGTCATCCAGCTCCATCTTGCCATTGCTCTGTTGTGATGCTTTGCGACACGGGGATTTCAAGCAGATGCTGGTGCGGCTGGAGAGTTACTGAATGAAATTTGCAATGCTACCCTTGCCGACAGCCACGTATACAGAGCAGCTCTATTTGCAATCGAAACCTCCGCTTTTCCCAGAAGCACTGATGCAAATACATCCGGGGCGGAGGACCTATTGCATCCATGCTTCCGTGATCCCCGTATGAACTTGCTCGCCGAGCAAAGTTGTGTCTGCATAGAGATGATCCCCATGCCCTAGATGAAGTTATATCATTTTGATGCGCTAGGGTACTACACGGTACATGCTCGACAAGGGCAATTACTGAGCAACCTAGGTGCATTGCTGCTCACTCGCTTCCAGCGTCGAGGCAATGGTCAAGACCTCAATTTATACTCAGTTCGGTCACCCAGATCGGCCTGCATTGTTGAATAACCTTGCGAATGAACTCTCCAACAGCTTTGGGCACCGAGGCAATGCCCAAGACCACCACGAGTCAGCTAGAGAATATCCGCTGTGCATTGACTCTGTCAACGCCACAACATGATCCTCGTCAAATAACGGTCCGTCAGTTACTATCTAGAGTCTATATGTTGTTCCATCGATCAGGACTTGGTAACACTAGAGAAGATACCGACAGTATCAAGGCAGCAGCAAATGTTGGTTGTCCCTAGCGGTCTGCTAGGCCACATGCGCGAAAGTCTATGCTGGGCTCACTATGCTGATGAACATACACATGGAACCGAGCTCGAGGCTTATGTAACTTCCATGCAACTTCTGGACGCTTAGCCTCATGTCTGCAACAGCTTCGATGTCATCACGCCACCATACCATGAAGGAGTCCCTAAGTATGAAGGATTCCATAAGCACACTTGCAGTTGATGCCGCATCATGTGCTCTTCGTCGTGGTGATGTGTGCCGTGCTGTAGAGTTGCTGGAACAAGGCATGACTCTCATCTGGACCCAGATGGCACGACTCCATGCGCCTATTGACATTCTCCAGGAACGCGGCGATCATGCAGCGGCTTTGATGAAGAAATTCAGAGACCTCAACTCCCTCCTTAAGAATCCTCCTGCACATCACGGGAAACAAAATTTCGTGGAACCCTTCAAGTCGGCTTTTCTCATGCGCGACGAACCACTTGAACTTCTAGATATCAGCCACATGGATCTTTTGTATTTCTTCCAGGTTCTCAGACTGCAGTGGGTGTCGCCGACACTCCCGACGAAGTCATTCACTTGGCGGCTGGCCTACAGTTTTCTAGGGTGAAAAGTGCCATTGGGACATTTTGGAATGTCAACGACAGGGCCGTGCACTGCTTGGTCGCGGAATTCTACAAGATTTTTTTGCGGGGATGGCAAAATGAATTCAAAACGAGCTGCCTGAGCGTTGCACAAAAGCAGTCCATTCATTGGCTGGTGATAAAACCGTGCCCTTGGATCAGCGCATCGTGTTCATGCATATTGGCATATGATCAATTTCGTGTGTCCCTCTACCTCGTGATCAAAGTGTTTTTGAGACAATCTGACGGCTGCATGTGTAGCATCCCGCAGCCTATGGCGAACGAATTACATGCTGCCAGTGATATTTCGGAGATTGCATACCTCGCCAATATTTCCTAACGTGTAAGAACGAAGTCACGGTTCACAAGAGGCTGCATCATTGATTTCGGTAGCACATTATAGAGACATGATGGCATGTTTCTTCTACTCATTTTTGGCTGGAACTAATACGGATATGCAGCTGCTCGACATCGCCCATTTATGTCCTTGGAGCCTCGACAAGCGGTCGTGGTGTATTCGGCGTATCACAGTCTTTAAATATCGTCTATCATTCACCAGCATTGACGTTTGAGACGAGCTGGTATCGCCTCCCAAAAGTTTGCGAACGCCAAATATTCATCTGGAAATTAGTTCTGCCTGTAGAGACCAGTATGGCAAGCATCAATAGGTGATTTCAATATTTACCAGCAGGGCCACTTACCCATCCAAACTCTCAGTGGCCACTGCACTAATACTTCTGAACTTCTATGCGGTGATGTTGCTAGTAGGACAGGCCGACAAAAACAACTCATTGCAATCAACGCCTACCAGTTTTTCCCAATAACTAGTAAAATCTTAGATGGAATGGCCAGATATTCAACGGGCTACCTCGGATTCTTTGAACGCATGGTACTGACACTATACCATGTCTAAATTAAAGCTCCTGTCGATTGCAGGTCTGGACTCTTCGTCGACGATCGTGATCGGTGCTAAATTTGCCACTCAATCAAGGCAACTGTCACAACGTTGATTTAGTACGTACTCATCCCATACGCAATCGCTCCTCATTACACGCCTCATACATGTTCACCTTTAGATTCTCCGTTCCAATCAGTGCTCACGGCTTTAATACTTCTCCCTCTCGAATAAATTCCCTCAGTCTTTTGATCTAAGACTGAGATGAGCTCTCTTAATCACGGTTCTACGTTCTATTGATCCTTTCCCATTCCTAGGTATGATCTGTAGTCAAACTAGTCTTTCGACCCAAGGCTGAGTCTCTTTCCCGTTCCTAGTCCGAGCCTCTCCATTCGTAAGAAATAAACTCAGCAACAAACTACTACTGACTCAGTCGTAGCATATAAAGATGGCCTACCACGCCGGTGAGCCATGTAGTTAAATCCAGGACGCAAACTACTCATACTCACGCATTCATATGTATCCCAGGGGCAGGCTGCGCAGTCACTGTCATGGTGGCAAAAGACAGGACATTTCTCACTGTCAGCGTCACTGGCAGATATCAATGCTGTCAAAGCAGCAACAACGGCGAGGACACAGGAGAAACGCATTGTTTGTGAGGATGTGATGTGAGATTAAATAAATTTGAAGGAGACAGTAGGAAGTCGCCTTGCTTTTATGTGTTAAATATTGTTCTGACATAAATTCACGTAGGAAAAACCCGACAGATGATATCCGCAATGCCAGCAGATTGCCACTCAACATCCGAGTCTACCTTGTGAAGCAAGGTCTATCATTGCAAGTCTATTGGTGATTTGACGTGGGACAAAATATCACCTTGGTGAAGGAAGGTCAATTCCAACCAGACGACAATGACCAATATAATCGATTTATAATGTTTTCAAAAGATTGCGCAATGTCAGACTTTCTGGAGACTATGACAGCTGACCAGTCCTTGTTGCCAGCTGGCATTAACCTTGGCTCGCAAGTTGATATTTTGTTGCACGCACTTAAGTGGCAATCTGCTGGCATTGTAAGGTAGACTTCATGCGAATCCATCCAATGTCACGTGAGTGTGACTTGCTGTGACTAAGTCAAGGCCGGGTTGCCGAATTGAACTTCGTATAAAAATTTGACGGTCCTTTTGGTGGGGTTTGCAGTCCTGGATGTACAGTCCTGAGATGGGCGAAAAGATATATTCATGAAGTATCTAGACTCAATAGAATGTGTCTCGGAGGTCAGGATGAGCACGAGAAAATGCCTGAGAATGTATGGCAAGTGCCGGCGAGGCGAGCACGCTGCCAGGACGGTTGCCGCGAATTTGTGGCTGCTGGCATTGGGACTGTAAACCCGAGCGGAGTTGGGACCGTCAATTTCTCGACCCGAAGCTGCAGCTGTCAGAATTTCGCGGAGAACCGCATGCTTTGTGCGCGTGGGATCAGCACGTTCGGACTGGAAAATTGACGGTCCTCAGGTGAGAAATTTGCAGTCCTTTCGAATCCCGCTCGGCAACGCTTACCAGGACTCCGCACGGTGGCGAAATGTCGTGCAAGCTCTCTGCTGCGCGATCGCACCGCAGGAGACGCTTCGGAAGCTCAGCAAAACTACATTTTCGACCGCTCTACCTACGCCGACCGTCCCCAGAATTTTCCGTCCACAGCTCGTCCCAGACGCGACTCCTTCGAACCACCCACCTGGGTAACACCTATTCTCACGCTTATTAGTAACGAATATAGCATAGCATGTATGTTACTAACAAGGGGGGAAAAGCTCTGTCGCAGCACTTCAGCAATACCCGCAGCACTCAGCAGTCCCTTGGGTAAAATAAATAGGGCGGGAATATTCAGATATGATAAGGGAATTATCTAGTCTTATCTACTGATTAGATTGGTCACGCTATCTATTTGTCATCCCCCAGATAGGAACAATTGATACCACTACACCTCCGGACACTTCCCATGCCGTTCTCTCTCAACCTCAACGTCATCAACAACGATGAGCTTGATATCTCCCTTGTCCCTAGCTCAAATCCCATCGCTCTTTCGGTGTTTGTGCTCCTGGTGGATGCCCGATCCCACTGCTGACCTCCCCCGTGATCTCACACCCCTCCCTTGTGCGCTATGTCGCGCCTGGCGACCTCGTGTTGATTCGACCTTACGTCTGCCTGCAACATGCACTTTTTTATCCCTTTCCCCCGTGTACAACATTCACCACCACCACCATGGGTCCCACAAGAAAACGGATGTCGACATCAGTCAAGGGTTACTATGACTCTTCTCGATAGTAGCTCCATGACAGTGCGCACCACCAGATCATCGCTCACTCAGATTCGCCAGCAGCGGCTTCTCAGAGCAGACCAAGAATGCCATGCTCGAGGTACGTTTAATATTCTCACAAAGGTTCATTCCTCACTATGATTAGAAAAAGCCCGACGCATGCAAGAATTGCTTGCTGAAGCTCAGTACTCGCGCCGTGATAATTCCCATCATACATTCGATTTTTCAAAGCCAATGAGCGCTGCGCTCGGTGATTCATGTCATTGTCAATGTGTACAGAAGGTACATATGATACTAATCTTCGTCCGAACTCGAGCTTGAGCTTGACTCATTGCTGTCAACAGTCTCTTTGCTCGTGTGCTGCAGTGATGCACGTGCCCTTGCTTTCCTCGGCACATAAACTTGCTCTCCACATGCCTGACATACTCGGTTGTTTTTCATCCTGTCACGAAGATCATCCTCCGAGAGCGAGACCCACTCGCACGAATGGGATTTGAGAGCATCTAGTAATGTCTGAACATGTGCCCTTCCACCCACCTTAGAAGGATTTTTTACTGTCCCTGGTAGAGGCCAGTTGTGTAGCTCTATGCCATAACGTTCGACGATAGCACGCTCATAGTTAGTGTAGTTCATTTTAACCTTGCTCGACACATTTTTCTCCATCAAAATGAAATCTTAATCAAGATTTATGTTAGTAACGGAATAAGATTTGATAACACAAAGCACGTGTACCTAGCTCAGCTTGAATAAGCTCGCGACATTCGCTGATGAGTTTGTTGAGTGGCCGTGCACGGTTGAGAGACACGCGTTCGTCTTTGGAACAATTAGTAGGATACAGTGTTGAAGGGAAAGACATACCCAGCTTGCTAATAATGAAGGCTTCTAATTTGAGTCCGAGGTGCTGCGGCTCGATTCCTAGTACGTCCTGAACGAACTTTTGAGACTTCTTGGTGAAAAACACTTTCAGCTCCGCAAGGTCCTCGATTCCGCCACGCACAGCAACGTAAAAACCTTCCATACCGGTGCGCGCATGAAGAGCCATCCACTGTGGTAGGTTAGTTAGTTAGTTTTAGTTAACCCTAATTACAAGATGAAAACATACCTCGCGATCCATTGAAGTGAATGCAGCATTCACATCGTGTTTGACGGCTTTAGGGTTTGCGCGTGCGGTATGGTTCTTCGCTTCTCGAGCTTCAAGAACACGAATGTTGTAACCTTTCTTTTCAGCGACGGTGAGTCTTCCATAATCCCGCAGCAATCTCGCCTTGTTTTGCGCAATGAACACCATAAGTTTGAAGCGATCCCCTCTGCCTAGTCCTAAAAATGTGATTGTTATTTTTACTCCGTCATAAAATTGTAGACTAACCTTCATTTGCATCCTGAAGTCGAGCTTTAACAAACGCATTCCAGGAGTTCACACATCTATTCTGCTGCAACATGCGACTACGGAGAAACAATTGGTTTCTCGTCCACTTGAGCGAACTAATATAAAATATTAATATCGACCACAATGAGAAAGGACCGGCTCGGACTCCAGAGGAGAAGAAATGGTGCTCACCGGCCATGTTTTTGCGCAATCTCAACAGCCTCTGTTTCATATGACTGTTTTGCAGTGTCGATGTCATCTGCCAGCTGTTCCTGATGGACACGCTGTTGGGCCTTTTGAGCTGCCGTTAGTTGAGCACACGCTCGGTGAATCTTAGTGGTCAGGCGAGTAACCATGGTCCAGGGGGCTTATGCTGACACAACAGACATGGTAAGGCAGGAGTATTTTATACTGGGCAGATCCAGGGACAAAGTTTGAAATATGTGCAGTACAAACAAACAACGTTAGAAATATATGTGAAGACGGAGTAAACAGAACCACCAGAATGAAACTAAACTAAATGAATGTGAGTGGGCATTCAATGAAATAGACTCCGAGTGGCAACTCACGAAGCTGACGGTCATGACTTGCGCTATTGATGATTCTGATGAGTTTGCCACAACGATCTTCAGGGATATCCATCTTCATCAGTATGGCCGTCCAACAGTTAGCTTTGTACCCCTCAATCTGTTGGATACAGCGCCAGATCTCGTCCATGGTAGAGTGGTGAAGAGTAAGACCGGCAAGTGCACTGGAAATCTCATGACAAATATGGTCATATCCCGCGTCGCGAGCTGGCCCAACTGGGCCTGGATCGGATGTCATAAGGTAGAAATGGTTCGTTACTGAAACTCTGTCTTCATGGCCGTGCAGCGTTGTTTGTATTTGCACTGCATTTCGTGCTCGTGTCGTACTGACAGGCTAAGCATTTTTTTCATTAGCATCAGTAGGCGTTAGGGTGCTTCCCAGGGTTAGGACACCCACCTTGTGTTTATCCGATCCCTTCGCACCGGCAGCAGAGACTTTAGCCGGTGATTGATTTGTTTTTGGAGACCGCTTTGCTAAGATGAATGGCCAGTGAAGGCGGGGACACGAGAGTGCCTGCGGATGGTACACCAGAATCAACAGTGGGTGTCGCTGAGACATCATCAACAGTCTGAGCATTTTGTTCGTTAGTGTCAGTTATCATTAGGGTCAGGACGCCCACCTTCTGTTTATCTGATCCCTTCACACCAGCAGCAGAGACTTTAGCCGGTGATTGATTTGGTTTTGGAGACCACCTTGCTAAGATGAATGGCCGCGAAGGCGGGGACACAAGGGCACCTTCTGATGAATCGACAGTGGCTGTCACTCTGAGACCCCTTGTAGTGCGCCGCTTGGTAATCCCACTGGCTAACACATCATTTCCAGTGAGATCGCAGTCCGTGGATGCAGGAAGTGCCAGCAGTTGAGGCAATGGTGTGGAAGTGAAGGCTGGGTCGGAAAAGGTAAGGAAAGTGGTATCCACTGAGCCCACTGAGCCGATATCATCAGACCACGAGGACAACAATGGAGATGATGCAAAAGATGCGAGACTGTCGTTGTGAGGCTGATGAGCATGAGAAAGATTGAGAGAAGAAAGATTGAGTGAGTCTGAAGGACTTGGAAACAAGAAGCCATCATGTTGATGATGCGCAGAGAGGGCGATATGACTTTGGTCCAATGCTGCTATCCCTGAAACATGACTATTAGAACAAAACAAAACTCCACATCAACTATACGTACTTTGACGCTGTTTTTCGGGCAGATCAACTGTATCCCAGCAGAACCAGCGCTCACGGATGAGTGGAGCAAGCCGATGGAGCAAGATGTCATGAATGACTGTGGCCAGTTGCGACCTCAGCCTGGTTCTCCAGGGGGCAAGAAGATAAGACGGTAGTCGTCATTACCGGCTTTGAGCAGAAGTGACCCGGTACTTTGAAGAACTCGAAGGCGACAGCTAGTTTGATCTCAAAGTTATCTTTCTTCAAGCAAAACATGTTCAAGTTGAATGACTCAAAAGATTGGCGGACTTACTATTTCACCATGAAGATCAAGATAATCCAAATGGCTCGTAGTAGGATCTTGCTTGACAGGGAAGTCTTCGAGGTTGGATGAGTTGCACAACATTGTGGGGATAGTGAGAAAGAGCTGAAGAAAAGACGGTATAGATAATGGTAATTACAGCATGATTAACTTACAGTAATAGAGCAGCCATAAAGCAGCTGGGACATGTACTAATTGAAAACATGGTTGTTTAACAGACCAGAGCGCTGAGCCATAAAGCAGCCGGGACATGTAATTGAAAACATGGTTGTTTAGCGGACCTGGCTCTGCTCCTTCGAAGTTCCATGGGTGCGGCCTATGAGCAGCCAGGACATGCAATTGAAACAGTTGTTTGGCGGACCTGGCTCGTCTGCTGTCTGCCGTCTTTCAAATATCGTACAAACGATGTGAGTGCCACAACTTGACGCTGGCTGGCTTCCATGGGCATTAAACGTTAAGGGAGCAAATGAAAGTATGGAATTGATAGTACAAAATTTACAATGTGAGATGCGACACCAAATCCTCAAGCCTTACTGCCTCCTCATTCACTTCGTCATCCTGCCCATCATCTTTGTCTCCGTCCGGCACCGTCGAGTGAACAATCGTTTGCACCCTTTCACCTGTATATCCCTCAAGTGCGTATATCTTTTGAAGGTGTTTGCGATGATTAGTGTTGATGCAGTGGCGCTTGGCGTGAAATTCCTTCAGTTCAGCTACAAGCAAAGCTTCTGTGTCATCAGCGAGAAGGGAATCAATGGCGTTCAGTATGCTCCTGTCCTCGTGCTCGACCCAGCTCTGTAAGCGCTTGATTTCGACATTGAGGCGAACAATCTCTTCATGTGATCGCACCAACTTGAAGTACTTTGCAGCCATCTCACGATTGGCAGATACCGACCATGGCTTGGTGAGGATTTGATGGCGTGAGTGCTTTAAAAGTGAGAATTCACCAAGGCAAGCGTATCCGACCACTTCGGAGTAGTCAAGGATAGGACGTGGTGGATCTTGTAAGGGCGCCAGTTTGTTGTACCTGTCCAAGGCTGTTCTGATGGCGGCAGAACGTCGTGTAATCGCCTTTGATATATACTTCCGCATCTTGTAACCTATGCAGCCCATGAATTACACCGCTTATCTCGAGATATAAGCACCTACCTGTGCCAGCGAGATTGGCTTTTGACATCTCGAAAAGACGCCGAACAACCAAACCCTCCAACTCTTCAACCAACCGAATAAATTGCCTTTCCTGGGAATATTGCGCTGCTTTCACATAGTCTGGGTGGTGCGGTGTCCACCGCTCTCGGATGCCATGATGCTGCTCGAAATTTTCAACGACGTTCAATTGAAGCTCGTACTTGCGTAGCGCAGAGGCATAGTCAGTTTCAAAGGCCTTGGAAGTGTTGCGTGCATTGGAATTGAGACCGGAGGTATTGGTGAAATTGGCAGGAGTGTACGTCAGAAAGGGTATAGATGTGGCATTGCCATAATTCTCTCTAAAACACATGATGAGACATAAGTAAATAACAAGGTGCAGAGACGAACTCTGCAAATCGAAGTTTCTCCAGCTGTTCCACATAAGCGACCGCAACGGCATCCGAAGCAGGTTCCACGGCAACTTGACTGAGGTACTCATACTCCTCATTTCGCCAATTTACGAAGTCCAGGTCAATGATATTCTGAACACGCTTAAACTCGTCAAGCAAGGGCATGTTGGTCTTGATAATCTGAAGCGCTTGGACATAATTATTATATAAAAAAGCACCTAAAACAGTCAGAGATGCCATGATTTGTAATGATACACATACTCAGCTCGGTATACCTGTCCACGTCCCACTGATCGAAATGAAGGTCGAGATATTGCATCCAATGGAAGGGTGATGCGTGTCTGATTAGTACTGCAGCGTTGTTCGAGCTCACAAAGATACGCTCGCAAGTTTCAAGGTCTTCGAGGCCTAGGCCATTCAAATATAAGGGGTGATTTTGCAGTTGACAACGGTGGTCATGGGAAAACCCATGGAATGCATTTACGACAACCTGTAATTTGAGTTCGGCCGCCTTGGCTCCAATGGAGCTTGATGCGATTGTTTTTCGGGACGAGCAAGCGATGTCATGTCCAATTGCTTGGTCAGCACCGCAGACATCTAGCAGTCAATCAACAATGGCTAGACCATACTTTGCGCTATCAACAAACAGTTAGTTAAGTGATGAGTAATGCAATAAATCAAAGCTTACAGTTCACCACTGCGCTTCATCTCACTTACGACCTCAATGATCCCATGACGACATGCCAGAAGAAAAATCCCAGTCTGATCGAACACAGTGATTTTGTTCTTTTCGAAAGACTTTGCTGCGGTCCAGTTTTCTGTGCAGGCACCTGTTGTCGAGTCTGCCACAGAGCGTCCACCAGAGTGACGTTGAACATCAGCCTTGAATTGATCAACTTGTGCCTCGGAAATGAAATATCGGCTCCGGAATATTCTTGGATCTGCAGATCCAGAACCGTCCAATCGCTTCGCCGAAAAATTACCATCCATGGCATGGAGGCGCGCCAACGATAATGTTGGTTCGTCCAGTTGCTAAATGTTTGTACGCGATCAATTCAAATTATGATCTTGATAGAAAAGTACTTGCCCTGAACGTGCAAGAAGGGCAAGCACCATTCAACTGCCACTGGTCAGGGTCCCTGCCCAGGAGGCGGTTAACATGACTCCGAACTTGCCCCAAGATTTGCAAATAGATGTCGAAAGCATTGGAAAATTGCTCACGACGCTGTCGAAAATATGTTACCTGTGCAGTAAGTGAGCCTGAAATAATAATATAAAATAGCCTTCGAATCTTACATTGTGAAGCGTGCACAGCACTTTGGTAATGGCTTGGATACTGAGTGAGGACTGGCGTTGTCGTAGTTGATGATATAGTTCAAGACATTCTATGCGAATAGCAATAGACGGCTGTAGTGGGGAGCATCCGATAAGTCCCGCACGAAGAAGAGCTGTGTTGGCGAGTTCATCAGTATGTTGTTGAATGGCGACAGCACGTTCGAAGTCTTTTGATGTTGGTTAGTAACTCAGGGCCTTATATTAAAAAAAGAATCGGCTTACCTGCAATTCCGACAATGTCGACATGGAATATGTTAGGCGCCACAGTATTGCCATCATCGCTGGGCGCATTATGCTTCCACGCCAAGTAAGCATCCACAAGGGCGGGCATCTGGTCCTTCCAAGCATTATAAGCACACTGGTGACGCTGTGCTCTGGTCCGCACATCAACGCGCCTGTAGACACCAGGCTCCCTATCAATGTACATTAGATACCTGAATAACGAAAAAAAAACATTGACTTGCTGTTCTTGTGAGAATGTCTTGAAAAATTCGGATAGAAGGGGGCCACCAACAGGCTCGTCAGTGTCGTCGTCAGGAACATCTACGTAATCACTGGTATCGAATGCGTTTTCTCCAAAGTCAACACTATCGATGTTTTCACGCCCAGCTTCCAACTGAGCTTCAGCAAGCAATTCTTGCATGCGTCGGGCTTTTTCTAATCATAGTGAGCAATGAACCTTTGTGAGAATATTAAACGTACCTCGAGTGTGGCGTTCTTGGTCTGCTCTGAGAAGCCGCTGCTGGCATATCTGAGTGAGTGATGATCTGGTGGTGCGCACTGTCGTGGAGCTACTATCGAGAAGAGTCATAGTAACCCTTGACGACGTCGACATCCGTTTTCTTGTGGGACCCATGGTGGTGGTGGTGAATGTTGTACACGGGGGAAAGGGATAAAAAAGTGCATGTTGCAGGCAGACGTAAGGCCGATCAACACGAGGTCGCCAGGCGACATAGCGCACAAGGGAGGGGTGTGAGATCGTGGGGGAGGTCAGCGGTGGGATCAGGCATCCACCAGGAGCACAAACACTGAAAGAGCGATGGGATTTGAGCTAGGGACAAGGGAGATATTGAGCTCATCGTTGTTGACGACATTGAGGTTGAGAGAGAACGGCGTGGGAAGTGTCCGGAGGTGTAGTGGTATCAATTGTTCCTATCTGGGGGATGACAAATAGATAGCGTGACCAATCTAATCAGTAGATAAGACTAGATAATTCCCTTATCATATCTGAATATTCCTGCCCTATTTATTTTACCCAAGGGACTGCTGAGTGCTGCGGGTATTGCTGAAGTGCTGCGACAGAGCTTTTCCCCCCTTGTTAGTAACATACATGCTATGCTATATTCGTTACTAATAAGCGTGAGAATAGGTGTTACCCAGGTGAGTTATGCTCTTTCCGCTATGCTTACTGATCCATCTGTTTGTACTTCATTTTCAACTTCACTGCTTTGATCTGTTATATACTTACTAATAGACTTTCCACATGCTTTGTACATAGCCCTTACTTTGCTGACTGATTTACTTACATGATACCTACAGTATATAAACTCCTGTAGTACTCTGGTACTCCTTAGTTTGAATATCATCTTAGTTCTGCTCATTCCTGCTTCTCCAGACTTGAGTCTCATCTCTTGTCTACCTCCGAGTCTTAGGGTTAAACCTTAGGACTAAATCTCCGGCTCTACCTTAGGGTAGTCTAAACTCTGTTCTGCTTCTACTCCAGACTTGTCCATAGTAGCCTTACTCTGTTCTCTCATAGTCTTCTGGAGTTCCGCTGAACTCCCCCTACATCCAACCTCCAGACTTCTCCGGACTTCTGTCGGACTTCCCCTCTGACCCTCAGAAATTAAGGGCACGTACTTGGGTAAGCGGCACAGTGCACAAGCTGAAGTCAAAGCCCTTTGAGTTGTCTTTCCCTTGAGTATGACTTTAACAGTATATTCAAACTCACACCTTACCAAGTATACTAACCCCTATTCCTATGGCCCCTACAACTCATAGTAATCTTGCAGCAGCCGGACTATCTACAACCTGGTCCAACCCCGCACCAGTAGTAAACACCTTCACCAGCTTCTCCCAGTGCCACACTAGCATGCACAGTACAGCTCAAAGCATTTCCCAACTCGTCAATTGTGACCATCTGGAAACCCCAACACAAACCCCTGCTGGAGGTCCTCCGGATGACAAAGATTTCAATGGAGATGGTGATGATGATGGAACTCCTGGCAGGAACCCACCAGATGACTTCAGAGGTGATCCAGATAATGATCCAGATAATGGTCCAGATAACAATGATGACGATGGCTGTCATATACCTGATCTGACCGCTCCGATATTAATATCCGCTCCGCTTTCCGACCACCTCTGCTCCATCCAATCACAGTCCGCATTCTGCTCCTATGCTTCTGCTTGACTGCCCAACCGGTCCCCTTCCATAATGTCTCCATTCAACTGGAACCACTTTCCCCTTTTAGATATATACTTTCCCCTTTGGTACATAGACCCTTACTTCCAGATCACCAGTAATTCCTCTTACCGCCCTATCACTGATCCAACGCGTACATATTGATATCCGCTCCGACTTATGTCTTCGCCTGTGAAAGTACTTGCAAATTATATCCTTGGTACATAGCTTTTGTCATATACCAGATCCAAGTACCCCCAGTACCACCTATAAGCATCCCTACTGGTGGTCTGACCACCTGTTTCCCCATCCGCTCCATTCCTCCTTCTCCAACAATGCACGGAGTGCATCTCAGCAGGATTAGCCCTGCTACCTCTGCCCGACCCTGTTCCGCTCTTCTGACACTACCCCTATGTCCTCCGACCCCATACCCCTTCCATCCGACCCTATCTGGGGTTCCGCTCCTCTGCCCTATCAGTCCGCCCGATCCTACTTCTACTCCCTCCACTTTTCCAACCCGCGCGGGGGTCCTTCAGTTCTGCTTGTATTACCCCACCCAACTATTAGTCCGTCCGACCGTGTCACCAGTCCACTCCTAGACTAGGAACCACTCAACTGGTCCTATCTTCATTTAGTATCATAGTTCCGCTTTTCAGATCACCAGTAATTCCTATACCCTAGCAATTATTGATCCGTTGCATACATACTGTTCTCCGAGCCTTATTCTCTTATGTCTCAGTCATGCTCTGGTAAACCTGTACACTCAGCACATAGCCTTCTGCTATGCTATGCTCATCACTTAGGTATATAAACATATGTACATTTGTCTGTAGATACTCAGTCTGAATATTACCTTTTCTAAGCCCTGCTCTTCTGTTCTTTGACTTGGGCCTGATCCTAGTCAACTCCTGTTAGCTGGCCTAGGGGATTGACTCCCTAGGTCATCCACCCTCCAATCCCCCGTTCCCCCGTTCCCCGTTCCCCTCGTTCCCCCCCACCCACCCGTTCCCCCTTTCCCGTTCCCCGTTCCCCCGTTCCACCGTTCCCCCGTTCCACCTTTCCCCTTAACCACCGTTCCCCCGTTCCTCCGTTTCCCCTTTCCCCGTTCCCCCCACGTTCCCCCCCCCGTTCCCCCGTTCCCTCCCCCGTTCCGTCTCTCCGTCCCTCCACTCCTCCAACTTCCCCATACGTCCGGAAATGACCCCACACTCTCGCAGCTGTCCCCTCCATTCTGCTCTGCGTCGGACTTCGTCCAAAGCAAGTTCCTTCTGCTCCGCTTCTACTATTGTTTTCGACTGCAGTAGTCTCCCGCTTCCTCACTGTCGGGCCGGAACAACCCCCGCCCGACTTTCCTGCGCTCACCTAGTAGTCCATCGGTCCTCCTTCAGAAGACCCACGTTCCGATGTCCTGTCGGAATCCATAGAATTCATGTTGGACTACATTCCGAAATTAGGGGCATGTACTCGGGTAAGGGGCGCAGTGTACAAGCTGAAGCCAAGCCCCCCAGACTCCGCTTTACCCCTGAGCACGGTCTTAACAGCTTTACAACATAGTTATCTTGACCACTGCCTCATACTTAGAAGTATATAACATATCCTGTACTTAGATATTTTCCCCAGTCTTAATATTCCTTGTCTTCTTGCAGTTACTACTTGTGAGAATTCTCAGTAGGACCTTGCCTCCTCTGGACACAAGTTTCATCTTGTTGTCACCTCTGACCCTCTGCTCCGACTTAGAGCCATGCTCTAAGTCTTCTCCTTACTTCCCCACCCCTATCAAGTATTCCCCCTGCTCCTTTCCGCCCTCCGCACTATCCTCCACCTTCCCCACTTCTATCAAGTATTCCCCCTGCTCCTTTCCACCCTCCACATTATCCTCCGCCTCCTCTGCTCCACTCCTAGTCAGCCCGCCTGCTAGTAGCACTTACCTCTCGACCCTCAAAGTGGACCTAAGCGGACCACTTGTCCTATCGTCGGACAATGTCGGACCCGCTTCAAATTCAGGGCACGTACTCAGCTAAGGGCACAGCGCAAGAGCTGAAGCCAAGCCCCGACCCCTCTGCTTCTTGAGCCGGCACGGTATCTAACAATGGCCTTAACCCACAAGACCGCGTGTTCCTCCGACTATTGGAAGCCATCAACAATCTTGCCCGCAACAGCTGTTGTACAACGAGCTCCGAAGATTCCAGAATCAAAGTCTGGGAGCCAGATACCTTTGATGGTACTGAGCCCCAAAAACTCCGCACATTCT